TCTTTTTCAGGACTTTGTATGGACCCATCCAATTAAATTCTAGGCCATGTTTGTTTTCATGGCGTAACATAACGTAATCACCAATGTTGAATTCTTGCGTTGCAACTCCTTTCATCTTTTCATCCCAGTTGGCTTTATCCTTTTCCGCTTGAAGTTTCATTTTTTCTTGAGCTTGAAAACGTTCTTCCCTAAGAATTCGAATACGTGCTAAGAGCATCCGCAGCGGTTCACTAAAATTTTCACTGAATAAATGGGTCATTTTCCGGTCGGACTAAAAATGTAGTCCCTTTTTTTTAATGGGTCCGCAGCGGTAAAAAAATAATTGCATTGATTTTTTTCTTTAACTTTTGTAAACATGAATAAGCATAACATGATGGCACAATTCCTTGAGGATGAAGAAAACCAAAGACAATTGCAATTAGACCGTAATAAAAGAATTTTATTGCAAGCATTTAAAAAGAGAAAGACAGAACAGGTTGTCAAAGAGAAAAAGAGACATACAGTATTGACCGGGACAGAGAAGGGGAGCACGAAAGACTCTTTAAGCAATACTTCGCCGAGAATCCTACCTATCCAGACACTTATTTTCGTCGTCGTTTTAGAATGGATAAGGAATTGTTTTTGAGAATACTTGGTGATTTGGAAAACAAGGATAACTATTTTAAGCAGAAGAATGATGCAACTGGGAGATCAAGCATTTCAGGTCTTCTTAAAATGGCTATATCTGTTCGCCAACTTGCTTACGGTGTTCCACCAGACATGTTGGATGATCAATATGGAATGGCCGAGTCCACCGGTAGAAATGCCTTGCGCCATTTTTGCAAGGCCATTATTCGATTGTACGGGGAGGAATACCTTCGATCACCTACCAATGAAGATGTGGAACGAATCCTGAGAGAAAATTCGGAGAGAGGATTTCCTGGTATGCTAGGCTCTTTGGACTGCATGCATTGGGAGTGGAAAAACTGTCCCACTGGCTGGCATGGGATGTACAAGGGCAAGGAAAAGGTCCCTACGATCATCCTAGAAGCTGTCGCTTCCAAGGACCGCTGGATTTGGCATGCCTTTTTTGGTCTTCCTGGGTCTTTGAATGACATCAACGTCCTTGACCGCTCTTACCTTTTCCAAGATGTAGCTAACGGTCAAGGACCTGATGTCAATTTCAGTATAAATGGCCATCAATACAATATGGGGTATTACCTCACTGATGGTATTTACCCTCAATATGCTGCGTTTGTCAAAGGGCATAGAAATCCATCCAACGAAAAAGAATCGGTTCGTATCAACAGCAACTATTATAAATGCACATTTTAATTTTTTTTTTTGACAGAAATTTACCGGTAATGTCGGTAACGTTCGAAAGGATGTTGAGTGTGCATTTGGTATACTTCAGCAACGTTTCAATATCGTCGCTACACCAGCAATGGGTTGGGATAAAGACGATATCCAAGAAATCATGATGGCTTGTATCATTTTGCACAATATGATCATTGAATTTCAAAGGGACAAAGAAGAAGAATTGGACAGTATCAGCAATTTGAGAACTGACCCTATCTCGTACAGTCCCCTTAGAGAAGTAGATGGGGGGCTCCCTGAGCAGTTTTTGGAAAAATGGAGGAGCATTATGGATCGTCCTATGCATCTCCAACTTCAAAAGGACCTTGTTGACCATCAATGGATGATGCTAGGAGAATCTTAAATAAAAATAAAAATTTATTGAATCAAATCATATTCAGGATTATCCCTTTTCATAATCGCGATCTGCTGTTGCTGTACCCATGATCGACGTTGGGGATCCGTGATGGTTGATGGATCAGTTGTCATCAACTTCCATTCTCTTTCCCTTTCGAACTCAAGTCTGAGGCTTTCAGCTCGCAAATTTGCCGCCTCATCGGACTTCTTCTGCATTGCCGTCAATTCATCCATCAAGCATTTGTATTCGTCTTGATTACCGGCAGAAACCGAAGAAGCGGCCTTAGAGACTTTTGCTCTTTTTCTTCCCTCAGGACGCTCGCTGCTGCTGCTGCTGCTGGAGTTCTCCAAGGATGCCTTATTGATCCGCTTTGTGGGTTCAGGATTCCACTTGTCAAAAGCACTCAAGTATTCAAAGCACTCAAGTATTCAAAGCACTCCATGAAAACAAATGTTTCATTGCGGTGTGCTTGTCTATAAAGTTTACTTGCCAATGATACCTTAAATTTTGCGCTTAATTAACATAATTAGATACATGTTTTGTTATATTGCACTCACGTCGTAAGCATAGTTTGAACCACTGGCTTTCTTGGTAGTGCTTCGCATATATCCAGAGAATTTCAATGTCTTAGGCTGAATGTGATTCAGCCATCTAGTCTTGATACTGTCGGGTGTTCTATGACATACAAAGTCATCCTCACTTAATGATTCATTGAAGTGTTGGCCGATATCATCCCAAAACACTTTGCCCTTTTTTTCTGTACCAGAAATTGGATCAATACAATAGGCGATATATGATCGACAGATCTGCAGGTCCTCGGCCTTAGAGAAGTATTTTCTGACCTCTTTAACAGGTGCTACCGAAGGACGCATATCATTCTGAATAGCTTGGGCATCTCCGGTATTCGTGTCATTTTGGACGTTTTCATGATGTCCATCATCTTGAATCTCGTTCTCCATTGCAATTGGAGAGGGGCTACGAATGGAAATGGCAGTTTGGGTGTTCATTTGGACTGAAAAGTTTAGAAAAAGAAACGAAAATAAAAGAACGAAAAATTAATTTTTAATAAAGTGCTCGCACTACTTCCAGTGACTTCCCCGACATTTCATCTGACATCAACTCTTTTAGTGATATTTTCATGCAACCGCTGCGGACACACTTCACTAAAAATAAGCACTAATTTAATGTAGTGACTACTTTTAGTGAACCGCTGCGGATGCTCTTAGAACTTGGATACCACTTTTATTATGGACGAAAAAATATAATTAAAAACGTATATAAAATTGAATTGACAAAAAAAGTATTGATGGTCTATGAGAAAAAACTATGGATATTTATATAAAGAACTGGGATAGTTCTAGGGAGAATAGTAAGCGCCTTATTGGATCATGATGTAATAATCTGGTGATAGTAAATAATCAACATGTCTTTAATTTTAGCCCTTCCATACTGAGTATATAAATATTAGTCAGAGGGATCAACAGTTATAACATCAAATGACAAGAGTAATATTTGTGCTCAGGATCTATTAATATTCTATAGTCCAGGCCCATTCGATTGTATTGCTTTTGCAGAATAAATATTTACTCGACACAGGGATGTGCCCTATGTACAAACTCCAACGGTAGGATGAGAACAAGTGGGGTAATGCGTGATTCATGATTAACTTTTATATTTATTATCCATCCATAATGTGATGTGACAATTAACTTTATTATTATATCTATGATATCCTCAACAGTCCTAACCCCCTCCCCCTGTTGTATCGCAGATGTATTGAATCATAGAAACAATAGAAATCCAATATTAGATCTCAGTAGACAGACTGGAGATCGTAATCATGGAAAGATTGTTATGAACGAATAAGAATACATGGATAAACATTTATTCAATTCAAATGGATAAACGATTGAATAGTAAATCCCGATTGGATCTACTATTAGTTTAGACACAGCTTCGTAAAAGTATAAATACGAGCTCATGCAACTCTTAATAAAAGGTTATCTTTACTTTGATTATTCATAAAGACCCATTTTGATATCTACGATATTTCACCCCCTCTTAATAATAAACATATTTTAATTTAACCAATCGCCCCCCTCGTGTCGCCAAGTAGTTTCTGTGTCTTGTTCCTGTTCCGTCCGTGACAGAAACGTAGGCAAAACACCAATAAAAGAAAGTCGCACCGCTCCATTTTTTGGTTTTTGGCAATTCCCTCATGTATTTTGGTGTTTAATTTTTTCTGTAAACCGATTTTACTCTTTTTGTTTTTATCGTGTCCCACTTTTTTTGGCTCATTTTATTCTTTAGATTAAAAAGACCAAGAGTAGTGTTCGGAATGAAGATCGAAACTCTCGAGCAAGCTTCGATCGTGTTCCAGTCGAAGCTCGCTCGGATGTGTTTTTCCGCAGCTCGAGCTCGCTTGAAGTTTCTTAAGCTCGGCTCGGTTGCAAATACGATAGCTCGAACTCGCTCGCCCTTTTTATTACACAAAGTGCACGTCAAAGTGATGTTAATTACAGAAAGTTATGATAATAAAATTGTTATTTATTGAAATAGAAGTTGGAAAAAGAAAAAGAAAACTTTTTTTTTCGCCAGCCTTAACACCAAATTCGGATACTTAAATTGAATTATTACTGCATCTATAATTATAATACATTTGGATTTGTGAACATGAAAGTTTAAATTAATTCTGCTACGTCGTGTTACTATGGTTGCTGTAAAAATTTGGCTTAGTTGGGTATAGTGTGCGACACTGTATCATTTTCTATGGTAAATGTGTTTGTTGGTTGTACAATTAAATAAATTCCAAAGCATTTTAGTTGGAATTATAAGAGCATAAATAAAAAAAAATGGTAAAGGGAAGAAAAGATTAAAACAAGGGGAAATGCCATCTGTAGTCCTTCAAGGACCTTAACTTTAAAGTGACTACTATCGACATTTTAGCCGAGCGAGCTTCGAGCGAGCATCGATCGAAGCTCGCTCGAACCCAAAAAAAGTGGCGCAAGCTCGTGTACAAAAACTTGGTTCAAGCTTTGTTCGAACTTGCGCAAGATCGGTGCAAGCTCGAAAAGTTCGAACACTAGTTTAAATGTAACCAATCGAATAATTCTTGCTGGAGATTTTAATATAACTTTAATGCCCCAGACAAAACAAAATTATACAACTATCTTCAAAATAAAATTTAAAATTGGCTATCTAATCTGCGATAGATTTTCTGCAACAAGCAATGGTGCGTACATTGACAACTTAAATGCAAATTATACTGTTTAAAAAAGAGGTTTACACATTTCATTTAAAACGTAACATGAACCCTTATACACTAAGTTTTAAGTGCGTAAATTTTTATTCAATATGCATTATCTATTATTCAGTTACAAGTACGTTTAAGCTCTTGTGATATTAAAAAAAGTGTGTCATATCAGATTAGTAAAATGCCACCGGGAAGGATGATTAACCTTGAGTGTGGTCGGATCTTTTTTTCTCTTTTTTTTTTTTTACATAAACCCTATACACTAACAACATACAACGCCAGGTCAAAACATTGTTATAGCAGAAGATTATATTTCTGAGAAAATGCCCAATTACCTTCAAAAGAATGTAGTAGTCGACTTTTAAATAACTAAATATGATTTGTGGTTCTCAACTTGTCTCAAGCTTTACGAATACTGGAACATCAAAAATACTCATATGTCAAAAAAGAGTATTATACCCTGTTCACCTTATGTTGGAGCAATTAACCATCAAGTTCTCATTGTGATCAGACTGAAAGTCCATCCATCAAGGCTAAGCCTAGTGACAGCCATGGATTATAGACTGGCGTATTTAAATATAAATAAGGTTCGTTTATCTGCTGTTGTGGCTATAAAAAAAAAAAGAAAAAGAAAAAGAAAGCCGATTGGATTGCACTTGTATCTAAATCTACGAGTAAGAAAGTAAAGGACAAGAGTACTTTGATCACCCTGTTTTTATTTCTTGTTAATCAGACTGATAATAAGGTAAAAAGAAAAAGAAAGAAAAAAAAACACAGCACTATTCCCCCAAACAAATAACTAAGAGAAATAATAACATGTTCTTGTTTTTAGCCATTTTAAACATGGTCCGTGATGCAAGCATGGTAAATATGCTTGGCGATGAAGATATGCTCGGTGGTTCTGGTGCTTGACAATGGCGAGATAAGATTGTGTGGTGAGGCAAGTTTTTTTTTTTTACCAAGTTTGATATAACTTTGGGTATATGATATGGTGTAATTGCTGGGATGTAAGGTACGGCTTCATCTTTCCTCTCACAATTATTGATGTACCCTCTATATTCGATACTTTATCTCGCGACAGTAAAAAAAACATGGTCCGTGATGCAAGTGTGGTGGATATGCTTGTCCCTTTGGAAAAAATTTATTGGGTTTATGATGATGCTTTCGTTTGCCTCTTAATTTTGTACATTTTTGAAATCAGTGTAAACGTAAGTATATTACTTATTTTTTCGTTTACGTTCTTTCTTCAGAGGTTCATTACTGAAAAATTCGAGAGATAAAACAACGACTTAAGAATAAAAATAAGAAATTTGGCGAAGTAAGATTATCAAACTGCAAAAATAAACTAAAGTCTTTATTATACAATAAATTGGGTTCTTTATATACATATTCAGGGCTAGCTGAATATCAATCATTAGAGTGAAACCTGTCAAATATACAATAGGTGTATTGTCAATTAAAGATCGAGCATCTCATGGTACCTTCGAGAATCTTGTTATTGACGAGCGATCATATCATTGGATTGTATTATCTGGAATAAATGTATGACTATTGTTTTCTATATATTGATGAGTAATCAATGCGTAGTAAATAGAGTGTAATAGCATGTACTTGATTTAAAGAGTAATGCAATAATGATTTATAGAAAGGTTATCAATTAAGAAAGAATGGATGATAGAGTTATATCTGTATATAAGTTCGATCACAACAATTACGTGCATTGTATTCCAAACTAGCTACTGATATTATTTTATAAGGAAGGTAGATGGTCTTTTCTTGCAAGGGTAATTCTCTCTTGTTTGTTCTCCTCTCGATTCGGTGCCAAATGTACACGACGGAACAAAAGCAATAAATTATTCCGCATCCCATTAAAAAGGTACCGTAGTGTCACACTTGTTCTTAAAAACGTTGGTCGAATATATTACCAAACTCATCTTTTTCACATAAGCTTCTGAACCTCTTTCTGTCTTTATAAAAATTGGGATAGTTGTTATAAATATTACGTCTAAAATGGATGCTTTTGTAAAGATCATTTACTTAATCTTACCTGGCCGAAATACTTTGAGTATACTAGCTTAGTGTTCCAACTTTTCGAACTTGCAAGATTTATAATGGCCTTTGCCCGCAACGGAGGTAAAACTGGTAATAAATTAATGGGACTTGGGCTTTGAAGTAATTCGGTACAAATCAAAGCAAGTTGTGCAATGATGAACAAAAAATTCATGTGACGGCCGGGAGCAAACATGTATTTCCATAATTTCAAAAGCTCAGATAATGGTGGTATACAAGCAGAAAATGTCATAACCGCTGTAATCATCGTTTAATCACGGTTAAGAGGATTCCCTTTTTTTTTTATATGAACTTACATGCAAAGGCATACGTATTGGGAGACATGTTTTGTCCACAAAAATATCTATATCAAGTAGGATCTAATCCACGCAAACATATATCTAAAAGCTAAATAATAATTCAATATACTCATATCTACCAATCAAAATTTTCAAAATTACCCTAAGCCCACGGTGAACACCTCTCATGGTTGGTTGAACATAAAGAGGGCACTATTTAAAGATAAAAGTGAAAAAGCTGTAAAATGCTTCCACTTCAGACAAAGGTAACAAAAAAGGTCTGGCCAACATTCATACCTTGAACGTACGTCAGACTCTCTATCCAATGAAAAATTAGTTGATTGCAAACCATAGTAGCATGAGAATTGCTTTCTACAGCAGAAATTAAAGTTGGTTAAACGCTAAATACAATTTGTATCATGAAAAATTACCATTATTCACCCTAACAAACGTATTCAACATTCTAATCAACAAATCTTCTCTGACATTTCCAGTAAACTTTGTATCTGTCGAGAACGTTCTGAACGTATCATTTTTTATATTACCAGCAAGCGCAGTTGGGCCATCTTTGAGCAAACCAGCATAATCCTCCCAGGATGTTTGATAAACACCAAGAAGTGATTTTCATACAAGACTCTTAACTGTATGTTTTTTTGTTATAGTCTTTTTCCATTGATTAAGAGCCTTTTTTTTTTGTATTCGGTTGCTTTGATTACCTCTGCTGTACATGGACTTGTCATTAAATACTGCCTCAAGTCAGCTATACTATTCTGGACAGAAATAGAATCCTGATGTTGTCGAGTTAATATACGCGTACAGGTTTATCACACCAAATAGAAACATGATCCAGATTATTTACAGACATGTTGAAATAATAAAAGAAAAGGGGAAATGAACAGTAAAATAACGGGGAATGTCTTTTATATACGAGTGCAATAAAATGCAACACCTTTACTTTTTTCTCTTGTCGAAATTAAAACGATAATGTAGCTGCCCGTTGACTGAATTTGCGGATATTATACATTGGTATCGTAAAAACTGAACTATTCTACGCTTACTAACTATAATTTAAGAGCACAATACATACAATTACAGTGCCCGTTATCATACCCAATCACACCAATAATTTGCCTCAATATACATGGGGATGTCGTGGGACTTTTGTTATGTAACAGCCAAATTATTTAGAGGGTCAAAGATGATTTTATTATGATTGAGATAAAAGCTTGTCTTGAATATCAACAAATTTTGAGTGACCTAAGTCACGACAAGGATGCCAAATTCTTAGTTCACTAAAAGAAAAATCTTTTAGATCCATCCTTTACAGGGCGAAGACCTGATTTGGCGGCGTAAAGGGCCTTGACCCCTCCTATAAGTATAGTTGGACTACCCCAGGGGATAGCATGTTGTGAACTATGTTTTACCTCACAGAAAAGGACGCGCGCCAAAGCACTCTAGCGATTTTATACACTATGCCTAAATCAAACGTGATCAAACAAGGAACCAGCATATACAACATATACGCATCATTAACAGGATAAGGCGGGTTCAATTTCTACATCTCAACACTCAGCCCAAAAGGACTATAATGAATGCAATCACCTCCACTTTCATCTCTCGTCCTGAGACTTTTACATCCCTGATCTGAGGACCCTGCAGCAAGAAAGTGACAAAGAACGGCTGGATCCAACTAAACAGTGACTCCCAACGAACGTTGGCCTGATAAGGAATTGTCGAAGGGGTATGAAGTAGCCAGTAATGAAGACCCCGCAATTAGTGAGTTTGCACGAACGTTGGCCTGATAAGGAATTGTCGAACAGTAACAAGAATTGTCAGAACAAAACAAAACCTGTCCCTCACTAAGAACGAGGCGGGGGTCCCGCATGCTCGAACGTTGGCCTGATAAGGAATTGTCGAACAAAAACAAGAATTTGTCTGAACCAAACAACCTGTCCCTCACTAAGAACGGGAAGAAGGCCCCGTAATCAGTGAGTTTGCACGAACGTTGGCCTGATAAGGAATTGTCGAACAGCAACAAGAATTGTCAGAACAAAACAAACTCTGCTCTCAATAAGAACGGGCGAAAGATATTGAGGTCGTCAATACCCTCCGATGTTAGGGTTGTTTGGTTGCATTAGGATGATGTACAATCAAATGAGTGAAAAGATAATAGTATGAGAACCAAGGAGAACAAAAAAAACCTGGACAGTGGCGTGAGAGTGTATTTTTGTCAACACGAAAAAAAAGTCACGGATTGTGTGCCCACGTGCTCCCCCCGCACATTAAGAGTGAATTTCGTGCATTTTTTTTTTTTTTTTTTTTTTTTTTTTTTTTTTTTTTTTGTTCAGTCTAATCATAAAACTCCTAGTCGTCTTTTCTTAGCTTTTTTCTTAAAGGACTAACTTTATTCAAATACTTTTGGATCACCAACTCTTTATTTGTTCTATACGTGCCACTAAAACTAAAGAATCGTACAATTCAACGTGAATTACTATCGTATAGCAAGAGAACACAGCTTTTTAAAGAAGTTGTCAAGTGGAACTCATCGGATGATTAGACTGCATCTGGACGATCGGGAAACAAACTCTCTTTGACTTTATTTATAAAGTAAGAAGCGTAACTTTTCAATACAACGAGATATCAAGGAGGAGTATGTTATCTTGGGATCAAAATTAAGTCATGTTAAGGAGAAGCTTTACCGTTTTTACCCATCTGTATACAACTCTCTTAATCAACGATAAAAGTCAAATAACTGTTTAGACACTGACAACACTATACTCCTTTCATTACATACGAAGGCTTGGATTGTACGAACAAAATATGACCAATTCTACAGATAAGGAAATTACCAGCAAAAAGAGAGATCCACAGATAGACGCTGAAATTCAAATGCACAAAATGTTTCACAGCTTTGGACATGTATCATTCAAAAGATGTAGTGAAGATAATTGGGACGAAGGGTGTGGATTCGAACGCATAATTAGAATCTGTTCAAGAATAACATGATGAGGATTGAGTTGGACATATGCTCATCCAAAATGTATTCAAGAGGATGATACGGACCACTGGATGACATGAAATCGAGAATAATCGACTAACAATCATATAAACTTAAAGTCAATTGCCACTTGAGAAGACAATACTACCCACGCACCTTTTAAAAGGGGGATGATGATATGCGCTACGGGAGATGACAATATTGGATATACAACCTAAACTGAGCTTTTCACTATGAGTATGAATGCGTTTAAACCGGATATGGCGGCAGTCAAATATTCACCAGCCCTCTGCCGATAGTTCAAGCCTTCCTACTTTGACAAATTAAGCTTCTCCCATCGCTCCAAGCAATTCTTCAACAGAATTTGACACTCTGCTTTCCAACATTCATAAACTTAAACGCAATATATTTTGAACGAAACTGAGCTCGAAGAATTGGCCAGCATCAATCACTAGTTTCTCTCTCGTATTAAATCTAAAAACATTCCTTCCAATTCTAATTTTACAGCACAAAGAGTACAATTTTTTTTTAAATAACAAATGCGTGTCCCCTTTCCTCTGCTCAAAAATTCGGGTACATGAGTAAATGAGTTTATATGAGCGAATACGTCATGAGTTATCTGTAAAGGTGGAAATGGAGGAACACCCTCCAAGGATTCACCGCAAGAAAAAGTCTGAACGATTAATTTCTTAAGTCTGGAAAGTAACTCTTTCTTGTTTAGATTTTATTTTCTCTTGTCTAAAAATTAACTTTTGCCTCGTCTCGAAAGAAGCCAAAAGCGTCTAAATCATTACTTGAAGGCCCAGAGTAACATTGTCTGAATTTAAAGTGTAAAAACTATATCACGTGTGGGATTCAAAATATTTTAACTGTTCCAAACAAGTTATCATTTGAGTTGTTATACTTTTGTTCACACATTTATACATGACTTTAGAAGAATCAGGACCAATAGCTTTACAGTTTCAGCTTTTATTTAATGGAACCGCAGAAAGCAATAGTGGGGACGTTCTTTACAAGCAAAAAACACGCATGTACCCGACGTTTAAAGTGGAGCTGAACGGAACAGCCATCTACCGACTTGTTCACCATGAATTTGAGCGACATTTTGTAACTGCGGGACAATTATTTAAAGCATGCGGATTGACACTTACCGAAGGATTTTTCCTGTTTGAATTGAAATTAACTGAATTCGAAGTGGATTTCCTGATATCACAGTTTCCGTATTGTGACATTTGGGTCAGCGTAGAACAAGCACGCGTGATGGCGTTAGGATTAGGTGTGGAAACCCCACTGGAGCTTTTACTGAGTGAAAGTTTGGATGATTGTTATTCATCGGATAATATTAGTCGTAATGAAATCATGCATAATTGGATCGTACCTTCTATCCCCAATTTGCAATATTCAACCCGTGCGCTACTTGAAACGTCATTTGAGACTGTGGAATTGTTGGAGCCTCCCAATCGAAAGATCCGAACTCAAATATCAAGGTCAAATAAGCAAGTTGGCATGGTGTTGAAGGATAGAGCTGAATCTGGATTGGTGAGGTGGCAAGTATGGGCATATGAACAATTCTTACAGCAGCAACAACAACAACAAAATCATAGCTCAATTGAGGATACGCCTCCTATATTAGATAGATCGGGAGCAATTTGGGATACTTTACAAGGTCTACTATCAGATCTACAAACATTAGGAAGGAAGGGACAGGTGATGAGTGGAAGAGTTCTATCTGATAATATGATGGTAGGCAACATGCCTTTAAAAAAGGAGTATTTGGGGCATAGTTTGTTACTACAACAGTTATATATTGCTGTGATGGTGGAAAAGTTGGTGAATGAATTAAATAGGGTTTCGAGCACATTCAATTCAATCAATGCAACAGCAGCAGTAGCAGGAGGAGGAGGAGGAGCAGTAGAGGAAGGAGGATTGGTAGTAAATAGCAGCGAACAAGCGGTGATTATAAATAAAGGTAATGCATCGAATCGATCCTCTTCGTTTGTAGAGGATGAAGGTATTGGGGCTACTACGAATACGAGCACAACGACGCCAAATCATTTGACCGAGAACATGTTATTTCATGATCGTATGGATTTATTAGAACAAGAATTATATCGAGTGAAACGAAGGACAAAAAAAAAGTTGGATGAATATCAATTTTATCAAGACGATTTGACGCAACAAATCAACGAATTAAATAGCTGGAAATCTCAGTCAGATCGGGTACGCAAAAGTGAACGTGTTTGGATGCTGATGTTGATGGTCTGCGTGATTTTCGGGGTCTTTTCTCTGCGGACATTCTATTTTAAATAAAATAAAAAAAAAAGATCGTCCTTTTGTGTCTGATTTCATAAAGAAAAAAAAAATCCCAAGTTTAGGTCCCTTTTTCTTTCTTTACTTTTTCTTTATCTCGGTCCCATTTTTTCTTATTTATATGCCACCTAATAATTATAACCTTGTACAAACAGAGTCTATCGAGTTACTTGTTCCTGGTGAACACCATCTCGAAGATCAGCATAAAAGGTCTCGTCATGGCCGTTCTAATTCCACCACTTCCTTCATTCATTTTCGAGCACCTCAACAAAAGGAAGAAGATCCCACTGTTACGAACGTGAGCAAACTTGCTTCCCAGGTAATATGGAAAATAAAAGAAAAAAAATTTAGAGCAATTTGTCTGACTTTGATTAGGCTCTTCCGTCATTACTTATTTGTGTAATCGGTCTAATAGTGGCGGGATGGATGATGGATATATATCAAGTAAACATAATACTAAGTTTTAAAAAAGAAAGTGCTGATTTATTATATATGTTTTTTTTTTTGGTAGCATTGGGAAGTGTTTGAACAAGTATCCGAGTTATTTATTCTTGTACCTGTGTTGTTGAATTTAAAAGGAAATTTAGAAATGAATTTAGCAGCCAGATTTTCAACATCGGCCAATATGGGTGATTTGGATCATCCAGAGACAAGAAATGCATTGGTGTGGGGTAACCTGGCTTTAATTCAAGTGCAGGCATTAATTGCAGGTTCCATCGCCGGTATATTCTCAGTGATTTTGGGTGCAATTTTACACCCGGAAGAAGTTATTACAATCAGTGAAAGTGTGCTTGTCATTGCCAGTTCCATGGTTTCCGCAACCGTATCGAGTTTTGTTCTAGGTCTGTTCATGTGTGTTTTAATCATCTTGAGTCGTATTCTAAAGATTGATCCTGGTAAGGACAAAAGGAAAACCCTTAGAACATGGTTTGGGCTGATTTCTCCATATAAATAGATAATATTGCATGTCCTATGGCCTCATCCCTAGGTGATGTAGTTACACTGGGTATCTTGGCTGGATGTGCCAATCTTTTACTAGTGAATATTGGTAAGAAGAGTTCTTTTTAATAAGATGTGTTCCCTCACCGATTTTACCAATTATAGAAACACAATTAAGTACATTTTTACTTTTAATCATGTTTGGTAGCATCCCATTTTTTGGTATTTCTGTATGGAGAAACCCGCATGTAAGAAGCTTATTATTTTCGGGATGGACCCCTATTATTGTGGCCATGTTAATTTCAAGTGGTGCTGGTCTTGTCCTTGAAAGATATGTCGAGCAATTTAAAGGTTTAGCCATGTTGACACCTATTTTATGTGGTACAGTTTTCTATAGTGTAAACATTCATTTATTTTCTTACTAATGATAAAATATTTTAGGTCTTGCTGGTAATTTAGGCTCCATCTATGCTTCCCGAATCAGTACTTGTCTTCATAAGGGGATGCAAGAACAATTTAAAAAAGTTGAAAATGCTCTCTTATTAATGAATGTGCCTGTCCAATTATTGTTTCTGGTGATTGTTTGGTTCTTAGAGATTGGTCATTTAGACTTTACTTTTGCCTTTGCACTCTCTTACTTTTTAGTTGCCATGATTTGTGTAAGTCTTTATCAGCACGTCATTTTTAAATTTTTTAGACTGACGCGGGAATCTAATTTAGACGTTTTTGGCTTTAAAAATGGGAAAATCCATGACATTGGCATTTTGGAAGTACAAGTATGATCCGGATAACTACGTTTTACCTTACCTGTAAGTTTTGCCCCCTTTAACTATAAGAGAAGATCTGTTAATTTACTCTTGTTTGCTTAGGACGGCTATTATTGATGTAATCTGTACAAGTTTACTGGTGGTGGCATTTGCATGGTTAAGTGCTAACGGATATGCATCGTTAGAAGCAGAAAAACAAGACAACTAACAAAAAAAAAAAAAAAAAAAAAAAATAGAATTTACACATATACATACATTATACCACATAAAAAAAAAACTATAATAATTACTCACATCTTTTTTTTCTCACGCATCTCACACCCCCCAACCCCCAACCCCTTTTTATTTAATTTTGACTCTTTTTTCTTTCTTTTCTTTTTCTTTCTCTTTCTTCTTTAAATGCTTCGTTTTATTTCCATTGCAAATAAACATCAGTTCAGACAAGTGCGCTCAATAGCCTCGAAAGCCATTGAAAGACCTCATTCGCATGCTTTTTATGATGACAAGATCACCACTGTAAACCCTCTTTCTCTTTTATTTTTTTTTTTATATCAAAGAAAAAGAGTACTCATCCAAAGAAAAAACACTTTTTTTTAGTTTGCAAGTAAAGCGGTGAAACCAGTGACGTTGAAACAACTAGTAAGGTTCGGACAACCCCCCTTGTCTACGGAAGGACTGCAAGCGTGTACGAACTATGCACGTACCGAATTACCCGTGCGTTTAGCTAGACGCGTAAGAGCCTTTCAAAGTTTACCTTTTATCGTTGGTACCAATCCTTACATCAAAGAAATTTATAGTCTGTACTATGATTCATTTGAATCCCTTGTAAAATATGCCGGTCCAGATACTCCCGGCGATGATTTAGAATTCACCGAAAAACTGAAGGATTTTGTGGAGCGTCATAGTGATAATATCCCTACACTCGCTCGAGGTATAATTTCAAATCAGAAACCCCCAATTGTATACATGTGTCTAAAAAAAAACTCAACCTATTCCCTCGTTCTAACACCATCGCTATTTAGGTTTTTTGGAATGTAAACAGTACATGAATTCACAAGATATGGCAAGATTTTTAGACGACATGATTCAGGCACGAATAGGTATTCGTCTGATTGCAGAACAAGCAATTGCCCTGATGCATCAAAAGGATAAAAAGACGGGCGGATATATTGGTATCATTGACACCCAAATTGAGCCCAACCAATTAATTAAACAATGTGCGGATTTCGTGGGCGAATTATGTGAATTTAATTACGGCGAGAGTCCTCAAGTGATTATTGACGGTCATATCGATACAAAATTCACCTATGTGCCTGTGCATTTGGAATATATTTTGACCGAACTCTTAAAGAATTCGTATCGTGCAACTGTGGAACATCACAAGAAAATGGGAAGAACAACCGCTTTGCCTCCCATCCAAATCACCATTAGTCAGGGTCAGGAAGATATCTCCATTCGCATTCGAGATCAAGGAAACGGTATTAGTGATGAGGATCTTCATAAAGTGTTTGAATATTCCTATACAACCGTCTCCAAAGCTGCTGAAGATGCTGAGAATGATCCTTCAAATATTTTTAGAGATATTACAGAAATGGCCATGCAAAGTGGTGTAGGTGGTCCTCTAGCAGGATTAGGGTAACCATTTTATCTCCATGGTAATGTTTGCCATTGTATTAATCATCGCTTCTCCCCCCCCCCTTTTTTTTTTGCAGATTTGGCTTACCGTTAGCAAGAATGTATGCACGTTATTTCGGTGGATCCCTTACCTTGGTTTCCATGTGGGGTTTCGGATGTGATGTATTCCTCAAATTGAAACATATTGATGATTCTATGGCTGAAGGTCTCGAGATTTAAAATAATTTACATACAACAACAATAAAAAAAAATAGCATACATAAATCAAATGATACCTATTTTTCTTGCTTAGTTGGGTTGATAGGGAAATATAGACACATACTAATGTTTAATTATTCAATTGTGAGTTTATATGTCATCTCAATAAGACCTTTCAACAATAAGAGACTGTAAGACTTTTTAAGTGTAAAAGCTAATAAAACAACTGCATCACACAGATTTCGTTTTTTTTTTTTTTTTTTTTTTTTTTTTTTAAAAAAAAAATATTATTATTATTATTATTATTATAAACACAGTAGATATATAAAACGATTTAGTTCTTGAGAACAATGGGACCTGAAGTCCAAGTTTCCCAATCATTCTTGTTAGCTTCATCACCCAACAACTTCAAAGCACTTAATCTCCAGAGGTAAGTACCAGCGGGTGCAGGAATAGCATCGGTGACACCAGCAAGCGAGGCGGGGACGTAATTACCATCCCAGAAGACGGTTGTGTACTGATTATTTTCGACCAAGAGATCACGTCCCATGTATTGATATCCAGTAAAGAATTCACCCAACACCTTTTGTGTGGTAGCGTCAATCAAATCAGCCTTGATACGTTTGGTAGGGGTTAATAATCGGACAGTAGAGATGGGGCGTGTGGCCTTGTTGGCACGGTCGTAGGTGAAGGTATCGTTGGGTCCATACAAGTTACTTTGGGGATCAATAATGACGGGGAATCCATCGGTATCGAAAATAGGCAAAGTCTTGGTAATACCCACCTTACCGAAATAAGGGATCTTGGTATCCAAACTCAAGTTTTGTTGCTTGGAAATCACACGAATGTTACCACCATAAAAGATATGATCGGCAGGGTTGGTCTTGGGTGGGATGACTGTGACAGTCACCTTTTGGGAGTTACCAGGATAGAGCTTGAATGTCTTGATGGAGAATTTGATGCCGGCTTCAGCAGTGGTATCAACAGCGGGTTCAAGAGGAGTATAGCCGGAGGTGGCAACATCATAAGGGGCAATACCAGTGGCTACTTCATTGACCAATTCATAAGCAATAGTTTGTGCACCACGGTTAGTGATGGTAAGTGTCTTTGTTCTGTAATTGGTAGTAGCGGTATCGTTGAAACTGATTTGAGCAGGAGAGACATGGGTGGTTTGTGTAATGGCATCGTATACTTGGACAAGACCGGCACCTTGACGCATGGGAGAATCAGTGATATTAGAATGTGCTACCTTGACGGGGTAAGCGTAATTTTGGAATTGTTCATAAATGAAAGAAGCAGGTTGCTTTGTGGTGCCTTGAGACTTGACATATAAAGCAACGGATCCAGCAACATAGGGAGCAGCCATGGAAGTACCCTATATTATATGGTTGTTTTAGTTCATTATACCTCTCTCTCTCTCTCTTTATATAGTTGTATACTTACAGACAAGACACCCCAGTTACCGAGATAACTAGGCAAGGTAGACAAAACAGTACCACCGACAGCAGCAATATTAGGCTTAAAGTTAAGGGCAGCTTCTGAACCTACACTGGAGAAATAATCCACACTACCACCAAGATCAGATTCACTGATACCTTCTTTACCGAATTCAGCGGTGACCTCACCCTTCTTAAGAGAGGCAATGATATCCAAACCAGCGGCTTTAGCAATACTGATGACGGGAATGAGAGATTTGGGAGCAGAGACGGGGGCAACGACTGTGTCTACGTTATTATAAAAGATAATACCGGTGGCACCAGCAGTGGCAAGATTAGCCATCTTGACTTCAAAAGTACAGCCACCTCTTTGGGTAAGAGCGATAGTACCATTGACAGCGGAAGAGATGGAAGCAGCAGTACAAGCATCTGTGGTCGAGGTAAAAGTAGCATCAGAAGCAACCACTTTACCATTCTTCATGAGGGGAGAACCCGTAGTTAAATATTCAACATCCTCAGTGACACCAGTGAAGGAGGCACTATAGGTAGTTTGGAATTGATTTTCGATGGAAGCAACAGCAAAGGCACCGGCGGCAGTAGCAGGTTGACCTACGGTATAATAACCATATTGACCAAAGTTACCTGTGGAAATTACAACACTGACACCAGCAGCACTAATCTTGTTGATCACATCGTGTTCAGGGTTACCAGCGTTCCAGTTATTCTTGGTACCCAAACTGATACTAATGACATCGGCTCCTGCGTCATAAGCCATCAAGAGACCTTTAATTACAATATCAGTACCGACTGAACCTTTACAACCAAACACACGGTAAATAGCGAGATTGGCTTCAGGTGCAACACCTGTAAAGTTCTAAAAAAAAAAAAAAAAATGTGGTATGTTTAAAATTTATGGTCTTTGCATAAGAATAAATCAAAAGCTTCAACTTACGGTGGCAGGGTCAAAACCAGCAATGATACCAGCAACATGAGTACCATGACCTGTAGCACCAGATGCAGCACCACAGGCATCCAAAGGATCACTATCAGGAATGGGGGTATTGGAACCACTGTACTTATCACCGACCAAATCATAACCCTTGGAGACCTTGAAACCAGGGCCAAAGCCACTACCAAAGGCAGGATGGGTATAATCGATACCTGAATCGAGCACGGCTACAAGAACGCCTTTACCCTTGTTTTTCAATTCCTCATGGACTCTATCGACTTGAGTCATAGCGTGAGGTAAGACAGAGGGTTTGGCAACCTTGGGATCATATTCACCTTGAATGACTTCAGGACGCTTATGAAGACGGATAGGTGTGATGGATAAAACATCATCTCTGTCCAAAATAGATTTGATGGTCTTGGCTTCGTCCTCGGGGTTCTCTGTATCGACCTTGATACTGGCACCGTTAAAAAGAGAATGGTTGAATTCTTCTTCGACTTCGATATCGGTGCCGGAGTCAGAAAGAGAGTTGGTGGGAGAGGAATTAGCAGGAGCAGGAGCGGCCTTGGCAGGGGCCTTGGTAATGGCGGAGGTGGCAGCAGAAGAGGAATCACCAGTAAAGCTGACAATGTATCGACCAGGAACAATATCGGAATCGGCTTCTCTGTACTTGGGATGATCGATTTTAATGGCATCGGCCGTCATGACAAAGACGGCTAAACAAACACCTGCCACCACAATAGGGAAATAGGAAAATGAAGACTTCTTCATTCTAGTAAATGTGAGAGGGAGCGTGGGGGAAAGAAAGGATAGGTGTGGGTGGGTGAGAAGTACACTGAGGTGTGTGCGTTGTTGAAGAAGAAGAAGAAAAAAAAAAAAAGAGGACGAAGAAGGTTACTCTTTTTATAAGATATATATTTTAAAGTTTGATGGTATACACATGGTGTTTCTGCACCCTGAAGGTTGTAACACTTTTGTGTGATCCGTGAGCTATTTTATGTTGAGTAAAGCAAACGCTTACATTTGCAATAAACGTAGTTACTGCACATGTTTATTTTTTTGTGTGAGACCCAAGTTTAGGAAGAAAAGTCCAAAAAAGGCACATGTGAAGGCAGGTTGTACAGGGAGATGGACGATCTATGTTCACTGTGCGCAGTTTCTCTTCTGGGCGGAGGAATAATCATGTAGAGAAAAAAACAGAAGGTTATGCTATTTATATATACACACACAAGAAATCAATTGAGGTTGTACTTGTAAATGTGTAAGCAGAAATATGAGAAAACCATCATGTTAAAAGAGATATAAATTGCAATGTGGTACATGAAAAAATAAACAGTTTGATATTTGCTTCTGAATTGTTTTTTTTTACACTTCTTGATTACAATTTAATTGAACCATAAAATTAAACTTTACTCACACAAATCGCTTTTAAAAATTCAATCTTTTTGGGAGAAGTGTAGCATAGCACAAGCACACATATTTTAACCCATCATACGACTTTGATAGAGTCTTTCTTTGGAGACAGTCGGTTGCATACCTAGAAATCAGAGGTCTTTTAGTTTAAATTTTTTTGGAGGGGCGGTTAAAAAACTTTTTTTTTTTTCAGACAGAAACATGTTCTCCGGTAAACGCTAAAGGTGTAGTCCAATCAAAAATGTTCAGTTGCAGAGAGAGAGAGAGAGGAGGCACTAAAGAAGAGTCGTGTAACCTAGGTATTATTACAGCGAAAAAATATATATACATATATATAAAAAGAAACACTTACAATTGATGTATGACCACAGCAAAAAGAAATGCTAACGATTGACGTATGACCGCAGCAAAAAGAAATACAAGTGATGTATGACCACAGCGAAAAAAAAAAAGATATATAACGTGTCTGAAACTGGGAAATACTTACACAGCAGAAAACAAGAAAGAAAAAGAAGGAATAGTTTATAACGATAATGTTTTTATATGGCAAAAAAAAAAAGGGTTAATATCTATCTCTTCTGCTGCTACTACCCATACGATCTCTCGATCTATCTCTGCGACCTGAAGAAGAGCTATAAGGACGGTCCTTGAAAGGTTTTGGACTTCTGCTTCGCGAACGCATACGAGATCTCTTTCTATCATCATCTCTTCTGTATCCACTAGGTTGTCTACTATGACGATCACGACTATCGCTGTATTTATCGCGGCTAGAATTACGCATACCGTTACTACTGCTATTATTATTGTGTTGAACAGAAGAAGACTTTTGTTCTCTACCACCAAGACCTCCGCCTAATCGACGAGGTTTCCATCCCTTGACAGTACGAGCACGTTCAACATCAACCAATATGCGACGTCCCAAGATCTTTAAACCATCCGCATCCTTGTATGCGGCTAATTTAACTACAGTGTCAATAATTACCTAAGAAAACCCTTCTATACTATGTTTACCTCGCATGTCCTTTTCTCTCTCGAATTCTATAAAAGCATAACAACGAGATTTGCCTTCCTTATCATGAATAAGACGCACCTTTTTAATTTGACCATACAGTTCAAATTCTCTGGTCAAGTCACTCTCTGTTAATTCAGGACTCAAATGAGTTACAAACAAAGTGTTGAAAGGATCGCCGTCAATATGTTCATCTTTTTCGGGATCATCTATAAAATAGTATATTCAGTGATAATGCTCCTATTGTTTTCCTGTTGTCATTGCATCTAAGTTGTTGCATCTAATACTTTACATTGAGCTAATGCGGCCTGTAAAGCTTCTTCTGCTCTTTTCTTTTTCGCTTCAGCCTATGAAAAATAAAAATAAAAATAAAAAAAAAAAAAAAAAGTATCAGAGTGTGTGTTTTTACTATTCACACACAAAGGTGATTACCTTTTCTTTGCGCTTTTCTTCCAATGATTTCCAAGGTACGTAGTCTGCATCGTAGTCTTTTAAGAGAGGTGCGTAAGACGCGATGCCATCAACAATGCAGCCCACACGCTTCTCTGGATCTTTATCAAGGGGAGGCGTATAAGGTAAAGGTGGACGAGGTGCAAATAATTTAAGTAAATTAGGTGGAAGTTTATCTGTCATTTTTGCTTTTCTTTACAAAAAAAAAAAAGGGAGGGTAATTAAAGTCAATGAATGGTATAAAAAAAAAAAAAAAAGATATTTTTTCCTTCTCCCACACCCCAGAGTGTGACTTTGTTATGAGAAAAATCTCTCTCTCTTCACCAATTTTTTTTTTTTTTTTTTTTTGGTTTGATGACAACATATCTTTCTATATTTATTATTTTATTATTCCAATGGCAGAAGCAAGTGGATATCCTGGAGTGACCAAACCTTTAGCTTTAGTTCCACCAGAGAAACGAGACTTAGCATTAACAGATGATCTCGTTCGAACCCTGGCTTCATGTGGAGCTTATGAAAATGAAGAACGCACCAAGCAACGGTAAAAGGATGAAGGAAAAAAAAAAAAGATAAAAAAAAACATCTCTTAACATGTACATAGACAAGACATTCTTACGTATTTGGAAAAGGTGGCACAGCGTTATATCTCCAACATCTGTCAGCGAAAGAAACTGTCGCATGATGAGTATACGCATGCCGGAGGTAAAGTCTTGACTTATGGAAGTTATCATTTAGGTGTTCATTCTACAGGTAAAGCAGAAGCGAGAGAGATACCATATCACACACGTCTCAAATAAACCGAATTTTTAACATGTAGATGCGGATATTGATACACTGTGTGTGATTCCAAACCTTGTGACAAGAGAAGAGTTCTTTGATGAAATGTCAAATTTTCTTCGATCAAACCAACGAGTACACCAGCTAAACGTGGTGAAAGATTCATATGTTCCCGTCATTAAATTCAAATATGACGATATCTCTGTAAGTTTTTTTTTTTTTGTCCTGTTGAACCGCTAAAATTCAAAGCCTAAACACCCTTTTTCTCTGTCTCTGTGTGTGTGCGTGTGTGTGTGTGTTTGTATATGCATAGATTGACTTGGTGTGCGCAAGAGTGAATATGCCTCGAGTGCCCGACGACATTGACGTCAATGATCCAGCCATTTTATATGGACTAGACGACCAATCGATTCGTAGTTTAAATGGCAACCGAGTATCCAAGGATATATTGAGGCTTGTCCCAAACGTGGAAACGTATCGTACATCTTTACGATGCATCAAATTATGGGCTACACGCAAAGGTATTTATTCCAACGTGATTGGGTTTTTGGGCGGGATTGCTTGGGCATTACTTGTAGCACGTATCTGTCAATTATATCCTCTTGCCTGTCCCAGTACGATTATTAGTAAATTCTTTGGGATCTTGATCAATTGGTCTTGGCCATCACCCGTATTACTTCAAAAGATTGAAGACTATCCAAATTTCTCACTCAAGAGTTGGAACTCGCGTACGAATCCTCAAGATCGTATGCATAAGATGCCAGTGATTACACCCTCCTTTCCTAGTATGTGTTCCACGCACAATGTGACGGCTTCCACATTCCGCATTGTGCTGGGAGAATTCAAGATGGCGTCAGAAACGGTGGATCGAATTATGAACGGGAACGCTCCTTGGAGCTCATTGTTTACAAATCATACGTTCTTTAAAAATTACAACCATTATTTACAAGTCGTGGTGAGTAGTGATGACCCTGTGCGTCAATTGAAATGGGCAGGATGGATCGAAGCCAAATTAAGACAGCTGGTGATCAAATTAGAAACTGTCCCCGCGATGGCACTTGTACACCCATTCTTCAAAGGATTTGATTATAAACAAAATTGTCAGACAGCGGCAGAAGCATTTTTAGCGACGCATGGTGTAGATATTGATACATTTAAACATACTCCTCCTAGTCAACCCTTAGAGAAGACAGTCTACACCAAAGTGTTTTATATCGGACTTTATATCCGAATTTCCAATATTAGCTCAGGTAAAGTTAAAAGGCATGAATAGAAGACACACTGATGATACTTATAAAATAATAGAACAATCGCGCACGATCGATTTGGTGCGACCTATTGCGGAATTCAGCCATATGGTGAAGCATTGGCAGGAATTTGATGAAAGACATATGGGTATAGTGATTGAGAATTTGAAACGATCTCAATTACCAGCAGATGTATTTCCTGAAAAAAGCCAGGTGCCTGTTTCTAAGCGAGTGAAGGTATAGTGTTTATTCTTTCTTTCTTTTTTTTTTTTAGTTGTATACGTGTGTGTGTGGTTTTTGCTGTTTCTTTTTATATAGCCCTTACTGTTTATTATGTTGTCTAGTCGAATTCACCTCCACCGGCATCTACACCGAGTCGACCCAATAGTACCCCACTTCCTAGTACGAATAATAAGAAAAAGATGAAGATGAATGATATGCCAATAGTGTCTTCTCCCGCTTCGTAAACCCTCAAAAACAACCAAAAAATGGAGAGGTATATTATTAAAAAAAAAAAAAAAAAAAAAAAAAATTGAGGGGGTGAATTTTAGGAAGAGGAAAAAGCTAAGTAAAACTTTTTATATTTTTTAAATGATTAACTATCCCCCTCTTTCTAATGAAGCACCCTCTCTCTCATATAAAAAAAAAATGATTTTTTCCCTCTGTAGCTTTCTTAGTTTTTCTTTTTTTTTTTCACAACAAATAAAAAATTTATTTCTTGACAGCAGTTACATAATGAATATTTAGCCAACTTCGAAAATCACGACATTCGGCAGACGCTGTAGAAATGACTTTATCATATTTTGCTGTACTCATAGACCAATCTTCACATACTTTAGGTTTCACTGCTTCGAATAATCGCTCTAAACATTCCAATGCAATATCACCTGTCCTTCCGTACCAACCTACAGGTGTAGACCGATGAGAACTATGAACGTCTGTCAGTTCTTCCATCCCCTCCAGCATCGATGCTAATTGTGTTGCCATTTTAAGGTTGATTCCTCTTGTCTGCAGCGACACCGTTACTATGGTATTTTGCTTAAAACCCCACTCTCATATAATAATCTGAAACAACACTTACGTCGCATCATCCAGATAGACATATTGGGACCAATATCCTGTATAGACCCTCCACTTTCAGCCAACTCGATCCTACCACCGGGTTTAGTTACGCGTATCATTTCAGAAAGCATCAAGTTCCAATCGTCTTGACTATATTTAAATAGGACATCATGTTGTGTTACCAAATCAAATGAATGATCGGGAAAGGGTAAGCCCACAGTTTTATCCATGATGCGGAAATGACAGTTCGTGGGTGGCGCATTCAATGGGTAAATCATCACATCAATCCCTGTAAAATGTGATTTTGGGTAGCCCTTGGCCATATCAATCAACCACCAACCCGGTCCTGACCTATTCTTTGCTTTTTTGTTAGTGGTGATACAAAGAAAAATGGGAAAAAGAAAACTTACGTTACGCCGAGCACCTTGATACCTGCCGCAAGTGAGTCTTCAACAGGTGAAAAGAAGGGTGTGACAAAAATGGACCTATTTTTTTGTTTTTTTGTTTCAGTAATCTGCTCAAGGTGTAAAAAAAAAAGAGAGAGAACCTTACTTGAAGAGTAAGTGGTTGATCTGTAAGCGCTCAATTTCCTCATCATCAGAAGGTAAGAATTGTTCGTGGGGAAAGGTGGATTTCCTATAGTTGCGACCGTCTAAGTATTCGAATTGGTTGACGACGAATTTAGGTTCGGCATGGGTATCTTCTACAATCACTGATTTGCTATTGAACGGGGTTAATAAAAATTCACTAGGTGACATGAGTGTATATCCCCAGAAACCACCTTTTGGTTGCTGTACTTGAGTTACTTTTAGTTTGCACATTTCTCGACCTTACAGAAAATGGCATTGAATGAATTAAGGGAAAAGAGAAAGAACAAATAGAAAAGAAGAAAAGAAAAAAAAAATATTAAAGGAAAGGTTGTACGAGGGGTAACCACATAAAAAAAAAAATTTATTTCTTCTTGGTGTTGTTAAAGAAACTAAGTGACCATCGACTGCTTTGTTTCTTTTCTTCTACCATAGGTTTTTGTAAGGCTGTGTTTGCTTCGATTAAATCAATCTGCTGAATCTTTGTCTGTGAAGGCTCATAACCTTGTGTAGAAGCAATCTGGAACCATTCCTTTGCCACCGCCAGATCCTTGGGTACACCCTCTCCATGCAGGAACCTAAATTTAAAGAGTTAGACACACACGTAAACAAGATCAAAAGAACTCTTACATCTCGCCGAGCATGTGCTGAGCATATGGATAAGGTGTGTCAGACTGACTAGCGGCATTTTGATAATATTCAAAGGCCTTGGGGAAATCTTGTGTGACACCCCAAGCATTTCGGTACATGTCACCTAAACGTGCTTGACAGAACGGGATATTCGTGGCAATACTTTGCATACAACAAGCAAACGCTTTACCATAATCTTGCTTTACATTCCCATGTCCATACATATACACTGATGTTTCTTCTTCCAATGCCACTGCAAATCCTTGACTGGCCGAAGCATTTAAATATTTGACGGCTTCCTGAGCATCCTTCGTCTGATCCCCTTTCCCCTTGAGGTATAAATGTCCCACAATATACTGACAATATTTATCGTTTAAAAGTGCTCCATCTTTGGCATAACGTAAAGCACGTACATCATCTTTGGGCACTTGCTCGCTTCCCTCAAAGAATCCATAAGCTAAATCCACTACCGCTTGTGTAGATCCACATTCAAAGGCCCGATGAAACCAGTGGATCGATTCGGCAGGTTCGTTTAGACTGTACTTATATCGATCACTATAAATCCTTCCCAACTCACACCCTGCTTCTGCAATTCTTCCTTCTGTGGCTGCAAACTTTAAAGAAGCGATGCCTCGTTGCAAATCCTGAGGAAATCCAATACCTTTGGAATACAGTAAACCAGCCAAATAATTTAACAGAGGTTCCTGTCCATCGCGGTTCATTCTGGCCGTCATGCAGTCAATAAAGTGTGTCGTACTGAGGTCGTCAGTGGTGATAAAGATGGGCGCGCAGGGCTTTAAAGCTAATGAGAGTTGTTTATCAAAGACACTACGTGCCCACATGTCTGCTTCGGCACGGTTTCGTTGTACATGAGGTAAATGCCCTGATTCCTCCTCATTAAAGATGATGCTGAGTTTTGTTTTGGCTTCGGTATCGAGATGACATGCCTTGTGACGTAAGTAGTTTATAGCTTCAATATTATCTGTCAAGTCGCTCGATGTATGTATCAAGTCGACCGCATGAATTAATCGAAGTTCTTCACGCACATTTTTAAAAGGTGCCATCGTCGTCTCGTAAGCCATTTTTTTAAAAAAAAGAGAGAGAAAAGAAAAAGGCGGGGTTATTTTTTAAAGAAAAAGATTTAATATGTATAAGTAATGTGTGTGTGTGTGTGTGTGTAAGTGTAAAAAGAGAAAAATGATTATTGTTGTTGAGGTTGCATGTAGGAAGCTTCTTGTCCTTCATGAATTGGACCAGTAAGAGGTGTACCTAAATAATTTGCACCATCTGTATTATCTACATTGTGGAAGTCCAAGATTTCAGAATACATCATGACTTTCCAAGTATCGACGGGTAAATCAGCTTCATTGAACGACCAATCAAATTTCTCTGGAGCAGCAGGCTCATCGGTGGGGTCATGGTAAGGAGCTAAATAAGGATGAGCCAAGGCCTCTTCAGCTGTGATACGTTTACGAGGATCAAACGTCAACATCTTTTCCAATAAATCAATCGCTTGAGGGTCTTGACCTGCAAATCGGGAGCTGAATGGGATTTGCTCACGTTTAGGCAAGTTCTTTACAAATCGTAATGTCTATATCGAATAATAAGGGGTGGTTTATTAGGGTCTAGGGTCCAGGGCTTATATAAATCACTTACATTCTCGCTACAGATGGTTGCAATCAAGTCATCGGGTGGTGTACCAAGGAGTTCAGTAATAATCGAGAACTGATGGACGTCTACAATATATAATTATCAGTAAACTCACAAGACAGAGACAGAAAGAGAGAAACTTACGATCTTTGCCAGGGAAGAGTGGCTTGCCTTCCAGCATTTCTGCAAAGATACAGCCAGTACTCCAGATATCGACAGCGACATCATACTTTTGCCAGGTCAACATGATTTCAGGAGCACGGTAATATCTTGTAGACACATAGCCCGTCATTTGAGGATCCTGAATACGAGCAAGACCGAAATCACAAATCTTTAAATCACAGTTCTCATTGATGAGAATATTGCTTGGTTTCTATGAAGAACAAGGGTTTAATTTTCTGCTGATCTCTCTCCCATTGTATGTACTTTTTTCTTACCAAATCTCGATGAATAACTCCGGCAGAATGGACATACTTTAAACCTCTCTTTTAAAAATAAAAATAAAAAAATTATTTTGAGTAACCCATACGTCATATATATATTTTTTTGTATCTCCCTTTTTTTAAGTGTGTGGAACTTACAAGTATCTGATATAGAAAGTATTGAATAAACTGCTTTTCTAAGGGTCTTGATTGAAGCAATCTGTGTAAATCTGTTCCAAGTAATTCGGTGACGAAATAGCTAATGAATTGACTATTTTAGCACCATGTTTCAAACATAAAAAAGTGTTTATCAACCACTATAACTTACATGTCCTCCAAAGGCGAAATAAAGATATCACTTAAACTGATAATCTATCACACATACACGTAAAGGTCAATAAAAATAGAAAAAGATCCTCAATTGAACTTACATTTTCATGCATCAAGGCCTTTAATAACTTTAATTCACGGTAGGTTCTCTTAGCCAACACTGGGGCAGAAAAGGGTTTCATAATTTTTTTAATGGCAACATTCATTCCTGTAAGTTGATCCTTGGACGAACTATAAGAAAAGAAGTCAGTTTTTTTTTTACTTGCCTGAGGTAAGTTGTTCTGCTATTTCTTTACCAGACTAAACCAAAGGCACCCATGCCCACAGGTTGTAAATCGACATATCTATTTTATTATGATATCGATTAGATCAATAAGCACTACCGATTTTTTATTTTATTTTTTTACCTCGTCGTCACTTCAAAGACAGTTCCAAAGATTGAAAGTTTAACGAATTCGGCCATGACTATCTTACGTGGTCAGTTTGAAACGCTATATATTTAAGAAAAAAAACTTACTAGTATTTTTTTTACTGAAAAAAGAAAAAAAGAAAGAGTAAAGAACAAATAAAGGGGAGGGGGGAGGGTCTAAATTCTATAACAGCCAAAAAAAAAAAAAAAAAGAAGGTCCCGAGCAACTGATGTCATGGCAACATCATGACGTTATGGAAGATTTCCCTATTGGGGATGATTTTTTTAAAAGCCCGTGTACCGACGTGTTGTCGTCGCACACACATTACAACATTCATTTGAACACACACACACAGTTTTAAATTTTTAAATTTTTTTTTTATTATAATATACATGCTTTTTTTTTTTTTTTTGATTGTTGTTGTGTAAAAAAAAAGAAAAAATAATCTAGAACAAAGTATCTTCGGCACGAAGGTATTCTCCAACATCTGCTTGGTGGAAAACAATGATATCTGTAGGTTGAAGTTTCTTCATATCCATGGTTGATCTTGCAGTAACACCGAAACCCTAAAAATAGAGATGTGTTTAATATACGGGGAAAAATAGCACATCATTTTAAATAATTACCAAAGGTGCATCTGACATGGAAAAGATGACAACACCAGTATGTTCAGGAGTATCGTCGGTAATTCTACCCAAATGTGCCTTAACAATATGGTTACCATACAAGAAGGGCATCTCACCATTAGGCTTAATCCAGATCTTGTGCTAAATTCCCAATATAAAAATTTAATACAAAAAGATTCATCGATCTCGTCCATTTCAAAAAAAAGGGGGCTTACCTTTGCATATTGTGCCAAATGATCAAGAGCGGTAATGTGAAGAGTAAATTTACCAGTCTTTGTGAATTTACCAAAACATACACCCACTGAACCAAGTTGATCACGTCCAACACTCACGGCCATACGCATCATGGATTCACTACATGTTCATAAAATTAGATCTCGGATCGGCAAAGGCATACATGAATATAAGGTACCTGAGATAATACACCTTGTTATTTTGAAGACGGAAACAATAAGTCTCATCAGGTCTGTCAACTAAAAGTCGAAGATTGGCTCCAATACTAATTTTTCTTGTTTAAGTATTCTCTTCTCTTTGCGTCATATAAAAAAAAACTTACTATTTAGCAAGCTTCTCGAAAAGCGTAGTGGTTTCTTCGGCTGTCAAAGGACGCATGGTGTTTTTTGTCGATGAGAAGTAGTAAGAAAAAAAAAACTCCACCCCTCTAACAATTTTGGAGCTTGCCAAAAAAAAAAAAAAAAAAAAAAAAAAAATAGCATAGACAAGCCACACCGCACACGAATTCGGCTAATGTGACTACTATTAATCTTTCTGTCGTTTTTGCATAATTATTGACGGAGAATCAACTTTGACATACGCCCCCCCCCCCTTTTTTTTTGCTAGGGCGTTATCACAATAAATATAAAGGTCATGAGCGTAACACCGATACGCTTTGAATTCCCATTAAAAGTAAATTTCTTTTTATGTATTCTATAGTGGTGATTTTAATTTTCTTGTAAACGTCAAGTTTCTGACAGACTAATTTAATCGTTATCCTGAGAGATTTGTAGCATCTGGAGTGAGCATACATATCAGGGATGACATAAGTATCTCTTTTAAACAATTCACACATTTAAAAAAGTGTCAATCTTCTTTCAGTGATGTTTTTTCTAAAGAATATGACAAGGGCTCACGTATCAACTGATTTAGAGTGCACAACCAAATAAAGATACTAAAGTTAAGCTTTTACATTTAACAAACAGCTTATTATTTATTTATTTATTATTTAAGATTTTGGGATCGCCTAAAAAAATGAAAAAACTTCTTCAACTTCACAATAGTTTATTATAGATGATTCCACCGTATCCAGATTGCCAAAACTGTTGTAATTTAGAGGTTAGGTTAATGATCAGCGTTTTTTTTTTTTTTTTTTTTTTTTTTTTTGGAAGTTTCTGTTTTGTACATTTAGTGTCGTTTATTTAGTGGTGGATGACACAACAAAAAGAGTGTATCACACAATAAAAATTGACAACGCACAGGAGAGCCAAAATCGGGAGTTTTAGGCTTTAAACTACGACCCTGAAAGGGAGGGCGATCAAATCTTTTATTATCCAATATTTATAATGAGAAGAATGTTTAAAGAATGAAAAAAAAAAGCCGTTTAGAAAAAATGGAAGTGATAGTCTAATTATTTGTTTTTGTTTGTTGCCTTTTATTTTAGTATACGACCCTGTTTCCCACCTCTTTTTTTTTTCCGATGAAGCTATAGATTAACTCTTATTGCGATTAAAATAAAAGGGGTGGATGTAAACACAATAATGGTCAGATGAGAAATTGCACCGAGAATCTGGAAAAAATGTTTTTACAATAAACAATTATCAGATTTTTTTGAAGCCTGTAGGAATGAAATTATTAAAAAGAGATACATGTTTAAACATTCCCAAAGTGCAAATTGAGAAAAGGGCATTCTTTCAAAAGAAATATCTATAAAAACTCTAAAATACATCCCTTCTCATTTTGACAACAAACTTCACCTACTCTCCCTCCTTCTTGTCTTCTTTGGATGAAGTTGGCACGTCTATCCAGCATTTTGCTGTTGCCTTTGGCACTATGTGCAGTTGTTCCTCAAACCAGTGTATGTACCATTCCAAAAATACAAATAAAAACATGTATCTGATCTTATTCTGTGTTTCGTTTATAGACAATCAAAACACAAGAACAATTAGAATTGGAAAACCTGATGGCAGTGAAAAGAGGTTTAGCCGCCTTCTTTCAAGAAGCTCAGCGATTATCGGATAAGGCCGTACAAGATGAGACAAACGCTCTACAATTCATCAATGGTCCTACTACATTGGCTGAACTTTTAGACATGATGTTCTCCTCCGATGCCATCAGTAGAGCTCAACTCAATGCTGCCTCCCCTAATAACCCCTTGGAAGAATTATTCAGACAAATGGGTGGCGCAATCAATGGTTTTACCAGTGACGAAAAAAACATGCAAGCCTTCCCTTTTGATGTCTTTGGTGGTGCATCCTCCTCCTCCTCCAATAGCTCGTCAACTGGTGGTGTAGGTGATTTCTTTAAAGGCATTGGTGGCGGTAGCTCCACCGGTGGCTCTACCAGTGGTTCTGCTGGTGGTTCTGCTAGTGGTTCTGCTGGTGGCTCATCCTCAGGCGGATTAGGCGGTATGTTTGATGGCCTTAAAAGCGGTCTTACTGGTGGTATTACTGGTGGCCTAACTGGCGGCTCATCATCTGCTGGTGGCTCTACTAACGGTACTAGTGGATCTGCTGGTGGCTCTGCTGGTGGTTCATCCTCAGGTGGATTAGGCGGTATGTTTGACGGTATCAAAAACGGTCTTACTGGCGGCATCACGGGTGGCTCATCTGGTAGTTCATCGGGTGGATCTTCCTCTGGTGGTTCATCATCATCGGGCGGCTCTAGTGGTGGGTTAGGTGATATCCTTGGTGGTATCACTGGAGGTCTTACAGGTGGATCATCTGGTAAAGCATCTGGTGGATTAGGTGATATGTTAGGTGGTATTACCGGAGGTCTTACTGGTCAAAAATCAGGCAATAGCACTGGAGGCGGTGGATTAGGCGGTGTGCTCAATGGCGTTACAGGTGGTCTTACTGGTGGTAGTGGTGGTGGCTCCCAGGGTGGTTTAGGTGATATTTTGGGCGGTATCACAGGTGGTCTTACTGGAGGTAGCAATTCTACCGGTGGCAGTGGTGGTTTAGGAGGTCTTCTTAACGGTGTCACGGGTGGCCTTACTGGTGGTTTAACTGGTAATAGTACCGGCGGTGGTGGATTAGGTGGTCTGCTTAATGGTGGACTTACCGGTGGACTTACCGGTGGTTTAACTGGTAACAGCACTGGAGGATTAGGCGGTATCTTTGACGGTCTTAAGGGTGGACTTACCGGTAACAGCACTGGTGGCAGTGGTGGATTAGGAGGTCTTCTTGGTGGTCTCACTGGTGGCCTTACTGGTGGTAACAACACTGGTGGTATTTTGGGTAATGGCATAGATGGTCTTCTTGGTGGTCTTAAGGACGGTCTCAGCGGTAACAGCACCGGCGGTCTTTTGGGTGGTGGATTAGACGGCCTTCTTGGTGGTCTTACTGGTGGTCTTACCGGTAATAGTACTGGTGGTCTTTTAGGCGGTAATGGAGGATTAGGTGGTCTTCTCGGCGGCCTTACCGGTGGTCTTACTGGTAACAGTACTGGTGGCCTCTTAGGTGGTAACGGAGGATTAGGTGGTCTCCTTGGCGGCCTTACCGGTGGTCTTACTGGTAATAGCACTGGTGGATTAGAAGGCCTTCTTGGTGGACTTACTGGTGGACTCACTGGCAACCTTACTGGTGGTGGTGGATTAGAAGGTCTTCTCGGTGGTCTTACTGGTGGACTTAATGGTAATCTCACCGGTGGTGGATTAGAAGGTCTACTTGGTGGACTTACTGGTGGTCTTACTGATGCCGCTGGTAATGTTTTAGGTGGTCTTACTGGTGGTCTCGTCAACCCCGATGCTATTAAGGGAGCTCTTGCCAATCTTGGTGGTACCATTGGTGGACTTACATCTGGATCTCTTAACATTGGTGATGCTCTTAACGGAGTTATTGGATCCATTGGTCAACTTGTTGGTGGTGATAATATTATTCTTCAATTCCTTCAAAACTTGTCTCAGTTTGTGGCTGCTAACGCCGATGGACTTTTATCCAATATTGTTCAATTCAACACATTCTTCACAAATGTTATTGGTGGTCTTATTTCCTTTGTTTTGAACACAATTGGTGGTTTAACCAGCGGTGCTGTTCGCGTTCTTCTTGAAATCGGATTCGGTGTGATTGGCAAGATCTTTGGCGGTGGACTTTTCAGTCGTCTCCAAAATCTCTCCAGTGCTGATTATTTGGAATATCAAACTGTTTTCCTCGATGCTATGCGTGCACAAAGTCCTCAAGCTGCTGCCGAAGCTAAACAAATGTTCGATGTTCTTGAAGTGCTTATTCAAAATGTCATGTCTTCCAACCCTCAAATTCTTAATGCTTTAGCTAACCCTAATGCCGAAAATATTCGTATGGCTGTTGACACTATTACCAAAGTCATTGCTGAGTCTAGTTAAATTTTCTCTTAGTTTTTTATTTATACCTTTTCTTCTATTTTTTTTAAATCACCCTTAGAATAAATTATTAAATGTTACATTTTGTAACTATTTTCTTAAAAAAACAATATCTACACACAAATAAGCTTTTTCTCATTGTTTATGGTACTCTATAGTCAGGAAAAATGTACAACAAAAACGTGCATACATAATGCTTTGCCACCAATTTCATAATTTATCTGTCTTGTAAATTCTGGATTTACTATTTAGATTTATTTTTGAATTATTGGTTGGGAATGAGAAAAGAATGAGCTGTTGTAATTACATGATATATTAAACTGTTAACTTGTCATTCATTTATTTGTCACTTATGACTACATAAAGAGCAATAAAGTTTGAGCTTGTTCCATGTTTTAAACAAATATTAATTTGAAACCGAAAAAATAATCCAGAAAGCAGGTAGGCTAAAACATGAAGTTAATTTTTGCTTTTTTTAAAAGGATTAGCTTTTTTTCTGGGAAAATGCATATAATTTTAATTTACTGTTTATGCATTTCCATTGACATTTTTTAATGGAAGAATGTATACACAATAAATCATTCTTGGAATCTTGTTATAATTAAAAAAAGGAAAACTTTTTTTTGTTCCCATCATCGATTTATTTTAAATAAAAGGCATTATCTGCGTTTTATTTTGCGTCTCTTCTCGGTTACCAAAATGAAATTAGTACCATATTTTTATTATCTATCCCTTCTGGCTCTATTGAAACCAAGCTTGGCTTCACCAGTAGCTGATGAAGAATCTGCTAAGGTAATATTTACAGCTTCATAATTTGTAACGATATCTTACACCTTTATTTTATCAACTAGTCGCCCAAAAATGTGGAACACTCCTCAAGTTCACAAGAAACCAAGGTAAATGTTTGGTATAATCTTTTAAAAGTTCTTGAACACTCAATCATAATTTAATAATAGGCTATGGTTGTTTCAGACAGTGATACCTATGCAAGGAATATTCTTCAGGATCTCTTACATATCGACATCAACAACGCAACAAAAGCTCAAACGGACATGTTTGACCGAATTTTGGATGAAGACAAAGTTTGCAGCAAGGAACTCCGAATGCTTTGTCTTGTCGATAAGCTGCTAAGAAATGTTGCTAAGGATTTAGCTGACGATGGAATTACAAATGTTACGGAACAAGTGGATACCGAAACCTTTGATACGTTTATGGGCCGTGTTATGAGCGTAATGAGCACTAAAAACATTATTGGATATTCTCCCTATCTCATCAACCAACCGATCAAAGATCTGTTTTTATGGAGAGAACAAGGACCTGAATTTCGGTCTTACATGAAGATGGCACAAGAGTTAGATTCAATGTTGGTCAACCATTCCGCTTTCTCACCTTCAGATATCATCTCGCCCTTTATTATTACGGATTTAACACTGAAAAGAAAGGCTATCCAAGATTTAATCCAAAGCCCGTCTTTCCAGTTAAAACCTTTAGACAAGGACGGTAAATTCTATGAAATGAAGCAAAAGATTGAAGAGCGACAAAAAGATCTTGATGTTAATCCCGATCATCCTGAAACTATTGTGATTGAACTGGATAAGGTCCTGAGCTTTAATTTTGCAGATGTCACATCTAAATCGAATAGTACCGTAGCTCAAAACTCAACAGAACCTGCTGATAAGGCTAAACACAAGTCCAACAGCACTGGTGCACATGAATCAACAAAAATTACTGACGATCATAAATCCAAGTCAAATGGCACTGCTATTCAAGATTCAACAGAAGCTGCCGATGAGATCAACCCCAAGTCCAATAGTACCAGCGTCCAAGACTCAGCAGAACCTGTTGATAAGGCCAAACACAAGTCTAATAGCACTGGTGCACATGAATCAACAAAACTTACTGACGATCATAAATCCAAGTCAAATGGCACTGCTATTCAAGATTCAACAGAAGCTGTCGATGAGATCAACCCCAAGTCCAATAGTACTAGCGTCCAAGACTCAGCAGAACCTGTTGATAAGGCCAAACACAAGTCTGATAGTACTGGTGCACATGAATCAACAAAACTTACTGACGATCATAAATCCAAGTCAAATGGCACTGCTATTCAAGATTCAACAGAAGCTGCCGACGAGAACAACCCCAAGTCCAATAGTACTAGCGTCCAAGACTCAGCAGAACCTGTTGATAAGGCTAAACACAAGTCCAATAGCACTGGTGCACATGAGTCAACAAAACTTACTGACGATCATAAATCCAAATCCAATGGCACTGATATTCAAGATTCAACAGAACTTGTCGACGAGAACAACCCCAAGTCCAATAGTACTACTGATGACATCCAATCTAAATGGAATAGTACTGATATTCAAAGCTCAACAGAAATAGTAGATCAAAACAATCCTAAATTCAATGGTACTAATGCAGACCTTGCCGATGAAACCAGCCCCAAATCCAATGGTACAAGCGTTCAAGACTCTACTAAAATTACTAATGACATCAAGCCCGGATCGAATAGCACTGGTGTTCAAGACTCAACAGAAGTAGCTGATGACATCAAACCTGGATCGAATAGTACAGATATTGACAATTCCGCAGAACTTTACGATGAGGAGAAGCCTGGATCAAATAGTACCGACACTCTAGACTCGGCAGAGCTTGTCGATGAGGTTTTGCCCGAATTAAATAGCACCGAAGCTCAGGGCGCAGCACAGCTTTTGGATGAAGTAAATGGCAACTTGTTTGAATATCTCAATGATAAAGAGGAGTTGGTTTTGATCAATTCAATCTTACGTTCTCTGTTGGGTGATATTTTGGGCGTTATTTTGGATCTTCCTGGAAAATTGGTTGGTACTGGTAGTCAAGGAAAGAATGGTAGAGGAAAAGGTAAAGGTGGATTGTCCGTTACTATATCTCTTGGAGGAAATGATGATGATGATGAGGATAATAAAAGGCCATCTCCAAGAAGAAGACCACCTCAATAACCATGTAAATAATTTTTCGTCCGGGCTATCATTTATATAATCAATAAAACACTTCATTTAATTTACTTCGACGCTTGATTACAGACATTAAATCCTGTCATAGTAGACACACAGAGACTTTTTCGTATGGTGTGAAAACAAATTTTTACCTATTTTTGATAAAGTTCATTACTTTTCTGTCGAGCTTACTATTTGCATCTCACCGCCACACAATTTGAGTAGCCATTGTGGCTTGGACTTAAAAAAAAAAAAAGGCGGACACGTCATTCTTTTTTTTATGGAAATAAAGGAGGCGTTAAGGAGGCTTATAAAGCGAGTTGATTTGCATGCAACTGCGCCAGGTCTTTTACTTTTACTCCTAAGAAAGTGATGAGGGATAACTGGATAACTATTTATGACAATTCAGCAGACGGAAAAGTCATATATGCTTCTGACAACATAACAGAGGTTACAGGGTTTGAACCAGCTGAGCTTGTCGGAAGGGAAGCGTTCAGTTTATACCACCCAGACGATAACGACAGCATCAGAAAGGTTCATGCATCAAATGTTCACAACGAAAAGATGTCCTCCATGTCCACCTATAGACATAAGTGTAAAAACGGAGATTATGTTCTTGTCGAAACCGTGGTTATTTATTGTTATGACATCCTTACTACTTGTAATTACGTATACAAAAAGGATTCTATTGAACATAAAATGAGAGCGAGTACAGTGGATGAAGTGTATTTTTGCTTGCCTAATGGAACGGTTAAAAAGACTGGTGGATGGAGAAACAACAAAGAAGTCAAAGAAAGTATATTACCTATAGACGTGGTCTGGGAAAATAGGCAAATAAGAAGACCTCAAGAACGAAGATTTTGTTTAATTTTAAATCGCTTCACGGACATGTTGAATATTGTGTATGCCTCAAGCTTAGCGACAGAATTGGTATCAATGGACATCAACGATCTTTATGGCAAACCATTTTATAACTACGTTTCTGACTGTGATTTGGATTCAGTACAATCTCAAATGAATTTAGCTAAAGAACGCGACATGGTAGTCAGACTTAGATTTGATTGGATTATCGACCGTGAAAAGGGTTTAACTGAGCAAGTTGAAGGGGTTACAAGCTGTACTGATGACGGATTAGTCATGGTGCTTCGTCTTTCACCCAAATTCATCATGACCTTATAAACACATTTTGGTCATTTTTCCTTTATCTTAAAAACAAAAGTCGACCGGTAGTTATGGCAGTCGAGTGATAGCTTCCATGATGACAAGAGATACTGTTATGTCTGAAAATATCAACAACTTTACATGTTTCAAAACCAAATAAATTTTTTGGTGTTTGACTTACCAACCATATTGAAGGGGTGTTGATACATTTATAACATATTTTTTCCTTTTCACCCTAAAAGTTATGAATCGTCTGCCGTTTGAACTGACTGATAAGATATTCGATCTATTATCAAGAAATGATATATGTTCGCTATGTCAAGTAAACACTTACTGGCATAATATCGGTTCCATAAAGCTTTATCGTTATCCCATAATACAAACAAGAACACAACTTAATCTATTTATAAACATCAGCAAAAAGTCAAAATCACATATCCGAGTACTGGACTTCGCGTCAGTACATCAGCACACTACAGACTCCATTCTATTGTCACTTCTACAACACATCACAAACTTAAATCATATCAACCTGTCAAAATGTACTGGCTTGTCCCCTACCACTATCCTGATGTCAATACACAATAATTTGGAAAGTTTAAATACTCTCATTCTAGCGGACTGCACATTAACAACAGATATACTGACTTGTATTGGGAAGGCTATCCACTATAATTTGAAGAAACTCAATTTAAGCAACACTATGATAAAACCCTGCGTTTCAATAGACACTTTTAATCAATTGGAAACAATGTTCACTCTACCGTGTTCTTCATCCCAGCTAAGTTACTTAGATATTTCTTACTGTGCATGGGTTAACAACCAGACTTTGGAAAACATAGCACACGGTCTACCCAAGCTAGACCATTTACTTTTGCAATGGTGTAACCAAGTTAAGCCAATATCCATACATTTTCTGGCAGAAAAACTCGAGCATCTTAAATCGATTGATCTACGGCATATTGATTTGATTGGAAGTAAAGAACAGGCACTTGATATTATATATCATACAGCTTCCTTAAAAGAGATATTATTTACTCATAAAAGAACAACTGCACAAATTCTGTTGTAAAAAAAATTAACGATGGCCGTAAATAAACAAATTTATCATCATGACAACATGACTTGAACTTTATTTTCTTGTGGAAGGGTACACAAAAATAATCAAAAACTGGATTATTTATTGAAAATAAACGACAATTTATAACTTGGAGAGGCTTAAATTCAAAAAAGTATACCCTCCAGATATAGAAAAAAAGTAGTCCATTTTTATACTTGTGTTGATAAAGACCGAGAGCGACCTATTAATGACAATAGATGGTACTTTTTGCATCATGTAAATATCTCCATAGATGTCTTACAATCTATTAGGAAGAAAGGCGTTGTGCGAATTGGCTTATATCACTGATATAATATCTTTGATAATGAATTGACGAGGATTTTGGACACCATTAAATCGGTTTGATAGTTATAACTCATAATATAAATGAACTACAGGGATGGTAATAAATAATTAATAATTTTTAATGTAACCTTACACATGTCTATATGCTTCAGCTAACTCTTCATTGTTTTCCGTTCCTGATTCATATGTCATCTGTAGGCTCAAGGGAAATCGTACCTACAATATAGGAAATTAACTCCGGGGCTGTATTTCAAAGTTATAATCTACATCAGTTTGCTGTAAGTCACATAATAAATGTCAATACGTCAACTTGGGTATTATACAATTTTTTTAGTAGTGTGGAACATAAGCAAGACTAGTATGAAGCTTATAACAGTCCAATTGACATTGTAAGTACCTTAGAAGAGGAATGCCAAGAGAGGTTTGAGTTGTTGTACAAATAAAACCCCATTGGCGGGTATTCTTTTAATCCGATGAAATAAAATGTCCATCATTGGAAATATATTCCCAGATTCCGTATCTCTTTTTCTTCCTTTTTTTTTTTTTTTTTTTTTTTTTATCATTAAGATAAATTAATAAGTCATCTTCGATAAATTATGTCCGAACACGAACATAGTTCTGGAATGGGTCACACTCACGACCTGGACCCATCGTTATTTGATAACAGTGCAGCAACAGACGATCCTATTGGATTCATCATGACACTTCATATTGTATTTATGGCGGCAGGTAATATATAACGGGTTATGTCTGCAGTCTCATCAATAACACTATCAATTATACAGCATTCGGGATATTGTATCCATTAGGTATGGTGTTAGGCCTAGCTAGAAATAAGTGGCACGTTCCAGTACAAATACTCGGCACGGCGCTATTTGTAATTGGAATTTTTCTAGCCCACGCACACAATGGTCGAAATTATGTAAATAAGATGTCATGCGTATTTGATGGATATTTGTATTTAACCGATACTTTAGGAGCCACACATTGCCCATAGATGGTTTGCAGATGTTGTGATTTGGACAGTAGCTTCACAAACGGTTTTGGGCGTATACCTTCGATTTCATTTAGAACAAGGTCTTCATGGTAAAATAAGACCATTTTTAGGCAAGTTGCATAAATTTTTTGGTGCATCTATTCCGGTTATTGGTTATGTCCAAATAGTCTTAGGTGTCATTGCATCTTTGGGTTTTTGTTATGGAGGTAATATAATGCTACGGTTATATATCCAATCAGCAGTATTCTAATACTTATCGATATAGAATCATCTGCACAATGTTTGGCACATTTTATTATGGGATCATCCTTTGTGGCATACGGTATTATGATGCTCTTGGCTTTACGTGTAGGTGGACCCTGGTTACTTCGTAAAGGGAAGAGTCAGGAATGGTATGATAGCTGGGTTATCACGGTTTGGGGAATAGTCAACACTTTTACTGAGCACAGGTAACACCAGTGTATTTATTGATAAGTGTTTCGTGTAACTAAACAATCATATAGATGGGGTCGACCTTGGAATCATGGAGATTATCAACATACATCCATGGGTATTATTTGGTGGGCTGCAGGCATTGTTGGCATTATTTTAAGTCGAAAGGGCCAAAGATCTGTAATACCCTCCATTCTTATCATTTTGACAGCAGTCTCATTCCAAGGTCACGCACAACATGTAGCTAATAGTGGGCCTATTCACTCTTACTTTGGATACATGTTAATGGCAGGTGGTTTAAGCAGAATTATTGAAATTTGTTTTATCTGGAAAAAGGGTGAATTTAAGGAAGTTTCCCCATGGCAGTACATCCCCCCTCTTGTAAGTTTTTAAAGAACCATAAAGATATACGTAACAGACCACTAACAACATGTTATGCTTGAAAAGACGCTTGTATTGGCGGGATTACTCTTCATGGGAGCTACTGAACAACAGCTTGAATACCTTACCATTATAGACATTGATGTCGGATCATATAGTAATGTTTTATTATCTTTCGGGTTTGTCGTATTTGGATTCGCCTTTTCATTGATATATCTCTGGGAGTCATTAACGAACTATCCAAATACACCAAAACAGAACAATGGCTATACTGAGGTGGATGACACAGAAGCTGCGCTACTTGCATCATCTGCATTTTTGGATGATGACGATCATGACGAAAATGATGCCGTCGAATTGAAAGATACTTCTAGTAGACATACTACACAAAGAATGTAATAAAATTTTAGCATCTAGCATTTAATAAATATACAAACAAATATTTAGGGTTTTCTTAACATAATAACGTGCATCATGTTAGAACGCACGGACATTTAGTGACACGAATCCTTATATTAGCACCTCATATAGAGCTTGGATTGATTGTAACAGTTTATGATCAGGATAAACATTCATTTGAAATTATTGTTGATTTATTATTTCGTGAGGAATGGGTTTGACGCACCATAAGCTTTGTACATGATATGGCTTATGTCTCCTAAAATGCTAGCGGCTCCTGAGCCAACTGACAGACTTTGTCAGCTTTATAAGCAGCTGCGGCATATCATTTAATCAACATCCAATGAGAATCCTGTTTTCAAAGGAAACGAATGGAATAAATTTTGATGACGTGAATAAGATTCGCTTACTTATTTTCAGATTACGTGTCGTGATAAAAGAACCTCCCACATTTTTGAGAAACTCTTATTCTTTTTGTTAAACAATATGACAAGTGATAACAAAAACAAGCTCATGTAAGCTTTTGTTTTTAAAAGTAGATTTCACACGTTATTTATACCTCCTTCATAAATTAGGGCCAACTCTGGTTCCGTGGATGCCGAAGTCGATCCTAGCCACGACCCTGCCACCGCAATTTTACGTCGTAAGTCTGCACCCAACAAGTTAACAGTCGACGATGCTACAAACGACGACAACTCTGTAATCACCCTTTCCACTGCCACAATGGAGAGACTTCAACTTTTCAGAGGTGATACCGTTATCGTCAAGGGAAAGAAGAGAAGAGACACCGTCCTTATTGTTTTGGCTGACGATGAAATGGATGATAACAAAGCAAAGATTAATAAGGGTAGGCAATCATAGAAGGTTTAAATTTAAGTATGTCATTTGTTAAAAACACAATATAGTTGTTCGTAACAATCTCCGTGTAAGACTCGGTGATGTTCTTACTCTTCATCCTTGTCCTGATATCAAATATGGTCAACGTATCCATGTCTTACCCATCGATGACACTGTCGAAGGTTTAACAGGTAACCTCTTCGAAACATTCTTAAAACCCTATTTCTTGGAAGCATATAGACCCGTTCGTAAGGGAGACACTTTCCTTGTTCGTGGTGGTATGAGAGCTGTTGAATTTAAGGTTGTCGAGACAGATCCTGAGCCATATTGTATTGTAAGTGATTGAAGTTGATTATAGAAATATTGTAATAACATTAATTAAAGGTCGCACAAGATACTGTTATTCATTGCGAAGGTGACCCAATCAAGCGTGAAGATGAGGAACAAAGCTTAAGTGAAGTTGGTTATGATGATATTGGTGGTTGTCGTAAGCAAATGGCACAAATTCGTGAATTAGTCGAATTACCTCTTCGTCATCCTCAATTATTCAAGTCCATTGGTATTAAGCCTCCTCGTGGTATTCTCATGTTCGGTCCTCCTGGTACTGGTAAGACTTTGATTGCCAGAGCTGTTGCCAACGAAACTGGTGCTTTCTTCTTTTTAATCAACGGTCCGGAGATCATGTCAAAAATGGCTGGTGAATCTGAAAGTAACCTCCGTAAAGCATTCGAGGAAGCTGAGAAGAACGCCCCTGCCATTATTTTCATCGACGAAATCGATGCTATTGCACCTAAACGTGAGAAGGTAACTATAAATATACTCGCCTTCTTTTTATAAGGATAAATAGTTAACATATCGATTATATAGACTAATGGCGAAGTCGAACGTCGTGTCGTTTCTCAATTACTTACTTTAATGGATGGTATGAAGGCCCGTGCTAATGTAGTTGTTATTGCTGCTACCAACAGACCCAACTCTATTGATCCTGCCCTTCGTCGTTTCGGTCGTTTCGATCGTGAGGTTGATATCGGTATCCCTGATCCAACTGGTCGTCTTGAAGTTCTTCGTATCCACACAAAGAACATGAAATTAGATGACGACGTTGATTTAGAACAAATCGCTTCTGAAACCCATGGTTATGTCGGTGCTGATGTAGCTTCTCTCTGTTCTGAAGCCGCTATGCAACAAATCCGTGAAAAGATGGATCTTATTGATTTGGAAGAAGATACAATTGATACAGAAGTGTTGGATTCCTTAGCTGTTACCATGGAGAATTTCCGTTATGCTCTTGGCGCTTCAAACCCCTCTGCTCTTCGTGAAACAGTTGTTGAAGTTCCTACTGTCAAGTGGAACGATATTGGTGGTCTCGAAAATGTCAAGCAAGAATTACAAGAGACTGTTCAATATCCTGTTGAACATCCTGAGAAGTTCTTAAAGTTTGGTATGAGTCCCTCCAAGGGTGTCTTGTTCTATGGTCCTCCTGGTACCGGTAAAACATTATTGGCTAAGGCCATTGCTAATGAATGTCAAGCCAATTTCATTTCGATTAAGGGTCCTGAACTTTTGACCATGTGGTTCGGTGAATCTGAGGCTAACGTTCGAGATGTATTTGACAAGGCTAGAGCTGCTGCTCCCTGTGTTATGTTCTTTGATGAGTTAGATTCAATTGCAAAGGCTAGAGGTGGAGGTGGAGGTGGCGACGCTGGTGGAGCTGGCGACCGTGTTCTCAATCAAATTTTGACTGAAATGGATGGTATGAATGCAAAGAAAAACGTATTTGTTATTGGTGCTACCAATAGACCTGATCAAATTGATCCTGCTTTGTTGCGTCCTGGTCGTCTTGATCAACTTATTTATATTCCTCTCCCTGATGAAACTTCACGTTTATCTATTTTGGAGGCACAATTACGTAAATCTCCTATCGCCAGCGATGTTGATTTGAGTCTCCTTGCCAAACACACACAAGGTTTCTCTGGTGCGGATCTCGGTGAAATCTGTCAACGTGCTGCTAAGCTTGCTATTCGTGAGGATATCGAGAAAGATATTGCTAAGGAAAGAGCACGTAAGGTAAAAGAAGAGGCTGGTGAGGATGTTGGTATGGATGAGGATGACGAAAGTGAGCCTTTGGCGGAGATTACTCGTGTTCACTTTGAGGAAGCTATGCGTTTTGCTCGTCGCTCTGTTAGTGATGGTGATATTCGTCGTTATGAAGTCTTTGCTCAAAATCTTCAACAACAACGTGGATTTGGCTCTTTTAAATTCCCTGAAAGCTCAAGTGCTACTAACAGTGCACAAGCCATGGACGGTGTTAGTGGCGAGAGTGGTTTCGGTCAAGAAGGAGGTGATGATGACTTGTATGCATAAAATCTTTCCTACCATTTTCATCTTTATTACGTGCCAAACTCTCAAATCATTTTCCTTAATCGTTCAAATCCGTTGCTTTCTTTCATTGATGGATTGTTAAATATATTAAATAATAATAAACCAATTTAAATACACTAATTTCCGTAAATGGCTGCATTTACACAATTATCCTGTAACAATTTAAGAAGTAACGTTGTTCTGGAGTATAATAATGGCTCGTTACACGATTAAAGGTATCAATTTATCCGTTGTTTTCTTGTTCCTGAAATGAAAAAAAAGTCCAAATGTGAAAACTCAATACACTTCAAAATGTTTAGTGCATAATAGTATTTAGAATATTCTAAAATAACACAGAGCAACATAGACAAAAATGTCTAGAACTCAAACTGATGCAAAAGAAGAGGCTGAACATTTATAAATACATTTCATACTGTGATACGTAATAATCGTATTTTAGACTAATTGTCTGAAACATTCCTTCTTTTCTCTTTTTCTCTTCGATTTATGTCTGCAAAAGAAATACCTACTAAACCAAAAAGTAGGTTTATTGAACACTTTGACATGACAACCCCTAACGAATTACTGAATATAATAATTGCCGAAAAAAAAGATATGGAACAGGATGATAGACGCAGCAGTGGTGATACCAAACAAGCAAAAAGACCAACGCCATTGTATGGTTTATCTCAAGGTAGCTCAAGTTCTGCTACAAAACCAGATTTGTATTCGCCTAAATTACCTACTTCTCCTACACCCAGTCCATTGCTTACAGCTCGCTCCAGTCATGATATGCCCAAGCTTAAAGCCACTGTATCTGCAAATGACCATTATCAAGCAATTAGAAGCAGTAGTCCTTTACCCAAAGTTCCCCGGCATCTAGAACAGCATTATGAAAACCCCACCGTAATATCGACAAAATACAATACCCTAAATAGAGCTGACATTATTATCAAACGATATGAATCTTGGAATAAATTTGTTCTCTTGTTATATTCATGGATTAATGAAATGGCAAAAGTCAGTTCGCAATCAGAAAGATCATACAAGGCAATTTTAGAAAATGATAAATTTTCTAACCTCAAAGGCAATAGCGCAAAAACTGTAAGTGGTATTCACGCCACTATGCATGGTTTCACAGCGGACTTGGCATCACAAGAACATAAATTTGGACGGCAACTACAAGCTGAGCATCTACCCATACTTGAAAATTTTAAAAAGGAATGTCAGACCAATATCAAAGGTTTAAAAAGTAGACAAGACCTGGCAACAGATGAGTTCTTAAAACGCGCGGAAATTACAGCCAGTTTAATTTCACAGCTAAGCAAAACTTGCAAAGAAGCACGTCGCACAATTGAAAAGGGATCTCAGGTGATAAATGATCCTTGGCTAGTCAATTTATGTAAAGTCAGTTTTCTTTGTGATGTGAATTTTATTTTAGTAACTGATGACATATGAAAATAGATTTATTAAGGCAATTGAAGAAGGAAGTAGACGAAGAAAATAGACTTACAAAATTAATGATACCAATACAGCAAGCCATGCAAGACTTTGAAAGTCGCTTACTAAAATCGGTGGAAAGCACTCTGCAGGTCTGCTTTAGTAAACCAGGAGCATTGAATCAAGACCAAATTAATTCCATACAATATTCTTTAAACCAAGTCATAACTAATAATTGGGGGGAGTTTGTTGCAATGAATAAGAAGGATCTTGTCAATGAGCAGCAGCCGCTTAAACATCACCTCCATATAAATTACAAGTGTAAAAATGACCCACTTGTTATGACTGTTTACAAAGGCCAATTGGAACGTAGATCCGGTGTATTGAATAAGTATTCAGCAAAATTTGTGATCCTTACCACATGTACGTATAGCGCACTTTTTTTTGTATGTCATCAATCAAAAATTTACACTTTGTTTATATATTAGCTGGATTCCTCCATCAATTTAAGCTGAACGACAAGGTTTCCCCCGAGCAATCACTATACTTACCTAAAGCCATGGTGTCTCAGCTAAAAGATGATGATAACAACACTTTCGAAATACAACGCTCAGGGTCTGTATTACAACGTGATAAGTCATATGTATTTCGTGCAGTTAATTCTGAAGAAATGGAAATTTGGTGCAAATTAGTATCTGATGTAGCAGCATCAAAGCCTCAATCAATCCAAAAAATATCTACTGTAAATCTTAGTAACGTTTCTCAGAGAATTAGCCATGAATCCACCCCTCCGTCATCGCCAATTAGTATACATGAACATCGTAAAAGCATATCAGTTAATTTAGATGAAGGTTATTCGTCAAAGCCAAAGTTTTATTCGGCCCAACTAAATATTGATTAAAGCTTCATAAAATAAAATAAAAAAGAGACTGTTACGAATTTTAAATGAATGGCCCTAAAATTAGATAAACGATTTACGTAACACTACTGAGATGTAACATGACTTTGGTGACACCTATTTGCGTCTTGTTTATTTGTTTCTTTGATTGGCATTTGGTTCTATCAGTGTCAGAGGGTCTAACCTAAAGAGTGTTTTTTTTACTTACCTCATAACATGTTTATAATTTTTGTACCTCTTTGCGCTATTTAGAGTCAAACCATATAAAAATTTGAAACCAGATATTGTTTCAAAGACCAACCAAGGAGACAAACAAACTAAATTTTGAGAAGTCTCCATGAGCGCCTAAAGACAATGCAATATATTTAGTTTGATCACTACTTGTCAAGTTTAATTTTTATTCACAAAGCATGAGAGTACAGATCAGAAAGTTTTAATAGTTACAGCTTACTACGGCTACTGAAAAGACATAAAAAACATGGTTGCAGATGTACCAACGTGTACCAACACGTATTAAAACGGGTATTTTAGGGACACCCTACTTTCCTGAAGGATACCCAAGGCGCATGTAGTCGCGATATATGATCGAATACTGACATCAAGAGGTCAATATTTCTTAATGTCTTACCTGATATGCCAAATGATATGCAAATTCTCGCGTGAGGTATACATGAAAGACATTTAAAATAAAGTACGCGAATGATTCTATGGAATCTAATAATTTATAATTTTGGTCAAGAGGATGTGTATACTGTAAATGTATATTAAGTGCTAGATTCAAATCGAGAATTGTTCTCAAAAAGGAAAGCAAATATACCAAAAGTATTATGCACAACATACATGGGCTTGACCTTGTTTCGTGTTCAAAAAAATTGGCAGCATTTGTTTCGAATTTGTCAGCATTTTATCCGCTGAGCTTGTGATTCAATTGTGGAAGAGGCTCTCCAAAAATCAATGTAGACAGGCCGGAAACACCAATTGCTAAAGCACTGGGTCGATCTCAGGCCTGCTTCGATCTTGCTTGCAACGAAAAAGGGCAAAAAGGATTTACGCAATAAAACAATCCGTTAGCATTCTTTAAAAACCATGAGCCATCTTTTTTTGTTATTGTTTAACTTGGGTGAAGTAGCTTGTTATAGAAAAACATGCAGGTTTGGGAAGTGTTGCGCTCCTTCGTTACGCATACTGAGCCATACCTACTATGAATTTTGGCTTCCATTTTCCTCCATATTTCAGAAACTCTTGATTCGTGATCCTGTATAAATACCCTCTTCAAGATCTCCAACAAACATCATCATGCAATTTTTCTATCTTGTTACTTTTTGAAGTATCATTTTCGATAGATATTTAAGAAGGTCTGTTTCTCTAAGGTAAACATCAAACAGGAGGTGTGTTTACAGCATCATTCTATTGATTAAATATTGATCCCTGTTGCTTTTTGTAACGCATGAAAGCCATAAAATGGGTGTTAAACAAATAACAAAACAAAATGGAGAAAATACGAATGGCTGCTGTTCTAAAGTTGATCGTAATAACCTCTACGTCATTGGAAATAAAAACAAATTGCACCAAGCTTGACTACAAAATAATTAATATTTCAAGTAAGAAAGGTTGTAATCAATTCAGACATACTTCGTTTCGAGCGCTAAAAATTAAGATACCACAATGGGGGGAAGGGATGCCGTGACTGCGTTTTCGTTTCTAATACTGCACCTCCCAGATTTCAGGTAGTCCTCGTTTCTTTTCTGTAACTGTACAAATGGCTCCCATAAAGACAACCATTAACAAGAATAAAACCGCTTCTAATAAAGCACCTCTCACAAAGACCAGCCGTGTGATCAAGAAAACCGACGTCGGATCAAAAACAAAGAAAAATCAGACCAACAATGAGTTAAGCACAAGAGTTAAAAAAGCTCCAAAGAACACTGAAATTGGTACAAAGATTAAAGTGATGCTCCGTTGTAGGTGAGTATCCTTTTTGAGTTGAACATTGATACACGTCGCCCTGGCTAATGCGATTTATATAGAGCAAGCGATGTTGCACCTTCCTCGAAGTCACAGATCCTTGAATCGGTAGTCAATGACCCCGCGAAAGTTCTTTTAAAAGCAAATAATGCTGTCTATTGCTTTGATCAAATCTTCGATCAACATAGCACACAAGAAGAAGTCTACGATAAGATTGGTAGTCCTGTCTTAAAGGAAGTCTTTAAAGGGTATCTATTAATACTTGAATATGCGTTAATTGAGTCTAACCGAATTATTCCTATAGTTACAGCTGTACTATATTTGCGTATGGCCAAACCGGCACAGGCAAAACGTAAATTTAAGCTTACCTTTATTTTAATGCGGTTTTATTAATCATTTTTTTTTATTGTTGACAGGTTCACTATGGAAGGTACCGAAAAGCAAGAGGGAATTATTCCTCGTGTTATCAAGGAATTATTTTTAGAGCTTAAGAAAAAAGACCCTGCATGCCATGTAACAGTATCCATGCTTGAGCTGTACAACGAAGAGATCAGGGATCTTTTGGCTTTCTCCGATGACCAGAAAGTTTATAATATTTATGAAGATGGCACTGGTGTGAAAGTTCAAAACCTTAGAGAGCATGAAATCACTTCTGTAGAAAGAGGCATTGATATGATGAAACATGGCGTGAAAAAGAGAATGACTGCTGCGACAAATATAAATGATAAATCGAGGTAAGTCAGGATAAATTTTTTTGACACGCATATGTACTGACAAAAGTGTACATACAGCCGATCCCATAGTATTTTTACAATCACAGTGCATATGCGCGAAGTATCAGTTAACGGAGATGTGATTTTTAGAATTGGAAAATTAAATTTGGTGGATTTAGCTGGATCCGAGAATGGAAAAAATTCGGGCTCTGAACATCTTAGAGCAAGAGAAGCTGCAAATATCAATAGAAGTCTATTGACGCTTGGTCGAGTCATCAATTCATTAGTCGAAAACACACCTCATGTACCTTACAGAGAAAGCAAATTAACCAGATTGTTAAAAGAATCTCTCGGTGGTAAACAAAAACATACATTATTGCGACTGTATCGCCAGACCACCAAACATATGATGAAATAAGAAGTACATTGGATTACGCCAGTCATGCGAACGGTATATGTAATTTACCTCAGGCCCATAGTGAAATAAGTCAAGTGACACATGTGGCGACTCTTGTTAATCAATTGGAACAATTGGATCAACAATTACAAATCAACTATGAAAAACAAGGTATATACCTCACCAAAAAGGCCTATGATATATCAAAAGCCGAACTTCAGTCAGTAAAAGAAGCATTAGCCGCCGAAAAGATTGAAAAGGAAAAGCTGAAAGACGTGTTGGAAGAGTCAAAGTTAGACACAAAAAGGTTCAAAGAAGCTGCTAAAAGAACACGAGATGAGAAAGATAGTGCAGAAGCAGAGTTCCAAGAAAAGATAAGCAAAATGGAGATGTCTCACAAGGAAGAGATAGAAGAACGCAAATTAAAAGAGCAAAGTTTAATGCAAGAGAAGGAATCACTACACCAAAAGAATCAAGAATTGATAAATGTATTATTGGCTACAAACGAAACATTTATGTCAACTATTAAGAACAACAAATCATCGCCCTAAAGCAGTAAACACTAAAAAGAGAGTGGACATAAACGCTTTTCTTAATTATACCATGGTGTCGAATCAGTCACCGTTATTTTAATTTTTTTTTTTTTCGTATTTTCCTTTTTTTTTTTTTTTATTTATTTTATTCAAGCGCGTTTGCGAGATTAAATAGTTTATTGCGTGTCTCTGTTTTTTTTTTTTTTTTTTTTTTTTTTTTTTGTAGGAACTGTAAGTTTATTAAATTATGTACAATTATATATTAGCCCAAAGGCGTGACTAAACTAATCTTTGGAACCGTTGTCTTTGCCAAGGTCAAAGCAATCAAAACAGAATGGTCTTGTTGGAACATGTTAATAGCCGCGTGAGAGCTCCACAAGCCATCTTCCATAACGCAATGCCAATGGTATTTCCAAAGTGTACTAAAAGCTGAGCCTAATAGAACCAGAATATCAGGTTTTAAACGTTTGGATTTAACCGAACAAAGAGAGACCTTGCCAGACCAGACGTCGTATTCGTTCTGAAAGTCGTCACCTATTTCAAGAAGTGAAATGACGTTGCACCAAAATTGCCATTTATCAAAACATCCTACCACAAAGTGAAAAAGATCTTCTGAGGAAGAAACCAGGCAGATAGGGCAGGTAGCACTAGTAAACTTCAGGGGTGACCATCTATGAAGCTTGGAGCGATATCCAATACAGTCTTGTAGTAACCGCCACCAAGGTGTGAAAGCCTTACTTGTCATATTAAGAGACCAGAAACAACGCCACAAAATAGGTTTCAGCAAGCATCGTGTTGGTACAATCTCCGGGACCTTAGGAGGTGAGTCAAACTTGGGACGATCTTGATCCCAAAACCACCGAAGCTCACGTGAGAGGGTGCTAGCGACAGTGCTAAAGTTCCAGGGACCATTTGGCACACATCTATTGCGTGTCTTAGAGTATACAATAAAAAAAAAAAAGGATTCTTAAATTTTTTCCGATCCGAAGATTTTTTGAAAAATGATGGTCATCGTAATATTATCAAAATTTGAACATTGCAAGTTTAATATGTGTACTTTAATAAGTAATGTTTTTTTTTTAAAAAAATATATATATATACTTGTGTTGCCACCTTTGGCTTCGATCACAGCCTTAAACAGGGACTTCATACTTCTGACCAATTTCATAAAAAAAAAAGTCTTGGTTATATCATACCACTCATCGCGGAGAGCTGCTTCCAACTGATTGATATTTTTTATCTGATATATACAACCCTCTATGCGTCTCTCCAAGTAAGCCCAGACATGCCCGATTGGCCAAAAATCAAACCAGTCTATACCACATCTTGCCTTGTACCAGCTTACATAGCTGCCAATGTGATAGGAAGCGCCATCTTCTCCGAAAATAAAGTTCCTGAATGTTTCTGCAGTTACATTTTCGAGTCAGAGAAGGAAGTGATTAGACAAACATTCGATATAGGCCTCTTAATTTATGATGTCTTCCATGACAACCAAGAGGTCCTAATCCCCAAGCCTAAATACATCCCCAAATCATCCTCAAACCGTTCCCAAATTTTACAGTTTTCTTAACAAGGTCTGGATGATACCTTTCTCTCTCTTTTCTGATCACTCGGACCCTTCCATCACTGCCTTGGGACGTTAAAATTCGACTCATCCGACCAAATAACGTTTTCCCACTGTTCTGGTGTCCAAATCACTGTGTCTTTTACCCAAGCGAGTCTTCTTTAAATGTGTAGAGACGTCAACTTTGGTACATAGGCTGGGGAGTAAGAACCAAACCCGTTGATAGTGGCATACTTGATCAGCTTGAAATCGTCCAATAATCAAGCCACATGTGTAATCATCGAGTTGTATGCGACGCTTAGGAGTGTTGTTAGTAATGTCTGTCAAGGGCATAGTTGGTTTTATAATAAAAGTGGAAGAAAAACGGTTTTGTTTTTGACGTCTTAAAAAAAAGCATTTTGATAAAAGTCAGAAAAATTGCCTGAACAGATATCCCTGTGAACTGTTACAGTTTGTTTGTGAAGGGAGCCAATGCTCATAGGCAATTGGCTTATTGCTTTTGGAGCATAATTACCAGGATGTCAGTCATTTCTTCGCGAAGACTCTTCGCCTGGGTAAATGCTCAAGTTTAATCTATCCGCCCACTCGCTCCGGGCCACAAAGTTTACGTGTGTAACTGTTCTCGACAAAATGATATAACATAACACCCGTCTTTTTTTTTATGGGCCACAAAATCATCTTTTTAACGCAAACAATGTCATAAATCGTGCAATGATGATCAAATGATCTCACACATAATAGCAACGCTCGAGACATAAAATTCTTCAAATAAATAAAACTGTCTAAAATTTACACAGGCCTAGCCATTTTTTAGGTGCTGAGACGATATCTAGAAAGTTTGAACTTTAAGATCGGGGCTTTTTTAAACGCAAAATATGGGAAATTTTTCAGGTGCTGGCAGTTACTGAAAGTATGGTCCGTGTGAAAAGGTCAGAGGAACCGGACTAAAAATACTTTGAGATTGGATAAGATAACGACCATATTGAAACGTTTCATTGGTATGTGTGGCGCGATAACAAATATGAAGGACGTGGGCTGGATTTGGATAAAACATAGATAACATGGTAAAACATGGGAATAAAAGCGCAATTTAACTTTTCCAGATCAGCCAATATGGATGATGTGTCCCGAATACGCACTTGAACTATAACAAACTTATTTGAACGTGCCGATGAGGGGTTGTCAGAGAAAAAGAGATCACCCCAATTTAACTCCCCACCAGCCAAGATATTTTCGCGGCACACCAAATCTAAAGTAAATATCCCTTTTTAGTCAATTTCAACCTAAATGGCGTAGCGCACTTTATTTATGAATATGACGCAATGATTTTACTGATATGATATTGATAAAAATTAAAACTAATAGCATTAGTTAAAGCTAATGGTCATACTAAACGAGCCGTCATTGTTTTTCATCGAAGAAACGGAGTTGGTAAAAGAAAGTATTACGTACCTTGTTCTTGGACGTACCTTTACACAAACAAATCCGATGAGAGTACCTGTCACAAACCCGTAACATTATCAATTCAATATAAAAGACCTCAACTTCCCAGCTTCTACCGTTTCCTTTCAATATTTTTTTTCAACTTTTTAAAAAACATAATTAAACAAAATGGTCTTCCTTTCCAGCGCTATCTCAGACGGTATATATACAGTTTATGTATATTATTTAACTACTTGACTAAAACATTTGACAATAGATCGTTTAAGCAAAGCTAATGAAAACGGCGAATTACATCATGATTCAGTAGGAACCACAGTTTATGGTACTCGCTGGGCTTCTGAAGACATCCCAAGGTAAGCCTTTTCTTTCGTGACGTTATTATCCATTTTACTCAACAACAGTTTCTTTTATATAAAAGATTTGAAATGCCACAGGTAAAGTTTATAACAGAATCCATCAGTGCATAAATCATTAAACTTTTTCCCTTTTGTGCTACATAGGAGGAGATGCCTTCCAGTAAAGCTTAACAAAAAAGACTCATCAGCTGATATTTTACTGACCTTATTTCCTATTGTAGATGTCGCTTATAGACTTATTAAGGATGATTTGGCCGTAAGTAGATAAGAGAAAACAGTGTCGAAGGATACCTAATGTATTTTATTACTAGCTTGACGGAAACCCAGCTCTTAATCTTGCTACTTTTGTTACCACTTATATGGAAGATGAGGCTGAAAAGTTAATGGCTGAAAATCTTTCAAAGAATTTCATCGATTATGAAGAATATCCTCAAAGTGTCGAACTTTGTGTAAGTAGCTAATTTCCCGCGTTGCAGCTTTTCCGCTAACCATATGTTATTAGAATCGTTGTATCAATATGATTGCTCGTCTCTACAATGCACCTATGGATAGTGCTGAACAGGAGTCTTTAGGTTGCTCTACCGTTGGTTCATCTGAAGCCATTATTCTTGCCACTTTGGCCATGAAACGCCGTTGGCAAAACGCCAGAAGAGAGAAGGGCTTGTCTACCGATAATCCCAACTTGGTTATGGGCGCTAACTGTCAAGTTGCTTGGCATAAGGCTGTTCGCTACCTCGAACTTGAAGGTCGTGAAGTTGAATGTACTGAAGAAATGCTTTACATGGACCCTCACAAAGCTGTTGATCTTGTCGATGAGAACACTATTGGTGTCTGTGCTATTTTAGGTTCAACTGTAAGGATTAACTATTAGTCTTCATGTGATTAAATAGCATATTTACCATGCTTGTTTATTAGTATACAGGTCATTATGAGGATTGTAAAACTTTGAACACACTTTTGGAAGAGAAGAACGAAGCTAATGGTTGGGATGTCGGTATTCACGTCGATGCTGCAAGGTAAAATTATCTTATTTGAGTACGAGCCAAACTTAACATCTTTTTTTTTGTAATTAGTGGTGGTTTTGTGGCTCCATTTGTTGTCCCCGACTTAGAATGGGATTTCCGTCTTAGCCGTGTTGTTTCCATTAACGTTTCTGGCCACAAATATGGCTTAACTTATGCGGGTATTGGCTGGGCTATTTGGAGAAGTGCCGAATATTTACCCAAGTCCTTGATTTTCAACATTAATTATCTTGGAAGTGATCAAGCTTCCTTTACACTCAACTTCAGTAAAGGTGCGGCTCACGTCATTGCTCAATATTACGTCTTGATTCGTTTGGGTCAAACTGGTTTCCGTAAAATCATGACAAATTTGACTGCAACTGCTGATCATTTAGCCGAACGATTAACAGCTACTGGACGTTTTGTTATTATGAGTGAAAGCGGTGGTCGTGGTTTACCTTTGGTTGCTTTCAGATTGAAGGACGAGCATCATTACAATGAGGTAAGTTGGTCTATTCTTTGCTTGATACTTTTTGTATTCTTACAAAGATATTTTAGTTTGATATTTCTTCCAAGTTGCGTGAACGTGGATGGATTGTACCTGCTTATACCATGGCACCTAACGTCGAACATATCAAAATGTTACGTGTGGTTGTCCGTGAAGATTTCTCTAGATCACGTTGTGAAATTTTGGTGAGAGATATTATCTCCGCTCTTCACGCATTAGACGCCATTGACGAATTAGCAGTAGCAAAGAAACGGTAAGAGAACGATAGCCTCAGGTGATATGATCAAAAATACTCATCATTATATTTAAACAGTGAGTTCCGCGCAGCTCATCGTCATAGTGCTATTCATGACAACCCAAGCAAGTTTATGTTCAAGGATGATGACGAAGAAGAAATTAATAGCGAAAACACTCAAAAGGCTGGCCAAGGAATCTGTTAAAAAGTAGAATTTTATTATGTAATAAAACCATTTTTTTTTGTCTATTAAAAACAATGTTGAAATGAAAGGAAAAATATTAGTCCTTCTTTTTTACAGAGATTGGCATTTCTGAGGCAAAAGTAGGTTGAGGAAGCACGGTTGCTCTAAAACCGTCATTGACAGATACCGAAGCTGGATTTGTATGATTATGATGATATATGTTATTGTTGATGGCTGGCGAATAGTAGCCCATAGGTTGTACATGTTGATGTTTATGAAGACGCGCGGAACTGATAGATTCAACTTGCACACAAATTTCTTTTAATCCGTCGATATGGCTCATGAAAATTTCTGTGACGGCTCTACGGATTTCTTGAGCTTTGACGCCGTCCTGAACAAGCACGTGTAGGGAACCAACAACAGTTTCAGCTTCATTGGGCCAAAATCTGTAGTTACTAACATCTGTGACACCATCGAGTCTTCTAACTTCTTCGATAGTTCCTTCCACTTGATTTACAATATTATCGTCTAATTCAAGCATAAGAACAGAGGCAGATTGGCGAATCAAGGGGATGACAGATAAGACGATAAGAACAGCAATGAAAAGAGAGGCGATCGGGTCGAATCCAGTCCAACCAAACCATTGAATCAGCAATGTTGATACAATTACACCAGCTGAGCCCAAAGTGTCGGCCATAATATGTAAAAATACACCTTGCATATTAGCACTGTGTCCATGACCATGATCGTGTCCGTGGCTATGTCCATGGCTATGTCCATGGTCGTGTCCATGACCTCCGTGTGCATGCCCATGATTGAAGGCAAAAATACCTACAAGGTTGACCACAAGACCAACGAAACTGACAAGTAAAAGACGGTCGGTGCTCATTTCAGGTGGATGAACTAAGCGTTGAAGAGCCTCAATAACAATTGAGCAAGATATTAAAACAAGAAATACACTATTAAAAAAAGCAGCTACAGTTTCAATGCGATTATAACTACATATGAAATAAAAATTAGTATGTCAGTTTAACATTAATTTCGTTGTATCTACCCGTAAGAATATTTTTGATTGGAAGGCCATTTACTCATAACGGAAGCAAACAAACCGATGCCAAGTGCAAGACAGTCGAAGAACATGTGAATGGCTATTTTATGTTAGTACTTTTTTCTAGAAATAGGCATTAATTTCAATTACCATCTGAGATAAGGCCTAAAGAATTAGTCCACACACCATAAGCAAGTTGAACAAACATATAAGATAAATTAAGCAATAAAAAGTAAAAGATTTGCTTTGAATCGTTGTTTCCAAGGATGATGCTTAATGAATGCTTTGCGAAACCAAGAGCGGATGTTGCTGCTGCATCAAAAACCAAAGTCTTTCCATACCCTAACTCTGCAGACTCTGCATGAGTTGGTAAATCTAACATGGATGTTGAAAACATGTATTAGATTAGGTGTAAAAAGAGTGGGCGGCGTATGATAAAAAAAGGGGTGAAAATTTAAAGATAAATTTTTGGTTGGAGCACCGCCTTTTTCTATTTTTGTCTACGTTCTGTGCTTTGATTTAAAACGGCCATAAAACCTACTCAATAGCACCTACTACTTCGTATCATTTTCGGCAGTGTTTTTGAGGACTGACTATCAAATATTAGGTCTCATCAACGCCTGTGTATCATTCATTTGTATGAGATTGAATCTGTAAAAATTGTTCAGTGCCTGGGCATAACAATACGTTTTCTATGTGCTTAAAGCATATACATGACATATTAAACTGTGCCCAAGTAAAATAACCAGAATAGAGCATTATTACACACACACACACACACACACACGGTTTTTGCGTGATTTTCCAGAGCCATTAAAATTGGCGAATAACTAATCCAACCGCTTGATTTCAGAAAAATTAATGTTTAAAAGTATTTTTGATTAAAACTGTTCAACAGTGATAACCAAGCAAAGATTTATTTTCGACAGTTTCAATCATTACTTCTTAGCAGCCTCCTTGGCTTCCTTAATACGTCTACGTTTGATCATTGTGTTCATGTAAGTACCGAAAACTAAAGAAATTTGATGGATATGCATTAATAAATATCAACTGTAGCCGGCCCTTAAAAAAATACTTTACCGAAAGCAAGCAAGTTGAAAAATGGAACCCAGGTGGTAGGAGCCAAGAATTTTTGAGCAAAGGTCATACTTAAAGGAGAAATAATCCAAGAAACCTTTTGCATAGGTAAAAGACCCTTCTTGATGTTAGCTTTTAACTGTGCAGGCGAGCGTACGCCAGCCATAATAGCCATAGCAGTCAAATAGACTAATATATATATAACCAGGTAACAATTAAATTTTCTATGCCATATATGCATTTTTTTTTTTTTTTTTTTTTTTTTTTTTTTGCAATTTAAACACATACCAGAGTTCATGATGGGTGAAATAATTAAATTTGAAAAGAGTAATTGACCAATCTTCACACTTGAACCTGTTTTACCCGCAAACACCTTGTTCATTATTTCATACAAAAAGTGATTAAGAGGTCCAGATACGAATAAACCTATTTTTTTTTTGAGTAAGTAATTGTTACAAAGCATAATCATATAATAAGAAGTATACCATAGGCAGCCATTTGGATAATTCGTTTATCAAAATTTTTCGCACCAGATAATTTTTGTGCTGTCAATTCTTGGAGACCAGACAAAATACCAGAAGTGCATGCTTTTGTGCGAAGGGGGGAAACGGCGAGATTAGAAAGATACCACGCAAGAAAAGATTTAGAGTTATTTGAAACAGAAGACATTTATGAACAGAAAAAAAAAAGTTTAAGGAAAAGAACACGGTATCTAAGCAGATATCTAAAAATTAAAAATATACCCTGTCGGAGCTTAGAACGGTATTCACCTTCCCCATTTATTTTTTCTCAATGGCCATAAAATAAAAAATGCAATTCAATCATGTAAGTGCGACAATAAAAGCGCCACACGTTAATATTTCAATATCTTTATTTTTGAAAAAATAACCAGAAAATTTGATATAATCGCCCTGGGCAAGATGCGAGTTTATTGCGCCAGGACAGCTTTAGGCGTGTGAAAAAGTTATTCTTACTCAAATGATTAGAGGCATTCCAAATGTTACCCCAAGTGCACGATACTATTGGCTGAATCACGTGTTACCAATTTTAACAGTAGCATAATGATATGATTATTTTCAAACTGGCCACCTTGCCCTTTGTGTTCATAGCTTCGCTGCTTTTTTAAATCTACTTAACAACTACAAAACTAGCTATATGTTAGGAAATTAATGCAGCAAACATTCTAGACAAGGAGATCAAACACCTTCGACTTCTTAATGTTTGAAGACACACAGGTATATATTTCAGCAACATCGTCAACAATAGCGATACAAACATGATCTCGGTATGCAAATAACTATTCTTACCCCCAATTCAGACAATCAAAAATTGAGTATGATCTGGATATCAATAAAAAATATTCAGGCGTAATAGAAATGCTTTTGAAGCAAAGACTTCTGTACACGTCTATCCATCGATTAGTTTCAGGGGATGTCTAGTTTTTTTCAAGACAATGATTTGTAGTAAGATTTATACAAAGGGCCTTACCTTTGGTTATGAAGAAGAACGCCAATTTGTGTCTACTTGTGTTTTTTTTGACAAACACTCGTCAATTACATCAATAATGAAGAATATAAAGTCATAAACAAGATTTTTTCTAACTTAGACTTTTGATCGTCGCAACGGCATTTTGTAAATGATACATTCTAAAATTCTAAATGTTTGCTATCTCAGCTCATGTTCTTTTATATTATCTTGAAGAAGACACATGTGATAGAGCCTAAAACAATAGAATTCAGAAAGTCAACTAATAGATACATTAAAGAATACAGTCAGTTATGAATACAGCGTCATAGTTTGTTAAACGATTCCTTAAATCGAAAAGCGTGGCTATTTTAAGCAGACGCTACAAAGCCAATTTTAACCGTGAAATATGATCATTACTGCGAAATATTTTTTTCCCGGACATTCAATAAATTTGATCAAAAAGTCAAAAATACACTGTCAAATCGTTCGATTTAAGGGTATGGGGAATTGGAATCTCACCCTTAAATAGAATAGTGGTTTAGTGGTGTTAATGCGGGGGACGGAAGCTGATCTTCCAAAATCCACCCTTAAATAGAAAATACCCTTAAATCGAGCGATTACTGTACAGGCAGAATCACTGTCAAGCTGGTTGCTTGTTTGTAATGTAACTAGTCTTTCAGTACTTAAGTCACTCCTCCTTACACTTGGCTTGTGACGTTTCAAAAGAACTGATGATCCGTTATCGTCATCGTCTGTTTCCATTTTACGTGTTTTTTCCACTTTAGGTAACGCTGAACAGGCCCCTTTATGTTTCTTTTGAGAGCCTGTATATACCACCCCTCTTTTCCCAAATATAGTAATTACCACCCCTGTTCGGTCATGCCGGACAGTAGATGTCCGGTGGAAGTGGATCACTTTATACGCATTTATTAGGCTCATTTGTGGATCACTTAATACTTATTTTTTAGGCTCCTATATAGTGTATTTTTGGATCACTTAATACCTATGTTTTAGGCTCACTATATTTTCATACATATGAATCTTCCAAACATAATTTGGTGATGAGATATTGGTAAATGGGAGAGACATCTTCAATATATTGTACATAGGCAAAATATGGTCTCCATACACCATCAGACGTATCCCATAAAACCTTAAGGTTTTCAAGAAGGTCCTTACTCTCCAACATAGCCCACTCAGCTCTCTTCTTGGCTTTTACCGCCTCATAACTGATTTGTTTCCTTATTTGCTTCTTAAGTTTTTTATCGTCGACTCTCAAAACGGAATTTCTATCGGCCTTCTTTTGCTGCTGGTGGATATAGTATGCAAGCCTTCCACCTTGGTCAGAACGCCCATGCTTGACACCAACAATTACAATATGGTGTTTGACCTTCAAGTGCTTGACCAGGGATGATCTCGAGTTGAATGTCTTATGGCATTTACCACATGTCAACTTGTCTTTAATTAATGTGTCATCAACATCTTCGTTATCAACTTCCGCAAGTGATACTTCATTCTTTGACTGGTTCAATTTTATGAAGAGTGTCTCGATTAAAGGATTTCTTGGGGCTACTTCTACTCTTTTAGGGACAATGAGACGCTCGCCTTCAGCAATATCTCCAACTTTTTTTCTCCAACTCCCACTTTTTTTTTCCCACTTTTTTTCTCTCCCTTTTTTTCTCTCATTGAAAGAAGACAATGACTCGCCTTTGCGACGTTTGTAAAACTGAATTTCAGTCATCAGCAAAATTGTATAACCATAATTATGATGTTCATGTGAATACGCTACAAGTGTATATAAACAATAGTAGGAACAGGCAATTTTTGAAAAAAAAAAGTCGTTGTGCTCACTTTCTTTTAGAAACAAGTGTAGTTGAAAGGGTAGACGGTAAATTTAATTGTCCTGAGTTCCAAGGCAAACTTTCTACTTCCGGGTCTATCTGTCCATATTTTGATTTTGATTTCGGAAATGAAGACTGGTGAATAGAAGAACTAGTACGACGCTCATGGTGAGCATCAACCGACTTTAATCGACCATATGGTTCGACACAATTAACCAGTAAAGCTGTTGAACCACTCAACAAACTACACCCAGCGAAAATCTGCGACGTAGCAAACCGCAGTTGGGGAAAAAATACCCAATCTTTATTTATTTCTTGGACAATTTGTTCGCTGAGTTCGACAAATTCTTCATCGGCTATGTGTCTGTAGATTTGACTTGTGCTAACAATATGTTTAAATAAATCGTCTGCATTTGTTGAAGTTGATGAGCCTTCTGTAACTGAATTTTCTAATGTAGGAAGACTCCAAGTTCCAGTTGGTTCATCAGACCATATATCGCTTGTATTGTTTGAAGCTGTGAGAAAAGGGTAAATTTTACCACTTGAGGACGTTAACAAAATGGGTTTTAGTTGTCCAATTTTTGCGGCTAAGATACAGTTTTCTTGAATGCGGGGAGAGCTTGAGAGTGAATCACAGGCAAGCAGAACAGCGGAGTCATCATCAAATCGCGTGCTTGTTTGAAATGCAACTGGGTTGTCAGTGCTTAAATCAATCTCCCTTTCACTGGGATTATGGTGCTTTATTACAATTGAGGATGTGTCTGTTTTAAAGCTACGCTTTTTTTTCTGCTTTAGATAAGGTTGAACAGGCTCCTTGATGTTTCCTTTTCAGATGATTGCTAAACGACCCAGAAGTAGAAAGTTTGCCTTGGCACTCAGGACAATTAAATTTACCGTCTACTCTTTCAACTACACTTGTTTCTAAAAGAAAGTGAGCACAACGACTTTTTTTTTTCAAAAATTGCCTGTTCCTACTATTGTTTATATACACTTGTAGCGTATTCACATGAACATCATAATTATGGTTATACAATTTTGTTGGAGAAGGAAACTCTTTTTCGCAAATGTGGCCAAGACCAGCAGGCCAGTATTATTACAACTATTTAGAGCCCAATCCCAGCTATTCACGGTTCGTGAGTTCCAAAAACTCAAGAACCCTGCCTAGGAGGTCGCCCTCCTATAGCAAAGACTAGCTGCAGCCGCAATATCAAAATATATCTTTTTCAATTTAGCTTCTTTTCAAAGAAACAAGAGCCACTACTAAACAAACCTTTTTACGTGATCGATTACTTTCATACGATAAAAGAAGTATGTTGAGGGAAAAGAAAAGGAGAAGAATAAAGTGTGTGAACCAGCTTTATTTATAGATAAACAAGCTTATGTCAGGATGATTTCATTTGTCTATTTTATCATCCATAATGTTTGAGCCTTTACTTAAAATAGAAACATTTGCAAAAACCTCCCAAGCAAGTCAAAGCTTGGTAATTATCTATCTGCATTCCAGTAGTAGCTTGTAATTACAGTGAAGCAGATTTTATGGAAAACAGAAATCGATCATCCTATGAAGTCTAGATGATATGGCATGTCAATCGACGTGTTGACCATTACGTGATTCTAAAAAGTACATTTGAAAAAAATACAATTGAAAAAAAACACAATTGAAAAAAATACGGAGTTCTAGACATTTCCCACATGGTTAATAAAAAAAAAATTCATGCTGATAAGCATAAATCAATGTCCGACACAGCAAGGAGGAGGTGGCTTGTGGCAATTGTGAGCAGAAAAAAAAAACTGACCCAAAAAAATAATTTTGTTTTTTAACTCACCACTCTGTAACATAATGACACAACAAGAGGATCTTTCGAGCACCTTAAACGATCTGTCTCTTACTTCCAAACCAAAATCGGTGAAACCTAAGGCTAGCTATGATAAGGCTGCTTTAAGAGAACGTTGGAATATCCTTGGTAAAGATGCAGAACAAGGCAAGTAGAGACATATTAGAAAAATATTAAGGCACAAAATTGGATTAACAATTTTTTTTTATATAAACAGCAATTTTATCAATGATCCGTAAAGCCTGTATGAGCACTTTTGCCCGTAAAGATTTCTTTAAGATTTTGCAGATAATTAAGATGAGTTTTGTACAACGAGATTATGAGGGTATCTTCACGGATGCGATCAATTTAGAAGTTTACACTGCGGCTTACGTTCCTGGTAGAGCACTTTGTTACTACGAAATATTTTGCAGACCCCAGATTTTGAAGTTTTTGAATCGTCCTAGTCAAATCTACTGTGTCGGTTCAGGCTCTGGCTCAGAATTAGCTGGTTTGGCCGCTGCGATGACAAGAGTGCCCGCTGAACGTCAACGAGTGAATTTAGTGATGCAAGATATTGGTGAATACTCATCAATTCTGAAGTCATTCGAAACCACCATTCGTGATAAGTGGCTACTAAATGAAGAACAGTTAACATGTACATATGAGCAAAGTGATGTTTTAGATCAAGAGGAAAGCAACGTGGATCTCATTGACAAACGATTCCGCGAGTCTGATTTGATCACCTTTATGTTTGTTATGAACGAGTTATTTGTCAAAAAAGCTCCTGCTATGGCATTAATACAACGATTAGTAAAATCAATGAAGAAGGGCGCACATTTACTCGTAAGCAGATAGTTTAATTGATTACGAGAAAATCTCTTTCTAACCGCGCATTACCAGGTTGTCGAATCAGCAGGTTCATTCTCCCAACTCAAGGTAGGAAATAAAACGTATATGGTGTACATGCTTCTGGATGCTCTTCAAGATTTAGAGTTAGTAGTGGGCGAAGATTCCCGCTGGTATAGGTAATAAATCCACTCATATGATGCATATTGAAGATACTAATTTAAGTCTAGACATCCTGACCATTTGAAATACCCGATTGATGTCCAAAATATGAGATACTTTATTCGTTTGTATAAAAAGAAGTAAATTCTTTCGTAACAGATCCGTACCTGTTTCACTTAGAATAAAATACAAATTGACCAAATATTAAATGCTGACACGAATGAGAGAACAGGAGAACAACAAATAATGCTAGTTATACGTATCAGATCTCGGGAAAGAAAATTATCAGATCAACATAACATACCTAAATATGATGTCTTTAACTCATAATACCGAACTGTTTATAATAAACATGATATCACTTCCCTCTTCATTCATTGAGATAAACCTAAAGTTCATACGAAACACGATCTACTCAAAAGCTAGTTATTTAAAGACATTAATTTTACAAAAGCCCAAGTGACTCGATGATGATACGCCGATAATATTTATGTATCGGCTTCTAAACAAAATAACCGTGAATAAAAACGTCAACAAAACGCTCATCGAAAAATGAGAATAGGTTCAGATAATAATCTAATTTTCGGGGAGGATGGGAAAATTTGTCAAGCTTTACAATTTCTTTTGGATTTTATACGATAAGGGTCTTTTGTAACGCTGAATTTATCAATAACATCACCTAAGCTGCCGTCTGTATGAGCTTGATAATGGGTGATATGAATAGCTGTACGAGAGACGTCAAACGTGGAAAAGCCGTAACTACCATACCGTTTAGCAGACCAATCGTTATAAGGACCTGGACCAAATGGTGTAGCGCCTTCTGGCTGACCGGCGTTACCAATTACAATTTGAAAGAAGCTGGGTGAATTATGGTATGATGTAGCAATGCGCTTATTTTTTGAAACGGGGTACGTCCGTTCATAGTTATGTACATGACCACTAGGATTCGAATAATTAGCGATGCAGCTGTATTATGATTTTATTTTACATACCTCATATAAATATCAACCTTGTGCTTAAGCAAGATGTCTTCGAGCCCGCCCCAGGTTCTATTATTAGCACCGATTACACCATCTCTTATAATAGAAGCTTTGGTGGTACAATCGGCACTTACAACAGAGCAATATATAGGGTGATGCGTGAGAAAGATAATCCAAGGCCGTTCTTCTCTATTTTTATTAGCCTTAGTAAGATCGGCCTCTAACCAGTTTAAAGCTGTTCTAATTTCCGCTGTGCTACCAGTAAAGTAAACCTCAGTTGAAAATGAAACCAAATGAAGCGACTTGTAATTTATAGAATAAAACATAGAATTATCAAACTTGGATTCAGTGTAAGGTACAATGTTGAACCTACGAATTAAATAGGTTCAGCATATATAATATCAAAAGAAAAAGAGGTGATGTGTGCATACCTGTTTTTGTAATGTGTGAAGTTATAAGCACCCTCGTGATTACCGACAGCTCCCAAATAAGGTACCTGAGCATACAAGTCTTGCATAAAATTCATATATTCATCACCTTTGGTGCCATTAAAATCTTCCATGTTATATGCTTGATCGCCGGCTAGCGTGACAAAATCGTACTTGTGTGTTTTGCCTAATTCAATCAAGTGTGATACTGCGACAGCATTACATGCACCCTGTATAATAAGGTTAATTTTCATATTCAAAATCTCTTTTACAATACATACTACATCCCCAGTGGCAAGGAAGCTGAACTCATTTGTCTCTGGCGCGGTATGGAATTCATAAGTTTTTGACCACCGGATTCTATTATCCATAACAGATCCTACTTGGTAAGCATAAATAGTGGCGGGTATAAGAGCATGTGTCTTAAACTTATGAAGATATAATTCACGCTTAGCCAACCCACCATCAGTAAATACCCAGTTCTATATAAATTTATACCGTCGAGTAAATAAACAAATAACATAAACAAAAAAGCTTCTTGGTTCGCTCTGTAGGATTAAAAGACAATTACCTCGCCTTTAAGAAAGATTTTGTTCTTTGAGGCACGATTGCTCCGATGATGATAGTTACGATATTCTCTCTTGGGCCAGTAAGCTAAGACAGAATCCTGGATTTTGCCCAGAGTCGCAAATTGCACCCGTGCATGCGTCGCATCATCTGTCAAAGATATATGAAGTTGCTGAGGTTCAGACATAGTATAAGTGTGATTCCAGTTGTTTCCGAGGATGTTATAATTGTCTGCATAGCACATGAAGCCGGGGCTTCCATTAAATATCTCTTCGACCATCAGCTGACGTTTATCTAATTTGCTTGACGAAAAGATCATAGATGATTCGGCTAGTCTTAAAAAAGCAATTGCAAGAAGAAGTACAGAGAAGAGCATTTAATGAAGCAAAGCGAAAAAGTAGTCCGAGAAATAAGGGAAGTAATAAAAGGAAAAAAGCAAATACAAATCGCGTAGAATCTATATTTATACAAAAGGTACGAAAGTTTAAAATCTAAAAAAAAAGTCTTTGTCGAATACATAATTTTTGAATTATTTACCCCCTCCTTAAATCGATGAATTGGTACAAACCACGCTACCTCATACTCAATATTTGTAAAGCAATTCTTTTGTTTGTAGCACGCTTTCTTTATGTTTATAATCTGTAGGTAATAGTGCATAAAAATCTATTGCTGATAGTAATAAGTTATAAACATATTCAGGAACATGTATTATTATATGCAACTTCATTGGCCCGCTACTCGGTTTACATAATTTTGTGGGCCAACAATATGATGTGTTTTAATACACATGTTTGTCTTAATGGTATCAAATAATGTGTAAGGTTTTATTAGTGTCAACTGTCCATATTTAATAAGCTGTAGTTTTTTTTTTTTGTTTAATTCGCCAAATTAATTGTCGAAAGTTCATGGATCAATCCTCCCAATAAATCATCATCTGTACTCTTTAAATCGATAGACAAAGTTGCTACCTTGGGTTCTGTATCCATAGATAAGGTGTATTTCAACAAGCCGGCAACCTGCACACCGTTTACACTCTTACCATAAAGGGAAGCGGCACCAGGAACAACCTCAACAACAAGCAACCCACTAGTGCGTGTAACAGTTTCCAAAGCATTGATAAGAGCTTCTTCGATGGAGGCATCGGAAGATAATGTCACTTCTAACGACACATTACCGTGGTACTCGAAATCATCGCCATGTTCAGCAAGAAGCGTAGAAAATTCGGCCGGATCCATAGGTTCTTTATCGTTTAAGAAGAGACTTGCGGGAATAGGGATCTCAATGGGGTGTTGATTGATTGACGACGAGCCCTGTTACACATATAGATTAGATAATTTTCAATCGGAATACAAACATATGCAATTACCTCTACATCATAAAACAGATCACCACGAAGACACAAGCCTTGTCTAATATTACCAAGTGCTTCGAAACGTGCTAAGCATTCTACCTTCTCATTCGCCTGTAATTCAAAAGTTTCTGTCGCAGACGCCATATTCGTTCTTTCGTCATCATTTTCAATCAATTTTAAATCAAATGATTGCGCAAACTCCATGTGTAAACTTGGGATCATCATTTCTTCGTCCTTATTTTGTACAAAGAAATGGATCACAATAACAGGAGAATTGACAACATCTAAGGATAAATCGCATATCTACCACGTAAAGTTTGAATATTGACTTTATACATCGCAACATGGAAGATGTTAGAGCTTACCAGAGATACTTGGTTATCGCTAAATATTTCAACCGTCTTACGGCTCTTGTTTTCCTCACTCTTTTCTGCAAGTGCATCGCGAACATCGTCAGCAATAGTTGTGAAGTCCGATTTAGCAAGTTCTTCTTCTTCGGTAACATGAATATCCTTTGTCTGTAAATGCAGATTAGAACGGTATGATCAAACATATACAATGCGAAAAGAAACTATACCTTTTTGGATTTCTTCGAGTGGCTCTTTTTCTTCTTTTTCTTTTCTGGGATAGATGTTTCGGGTACATTTTTTCCCTTTAGCAAATTACTTTTTTTGGCTTCCAAAAGCTCCTTGTTTTTTTTCTGGAGCGCTCTTTGTTCCTTGCGTTCGGTTCTGTATCTAGCCTCTTCGTTAATACGCACTTCTTCTGGACTTAAGTAAGCCTTGACTTGCTGGAACTTTTCATCCTTGCCCAAAGGAATGGATAAATCTACGTTGTTCAAGCCTGCCTCCTCATTACTTTCAAAGATGTCTCGTGTCGACTTCTTGGTATAAACACTGCCTTTCTTTTTTGTTTTGACATTTTCATCTTCAGACTCAGCAGCATTTTCAGGCATTTCCTCTTCAGCATAGACAGGTACCTTGATCTCTTTCTTCGTACGTTTTAACTTTTTAGCATCTTTTCTTAATTTGCTAGCTTGCAAGTTGATTTCATTGATGTCCAGTTCCACTACAGGAATCGAATCAACATCATCATCGAAATCCAAAATTTGCTTCTTTTTATCTGCCATGATGTAAAATGGATCGTTTTTACGAGCCTCCCTTCTATCGGATCGTCGTTGCTCCTTATCCTCATCATCTTCGCTGCTGTATGATTTGGATTTCGACTTCTTCTTTCTGCCAGACTTGGAAACCTTTTCGTACTTGGATATAGAAGACTCACCTGCGGAGGCTTCGGAATCCAAGTCTTGCACCAAATCCGGTAACGGATCATTGATCCAAGCATCCAAATCCAGACCCTCGGGGATAGGGACTTTGGATTGAGCCTTGGGAGCTACAGGATTTAGTTCATAAATGAAGAAAAGATCGGGGAGACCTTCTAAAACCAAAGGGACTTCGTTTGCATCCAACGTAGGGTTATTGACAGAATCAAGTATGATCTTAAATAATGATTTGACATCGTGTGCTCTTTCTTGTACTTCCAGATCCTTACTTTGGGTAAACATGTCCATTTTTTCATACATGACGTTAGTGACCTTTACAAACTCTCTTCCTAATTCGGGGTTCCATTCCGATGTCAGCTCACTGGTCCAATAAGCGTAGATTTTGATCACACTGTGGACATAGATTGTTTGAACTTTGACCGGTAATTTTGTAACTTGACTGGTTAAAAGACACTCTAATGTGGAGGGAATATCTTGTAAATAGTTGCAATATTCACCGCAAATCCATGCAGCTGCAGATAAGACTTCAATGTTAGAGTCTCTCTTCTTTGCAGTATCCAAAAATTGTTTATCTTGCAAAAGATTGTACTATAATTATATCAGATATTTAGTAGTCTGGTCATTACAAGCTGTTTACATTTTTACCATTTGATTTACGGAGAATTCACGAACACTCTTTACGCGAACACTGACATCCATTAGTTGATTTGTTAAAACATCGCCAACATTGACACCGGCAGCATAAGTTATACCGACTAATACAGTGATATACCATTCAAAATCATTTATGTGGTGGTAATGATTTTGAGAGCAGATGAAAATGATACGATTGATAATATCAGTACGATATACAGGATCGAAAATTGTGGAAGGATCATGTAACGACACCTCGGTCGAAGTGTTTGATTTAGGCATAATATGGGTAATCAATCTCTTCACAATCTCTACAATATTTTTACGGTGAACCATGCCTACAACCAAGTCCAAAGACCGAAGTCTGATACTAATATCCTCATCGTCAATGCATTCCAAAATCAGATCCTTATGTTCTGCTACCAATTTGGGATGAGTAACAAGCAACTTGCTCATAGCAAGTAAACCCACATATTTCACTGGACATTATGTTAGATGAGCGATATAGTGATCAACATATTATGAATTTAAACTCACGGTTTTGGTCTGGATCTTCAAGAAACTTTCTCAGCTTGTTAGTACATGTTGCCGCCAAAGCATTGCCAGATTCACCAGCAGCTTCCAAAAATCCACCAGTAATCACTGTATAAATGCACTCATATAAAAGTGACATGGCAGGGGTTGTCTGAATAAGTGAAGTCAAAGGTGGTAATAACTTCTTAATCAGTCTTGGTTCAAGGGGAGTTAAGGATGCGAACTGTTCGAAATTATTTAGTGTCCAAATATATCTTCTTTTCATCTTTCTCTGCTTACCAATTTTATAATTTTGATTAGCATCCAGTTATTGGAAGAGGTAGTGAGTAATTTGAATAGCTGAGGTGCAAGAGATAAATAGTTTTTAGGATTCTTTCGAGCTAGCTCACACACAACACTGATAACAGCTGACACAACAGCTATGACATCTTATTAATATCACATTTTACAATTTAAACGCTAGTTCACTTACATGGATCAGGGTCTTCCAACTTTTCTTTTAATCGAGGGAAACTCAAACGGAGTGCTTCGGGATACTTTAAAAAGACCTTATAAAGAACCAGGACAACCTTCTTACGGATATAGGGTCTTGAATGGTTCAGCATGGAAACCAAATCAGGGCAAAGATCTCTAGCGAGGTCGGGCGTTACAATATGAGAAAGACCATTTAATGCAATACCGATATCAATAGGAGCAGGCGAAGCTAAATCCTACCCGAACGCGTTATTTTTTTTTCAGAACAAAGGAAAGGTAACAAATGGAATTTATTGATATATTATCTTACCTTCTTGATCAGATTCGTAGTTAACATGAGGACATCTGTGTCTTGTTGAAAAGACAAAGTAGCAGCTAGATAACCTGTTCTCTTATGTAAAAACTTGGCACTTGACATAACCTCCACCATGTGAAACGAGGCCCATGACATGTCGTAACCAAGCATTTGCAACTAAAGAAATCATGAGTTATGGCGAAGCCCTTTTTCGTCAGAACATGTATATTTACATAGGTCAGCTTGGCAACCGCTGTAGCCTTAATATCTAAATCATTCGACTTGACTTCGTTTCGAATTTCTTGTAAACAAACGGCAATGTATTTTTGTTCATTCTTCTTGTTGGCTCTTATACCACGAATGAGGTCTGTTAGTGACTTTTCAAACATGATGAAATAAAGAGTGTCAGGATGAAATAAATCTCGAAATATCTGGACGACTTTTTATTTTTTAGTCGAAAGACCGACAGTGATGTATTTTTGAGAACATCAAAAAAGTTAAAACTAAACGGTATATCTTAAGGTGAGTCTACCTGAATAGAAATAGAGTGATAATTGTCTTAGAGGCGGCTTTTATTTTTTTCATCCAAGCATTTAAAATGGGATGTGGTATTTTTATTATGTGCTTCTTTTAATTTTAGATTAAGTAGGGAAAGAAAGGGCGGGTAAGCTCAAATGTTGGCTTTTACACTCAGTAGCGACCTTCAAAACTCATGTTTCTTGAGCTTAGATACTCAGAATGTTCAGGGCATTTGGTTTAGGTGGGGTTTTTTGAATGAATTTCACAGAATACATAAAGAATATGCTTTTTTTTAAAAAAAAAATGCTACAGCCAGAAGTAAAACCCTCTCATACATATGATTTGTTACGGTACTTATGAATTGCCGAATATAATAGGACTCCTTAAATATAGAACGCCATAATTATACAATACTTATATAAAGGTATCTCAACTGTAAGCAAAAGCTTGCTAGTTAAAACATTTTGACAGAAAGTGAATAACTAAACAATGATATAATTTATAATTGAAAGTTAACGGAGTATGTTCCATTTTAAGACCCGTTAGTCATAATACGTAATAATACTAAGCGAGACAATATTTGGGGGAAAAGTACAAAGCAAAGGTATATAAGCAACTATAGAGCACGTAGAGCTCAAATGTAGCTTCAACAATTACGGTGGCGATACCTACACAAATATGGTCAACTACTAGAAGCCACCATCTACAATAATTGGGAAAATTGCTTAAATCATTGTTTGGGAATGGTATATTCTTAAAGGTTCTAAAATTGGAGTCATTGGTGTCTTGCAATGACAGCTTAAGTACAGATAAAAGTGTGTCAAAACTGTATTGATATAGATTTATATACATTTTTTTGAACGAATGGAAAGAATGAGAATTTAAAAGGAATAGATAAAAGTCAAAAAGAAACAAGAAAGGTAATTATTAATGTAGATGCATTGGAAGAGAAATAGTTGCTTTTGTTGTGTGCGTATCAAAAGAGTATTTCAAATTGTAATAATGAGTTGTTGGATGTGTATTATGTATAAGTGTGAAAGTGTGTTTGTGTACAATTAAGATCAAATTACTGTGTCTTTAGACACTTTAGGTCTACCTCTAGATTTATTTCCGTTGTTCGTTCTTCTTCTTGGTTTCTTCTTTTCCTCCTCATCATTCTCTTCAAATCCATACAGGTTCTTTGCTCTACGAGATCCTCGAGTATCAGATGAATACATTTTCCACTCGCCAATTAAACCAGCCTGCACACTTTCTTGACTGATCCAATCTAATATATCTTTAGCCGTGTCACGGTCTTGAGGCCTGGTCTTCAAGCATTTTAGTAATAACTGCCGGCTTAGCTCACCATGCACTTCTCCTTCCAATGCACGCTGAATTCGATAATCGTCCTCTGCCACATATCTTAATCCTTGTAAATCTGTATCGAGAATACCTCTCCATGGTTCTGTATCTGTAAACACTTTCCAAATCATTACACCAATAGAATACATGTCTTCTGCTTGGGGGTTGATGAGCCACGGAAGTACTTGATTATCTGATCTTGTCTTTGGTAGTGTCTGGATGGATCTATACATTCTATAACCATGGTCAGGCTTGCCTTTAACCCAGGGCAAAGATTCACACCAAGTATCTAATTCTTCCTTGGTTTCAGGAACAACATCTCCGTCATACTCCCATTCAGCGCGTGGCACATCCACAAACCAATCACGTACATCTTGTGCCTTACAAAATACAGCCTTACCGAAATCAATCAAATACAAACACACTTTATCACTGCCGTCTTCTAAATATTGGCCTTCTATTGTGTTAACCATAATGTTCACTTCAGAAAGATCACGGTGGGCAAGTCCTGCTTCATGGATCGTCTTCATGCAGATCAACATTTGATAAATCACATCGTATTTCTGATAGGCTGATAATCGGTGATGTGAGTGTACATGTGTATATTGTTTAAGGGTAATTTGGTATCTATTTTCATACAAAAAAGGGAGATATGATTAACAATTTAGGTCAAACTAACATATATGAGTATACCTTTCCATCGATAAGCCAGCAACATCGCCGTTATCGTTAAATAGCACCTCCCTCATTTGTGCCATATGAGGTAAATTTCGCAGTTTCCTGTAAGGGGATAGGGCTCGTTAAAACTCTTTTTTTTTAAACCTCCTTTTTTAATAATTTTTAACGGAAACCTACATTAAACATGCGACTTCGGTGATACGTTGATACATGGTCATTTGTCTAAATGCTTGAACGACAATATCATCAAAAAAATACACACGTTTAAAAAATCCCTCTGAATTTGGTGAGTTCCAATTGATATTTCCATGCGCCGCCATATTTCGGATTAAAATGCCTTTGCTTGTACACACTAATCATTCAGGTTAATATAATAACGAATGATTTTTTTATATAGAGTTTACCATTGAATAGCTTTCGCCAAACCTCATGCGAGATCTCTTTCGTACCCAATCGTTGCGTGTTCGATATGGCATTCATATCAGACTTGATATCGACCTCCATCTTTTCCTCTACGGATTTAGGAGTTGCTTCATTAATAGTTTCATCATCCGAGCCTTCATCTACTTCCATTGCTTCTTCTTCTTTTGTCTTAATCATTCTTTGCTGCATCGGTCTGTTTTCTACAACAAGTTCTGACGACACTAATTCCGCCATGGGAGTCGGAACCACAGGATGGATCTCACAACCCGAAATGTCCAATGTTCGTTCAGGCAGCCCTAAAATTTGACGCACGACGTTCTTTAAAAGTTTTTTTGTAGTTGAGTTATGATGTCCACTGCGATCATCTGTTGCCATTTTTGACGTAGCAAACATTCTTCGGAAATAGTCACGTTCAATGGTCTCATTCACCTCAAAAGATATATGGTTAACTACCCGTAAAGGTCGCAGGTGGATCCAACCCTTAGGTGCAAAATCGTCTGTGCATTCATTAATTTGGTCGATATCAAACAGTTCGCTGGCCGGGTACGCTAAAATCATGTCGGTTTCAATCCGGAAGTTCTTATTGGATCGTGCACGGTTTGTCTTGGTATTGTAAAAAATGGCGAGTACACCTTGGGATCGAATCTGTCGTAAAAGTGTGCGGTTTTTGGCAATATAAAAACGAGGCACAAGTCGATGATTTCCTTCCAAATCAGATTTCATGCGCTCCACAGCTTGAAAAAATGGTCCATTTAATTGGAGATACAGCTGTTTTTCATTGGTTAATCCCTTTGGTTTTCGTGCTTTAGGTTCAAGTGGCGATAAAGCTGATATAGCGTACACAGTGCTTGATTCTGAAAACACTTGCTCTATGGGTGGATAAGAAAAGTCGGATTCTTCGGGTAAAGAATTGGTTGGATCGAATTTAAAATCATGAGGTCCTGAAGGCTGCTGTTGTTTTCTAAAATCAGGGCAACTGATCAGTCAAAGTGTTATACAAAGACGAGCATCTTTTCTTTTACCTAATTTGTCTCTTGATATCCATCACAATTTTGGTAAATAACCTTTCAAGGTTGTCAGCATGCTTCGGTATGGTGCCGGCGTTACGATGAAAAGCTCTTGCATTTTTCCATATGAGTTGCATATCCCTTTCAAATCTAGCAAACTTCGTATATTTTCCACTCCAGACATTTTCTTCGATTGTATAAAGATCCATTGGGTTTTTCACTTCTTGATGATACAAAAATGCAGTTTCTGGAACAGGTTGAATGAATGGCCAGCAGTCAGGTGTAGAAAGTAACATGTTGATAATAAATCTGTATAAGCGTAAGAATAAACGAGTAACATTATGTGGAGGTTCGAATTTTACGCGCGATAGATCAACCATATCATAAGAAGAGGATGGCATAGTAGCGCCTATCGCTTTTAAGGTTGTATCTTTTCCGTCGTTTGTAGCTTGGTCTGTCAAAACTGTATGAATCACAATGTTCTTGCTACGTAATCCAGCAACAATCATTCTTTGTAGTGCAACAAGATCACCATTGGATATTTGAGATCCCAATGTTTGTGATACATCTTTATCACCTGAGGTTCCCAAAACCATTGTTGTGATTAATTGCATGGCCGCAGCTGGTAACACCTGTTGCGAATCTGTCGTTAAAGGTTCTTCGATATCGACAGGAGGCAATTCCTCATACGAGACATAAACACCCAAAGTTCTTAATGTCGCCACCGTTAATCGACGCAAGTTGTTAACATCCAGATCAGGTTTCATTGGATCCTTCAGATCATCGAAAATGACCGAATCCAAAGAACCTGTATTTTTTGGGAAGTGCAAACGGAGCTGAGGTCTAGGTGGAGGTACTCGTTGTGTTGGTGTAGGCGTTGTCACTTTTGCGGTTTGCTTACTGACAGTAGGCGGCGATATAGATGTCGTAGATACAGGAAATTGAGCAATTATGTTATTGGCAGGCGTGGGTTGTCTTTCCAACAAGAGTTTCTGCCTTTCCATTTGCTCTTGTTTTTGCTGTCTTTCATATTGCATTTTTTGCACCATTTTTTGCTGTCTTTCATATTGTTCTTTTTGTTGTCTTTCAGCTTCCTTTTGCCTTTTCTCATACTGATCTTTTTGTTGTCTTTCGTATAGTTCCTTCTGCTGTCTCACATATTCTTCCTTTTGCTTCCTTTCATATTGCTCTGTTTGTTGCCTCTCGTATTGTTCCTTTTGCTGTCTCTCATAACGTTCTTTTTGCTGTCTTTCGTATAGTTCCTTCTGTTTCCTTTCGTATTGCTCCTTTTGCTGTCTCTCATACTGCTGCTGCTGCTGCTGCTGCTGTTGTTGTTGTTGTTGTTGTTGTTGTTGTTGTTGTTGCTGTTGCTGTTGCTGTTTCTGTTGTTGCTGTTGTTGTTGTTGCTGCTGTAATTGTTTTTCATAAAGATTTTGTTGAGGAGAAGGGACAGTATTTACAATAGATGATGATGATGATGATGATGTGACGGGAACAGAGCTGGCGGGAGGAGAAGATATATCTATAACTTCGACAGTTTTCTTTGTCAACACTGGAGACGACAATTGGTTCGGTTGTCTATAATTAATTAGCGGGCTACTATTACTACTACTTTGTCCAATAGACGGCTGTTGTTGTAAGTGTATAGGGGAAGGAGAATAAAACTGGTGATGGGATTCATGTAATGATTTCTCAGCGGTGGTTACAGGTGACCTAGAGCGTTTTCTAATGGTAATTGGCGCGTCTGGTATACTACCTATATGATGCTGTGATGGTGGTGGTGGTGATGATAATAACATAAGACTATCGCTGAGTGATGGATCTGGATTCATATCAATATCTGTAATAAATACATATTAAGTTGGTGGTTAATTCTCTTTTATGGATTTTATCATGTGGACAGAAGACGAACCTTGTTGCATAGCTAAACTTTCACGGAATAGCTTGTCAACTAAATCATCCTCATCAGGTAAATCAGAAGTGGAATTAGATTGGTTGAAATCTGGAAACGTAGATTGTGAAGCGTCGTTTTCATCGGTTGACAGTAAAGGTTCCAGCGATTGAAGTTTCCATAACAGTTGCATATTATCTACGAAACCATTCACTCCAACAGGGGAATCGTTGTTTTCCCGTAAAGCCCAGTTCTCCATTGAACGTTGTATATTAAGACTTTATTCAGCAAATATAGGTTGCCTGATGACTTTTTGTTTTATAGATAAAAAAAGAGGGAAGAAGAAAAAAATTCTTTGTTTTTCGCTGAAAAAAGTTAATACTCGAATACTATTAAAAATTTAAAGCAGACTACCTTTTTTTTTTAAAAAAAAAAAAAAAAAAAAAAAATTGTGTGTATATGTTAAAGCAAAAGCATTATTCCACCGCCAGAACTATAATTACGCTCACACAGAAAAAAAAAAAAAAACTCAACTTTGAAGAAGCGCTATAAGTTTGTGACGTAATCAGCTGGTCGCTTGAATGGCATTAATTGGATTTTCCCCCTTCTAATTTCTTTGTGTTTCTCTCTTTCTTTCTTTTCACATATATGGACATTGTACCCAATTCAAGAAAATTAAACGGTATTTCACTGGCTGAATGCATTACAAATGAAATGACAGGTACAAAATTTATCGATTTTATTTTATTTTTTAACATTAATATTTTGACATTTTTTATGTATCAGAAGAAAAATCGGCTCTGGTTAGGTCACCCAGAATTGACCAAACTCTTGTGAAGCGCTATAACAATAGACGTCAGAATATTAATCCCGTTTCCAAGGTGAGTAAGTTCACATAAATTTAGATGGTTGCTGATGCGTACCACTAGTCTTTGAAGAGCTTTTTTAAGAAACTAAGAGGTGTAAGTGATTGCAATGTGATTATAAAATTGTAATAAAATGCTTATAATGCATATATTAATAGACACCAACAACGAGTACTAATACTACAACAAATAAATCCCTTTACCTTTCCCCTTCTACCAATACCACATCAGCATCAGAATCAGCAGTAACATCAGTAGCAGTAACATCAGCAGAAAATATAATTCTGGTTCCTTCTCGATCGTCGCATTCCAAATACAACAATAAAGGACATCAATCAAAAAAGAAGAAAGTAATGATAGCAAAATCACTAAAAAATTATCACTTACCTGCTATCGTAACAACAAATGATGAGAATTTCAGGAGAAAAGTCTCATCATCTTATCATCGCCATACATTAGATCTTAGTTATACCATTGTCGATTATAATACCCCAATAAGAAGAACAAATAGTTTATTTAACAATAACAGTTCCATTTTTACTACATTTACACCGTTATCCAACGATATCCCATTATCTCCTAGTGCTTGTTCAATTAATTCAATTGAAACCGTCTCTTCTTTTTCATCATCATCCTCTTCCTATTCCCAAAAATCAAATTCAGACCACGATATCCAAAAGAGATTATGGGACGAAGATGAGACATTATGTGCCAAGCGTGAAATAGCAGAATGGCTCGGCTCAAAGTAGGTTTTTTATGATTTGTTTAAGCCTTCTGTACTAAAACCCAGTATAGACCAGAAACACGCGCAAACGTATTATATCTCTATATGAATAATTTTGAATTCTCTAACCAAAGGTTAGATGAAGCATTTCGAACATTATGCTCCAAGTTATTTTTAAAAGGTGAATCGCAGCAGCTTGATAGAATTATTGAGGCCTTTGCTAAGCGTTATTATGATTGCAATCCAACAACATTGTTGCATTGCATTGACGTTGTGTATGCCGTTGCTTATTCTTTGTTACTATTAAACACCGATTTACATGTCGTTTCCGACTGGGCCAATAAAATGACTCGAAGCAATTTTGTGAAAAATACTATGGAAACGATCCAATCACTGGTGTTCCCTCATATTATGCTTGATGATTTCAGTAAACAAAGAAAGCGCCGAGCATCCAATGTTAGTCATCAAAGCAAAAGCAGTAGCGAATCTTTATACCAAATGAAAAGAATTGACAGCTCTTCCCGATCGATCATTTTGGAAGACGCATTAAAGTCAAATATATCTCTCGAAACCGGACTAACTAGAACACAAAAGGTTTGGTTAGGAGATATCGAGAGTTTATTAAAGGTAAGGAGAATTATGCACATATTGAAACTATTTATTAAATTTGAGTTTACATGTAGGATATGTACACTGCAGTGAAATCCAATGGCATTGACCAAGCAAAGAAACAAATACCACAGAGTACAAGTACAATTAATTTGTACAGGTCAAGAACTTTGCCTAAAAACGATGCAGGAAAAACTCCATCATCTTTCCGAAGAAGAAGAGGCCAGTCAGTCATCAATCCCTTGGATAATAAATTGTCCTTCTCAGTCAGTGAACTAAAGCAAGGTCTTGTGATGCGAAAACATGTCATGGAAAGCACTGATAAGAGGGCGCGTAATCGACAATGGCAGCTTTGTTATTTGGTTATGAATGGAACTGAGCTAGTAATGCATAGGCCAGTTAATGTATCACAACAGCAAAACATCCAACAGACTTATGATCAAAAGGCCAGAAGGAGGAGGAGTATGATGTTATGGAATCAATCTGTTTGCTCTTTACAAGACATTCTATCCCATGGAGGAGGGGCTGAGGATTGGCAAGCTGATCAGGAGGGAACACCTCTAGGTATATTGGAAATGAATCATACTTATACGAGTGCTATACCACCACCAGGATGGAATGGACAAAGACCCCATGTTTTCCGGATGGAAACGGCAGATGGTGGCTTATGGCTATTCGAATCCACAGATATGTTTGCTATACAAGCATGGGTAGAAGCTGCAAATACAACAGCTGCTAAAATTAGTAAAGGGCCAATGACAGGTGCAGTTTGTAATATTGACTATGGTTGGGGTGCCAAATGGGATAATACGACAACGGAATTCACAACAGAAACTGTGCCTGTATGGTACCCTCCCACCCCTTGCATGATCAAAAGTACATTGGATGTGAATTATCAATATTATGACTTTGAAACACAAATTACAAATCTCAATGAAGAATTGACTCGCCATAGAGGGCTGAAGATGTCTCTCGATAAAAAGGTATTAAGTCATTACCTTATATGTTACCTTTACTTATGATTTTTATAATAGTTCTCTCCAGGCAATAATCATGGTTTAAATAGCATGCAAGCATTGACTAATTGGGATAGAAAATTGCAGTTTATATTACATGAATTGGTCAAGCTAAAGTGTTATAAAGAAAGCCTTCATCAGTCACTCACTTGACAGGCTCCATGATTTGTAACCCCTCTTTCCCCATGACACATTTTAAATCCCTCCCAGTCTAATAATAATAACTCCTTATTTTGTCATGCATAAAGATAAATATAAAAATTCGTTGATGTGTTATATTATAAGAAGTAAAAAAATTAAACATGAAGTCATGATTTCATAAAAGAGCAAGGGCACAAGATGAGATGCCTTTGATATATGTAGTCGTCCGTATTTTCCAATCGTATCATCCGGAAATGGTGCAGATTGAGAAGGTCTTGCACTCGACATGATGGAGGAACTTGAGCCGGTGTGGATCGGAAATGCGGGGAAATGAGTGAAAACAAAAGATGTAGGCGATGGCGAGAAAAATTGTAAAGAGGTGTTGCTACCATTAACACCTAGTGTCATACTTGCATTTAAGGTTGTTGAGATAGTCACTGTAGCTGTGGGAATAGCTATAGCTGTTCGACTGTTCTCGTCTATGATTATTGTTGTGGTCATATTGCTAAACGATGTACTATAAATCGTGGTTGTTTCTTGTTGACTATATGTAAAATGAACTAATTGTAATATTAATATTAAAGAAAAGATACGCATTTTATTATATGTAAAAAGAGGAAGAAGAAGGAAAGAATTGAAAACAAGATTATGTTTTATACGACTCAAATAGGAGAGAAAAAAAGGGGTTCCTTTCAAGCAAAAACATTTGTTTGTTAGATTTTATACTTTTTGGCTGCTGCCCAATCAACTATAGGACTAGCTATCAATTTTGCCCAAATAGCGACATATCCAAACCATGAAGGTATATATACTTCCCTTTCTCGGTTATCAGATGCCAATATAATTCGCTCGGCCACTTGATTGGGTGATAATTTATTCGTTTTTGATCCGGCTATCGTTCCATCTCCTAGAGATTTATCCACCGCAGAGTGACGAAGCTCTGTATCTACTGTACCAGGACAGATCAATCCAATGTGCACATTCAGAGGTTTTAATTCAACACGAATCGAATCGAAAAATCCATGTATCGCATGCTTAGATCCAGCATATAATGCACGTGTTGGAGCTCCAACCTTTCCCGCCATGGATGATATGACAATGTAATTGGGTGCTACTGAGCTTGCAATCAATAATGGTAAAAATAATTTGGCTGACCAGACGGCTGCAAAGTAATTGAGGGTCGTGATGTGTGATAAAGCTGAATTGACTGCTTCATTTTTTTCTTGGTGGATCTCGACAACATTACCGGGCTTAACGCTAATGCCACAAGATTCTAAAAAGGGCCTGACTGATATCATACCAGCACAATATATAACTGTGTCGACACCTTGTAATTTATTTTGCGTCAAATCGGCCAGCTTTTTTAAGTCGCTTTCTTTAGTGACATCGCCCGCAATGTACTCAACATGGGGTGATCCCCCTTCTTCACATTCCTTTGTTACTTGCTTCAATAGTTCTTCCCTTCTAGCAAACAATACAAGTTTTGCTCCTCGAGAAGCATATTTGAGAGCACAGTCTTTTCCAATACCCGACGAACACCCGATTATAACCACTCGTTCATCTTTGGGTTTTAACTTCCTTGTACGCTCTTGACTTGACTTTTGTTTGTAAATGTAATGTGCAAGCAAAATAGCTAACGCTCCGGACACTAATTCTTTTTGCATTTTTTTTTTCTTTTCTTTTCGTTAAAGACAAAAAAGCAAAACAAGCAGAATTAAAATGCACCTTTTATTTCACGAGCCACACGTGCTAGGAATAAGCTGAAGTTTAATATCTGCGAAGTGTGTAAATGTGTCAGCAAATACAAATATAATCATCGGCTGGTAATTTTAGGCACATTATTTTTAATAGTAGTACCGACAATATTATTAAATTAGTGCGAGGTTTGTTATCTCAAATCATCATTTACGCGAAAGCTAATAAAATTTATTGTTTAAAGTAAAAAATCTTTGGTTGTGCCAAGGTTTAATTATTTTTACATGTCTGTATTTGATACACCAAAATCGAGCATTTGAAAAGATGTTTCTTCATGACTATTTATAAAAATAAGCAGTTAATTCTTATGGTTGTCACACATTCGACATGAGTACTCACTCTCTTATGGCTACAATGCACCGTCTTTTATCAAATGTAACCCACCATACCCCTTTGACATCAGTGACCAAGTCATACAAATGTCTACCAGTTTTAATGTCCCACATCTTAAGACCCCCTTCAGAACCAGATATAACCTTTTCGTCATCATGCTTGAAGCAAGTGATAGCACCGTCGTGTCCATGTTTACCAGCTAGAACGTGCTCACATACGCCTGTATCTGGATCCCATACACGTAATGTTTTATCGGCAGCAGCAGAAACAAGATGATTGGGTGTAAGTCCTAACAAGCCTACTAATATGGAATGGCCATCTAATTTATGCAAACATTCACCAGTGATTATGTCCCAAACATAAACCGTGCTATCCATACTTCCGCTCATACACTGTTGTCTGATGGGATCGATGACTACAGCGTATACATTACTTGTATGCCCTTCCATTCGATGCAGCATTCTTCCCGTTTCCAAGTTCCAAACAGCGACAGTATTATCATAACTTCCACTAACCAATGTATTACCATGAGCAGCAATGGACCTGACAGAGTTTGTATGACCAACCAATAAGAATTTAAACCATGGATTGGATCCTTCGCCTACATACGGTTCAGTCTCCTGGCTTTCTTCATCTACGTTTGGCAAATTCCACACTCGAATGGAAAAATCTCTAGAACCGGTGACGATAAGAGGTTGACTGGGTTCCAATCTGCCGTTGATCATGACAGGTTCCACTATTTGCAAACAACGAACTGTGGATGTGTGGCCTTTAAATATATGCGTGCATATTCTCTTCTCAATATTCCAAACTCGAACCGTTCTGTCAATTGAGCCACTTACAAGTGTATTACCGACATATTGTAAAGCCCAAACACCCCCAAGATGACCCTGCAATTGCTCCATTGGGCCAGCTGGATCGTTGGTATTGTATATATTGATCATGGAATCAGTTGCTCCGGAAACAATCTTTTCTTCATCGAACTGTAAGCAAGTAACAATGTAGTCCTTATGTCCTTCAAATTCTATTCTTTTGAACTTTCCTTTCTTCCAGTTGGACTTTAGGGTATACTGTCTTTTGTAATATTCTTTAAAAGACATTTTGTTAGAAGGTGGTGAAAGTTCAAAACCATCTTTCCTTAACAATCTGTGCCACGTATTTTTATCGCCTTCAATGAGAGTACGCCATTTTTTACTGACACGGGATGCTGTACAAAGTGTTTTAATGTCAAGATGACTAATAACTTGTAGCTTTAACTCGTGTGGCAAAGAAGCAATAAAATCTCGTTTTAAAATCGGCATAATACTTGAATTGACAAACTGAAGCGTACTTGTACTGGACCTTTTTAGTAGTCGAAATAAAGTATGTGCTTGTGTCTGGGGTGACAACTTTTCAAACTCTTTGGCTAGCAAAGGGAGTTGTTGTATTGTTTGAACAATTTGTTGCTGCTTGTCGGGTAGTGTTGAAAAGTCTTGTGCCATATATTTCATTACTTGTTCTTCCACAATACGAGACTTTGGTGTTGTTTCTTTGATTGTATGTGAAGAATGCTATATATGTTTCTTAATATGTTTTTTTTCTTTGTGTCGCTGACGCTAATATTTAGTATATTCTCACCTGAAGATTGGCAGTTAAGCAAGAAGGGACGGGTTCATTAAGCAAAGGATAATTTTGTATTGTGGCAGCATGATTACTAGCATCAATTTGTCCCTCGTTAGAGTTAAGTGTAATTTGTATAATGGAATGGTCTGACATGAAGAAAAAGGATAACTCATTTTAAATAAAAATAAAAATGAAATATGTATTCGATTAAAGCACTGTGTAATACTTAAGTCACACACATACATCTGCATTTGCCCCTCCATCGCCACTAAAGCTTAAATATAAGATATGGTAGACAGGTTTGTCTTGGTCTGGGTGCTTTTGATTTGTAATCTTATCGTTCGTAATTTTGTATACATCATGTGTAGCATTGTGACTTCATTTCACACATAGACTTCATAAATAAAGACCTTGTTATAAACAGCTTTTGGCTACCCACTTTTTTTCTTTTAGATGTTTACGTTTTGGTTTCGAGATTGCAATAAATTTTATCGATCAATTATATTGCAAATAATGCAAGTTAAATACTATCAACAAATAATAAAAGCTTCCTTTTGAAGTACTCATGAATAGTTTTCTTATTTATAACATAACTACTGGTATTTGACAATTTCGCCTACAATAAAGCAATGTATATGAAAAATATGGTTTTGGTCTGACCTCGACATAAATTGGTCAATGATGAGATTATTAAAATGTGTTTCTAAAGTTGAACGTACATATTTTCTATCATGCATAATTTATCGAGTAATGTACCTTGCTCAATTAGCAAAGTGTCTTGTCGGACTGATTGTTTTCTACCCCTCCTCCCCCAATTCGCATTGAAAAATCTTCTCATTTCATGTAAAATCATAAAAGATAAAATACAGCCATGTATAACTATCTAACACAATGTTGTTCCCCAGTTCTAAGCAAACCCAAGATATTTATTACTTAGTGAACATGTTAAATTATAAAAAATTCCTTCTATATAACTTGTAGTGCAGCATTATAACATATGTTATGTTAAGGGAAAAATTGTATCGACCAGGTGATGCTTGATAATGTTTTTGAACATAGTTTCATAAGTATATCTACTATGTGGATATTTATGCATTATCAACTAACGGGAATTAGTTTATTGAATGCTATGGTTTATCATTTACTGACAACGTCACAAGAATCAGGAAACTAATAAATAAGACAGAACCAAAAAGTAACTACATTAAAAAATTTAGACTTTAAAATTTGACGTATCATCTGTGACGATACCCTAAATTTGCAAAAAGCAGAGTTGACTTTGTGTTCACGACCCCCCCCCCTTTTTAACGATGTTATTGGTTGGTGATCACTGTTTTTCAAGGAATACAAAATCAGAGTTAAAGCGTTTTCCAATTTATCTTATTTAATACAATATCTAATGGGATGGGCACCTAAGCACCTATTATTAATATAGATGAAAACATCATCGTCCGTTTTAAAGACTTATTTATCAACAAAATGAAGAAAAATATATTGGTTGATCTATGGTGGCGATAAATTTAGATATAGGAATTGGCATGACCATACACTATAACTACTTCACAAAAGTGTACACTTCCTTGTTGGTGTCTGTCAGCTTTACGAAGGTCAAGTAGTTAAAGTAAAGCATACAACCATTTATCTCGCTCCGTGTAAATTTGATCCGATTTCGGGGAGAATAGTGTTACACGCGCATACAATATGTGGTTAGTGTAGGTTGATGCATCATTTTACTTTAAAGTATGGATCATATCCGAATTCCATATGCCTGCACGAACTAAAATCAAGAATAACAAAAGTTATGATTTATATGATCGAATTGCGATATAGTGTCTTTTAATAATGCGCTTTGATTTAAAACATGAAAACAAACTACATGAGGTTTGTATCTAAATAGAAGCTGTTGTAGTTTTCTCGAGTATTATGATTTATGAATGGGCGGTAGTCTTAAAACTAACTACTCGTATGGTCTGTTATAATTGTAACCTCCATCTTAGAAAACTAAAGGTTATATATATCTTGATGGAAGCTTACATCATGCAGCCTTTTTTTTATTCGTCCCATGCCCACCATTTGACCAACTTATTCTACCAGAAAACGGGCTGAGATGCATTTTTTATATACTTTTTTTTTTCGTTACAGCGTATGTATGAAGATAATCTGAAGTAGTGACTTAAAAATGATTTACAAGACCTTTTTTTTTTATAGTTGCAATAGTTATCACTGTTATCTAAAGATTACTGATCGTTTTTAAAGTATTTGTGTCTTGAGTTTTGTCGCACAAGCACAAATATTCCTCCGAAATTCTTAGAGCCTCGGGAAGGGTTATTAAATGTCTAAATAAGAACTTTTAGTGGCTCAAGGATTAAGCAGCAAGTTACGATCTAAAATCTGTGTTTGTTTAATCACATTGTCACAAAAATATACTTTTAAAATTGTGTGATCCTTTGCTTACGTTCCTGAACCCCCAACAGCCAATTTTTTTAATCGCAGTCAGTGGATGTAATTGCCAAATTGAGCGTCTACTCCACTGTAGGACTGGAACTTAAAAACAACGTTACACAACATTATATGTGCTTATTTGCCAGTTTACTTAAAATCTACTTTCTGTTCATGTTCAGAATTTTTGTCTGAAACTACAAGTCAGTTAACACAGATCAATTTAGTGAAAGCAACCATTTCGATTGAGTAATCAAATGAACCTAATGGTGCTTATTTTTAAAGCGTAGGATTTCTATCCGATAGTTTGTTTCTGTACGTTATCAGCTGCATAAGTTACATATTTTCTCCTCTAACATGCTTAGGACAAAGTCTATAGATTGCGTTTATTTTCAATAGACGTCTTAGTATAAAGCAATATATCTACATGACATATTGTATCGGTAGATCATGCCAAAGGACAAGGGTAATTACATAACGGTGATACAAAAGGCCGGAGTATCCGGTGATAGTTGTAACAGTAACAATGAGTAAACTACCAAATTTCTATTCCAAAATAGAGAGCTAACATTTCGGAACTGATCCTGTTCCAAGAGGACAGTATTATGATGTGTATCTGAGTGTAACTCTGTGACTGATTTTCGATATTGTAGCAAAAATTGAAACACCAACCTCATACATACTTTTTCCTTTTCTCTCTTTTTTTACTTTTTCTTTTGCTATCTTCTTATTTCCATAAGACCTCCTTTTCTACATATGCCTTCCCGAATACAATTACAAGTAACGAATGTAGATTACAAGAGACAAGATCCCGTATTTTGGATAGAAGTAAAAGTAATTCAGGTGCAATAACGAAAAGCATAAACCAGTTTATACTAAACATGCTTTTTTTAGACCACCCTAACGAAGTACAAACAAAAACAGAAACGCTTTCCAAGATACTATTCGGAATTGTCGAAATTGCATGATCATTTAGCTTCAACATTGGATGATGTATTAATACCAGCTCTACCAACTTGTCCTACCCCTCGCTTAGACAAAGAAGGAAAATTGGTTGGAAGACAGTGGTGGTTAAGTATCAAACTTCCTCACGAAAGCAGCAGTGAAAAGGTGGATGCAGGTTTAGTAGAGAATAAAATTCAAGATTGGTTAGATAGAGTATCCGAACACGAAAGAGTACAAGATAGCGAGGGACTACGAGAGTTTGTCGAGAGTGAAGTGGCCAAGGTAAAAAATAAAAAAAAGGGCTGTATATGTGTGTATTTTATTATATTTATGTTTATACAGTTTAGGCCTACATCAAATAACTTTAAATCAAGAAATAAATTGCCTTTAATTAATGTATCGGAAGAAGACATGGAACCTGAATTTGAATATTGTATGAAAGAGTTGACTACATTTTCCAGCAATTTAAGTCAAATAATAGCAAGATTAGAAAAACTGGTGAATGAGGAAAATGGTATTTTGTGGGGTAGTGATATGATATTGTGATTTATTATTAACATTATAGTAGAAATGTCTATTTGCTGGATGAATTTATCTTCATCTTGGGTTTCTTATGGCGGTATTGAACGAAATCCCGGTTTATTTATGTAATTTATTTATAGATACTGGTTACACCGACATTCTTTTAACAAGTGATTTTAGATTATACAAGTCTGTGGCAAAAGGATATCAACAATTGTCTGATTTAGAGAGATTCCAAGCGATAGCACTGAACGAGACAATAGGCGATGAAATATTATACCAGACAAGAAATTGTAATTCCGCACAGGTAATTGAAAGAAAAATATGGGAAATCATGCAAAATTCAAGTTGTTAACTATGTTAGTAGAATGCAATGCAAAGAAGATTGAACGCATTATCTGACTACCTAACTAGTAGAAAAATTACTGAATCCAGTCTAAAGAGTGTAGAGAGGCTTAAATCGTCTACTATTATCGATCGACAACAAGCAAGCGAAGCCATTGCTATTTTAGAAAATGTATGACGCTAAAATTAATAATAGCCCTATATGATGACTAAAAAGCCATATTTCTTTTAGGCTCGAACAAATCAAAATGCAAATAAAGATAGGTTTAATAAAGTGGATACAAATCTTAGAAACGATATCGAAGAAAATTACAGGCCCAACGTTAAAAAGGACATGCTGAGGGCTATAAAGGAATTTGCTAAAAGTCAACTATACCTGGAAAAGAAGAAATTACTCATCTTTCAAGAAATTCTTGAAAATAAAAAGATGTGACGACATAATTTTAAATCACAGATTTTAATGATTTATAAAAAAAAAAAATACAACCGCGTTTTATTTTATTGTTTTGTTTGAAATATAATTGTCATCTTTATAATGAGCGAACAAACATTTGAAAAGGGCGTTGCACCTCCCAAGGTTAAGCTTAACGGATCTGGTCTCCGTATTGCTATTGTTCACACACGTTGGAATTTTGCTTTGGTTGACCAACTTTACAAGAAAGTGTATGATACCTTAATTGAAAGATACAATGTTTTACCCGAAAACATCTATACCGTAAGTTATAAATTCGTCTAGAACACGGAAATGATGTTTTAACAACGATTTTAAGGACACTGTTTCTGGTGCCTACGAACTTCCAATGGCTGCCAAACAATTAATCGAACTTTCCCAATCTCAAGCTTCCGAGACAGCAAGCGATTTGCTTGGTTCTCCTGCTTTAGGAAATGTAAAGAAGTCAGATAGAAAGACTGGGCCTTTCGATGCTGTCATCTGTATTGGTCTTGTTATCAAGGGTGGAACTGCACATTTTGAATATATTTGTGATGCTGTCACACACGGTATTATGAAGGTTCAATTAGATACTGGTGTTCCAGTTATGTTTGGTGTTTTGACTTGTTACAACGATGAACAAGCTATTGCTAGATCTACCACAGAAGATGGTTTCCATCATGCTGAAGAGTGGGCTGCTGCTGCCGTTGAATCCGGTTTAAGAAAATTCAAGAAACTTTAAACTTGTCATTGTTGCAGAATAAAATAAAGTTTTGACATTTGCAAGTCATCGATTGTACGATCTTGTAACTCCGTAACAAATAAAAAAACTATATATATATATATATAAAGAGAGATTTATTGCTTTTTCGAAAGTGACCTAGAAGACCTGCGAAGACCAGGAATTTCATCTTTCTGTTTTAAACGATTGTCTTGTTTTGTCGTAGGGATTTTTTCAGTTGAAATATCCTGTGTTGCACTTTTTTTGACTATGGTCTTTTTTAAAACGGATTTTCTTAAAATTTGCCTAGATGGAGCAAAAGCAGAGGTTCTGCCAGCGACAGTTTCGAACTTGAGAGAAACACCATTTGGAAGTTTTTGGCCTGTTTTTTTACCTTTATTCCACCTGTATTTCATTAACCAATCCTCGGGAAATTTAGACTCATCGGCTTCTTTTTTAACAGCAGTTTCACACACAAATTTTAATTTTTCATACAGAGCGGTCAGTTCATCCATTGTTAACGTATTTGTATACTGAGCTGGATGAATCTTAGCTTGGTACAAAACTTCGTCTGCCACCCAATTTCCTACACCTGCAGAAAATGATTGGTCCAACAAGAGTGCCTTTACGGGAACAGCGCGTCTAAGCACTAGCCTGTTAAAAATATCAGGTGGCGGTAAACTTAACACAGGATCAAATCCTAATTTCTTTATAGGATCTTCAAGCAAAGGGTCTTTTCCTTCAACGAGTCTCAGTCTTGCCAACCTTCTAGGATCTTTAAATGCAAATTGTATCGTCTTCTCTTTATCGTAAGGATCCTGGAATGTGATCAAAAGTTTCCAGAATTTTGGAGGCCAATTTTCTGGCTTCTCTTCATGTTGAAACTGTATTTGTTATGTTATTTGATTGTCAGGGAGTTCAAAATTATTTGCTAACCCTGATACCACCAGTCATGCCAAAATGCGCTACCATACTCGGTCCTTTATCGAATACTTAACAATAATTAAAATTAGCGACTTGATTATATATGTTAGCAAATAAATAACATGTACGAAGAATAAAGTATTTTCCCCATCGCTTCGTGTCAACCAATGTTCTATCTAATATTTTTTCGGAAAATATAGTGGGAGTAATATCTTTAAAAACAAGAGCATCAGGTTGCTATGATAGAATCCTTGTATTAAATTATGACCTCTACAAAAAAGAAAAAAAAAAGGCTATTCTTACTGTTTCAACATGTACTATTTTATGATTAAGCAATTGTCTATGAATGCGCAGCCTAGCACGTTCAACCTATAAACTCATTAGCTAGTACGACTTTTGTCCGTTTTTTCTTCTCACCTCTGCAATTTCAGGCATGATGTTTTTCTTAAAAAAAAAGAAAAGTTACTTTTGAAAAGACCTAAAAATGTATTGAGACAGATAAACAGATAAGCAGATTAATGCCACTAAAACTCAGGCAGAATAAGAATAATGTTCAGACCAAGTCATCTCATTAGGTTTTGGAATGTCTATACCCCGCCAAAATAATTAAAGTGTAAGCGGCCTTCAAATAGTGTAAGCGGCTTCCCAAATATAAAGGATTAGCCCTACAGCAATCAAATATCTGTCAAAAACACATTGCGCAACAAGCATCTGAATTGATAAATCACATACGCTACTTCAAGTAAGCTTAAATATCTGATGTAATTTATGATTCAGTTATATACGGGAATTGTTTCTTATTCTTATGAAAGGAGGACAGGACCTACAACAAAGGCTATTGGGGTGTCACAATGATATAGGTTCAAATGCATTGAGTATCAGATAAATTAGTGAACTGAAACTGAACACAACAATATCCTTTTTTCTGGCTTACCATAAATTATAATTAAATATTTCAAACAAGAGTAATAAGTCTCAAAACATTACAGAGCGTCCGAATGAACAAATAAATAAAAATGGGCACAGTGCTGGTTGTAAACGTAAACAGATCGATAACCAATGCACTATGACATTTTTTTCTTTTGCTAATTCTTCGAGTAAAGTCGTACAATTTGAAGCCTCTACAAGCACCGAACAGGTATGAATCATGCAGATATTATGCTCTCAAACATATTGTTAACATATTGAATTCTAAGCCCCAGTTTGATACAACTGGTATTAAAGACAAATTCCCATAAACACGGAGGAAGCCGAAAAAAGAATTTGAGAAGATTTAGATGACCAAACATTCGAAGAATTAAATGAGGAAACATTCAACGAAATTGACGGATTTGCGTCTACACTTTCTTTTGATAGTGAAGTCTCCAAATAACACGACGCTCTTTAGCAAAGATTAGGAAAGAACAACAAAAACAAGAATCACTTTTCTGATGAGTATAAAAGAGGAGCTTTTTGGACACAAACATGAAGCCTTATTTGCTTTGGCAAATAGTGTAGATCCATCAGAGTTGTATCACCCCAGAACTTTTATTTGGTTAGCCGATCACTTGCATGACAATCTGGTGTCTCTCCTATGGATCTGATATTGAATCTAAAGGATTTGTTAGAAAAACTGAAACAAGAAGAATAACTGATTTAAAAGAGTATGTAATTATATGCCTTGTTTTCTTTATTCAACGGCCAAAGATTATTAGATATTCTTGCGTAACTTTGAAAAACTAATGCACTTTCTATAGCTGCTTTTACATAATGACAAGGAGCTACGGGTGTAAAAATTCGATCAAACAGCATTATTTCAATGCGTTTGATTCCGGAATCATCAGACAACTTCCGTTCCGAATGCAATCTGACTTCCCAGCTCTTTTAACACATGAATCTGCAATTTCAAAAGATTTAGCTAAACTGTGCTGTCAGTGGCGTCTCGGGTTTTGGAAAGACGCATTCCACTTGATAGATATGCCATTATCACAAAACCATGGTATGTATAGAGATCTTTATCAGTGTTTTAGAGATGCTTTATTTGTTTGCAATCCAGCAGACAAAAAAATGTCTAAAACTATTTGTACACTATCAACACTGATTTCAATGCATACATGGCAAGTCATCCAGATTTTATTCCGAAGCGAGTCGAAAGATGAGTCCCCCCAACTAACCAACTATTACCTCCTGCTGTTAAGCTTCTCTTTGATCAGTATGGGTACTTACCATGTGTCAAGATAGGATTTCCGCTCTTCGATAAAGAATCTATTAGAATAAATCCAAACATATTTTAAGATCCATTGAGTTGGGTCATGTTTCTGATCTGATTGATGGCCCTTCATTGTACAGAGAAACTGGTAAAGATAATAATGGGATAATAAAATATTCATGCTTCAGAGGTTCCAGCTCCGTAGAAGGAAACCACCAAAACATCATACGAAAATTCTCGTCCATCAACTCTGGTCCTCGTCTTGCCGATTCAGTTCTTGGAGACTTTCGACTGTATCATAACATCGAGGTACTTTAATTGATAGGTATAAACTGATTTTTTTAATTTATTTATGTTTAGGCTGGTGCGAGAAACTGAAAAGGTGTAATTCATAAAAGTCATTATAGTCCATGGATTACCCAATGCATTAGTATGATGAGATTGAATGTTGGCCACCGTCCCGTTAAGAATTACTCATTACATCATATCGAAAAACTTCCCACCGATTTTGTTGGACGATATGGGAAAACTTTTGGTATAATAGCACTTGAATTTCCGTTTATTGATGCGTATAACATGCGGTCAGGTAAAGGAGACGAATTATTTCAACAATGACTTTCAAAAAATGCGATAAAAACTAAGATGCTTGAGCTGAGTTTTTTTTGTTAATCATAAATTTAGGGAAAGAAGGTTATTTGGCTCGCAACTTTTTGTACCGTTACTTAGCACATAGACCACATTTACATTATTTCATAAGCACATGACTTAGAGTACTTGAAGCGATAGTCTACCTTGGAAATGTGATCAGTAGTCGGTGCTTGCATTGGTGGACGACTGATCATGTTTAGGTATAACCGTTGCATACGACAAAATGTACGCAGATATTTCTACTGGAAAGCAGTTGTTTTTTAGACGATGGAAGTACAATATAGTCGATAAAAAAATCTTGTAAATAAACATTGAGACTGATCAGTTTATATCTGAGAACACTCACTTAAAAGTAAAATAGTCGGAAAGCATATAACAATCTTCTTTGGAATTAGTAAAATTGATATGTGTTTGTCAGCCGTTTTTGTCCCCAAAACGATTCACTTCTTCTTTGGGTAATGAAGTTGTGTAGCCTCAACATAAGAATACAAAAACTTAAATGAGTTCTCAAACCTTTTTGAACAGATATGTCGTTTCCTCAAACGATTTATTTATGTTACAGAGAGCACAGAAAACCTCAAAAGAAAAGTGGGACACAAATAAGATATGTGTGTACACTAGTTTATAGGAAACCAAAGAAAAAAAGAAATAAGCGTGATATCAGTGCCAAAAAAAGGTTATGCTGGTAGCAATTTAATTTATTTTTAGTGTTAAATTGCTCCTCTCTTCTCCTCGATCTCTTACCCCTTTCATTTTTCTTTTCTTTTTTGTGTGCTCCTCGCCTTTCCTTTCCTTTTTTTCTTTCTTTATCTATCCTTGTGTTTCTTATTCCATTCATTTTCAGCACGCACATAATCACAAATGGGACTTGGTTTAGAGAAATGTTGTTGCCTCATTCCACTTAGATTAGGTACTTTTTTCATTGCCATCTGGTTTTTTGTAAGATTTTGAAACAAACAGACTTAAATTTCAGTCCAATTTAATTAACCATATATCTACTACAGGCTATATACTTGTTTTACTCTGCAACTGGTTTTGTAGGTGTAAATGGTAATAAAGCGGAATATGAATCGATAATAAACTGTGTGTAACTAACTCTATTTAATAAGCTATTGTATTCTATTCAGGTCAAGCAGCAAGACCTTGGTACTACATTAATTTATTATTTACTGTATTTATTTGTGTTGGTGGTTTATGTGGTATTGCTGGTTCATTGTTCGTAAGTTGTGATTATTAGGATGTTTCTAATTAAATTATGAGCTTAACACTTTTTAATTTTAGGCCTCACGAAGATTTTCGAAAGCATTTAGTGTCATTGTTTGGATTAGTTGTATTCTATCTATGCTAGTCTATGTCATCTCACTTGTATTGATGGCAGTAAATTCCCAAAATGTGATCGAATCATGCATGGTGGTGGGTTTTGTAGGTGTACAAAATGCTCAACGAAATATTTCCCCGGTACGAATCAGCGACACAGATTTTTACTCGCCTGTCAAATACCCAGGTTTGATGACAGAGCATGCTGCAAGTGAAAGTGATTGTGCTCGTATGCTTAAACTTTTTACGATCTTGTTTGGCATCATTATTTTTATTGTACAATTAGTTCAGGTAAAATGACTTTTCTATTCAATGTAATTTATAAATTAAACGCCTTGTTTTATAGATTTATTTCGCCTATGTTGTCGGTGCCTATGCCAAAAGACTGTCCAATGGTGCACGCCATCATCGATTGCATGCTCAACAAATCAAAGACTTTGAAGAATCAAGATACCACATGTCTACTGTGTATTAAACAAACAAACAATCCCTCCTCTAGTTGTACATACATGATCTCTCACCCAATCTTAAGGCGGGGACTAAAAATATATTGGTGCATCCCACCCATTATACTTCCTATTTTTGATTCAAACAATAATAGACAAAAGTAAAATCGAACCATTTCTAAATTACAAAATTAAATCTTTACGCATAACTAATATATACAAAAATGGTTTACTTGATGTGACAAACCAACTAATTCTATCTTTAACTGGACTTAAGTTGTACTGCGCCATTAATCAGAAAGATTGATGATTTTATTTATTTTTTGTAGATTCTGTAATTATCCCGGTATAATAGGGAGTGGGTAGAAGTAGCATACTCATTAAGAGTATCTGAAGACTTACCTGATATTTAAAGTAAAATCCAGTTAAATTTCATCAGCGAGGAATACTTTGACTTCCTATTTTTTCAATCGAAAATTACATTACACTCAACAAACCAATGGATCGGCAGTTGATTTCCAGTTGATCAACTGCACGTGCACAAGATTTATGAACATTTTCACCCTGATGTTCTCTATATGTGCGTTTTAAGCTGGAATATATGCAAGTTGTTGAACAGTAAAAGATGAATACTTATTGGGGGAAGTGCCACTGCTATTTTTAAATCATTGATGATGTTGTATATCATTGAAACAGTGTATCATGCCTCTTGGCATCATCCCAGAAAAAAAAATATAAGGAAACTATGTTGTTCATGGGCGATCGTTGCATACAATTAGTATAAGCACTTACGTTCCTTTTACCTTCTATTTTAACAAAAACTGTGCATACTGTATAGTAACACAAGAATTATGCGTTGTTTGCCGCTTGAGTTTTTTTTTTTTTGGGGATGCTCGAATTTCTGGCCAAACAACGAATCAATTTTATGCAAGTTGTTAAATAGTGTGCCCTATAAATAATCCCTATTGTTATATGACATCATTTCATACAGCTCAAATAATTATTTCATGCCTTGTTTGAGTTAAATCGGTTTTGCGTTACTCTTGTTACCAGCTTCGATCAAAAAAGCTGTATGTCCAAAAAAAAAAAAAAGAAGATTTGGGGAACGCTTGTTGACTTTCCTCTGATTTGTATCCGACAATACTAATCCACAGCCAGCATCGAACTCGTTTAGTAGTAGCTTGTAATGACAGTGAAGCAGATTGTATGGAAAACAGAAATCAATCATCCTATGAGGTTTAGACGATATGGCATGTCAATCGACGTGTAGACCATCATGTTATTCTAAAAAATAGGTTTGAAAAACATACTGAGTTCTGGACATTTCCACATTATCAAGATTCATCTCGTCCGAACTGTCATCGTAATCTAAATAAAGATCTTCTAAGGGGTTGTAATGAATAAAATCCAAAACTAAATCTTAAATGTTTAAGTAAATGGTTTAAAAGAGAAAGGTAATCGTTTCAAAAAGATTAATAGATCGTTTAAAAAAAATGAGCTTTGTTTGTTGTTTTCAATAGCATCTCCTTATATACCCGAATAAAAAAAGAATGACGTCAGAGTTTTCCTTTGGCTTGTTCATGCGGAATGACCTTACTTGGTAAAGAGATGGGACCGAACAGTGTTGAAACCGCGGCTATAGAAACATTTCTAAGTTTCCTTGTAATTTGCATCGTCTTGAGCTAGCCGTAATACAGATTTCGCGTTAGTATGAACATAAACAGATATGATAGAGAAAACGCTTTTCTTAGGGACAGCCAAAGTGCACGTAGTCGTAGCGCAAGATCTCTGATTTGGATGTCTGTAGACCTGGGAATAAGGATATACAATCAAAACCAATGTAACAATTACGAATAAATGTATATTAAACGATTTATACTTATTTTGACAATTCTATCATCACTCTTTCGCCTTTGAGCTCGTTTGATCTTAATCTTACGCAGAAATATTAAGGTAAAGTCCAAACGAGAAGCTAAAAGTAAGCTGTAAACCACATATACTGGTTTACACTTTGTTGGTTGTAATAAATGTGTATATATTTCAAGCTGTTAAGTTATATTGACCTCCTGATGTCTATAAAAGTATCATAATCCCGACATTACGACTACGCGCACTCTGGCTGTCCCTAAGAGACCCGTAGAGAAAAAAGTTATATCACTTACCAATTAATCAGATAACACCCACTGAACACTGGGGAAACAGCTCCAATAGGCTATACATCATGAAGTAATGCTTTAAAATGATAAAATAAACTGTAAAACTGACTTTTTGCATAGAACATAAATATAAAAATTATCATACCTGTAGCAGTGTTAGACACTGTTTGTAACGGAAACCAAATTCTAGACTGCCTTCTTCCGCCGATAGATAAATGTTGTATTGGTACCAATCCCGGCATCAGTAAAAACCTTTTGCCTCCAAAAAAAAAAACCTTTCATGAGGAAAAAATTGGGCAGTACAAAAGGAAAAGATAACCAAAGGTCAGCACGATCAGCTCAAAAGTAAACAACCACATTTTGATACGTATTTTGTCTACAAAATTAAATAAAATAGATTAAGTATCATTTATACTTGCTTATTTTTACGATACTTCCGTCCTCTTTTTTCCTTTCTTTTGGTGAACAAAGGAATAAAGAAAGAAAAAGTCGAAAAAGCCCTTTTATAAGTTAAAAAATAATAATATATCAGATCAAATGTTGTTAGAGACGTCATTTTTGTATAATATGGGGTTTCGACGACAAATTGAGAATAATATTTTCTTTACCTTATGATGATGGGAACCAGGTTTATGAATTTAATTTGATGTGTATGTTTTACATGGCTCTAAAAGAGTTGTTTGTGGATGTATTACTATCAGGATTAATTTCAGGTTTTAGGTTATATTTAATTTTTGTTTGTAGAAGAAAAAAAAAACTCTCTGTCTTAAGCTTCCAGGCTCTTACCAATGGTATCATATAATTGTAGATTAAAGTAAACATGAGACTGTGAATTTGACTGAAAATCGAAATATCTTATAGATTAAGTGGGTGATTTTCGGCTTGAAATAAAGAAGCTGTCTGAGAATCGAAAACTCTTACAAATTAAGTGAGAGATTGACCGGGAGTAAGTGGCATGTGTAAAGTTTTTATTGGACATTTAAGTTTATTTGGGGACCAAAGGCTCATCCAAAAGACCTAAAAATTAGATGGCGTTTGTTCTAACGCGAGAATAAATGTAGTCATCAGCTTCAAAAACCGGTTTAGAAGCTCCATGGTTGCTTTGCCCATCAAAAATCTGTAGTCTGTTCCCCTCTCGTTTTTTTATTTTTGAAGTGTCATATTTTTATGGATATATAAAGAGATATTCTATATTGAAAAAAAAAGAACCCGATATCTTAGGCCAAAATAAATACTCTTGAAATGTAGTAAAGAACACTGTATGGCATCGAAACTGCGAGAACTGATTCTGCTGGTAGAGCTGGTTATGTTATTTCTTCTTTCTCAACTTCTTGTGTAAGTTATGATGTTGTGGTGGACGATCTACAAATGATCACTTGCAGCTGCCCTGACTTCTGCTTTAATAATATCGCATACAAACACATGTATTTGTTGAAGTGTGATATGTCTTGGTTGTCTGTATTTGAAGATAAAGATAAATACTATTAAATTCTTTACGGCTTCATTCTTTTTTTTTTTTTACTAACCTTAAATCGAATAGTTTCTTTCGACCCCACTTTCTCAACCATTCCCCAGAGATCGCTTGATAGTTCAGCTCTTCTTACTCCAACTGAACAAGCTCCTCTCACCGCTCCAAGCAATTCTTCAATAGATTTTGACACTCTGCTTTCTAACATTCATAAACTTAAACGCCAGCAATATACTTTGACCGAAACTGAGCTCGAAGAATTAAACAGCTTCAATCACTGGTTTCTCTCTCGTATAAATTCTACAAACATTCCTTCTAATTCTAATTTTACTATACAAAGATAACAAATAATAAACGCGCCCCTTCCCTCTGCCTAAAAATCAAAAGCAAAGCAGCCCTCTACTTTTAAAAATCGCTCAAAAATTCGGGTATATAAGTAAATCGCTTTCAATACGTGACATATTGTTGCGAGGGGTTTATATCTACCTTGTGACTAGCTAACTGTTTCTAATTAAACGTTGTTTTTAACTACACCAATTTGCAATGATATGTAAAAGGATATAGTCTCGAATTTATATATAGAAAACGAACAACAGAAAACTTTATTTAATAATAAAAATGTGAATTTATGAATAAGGATCTGTAGTACCAAGTACTACAGTAGTTCCTCGACCATTAGAGAAAGATAGGATCATACCCTTCTCACACCCCATTACAGCTTGTGGCCGCTTGTATCATTTTGTTTACTAAATATCTTTCTATGACCGCTCACCACAATATTGTTGTATCGGGATCTGATTTACCTGTTGACTTAATAAAACTTTCTATCCGCAGACTTTCTTGACTATAATACAACACTCCACGCACGTTAGGATGATGTACTGTTTCGTAAAATTAGGGATGTAAAAGGACTTCGATTTTATTAAATTAGAAAAAACTACGACTTTATAATATCGCTGAGTAGTACATAGTACTACTCAAGCTACCACAAGGTATAATCTCTTCGTATCATCTCACAGGATTATCATCAAAACACCGTCACAGAGGGCTATTGAGGCGCTAGAGTGATTCGTTCCCTAAAATCTCGCCTTACCACAATATGTCATTATCGCCCTTTAAAAAATTGATTATATGTATCCGGGTCGGGTCTCTTCGGGGGTGCGCGTAGTCATAATGTTGGGATTATGATACTTGTATAGACATCAAGAGGTCAATATAACTTAACAACTTGGAATATATACACATTTATTACAACCAACAAAGTGTAAACCAGTATATGCGTTTTGCAGCTTACTTTCAGCTTCTCCTTTGGACTTTACCTTAATATTTCTGCGCAAGATTAAGATCAAACGAGCTCAAAGGCGAAAGAGTGATGATAGAATTGTCAAAATAACTATAAATCGTTTAATATACATTTATCGTAATTGTTACATTGGTTTTGATTGTATATCCTTATTCCCGGGTCTACAGAACATCCAAATCACAGATCTTACGTTGCGACTACGTGCACTTTGGCTGTCCTTAAGAAAAATTTGGCTGTCCCAAAGAAAGTGAAATTAAAAACCTCAATATGTTTTTCTATGATTCTGAAATAAAAGTAAAAGCATAAAAATCAAACAGCAGTCACTTTTTTTTTTTTTTTTTTTTTTTGCTCATCCGATAAAATACGCGTCTCTTATCATCTCTGGGAACTATTTTGCTTGTCTTATTTTACTACGAATATTTACAAAATGGCCAAAAAACAAGAAGCAGAAGAATACGAGGTCGATTATATTAACAACCATCGTTTCGCCGTTAAAAATGGTGTTGTAAGTATTTGCTGTGCACCGATAGTTTGTCCTATATATATGATAAACTTATTAGTTTTCTTCTTCAATATTATGCACTTTAGAGAAGACTCGAGTACCAAGTCAAGTGGAGAGGATATCCTGCCTCCGAAAGCACATGGGAATCTAAAGAATCGACGTGAGAATTAGAACGAAAATAGTTTTTAAAAAAAAAAAGAAAAACTAAAATTCTTGTAGCGAGAATGCAATGAAAATAGTTGACCACTACTGGGCCACCAAAGGTGGAGGGGACGAAGCCCGTATCAAATGTGAAAAGATCTTAAGCGGAGAACTCAGTGAAGACGAGGATAGCTCCGATGAAGATACAACTTCTGAGGACGAAGACGAGGAAGATGAAGGTGTACCTACAACCAGATCTAACAAGAGACGTGTTTCTCCAGCTGTGAACAAAAAGTCTACCAAAGTTGACATCAAAAAACGTAAGGTCACTCCTACCAAGTCTGCAGCCTCTACTAAGAAGGATGCTACACCTAAAAAAGAAGTTCCTGCCAAGAAGGAAGTTCCTGTTCCTGCCAAGAAGGCCACTCCCGTTAAGAAGGATGATGTTGCTGCTCCTGTCAAGAAAACTAAAACCATCACCACCCTTATTAGGACTGGCGATAATACTCCAGATGAAGAGTTTTCTGAAAGTGAGATCGAACGTAGTGACTTTAGACTCAAGTCGAATGGATGGAAATCTGATGCTGAGAAGGTCATCGAAGTAAGAGCAGTCTTCACCGACGAAGGACAGGAATTGCATGGTTTAGTTAAATGGTAAATTCTGGTTTTTATCGTGACTGATTTGTTAATGTTTTATCTAATCACTTGTTTGTATTGTTAGGCGTGATGGAAAACTTGGTTTATACAAGACCTCTGAACTCACTAAGAGAATTCCTCAATTGGTAACAAAAAATCAGGAATTGATAAATTAGGTTTGGAAAATTACTAACAATTTATATCACTCTAGCTAATCAAGTATTACGAAAACAAGTTGACATTCGAACAAAAAATTAAAGCTTAAAGGGAAAAGTTTTTTTTTTTAAAAAAAAAAAAAAAAATAGCATGAGAAAAGCCGTTAGTCATCTACAAAGTATTTGAAATCCCTCTGCCTTATTAAATGCTTTGCATTTATTTTATTTTTATATTGGTTCTTTTAATAAAAATAAAATAAAAATGGATTATTCAAACTTATTTAATGTTACAAACAAGGTACATATAATGTTATATTCCTCCAGGCCAAGCATTGGAAATATTAAAAATCGCATAGGTTGTTTTGGTTACGGGCGGATCAAGAGGTATTGGAGAGATGATTGCTACTGTAAGTCTTCATAGATAATGTTATAATCGCTTGCTAAGATCAGTTCAGGGCTTTGTAGCTGCAGGCGCTAAGGTTTATATTACCAGTCGTTCAGCTGACGTCTGTTACGAGGTAAAACTCTTTTTGCTTGTTTGGTCTTTACACAACTGTGCTGAATAAAATTTAGGTCTCCAAAAGGTTAACCGAAATGGGTCCAGGACAGTGTCTTGCCATTCCAGCAGATTTACAAAGCATTGACGAAATTAATCGACTTGTTGCTGAACTTTCTAGCAAGGAAGACCGTAAACTCTTACAAAAAGTTATACATTTCTTTGTATAATACTAATTGACGCTTTTTTTTAGATCTCGATGTTTTAGTTAATAATGCCGGTGCCAATTGGAATGAAGCCGTTGAAACATTTCCTGACAATGCTTTCGACAAGGTCCTTAGTTTGAACTTAAAGCGTATTTTTACATTAACACAAGCGTAAGTTGTATAATCATTACTTGTACTACGATTATTTTTTTTAATTTGTTTCCTGCAGTTGTCTCCCTCTTTTGACAGCTAAAGCAACACAACATGATTCATCCTCTGTCATTAACATTGGATCTATCGACGGTATTAGAGTAAGTATAGGTTATATGAAAAAGAAGAAAAAAACAGCATCTTAATTAAAGTATATGTAGGCTCCACCTCAAGAGACTTATGCTTACGCTGCGTCCAAAGGAGGTCTCCATCATCTCTCTCGTCTAATGGCTGACAAACTCGGTAAAAAGGGTATTCGCGTTAATGTGATTGCTCCCGGTGCTTTCCCTTCCAAGATGATGAAGGCTACCTTAGATAAGCATCACGATTCGATGGTTGCTAACATTCCTGCTGGGCGTATCGGTTCTCCGGAGGATATTGCTGGTACTTGTATCTACTTATCTTCTCGTGCTGGTAAATATACCACAGGTGCAACCATCATTGTAGATGGTGGTGTCCTTGTTACCTCAAAAATGTAAAGAAATCCAATAAAAACAGATGGCCATCGATTTCCCTATCAGATAACTCTTATTAAGTGATACATAAACCGTAGCTGTGATTTTCTGATAAACATTATCAATAAGGGTATCACTTGCGAATAAATCGTATTTTGAGGAATAAAACAATTCAGCCAATCATGTTTTTTTATTAATAGGGGTCCTCAGTCGTCAAAGTTTTAAAAATAATTAGCCAATCAGAAATATGATCGTTCAACGAGAAATTTAAAAAGTATGATTGGCCAATTTTTATTCGAAAAAATTATTTTTTTAAAACTTCACGACTGAGGACCCCTATTAATAAAAAAACATGATTGGCTGAATTGTTTTATTCCTCAAAATACGATTTATTCGCAAGTGATACCCTTAATACATCGATCTTCGTAGTCCTATTTGTAAATGATACGCTTTTCTTAAATCTAATTTAACACAATATCATCAACTTTTATAATTTATACGTGTGTTTTTTCATACTTCGACGTAATATATTTATCTACTTCTAGAATGGACAACAATTCTATGTCTATCCCATCTTTTCAGCTATCCATACAGCGTGTCTGTTACGACATACATTGGCCCTTTAAACTTCATGTGTGATGGGTTTTTTAAGTTTTACTCCAACGCAACCACTAACTTTTTTACGATCACCAACGTTGTGAATTTCCGTTTAATAAAAAAAAGGGAATTATGTCTCTTAAATGATGGGTACCTAAAAATTGAAGGAATGAAGACATGTGATTAAAAGAACCTAATTTTTTATTTCCGAAAACTAGCCAAATTGCAAACAAGGTATACGATACCAATGATAGCCTGCAAGAACGAGAGTTAATTCGATACAAGCAAACGTCCCACGTTCACTTAGGGCGTCATTGGGTTAAACCAATCCACTACTACCAGCACCTTTCGGAGTCCAGTTAGATTCCTTCACCTCAAGAAGAAGAAAAACTCTGTCCTATGAGTTAAAATATATTATATGAGAGTTGAAAACCAGAATAAAAAAAGAATGACGTCAAAGTTTTCCTTTGGCTTTTTCACAGGTTGTCTAAAAAATAATCCTTCGGCTATCGCAGAACGTCTCTTACACCAATAAAAGTAAATGCTGTATTAGTAGCGTAATTATTGGAAGCCATCTCCCTGGTGTTTCTCAAACTCTTGATTCGCGTCAACCTTAATTTATAACTTAATCAAATTTCCTCATAAAACACCGTTTCTTCTCCTTGTTTAACTATCTGTTTTTTAAATTAAGCATCTAATATGTACTAGAATACATATAACGTATAATCTTACGTAAGGAATATCTATTGATTAATTGATTGTCGTTCAATAGACAAATTGCTTCCAAATAATCTAAACTCCAAAATAAATGTCAAATATTTCTCTCAATAAAAAAGGACGTCTATACGGCTCTAAAAGTAAACCTGGATCTAAAGCACCTGATCCTAAACCGGCTCATTTAGTCAATCAACCCAGTTTAAGCTTTTCAAATGTTATTGCAACACAAGCGGAGAGCAGTAATTCTGAATTAAAAAATTTATCAATTGTACGAGATTTGTGATTCAACAACATCAAGCAACACATACTAATTATAATATTGCAGAAAAGGATGAAGAGGTAAAAAGTTAACATAAATAATACTGTAATTTTTGCGACTGGCACGTATCCTTAAAAAAGCATATTAGTACAACATCATCTCAAACTATTTCCACGAGTAAAGATTACAGAAATACTACAAATATCGTTGATGATATCCAATTTTTACCTGGTTTAAATATTGCTGACAAGGTATCACCAGATCAATGATTTTTGAAATATTTAGCATACCGATTGTATTTATACGTAAATTGGAACATTAATCAAGCTGCCGGTGTGGATCTTGATGTCGATTATACCGAAGATAGTGACGATATTGATAAAACTCAACCTCTTGATGAGCTCACAGAGGAGCAATTTCATGCTCTTTAAAACAGTATCTTCAATATTCCTGAAAATGGATGTCTTGAGAACTATCTCGGAGGTATAAAAGACAATCTCAAAGGAGGAAATGTATCAAGTCAATATATCAATGGCACATTTTGAATCAACCCTCCGAGCGTTTCTTTTTCTTTAAAGCAAAAAATCAATCCCGAGCTACTTCACCACCCAAGAGTATTTGTATGGCTCCCTCAGTTTTTGACAAAGACTCCTTTGCACTATCCAACATGTGCAAAAACACTGCTAGCAAAAGAGTGGGTCCAAAAAACAAAGACTCGAAGGATAATTGATCTGGATGAGTAAGTTACATAATTGGTTTGAAACTAGAGAATGCATACTGACAATAAACATTTCAGCTGTTTCTATCTTTTGAGTGTTCGACTTAAATGTACAAACAAAACAACCGTCCATACATTTATGGGATATGCATCTTCAATTACTAGACAATTACCACCAAGGGTTCAGGCTAACCTCCCTGCTGTGCTTACCCACCGTTCTGGCTTTTCAAAGCACTTAGTAAGGCTCATACGTACACAATTTCAAAATGCTGTTGGCCCTCATAGAATGCACCAAATATTCCGAACAAATCATACAGAAAAATTCAATTCCATTCAATTCAAGTACTATGATGCTTCAAAAGATAAGCTAAAGGAACATACAGCTAGAAAATACCCGGACTTCTCGACGTTTAATGATAGAAACGGATACAACGGATATTTACCTTCAGCCAATTACATAAGTTATGTTTATTGCTCAATCATAGATAAACTCAGGCCTTATATGATTCTGCACACATCACTTTTGGATGGTATTGTTAGATTATCAAATATATGACCAGAATCAATAGTGTGCCAACTTTTTCATGTCTGTATACCCTATTGAATGAATATGAAGGAATCCGACTTCAAGTACTTGCGCCCACGAAATCATTAGAACACTTGGCTCCTTATTTTAATAACATGATGGAGAGTTATAGAAAGTATGGCATTAAAATGCCAGAGCTTTTCTATACGGACAATGTTCTTGGTGATCGGCTGTTCTTGGAATCGGCAATACCTTCTCTTCTGAAAGACGTTACCCACATAAATCCAACTTTGGCAGAACAAGTCGATTCAAACGGCCCGTTCAAAAATTACCCCATAGTCAGATTGCCAGATAACATAACGGTATCAATTTTAAATACTACTACCAACATCGATCAATCATACCAAAAACTTCTTGAGGAATGTTTACAGCAGGGTATAATTGCCATTGAATTTGACTGCGAATGATGAGCTGTAAGAGGTAAAAGATCAGCAATTTCCATCAGTGAGCAGTCTGGTTTGAAGTTCGTTTCTGTTGCTTTGGTGCAAATTGCTTACGGTAATTCTCTCTACTTGATGAGAATACACTTATTTGCCTCAGACAATCTACTGGAAAATTTGATCAAGATCGTCACTGACACCAAAATAGCCAAAATCGGAAAAAACGTCAGCGGTGATCTAACAAGATTCCGCTATTTTGGTCTCCAACAATGCCCTGGTCAACTGGAACTTGGTACCTTTTGCAAAGATAAGATTCTCATTGAAAGAAGAAATACATCTTTGGCCGATATATGTGGGTTTGTTCTGAAGGTGCAGTTACCCAAAGCAAATTTTGTTCGTTGTGGTAATTTGGAAGCCCCAATTCTTTCAGAAGAGCAAATCAATTATGCAGCTTTGGACGCTTGGGTGTCATACGAAATTTATACCAGATACAAAGATATGCCCACAGTTCATCAGAAAGCATCTGTCAACACAACAGCCGGTTCTTTTATTGCAATTCATTTAGACAAATCTGCCTCGTCCTCTGTTGCTGGATACGGCTATATATGCAATGATGATACCCCTCCTACAAATAATACCCATGAGGCACTTCATACCAACAGTGCACTTATTGTAAAAGTTGTGAAGATAACTATTCCTGGATATCCTTTGGAATGTTACAATGAGGGTCTGACCTTAGGTGATTTCCATGATATACCCTTTACTGTTTATATCAAATGCAAATATCTGTTTACAGCTTCAGAAAGAGTACATTATTTAGTTTCTGATACTTCTAATATCCCAATTATACAAATCACACACATTAACAGCGATATCACTTCTTCACCAATCAATACCAAAAATAATTCTGTCGACTCCTGTGTTTTAAAGGATGGATTTCATATAATGGAAATGATCAAAATTAACAAGTCTCATGGAATGCAAAAAGACTTCATGCGTCGTTTCCGTGACATCCTGTATGTACGTGACCAAGACGATAAAGCTTTAGTAGAAAGTTATCTTGAAATTATTGGTACGGACTGGAAGACACGGATTTTGGTAAACCCTGCTTGGATATTTGAACGTGTAAGAAGACATACACCCCCAGCCGAAGAATTATACCCCGCCTTGAAATTTCTTTTTGAAAATTACGGTCCTCTCAGATGTGGGCATTCCGGCTTTAAGCTCTTTAATGACGCAGCTGTTGCCATGTCCCTGCATGTTTTGGATTCGGTGAAGCAAGGGCATGTCTCAGACGTTGTAAATGGGCCTCCATTATATACTGAAAAAGGCTTGTACAAAACAATCTTATGACATTTTTAAAGCCAATCTAAATCTACTTGGTGTTACATGGGATAGGATATTTCCTATAAATACGCTCCCTTTTTTTTTTCAATAAATATTACATCAGTAGGAATTTTATCTTGACTAAAATCCAGTTTTTTAATAATTTGTAATCGACTCCTTTATGTTTCAACTTTTATACTTCTTGTTTATCTGAAGTCTTTACTTATCATATAACATTTAACTCAAAGTTCATATTTCACACTCGACTTGAATCTCTTTATTATCAAACCGTATATAAGATATTGTTTATAATAACATAATTACTTTTCTTTTTAATCTTGGCAATTAGTTTATATTTATATTACTTACGCCCTTTTAAAATCATCGTTGATTATCTTTTTATCCTTAAAACATTATATTATAAGATTTCTTAAGTTGATTACTTCCAGTCTGGTGCTCACTTTCATAACTACTTTATTATTAACATAGTGTTGATAATTTATATCTACCTTATCCTTTAAGAACTATTACTAATTCCTTGACAACATATAAATGCTCCAGAGGAACAAGCTCGGTTTAAGGAGCATGCCATATGAACATTGTTCGAAGGTTTGCTTCTTACAATGCATCAATTAGATTGACCGACTCAATTTTAGCCGATTACCGGTTATATCATAACCTCAATGTAAGTAATAAATGATTTAAAAAATCTTTCATAAACTGAAAGTTATACATCATCATAGGTTGGGTCGATTAACAGATACGGTAAAAAGCATCAAGGCCATTATAGTCCTTGGCTTGTACTGTCCATAAGTTTATTAAGAACTGAAGTAGGTCACGATACGGTTATGAATTATACCTGTGAACGTTATGGGAGTTACTTGAATTTTGAACAGACCTATGAAACTTTTGGTGTCGTCGATATACCCAGAACATTTTATGATTTTATTAAGACGTAGGTCAGATCATCACAGGTTTTGTTTGTAGAAGAAGAAAGAAACTGTCTACGTAAACTAACGGTGTGATGGTATATTTAATATTCAAGCTATGCATGAATTCTAAGTTTTTTTTTTGGTATCTGAATTTCACTTGAATTTATTCGGCATGCTCGAATACAACTTCATACTCTTCTTTCCTCGGGATCTCTAACAACACGGCGCTCAGGTGAAATGGTATTAGAATGCAAGGGATTCATAGTAAATACTTTTATAAAAGAAAAATGGAGTTAATAAGGTGACTTGCGTCTTTGTGTGTTGAATGCCCAATATTTATAACTAACCAGTTAATAATACTGGTATTTTCAACTCAATCTCAGTTTTATCAACTCGAGCTTAGCATATTGAGTGACCTTTTGAAGAAAAGGGGGGAAGGAAAGATAGGCAGAAGAATTGAAAAACAGCAACTTAATATCAAAGCTTGAAGAACTATCTCAATTATATTTTTACTTCATTTATAAAGAGTGAACGTAAATCAATTTTTAATTGTCTGGATAAACAATAATAGCATCGTCTAGTTTTAGGTTGAAACCTTTTATTTAAATTAGTTATGAGTATACGTCCAATTTTTGGGCCAATCCAAAGACAGTCGCGGCACAAATATCATTGATGATTTGGACCTTGCTTCTTGTGTCTTCTCTAACCAAATACAATATTCATGCATTATCACCTTCATCTCTGAAAGAATTTTCGACGCATACACGTGACTTGATGGCGGGTATTTCCAACTTCGTGCGCACACAAGCATTACTGGAGCTTCGTAATATGTCATTTCCATATCATTTTCTTTTTCTTTCTCATGAAGTGACTCATAGCAGACCACCATGTCCTCCTCTGTATTATTTTGCGATGGGAAACCTGCAGGTGAGGGGACATGAGAAACATCATCTGCTTGATCCTCCGATTTTCCCTCCATTGTATCTTCTGGGGATTTCTGCCTTACTGATGGTTTCTCAGAAGAAAACATTTCTGTTGAAGATGACTGATCATCATGAGCAGGCTGGAAAGATGAGGATGTATAAGGACTACTCACGGTATAAAATTCGTTTGCAAGTGGAACATCATCACCATCTTGAAGCATAATCTCGCCGACTACATCATCTTTGGAACTGGCAAAATAAGAGCCATCATCATCTGTCATTTCATCATCATTGTCGCTCAAAGTTGATGAGTTGTTATTGAAGAGTCTCAAAAGTCTACCTTTTCCTGTTCGAGACCTCGTCATCATATGTCGTTTCTTCGAATTGGGTGAAGCTCTACTTCTCTTGTGGCTATTCGAACGAGCGGAGCTGCTGTCAATACTAATCGTGTCATCTGTTGCTGTACAAAAAGAGGGTGATAAATAACCCGAGTCTGTTGATAGAATCGCTAGTTGTGATGAAAAGCATCGGATCCTGTCAGGAATAGGTGACGTACATGAGCTGTTGGTAGATGAAATTACAAAATCCAGCTTATCTCGACTCTGTAGTCCTGTAAAAGAATGTTGAAAGTAAGAATGGTTTCTGTGGAATGAAGCCATTAACGCTTCCAATACAATATGAACCTCTCTATTGCAATTTACCAGAAAATAAATTAGTGACATAACATATGTGAAGATCTAACGATGTGTAACATACAGTGAACATTGCTGGTACGCCTTCATTTCTGCGGACACTAATTTGGCATTATTTTCAACTTTTGATGATTTATCCATCCATTGAGACCAACAAGAGTGGCCGTCACACATAACAGCATCATTATTTCCTCTCACCATCATTTTTACCATTTGCTCTGCTTCACTGTTCCACCGGATACCGGAGGAGTGCCAAACTCGACCCACGCGCCACATGAGACATCTAATAAAGAATATGCGGACATTTTTACCCCAATGCAGTAACAATCGTTCAAATGTTTGTGTATCCAACATAATCCGATTGCACAATAAATCTAGTAAGGCTGCATGAGATGTCAAAAATCCAAAGTGGACATAGATAAATGATAAGGCTCTAAGTAGCGATATCGTGTGATCGGACCTGGAAAGAATTATGTCGAGGGTGTGTAATATAAAAGGTAAATCGATAGGAAAATAGTTTCTTTTTAACGGGAATCTATAGTAAAAAGCGTATTAAATCAGACAATCGTATAAAAACGTATATATTTGTATGTCTATGTATATATACTACTACTTTTGCAATTCCAAAATAATTTGTTCTATAAAATCAAAAAGACCTACAAGAAAATGTTATATAATGTTTTCCACAGAATAAAATATATACTAGAGCAATACTTACAATAAACCCCCTCTGCTTCAGTGAGGGTCGTTCTTTTTATAGCAAAACGAATCCATACATTAATCATATCATGGTACAATCCCGATGGGTCAGCTGCTACGATGCACCAAGTCATACATTCAGCATATCTTTTAGTTGCCATTTCTAAAGGTTTCGGTTTTCCTGTGGGAATATTTTGATGAGATTTTGCTGCAGTAGTATAGTCATGATTCCCACTATTGAACAAAAATGGTCTAGTCTCATCAATCATTGGAATATTGTCTACAGGGGCGAGAGTAGATGATAGAAAGTTGCTTTTCCTATGATTGTTTGCAACCAGTTGCTGATCCACCACTGTTGTCACTGAATGTATCTCTCTGTTGATTAATGAGTCCACCTTGCCTGCAAAGAATGCGGCAAAATACATGTAACCAGGAGATGCCATTAGTATGGAATTTCGCTGATGAAGCTGCTGACGACTGACGGTAGGATAAACCGCAATAATGTAGAGCTTCAATGTACTATGATAATGTCGATAGAATGAAAAAAATAGCTCGCTATCATCACTTTGCCATCTTAAAACATCAATTAGATACACCTGTTATTATAAAGCCAATTTTTTTTCTTTCTTTTTACCTCCTGATCCAATTCCCGGCTAAACTTATTGGTAATTTTGTCTTCTGGCTTTTGATAGTTGCAAAATGATTTTGATAATTTGATGCATCAGGTGTTAGTAACTGGTGTAGGTAAGTTGGAAACACGAGTTTTAAATTTTCTTTGTAGTGAAGATGCTCCTGTGAAGATCCACTGTTTTTGAGAGTGAGCCAATGACATTTATCTTAATATGTTAGCACGTGTTCTCTTACTCTGACATTTCATTGCGCAATCTCTTCATTATTGCAGGTCGTATGTTCAACGCTTGTAACAAAGATGAAGCTAGACCTGGAATCTTAAAATAACAAAGGGCTATATAAAGGTATCAATAACATGCCATTTTTTGTGTATATCTTTTGTGTACCTAGTATTTTAGCACAAAATGAAATCATATTGGAGTATACTGCTTTTTGATTTAATCTGTCTAATGCATATTTTAAGGTAGTACTTAAAAGCTGGCGGTATTCATCGATTAAAGTCAAATGAGGGGCATCATTAGGTTTACACCACTGAGTATAGTCATTTGGCCCATTATAATCTAATTTTTTTTTATGTGATGGTTAGTAGCGATTTCGGTTTAAAAAAAGTTCGAACAAAATTACCAAAATCTAAAAATTCACATCTGACGACCGCAGTGTTAGTTTCACTCTCCCTTTTTTTAATCTATATTATTTTCACCCCTTACCTTGTAATAATTTCTAAAATACTTTCATAATACAAGCATCTCTCATCATTTTCAATAAGAAGCATGGTGCTTAATAACGACCTCCACCTATAATTTATGTGATTTTCATTTTTTGTTATAATGCGTCCGTAAAAGAAAGGGAGTATAAAAAATTACCATCTCAGTAGAACAGATCTTCCGAATTGCAATTCTTTCTTCTCCTTGGATATCGTCTTCAAACCCCATAGTCCACTTTCTTCTTTGTAATCCGTTTGTTGTTGAATACGCAAATTAATCACATACTTCCTCAGCCAAGGTAACAACTGTAATTTTAGAATATCAGTTCGGTGCTTTGATTTACTTTGAAATCTATAATCAAATATGGTTATATATGTTTTAAAACATTAAATGGTTAGATTATACACAAATACGCATATATTAATCATACACGCACATGATGTACAAAAAAATAGTCTTACTTTGAAAAATGTTTTCGAAGGTTTGCATAATCTGGCTTGCAAGAGGGATTCGTCACTCTGAATTGAGGTTTTAACATTGTCGGGATGGGAGAAGGACAAACGGTTGAAGATGAAGAAGATGAAGTTGTCATTGTGGAGGACGTTGTAGTGGGGCTTCCGTAAAATGACGTAGAAGGTGTACACTGTATTGTCTGGGTCTTGTTGTTATTGGTGCAACCGGAGGCTATCCACTTCATGTTATTCGAATTATTACCTTCGTCTTTGGAAGAAGGAAAAAGAGATAAGAACTTATTTCGCTTTTGTCTGGTGCTTGTATGATCGTTATCGGATGTGGCGATTGCAGCAGCAGATACAGCGGCCGTATAAGCCGTTGCTGAAGGTGTATTGTTTTTGTCGTTATTTATCATGATTATCAAGGATTGGACGAAAATAACATCCAGTACTGGAATAAAATAAAAGAAAATAACAAAAAGAAGAGAAAAATGGAAGGATGACCAAGTATTTGTTGTTGTTTTTTATTTAGTGTGTAAAAGCAGTTTTTTATTAATTATACACTACATTTTGTTTGCATAAAATACCCCCAGCCCCTCTTCATCATATACGAAGATGTTATTCACTCTCCGTTTTGGTAACCCTCAACAAGTTTTTTATGAGCCATTGCCAATTGAATTTCCAAATCCAGCACTCGTTGTCTATTGCGTTGCTCCTTGTCAGAGGCGAAATTAACTTCAGTTTCTAATACAGCCAATTTCACTCGTAATCGTTCGTTATTGCTCTGTAAGCTATCCACTTTAGTCTCTAAATTTTCCATCAGATTGGCTTTTTTTAATCGAGATCTTCGTGCAGCTGCCGTGTTGCTTTTTCTCTTTGCCTCAGCTGTAATTCGCTTATGTCCCCACTTGTTTTTGGGAGGGTTGTCCGTGTAGATGGTCCTGCAGTGGCTACTAGTAGGAGAGGGAGGTGCGGGCGCGATTGACATCATATTTTTATTGTGATGATGGTGTTTATTACTTTTGTTCATCATTTCATTCTGTTTGATAGCGTTCAGTAATGAGTAGACCTTGATAAGGGGTATTAAATTGGCGGGAACTGATTTATTTTGTAACTCTTCTTGTGGTTCGGATTTCATTTCAACCTCTTCTTGTTTTATAATTGATTCATTTTCTTCATGGATAATCAGATTATTCAAAGAACATTTATTTTGGCTGCGATGCTGCTGATGCTGTTGTTGTAGTTTGAATAAGCTAGATTGCTTTAAATCATTTTCAAGCCAGTCGTCTAATGTATTGGTATCGAGTCCCCAGGCTATGTTCGACTGTTGACTTTTGGTCTTGACGCTGGTAGAATTCATCGGTTTCTCGTGTGTATGTATTTGTGTGTGGATATATGTAAATGAAAAAAAAGGGAAAGGAAATGGGAAATATAACCCTTTAATAACCAATACCCAAGATCATCACCTGGCATAGGATGTTTCTGATTGGTTAATTAGATGACAAGTTTTGTCTCCCCTCTGACTTCACGTTTGTGATTGGATGTCCCAATGAGGAAGAAACTAACTTTTTAACGTTTTTGTTGCCCATTTTATCTGAATATGCATATATACAACATTGACGTCTAGCATGTGTTGTTGTTATTTAAAAGAAAATTAACAAATAGTAGAATATACGACGCAAAATTATATATCTTATTCGGAGACTCTTTTTTTTTGCATTAATCGATGCCTCGCTCTCCTCCAATGGTAATTTGACTCACAGATCGTAATAATTTGAGGATTGGTGATTGTTGCATTGTCGAAGCCAAACAACTGATATGCTGTCCGAATCGGGAAAAATTATATCCAATAAGAAGTAGAAATTCACTCAGTTATTTTAAATTCAGACAGACTTAGTTTTTTTTAGCCGCTCCAATTCAAAGTAAGAATCCTGTAATAAATTATGGGCCAATCAAAATTTTGGCAAGATTGACAAGTCTGGATGCTAGCCAATAGTTTGGTGTTTTAGTATTTCTTCCAATTACAGAACGTAGGCCTGATTGGGCAGTGAGGAGTACCTTCATATGATCTCTCGAACTTCCATTTTCTTTTTTCTACGCCCTCTGTAGAGTTTATATTTTCCCTCAAATTTAAATTAGTGAATCAATTATAACATTTAATACTTTGCAGAGATGCCCATACATTGTTGTAGATAAAAAATATCTTTAAACCGTCGAAACTTTATTTTATAATATATCATCTGTTGCTCCTTATAAGCAGCATAGTACTTGTGCTTTCGGAATCAAAAGTCATTTTCGATGACCATAAATAAGTCAAGAGAGTTATGAATACTCTAGACTATTTTTCAATCAAGTTAATGCCACATGTAGTGAATACACTCCCTCTCCTTCGCGTTCGTTTTTTTCGTCCTATTGACGTTAACCATGGTGTGCAAAATTATTGGCAAATGAATCAAGATGGCGTCCCCAGGTTTGGCCTTGTTTTCTTCTGTAAGTTGTCCTAAATATCAATAAAGGATGCACCAAAATGACAGCAACTTCTATAAAAAGACGCTTACTTAAGCAAGAAAAAGAGTAGGGGTATACCATTCTAACGCCATTATATTCGGTCAATAGTTAAAGATGTTTGTATATCAAACGCTCTGGGCTACTTAAAACGTGTCTCAGCCCAAAGTGGTGATGGGGACGATAGGTATCAAAAAGTCGCATAATGTATGGCTTACAAGTACAGTCAATTGGACAAGGCCTTTTTAAATTCATGTTTCTATGAACAAAAAAGCACTTCTAATTAAAAAGATACCTGCAGACCGTGATAACAATCCAATTATACTTTTATTGGGAAATGGAATGAAGGTAGATATTAGATATTAAACAAAACTATTACAAACAACGAAAAAAAAAACCATTATCTATTCGATAGCCCACATGTTGGAGTTATTTTGTTGAGTTTTGGAATGTTGCTCTGGTGAATGTTCTACTTCTAATAAAGTTTTACTGGCATTATGAGCCACATGTTTACCAGAAGCCATTTCATACCCATCATCTAAACTATCATGATCAATCGCCGCTTCTTGATTTCCGTAAACTTTGTTCTTGTGCATGGCTGTATCCTTGAAAATTACGAGACCTTTGTGTACGTTCCAGAAACATTTGCAAGCAACGATAATAGTACCCAGCAAAAGCGCTGCGGCTATCACAGTAGTGAAAATTAAAAATTGTCGAGTGTGAAGGTAAGGATCGTCTGTGACAGGACGAGGTCGCGCAATCACAACAATTCTATAAATAAAATACGCGATGGCAAGTACTCCGCACCCAATAAAAGTACCCATAGCATATTTGTTCTCCCTGTAGACGGCGATCAATGCCAAAGCCAATCCGACACCGCCTAAAACAAACACCAATACGGTTTCCGTAACAGAATCATCGTAACCCAAATCTTGTGATGGGATTAATTGTGCTGCAAAAGAGAACACAAAAAAGAAATCGAGTTTAAGTAATGTCATCAAGAGACTTGTCATAATTAATGCGCTTCGGACTCTATATAGTTTAGTGTGTGTAAGCTATGATTTGTTTACAAACGTGCGTAATGGAGAGAGAGAGAGGGGGGTTACCTCATATCAGCAGAGAAATTTCTATAATTATCCCAGGCAAATTGCTTACGCAAGCGCCAACCGAAAAAGGCCAACATAACAAAAAATACAGGAATCATGGCAATAATTGTGTATTCTACGGGTCGCATGATATTTCCATAGAAAGACTTAGCAGTATTCATACCCATCAGATCATCGGTCCAGCGATGTTCTACAGGCACCCAGAAGGTTTCTTCTCCACTGTAATAAATTGTAAGTTTTTAAAACAGATCATGACAACCACAAATATTGGTACTAACCAAACTGCATTTTCTAAAATAACATGTTGTTGTAACTGAATGCCAGCATAACTAAAAAAATTGGTTAGTCTTTTTTTTTGTTGATCAAATTTTCGTTTTGTTTATTACACTAAAAAAAATAGGCTATTAATAGGTGTTTTATTGGCTTTCAACTTATTTTATTTTTCTGTTACTTACTGACAACGGAGAGACCAAAGGTTATTAATGCACACAGTTGAGCTAAAAAGGACAAAAGAAGGTTTCCCCGGATTAATCAAGTGATCCCGGAAAGATCGTGAAAATACAAGTTACATACCTGTGTTTCTTTGATACAATGCATCTGCACATAAAATTACTTGAAATACTTGTGCGATTATAAACAGAGAATGATAAATCAAATCAGACTCACTTACACCTAAAGGAGAGGTAAGGTGATGAAGGTGTTAACATCCTTATTCAAAAAAATATGTCATAAAAGTACCTTTGCCATGTTTGTCCATGGCACAATTTTGAACAAGGCCAAGATGATTCATAATTACAATGCCTTCTAAAATACAAATTACAATGGCTTCAAATGTAACTAAACCTATGGTAAACATAGATTCTTTGGTTTTGAAAATCGGATTTTCCCTGGAAACCATCTTTTTGATGTAAAAATTAAAAAATTAAAAAAGGATGAAAAGTAGATCAAGATAAAAAAAGTAAAAACAAAGCCCACATATATACCTACTTTTTGTTATTGTACTACTTGTCCAAAAACAGGACACCGGACTGACATGATTTCTTTTTTAGCAGTTGAGGCGCAGTCGAAATAAAAGTTTTTTTTTTTGGGATCATTTATCCTCTCTTTCCTTTCAAACCAAAGTGGTTCCAATCTTTATGTAAATCCTTTGAATAACAAACTAGTCTTGTTTTCAAAATAAGATTTTCCCGAGATTGGATGCAGTGGATGTAACCATGAAATTCACCCGTGTAACAGGTAAGAAAAAGTTGTTTCTTGGGTAATATGCAATGCAACATGCGCCCAGTTTTACTTGACTTGAGTGAACATATAACATAAAAAATATATTTAAGAGTTAATAGTTCGCGCGAAAATGCCCTTTTTCAAGAAAAGTGTAGTATAAAACGTTGGCGCAGCCGGTAATATACATCTCTCTACGCAAATAGCACGTTCTGTTCCACGTACTTTTATATTATATTACCTGTTTTGTATAAATATAGAAGTGAGCCTACTAAAAGGTCGAACATGTACAACATAGTTTTTTGGCTGAGGCATTCCCCTTAGTAAAAAAGTCACGTTTCCCATTCTTTTAAACTGTGAGAACCCTTCCATCGAATCCACTTGAACTATCAGATTATCGTTTCACATACTGGCTATTTTAAATATTGTCTCTTCTCCTTGAGCGAGGTACCGTCATCTCATTTACAGTGTAACATTACTTTTCAAACTGTCAAAACGGTCTATTGTCGAAATGGTGTAACATTTTATGACTATTATCAAGGAACCGACGAGTTCATATTCCCTGAACAAAACACACTCAGACCTGTGGGCTTTATGAGTTTTGCATTGGTTGGGTGTTTGATATTTTGCTCTTTTTTGAGTCTCAATTAGTCATTCTATTGGTCACCGATGGAGGATTTTAATAAAAAAAGTTCTTAATCCTGTGCACCGCTCTGCCTTAAGCTATTGATAGATATCTGTTTTTATATAGTTATGTTACTGAAGAATTCCCTAGTTTTTTCCTGATTTTTCAAAAAAAAGTTTTTCGGTTCATTCATGAATGACCCGAGGATTTGCTCTTCGTATATGGTTGTATGGTGGGTGCTCTGTTATTTTTACAAGATTTGCTTGATCTGAAATAAGGAAATTATGGCATTTAATAATAAATGTTATACTGGTATTATAATTCCAGATCCGTTTTCGCAATACTGTTCTTTCCCATAGTTCAGTGCAATGTATTATAACTTAACATACTTAAACTTATTACCAACACCGAAAGTTATGTCAATCAGCACAAGTAACAGAGGAATTCAGGTTTTGATCAGGCTGACGTGATATGTCCATAGTAACTTGTTTATAACAACTGAAGGGTATGAACAAGGACATGAAGATTGAAAACTAAAACTGCTCACTCCTTTATTGTACGAACAAAACGAGATTCTATACATATAGATACACACAAACCACAACATTTATCACTGGAAAATATTTTCAACCGATAAAAAAATTAACCTGATTGGTGCCCAATTTTTTATTTAAAAAAGCCTCGCCTTCGGCAAAGAATAATTTTATCTACCCTTATAATGTTTAAGCTTACATTGCTTTTGGGCGCATTTTTAATGGTTGTGTTGCAGCCAATAATAATATTGCTTAATGTTACACATAATAGTGGATCTTTCTTATAAATATCCCCCCTTTTCTTTTACTTATTGTCTTTACCTAAAATTAGGATTTATCTTGTAATTGATACCAAGTAGTATTCCCTCCGCTATTTTTTTTTGCTGCTTGCTGTCTTTTATAGTTATAAAATCACCCCATCTTACTACATAAAATCCGTCGTTAAAACACTTTATTCTTTTACATCATCAAGAACTATATTTTTCTCGTCTTCCATTGTATTACTACGGGTTTTCATTCAATTGTCATATCCATATATTATATTGTCCAAGATTACTTCAGAAATACTTCATTTTATTAGTAACAAGACTAAGTTGAGTAATGAAAGTCTGGTGTTCACTATCACGATTGTTGTATACTAATAATTGTCCCTTCCTTAAGTCTAAATCCGTATTAGCCCTATGTAAATTGCGACAACAACTTCATCAAAAGAAAGTTCAAAGAGAACAAGAAAACATTTGGTCTATGATTTTCTTGATCAACTGCAGATAGTACTATAGACTCCAGTTTTAAAGAGGGTAATAAATACCACAAACAGAGTGTCTTTGTGGTCTTTACTTGGTGTTGTCTGTATATAAACAACCTATTGCTTATTTTGGCATGGACTTGTAAAGTTGGTAACTGATACAGTGTAAGGTACACCCTATGGATTTTTTAAAAGGTGTTTTGAATCACAAAGGCCTTCTTGAGTGACTACAAAGAATAAGACTTGTTTTTTTCGATTTGAAGAGTGTCTTACGTGGCGAAAGAATTTTATGCTTCATTTGTACAACTAGTGTATGTTAGCCAAGTTAACATTATTCCTATCTTGTTGACATAGACCATTACCTATCTTGTCATAAAAAAAATCAAAGGTAAATCTAATCACTAGCCGACATTTATGTCTTTGTCAACAATCGTAGCACCAAGCTAATAATGTTTGGTTCTCTAAAGTTAAAATTAACCCATGACCCCTTATGATATATAAAAACTTTTTATCTTTGCGATGGAAATAGAGTTGTTTGAACTATCCCTTTCATTTAAAATGTCTCAACGTTAACTTGTACATATCTATGAACAATTATTAAGGTTCTGCAGATATTTAACGGACCGCTTAAATGAATGCATATTTCTTTTAAAGATTTATATGCACTTCAGTAAAAAATGCCGACTGTCAAGCAAGTATCACCCCGCATTTTTTTTATGAGCCATGTCATATTTCGTCACACATCCTCTGTTTTTGTCAATGATACCATCACACCTCAATTCTGTATGTCAAGGACCATCGCTTTGTGATTGTTACTTATTTATGTACCCAATTACAAAAAAGGGCTCGAAAATGCGTAGGACAGTTTTTTTGTTGCTGTTGACATTTAAGCTTCTTTTACGCATGTGAAAATAATTTTTTAAAAAAATTAGGTTGCGGGCAAGGGAAGGGGGGGGGTGAAGGGAAAAAGATACCGTAAGAGGTGAATAAAGGATTACGGATTGTCAGCCGTTCGATGTATTATAGGGTTAGACAACACCCCGATTGAAGAATGCTTTGTGTATGACTAAGAATGTCGTACAAATTAAATAAAACAGAAGCTTTTTTTTTTTTACTTTTGTTTTTTGACGTTTTTTATATCATTGTTAACAACGTATTGATCATGGAAGTAAAATTATCGTTTACTAGAATTTGTTTTTGTACCCATAAGTGCATTCTTTTTTGTTTTATCGAAAAAAAAGTAAAAACAATTGAACAAAAAATTTCTAATCATATTATTCACCACCCGATTGTTTATATGTTACACTTAGGTATCATGTCAATTAAACCTTGTTCGAAAGCGTTTCTATCTCTCTCACTTGTATATAATTACTATTCGTTTAGATACTCTCGGAGAACACAGTGTTGCACAGATACAGTGTTTTTAATAGCTGGGTTGTGACCCTTTTTTTTTTTTTTTTTTTTTTTTTTTTCAAACTCACAAAGAGGTTGAAAAAGGAAGGGGCGGAAGACAATTTTGACATATTTTCTTATTCTTTTAAACACAAACTTTCTGATCATGGATTTCTATACAACGTTACAGCAGATTCAAGAAACATCTCAAACTGCACTTGCTTATCTTTCTCAAGGTGGCAATGCTGAGAAGATTGGAGCTATCACTGCTATTTCTGTGGCTACCTATTTTGTTGGCAACGTAAGTTACGAAAATAAAAAAACAATACAAATGCATGATGAACTTACTCTGCGAATAGAAATTATATGACGCTTTCTTTGGTACTCTCTCTAATGTTCCCGGCCCATTTATTACAAGATTTATGGATATCCCTCTTCTTCTTTTAGATATTCCAAGAGGAACAAGGTATGTTTTTTTGTACAAGGGATGTACAGTAAACTCATATAAAAAAAAAAGTTTTAAAAGGTTGAGAGACTATCATGATATCTATGGTGATATCGTTCGTCTTGGTCCCAAAAAGATTGCCATTTCAAACAAGGATTTAATGAGACAAGTACTTGTCACAGAGGATCATCCTAAGAGTCCTTTCTATGAAATTATCCAAGGTAAGCCTCCCGCTCCAACTCTCTTAACAGGTTGGTCGTACCTTGTACTCACTCAAGTTTTTTTTATATTTAGCTACCGGAAAGCTATCAGTATTTAGTGCAACCGACAAAGGATGGCATAAGAAGAGAGTAAGTTTACATGGCGTTTAATTAGAATGAAAAGAGAAAAGCCAACATTTTGATTTATTTTTTGTAGAGAAGAATGATTGCTCCTGCCTTTTCCATCAAATACCTCAACTCACTCGAACCTTATGTGAGTAAGGTCGCCAACTCCTTGATTGAAAAGATCGACGGCGATATTGCTGAGAAGCACGACACAGATAATTTTGGTCAGGTAGATATCTGGACCTTATTCAAGTGTTATGCTTTGGATGTCATTGGTGAAACTGCTTTCGGTTCTTCGTTTAACATGATTGAAGACAACAGCCATTTTATTCCTCAAGCCATTAATGACGAATTAAGAGAGAGTGCTATTTCTGCCATGTTTCCTTTTCTCAAAATCTTTTTAAAGAACGGCGGTAGAACCAATCCCAAGATTACAGATGTAAGAACGAGAAGAAGAAAACCGACTTGCAATCTCACATTTCATTTCTTTCTTTGTAGTTCTTGAAAAACATGATTGAAAAACGTATGCAAGATACCGATAACAAGCGTCAAGATATTCTTCAGTCTTTGATCGATGCCAAGGATGCCGAGAACGAAAATGATCGTTTAGATACAGCTGCCATTATGAGCGAAACCGGTTTTTTCTTGGTTGCTGGTTCGGAAACCACAAGTAATACCTTGGGTTTCACAGTCATCAGTTTGCTCCGTGAGCCTCATACCTTGACCCGACTCGTGGCCGAAATCGATACCGTTGAGTTGGCTCCCGGTCAAACTATCTTTAAACATGATCAAATCAAGCATCTTCCTTATTTAAATGCTGTCTTAAATGAAAGTATGCGTGTCTTTACTGCTGCTGGTGGTGCTATTCCTCGTATCACTGAAAAAGCTACCAGATTAGGTGATCTGGAATTAGAAAAAGATGTAAGTTATATTTAGTGTGATAATTATCGAGAGAAAGCTCAAACATAATTTATAGACTGTTATTATGAACACACTTTATCATGTCAACACAAGTAGCAAGTACTGGCCTGACCCATTCAAGTTCAAGCCTGAAAGATGGCTCCCTGAAGAACAAGACGACACTGAATTCAATGATTTAGACGCCTTTTTTGCTTTCAGTGCTGGGTAAGTGGGGAATAATGGAACGCGCTTTTTTCTATGGTATGCTAACATGTTCCATGTAGTTCCAGAAACTGTATTGGTAAGAACTTTGCCTTGATGGAAATGCGATTGTGTTTAGCAGCACTTTTGAAGCATTTCGAATTCGTGGCTATTCCTTCTGAAATGGAGGATGCTCTTGAATTAAGAACATTTATTACTTTGGCTGTTGCAAAGCATACCTTTGACTGTAAGATGAGACGTAGAGTCTTATAAGTCCTTTTTATTTACAATTTTTCCCTATTTACAATTTTTCCCTATTTACAATTTTCCCCTATTTACATACCTATAAAATCCCAATAAAGAATTCCCAACGCCAAACCAAACAGTGGCTGACTGATGTGCGGTGCCTGAATAAGCGGAGCAGGCAGGCCCCAACATGTTTTTCTTTTGAAAAAAAAAGGTGCACGCGCTAAACAAGTATTCATCATCTTTTTTTATAAGTCTCAAAAATGTCCAATATTAAAATGGTAAGTGTGCAGCGCGTTTCTCGCACGTTTCCTATTCCTAACCATAAGTCTTGTTACAAAAAGTTAAACAAGAAGGAGGAGACCGATGGTGATGTGGAGGTTTCCTGGGTTGACCAACAAAGAATCAATGAATTCAGTAAATATAACGCAAAGATTGATGATCTCGAAGATCAATATGAAAAAGTCAAGGTAAATGTGGTTTGCGAGTTGTAGGAAGGGAGGAAACTAAAGCGTGTGTTATACAGCAAGAAAAGGAATACTTGGATGACGTTGCCATGGAATTAGAGTTGGCCGATGAGGATGAACATGTGCGTTACAAGGTCGGTGATGCTTTTGTGCATGTGACTGCAGCCGAAGCCATTGAAAAGGTGGAAAAGGAATCCGAGAAATTAAACCTGCGATTAGAAGATGTCAAGCATCAAATTACAATTGTTCAAGGCAAGATGGAAGGGTTAAAAAAGGAATTGTACGCCAAGTTCGGCAATGCCATCAACTTGGAGAAAGAATAAACTTTTACTTTTTATTATTATAATTATTTCTCGCCCAACTTCTTTTCGAGCTTGTCAAATTCTTGAAGTGCCACGGCCTCGGTTTCATCAATGATTTGTTCGACACCTTGGACTTCGGGGATATAATGCATCAGCATATTTTCGATACCATTCTTGAGGGTAATGGTAGAACTATCACAGCCTCGACAACTACCCTTTAATTTGAGCTTGACGATACCTTCTTCAAATCCACAATATTCAATATCACCGCCATCTTCTTGAATCGAAGGTCGAATACGTGTGTCCAATAACTCTTTAATCATCTGAACCTCCTCAGAATCATCTGGGTGGATGGCTGTATCGTTGGCTGCCAAATCATCCTCGTCGTACACAATCGATTGACCTGATGCAAAATGATCCATAATCGCCGCATAAATATCGGGCTTCATCAAGGACCATTCTGTACCTTCACTTTTAGAAATGGTAATAAAGTCTGGTCCAAAAAATACACCAACAACACCGTCAATACTAAACAACTGCTTGGCGAGGGGTGATTTCATGGAGGCACGTACATCCAAAAATTCTGCAGAACCTTTACCCAACACGGGCACACCAGGAATAAACTTAAGCGAATCATTGTTGGGTGTTTGTTCCGTTTGAATAAACATGGTGCGAACTATAGATTTTCATGAGAAAAACAAAACCTAAAAGTTTTCTGCATAGTCTTTCTTACCTTGTTGGCTGCCTAATAATGAGCCAACTTTATGATTATTAATACGATGACTCCACATGTTGCTTCTTGTCATTAAAGATCTAGTTGCTGTAGGCTTAGTCCATGAGGACAAAGCGGGACGCATAGCTACTCTCTTGAGTTGGGATGCAATGATTCTAAAGGTCATATTTAATATAAGGTATGTAAAAAAAGAAAAGTAGCGTCCTTTTCATTTTTTTTTTATTCATGGGGGAAATAACGCTGCAGTCACAACCTGATAAAATCTGAATATTTCAGCTTTACGCACAACAACTAAACGTATTTCTACCCCTTACCCAAAAAAAAACTTTTTTTTTATTTAGAATGTCACGTTCAGACCTCGGAGACGTTACTCCCAATAATTTGGGTCAAGTGAGAGTCCTTCATAAAGTATTATTTCCTGTCAACTATGGCGATAACTTTTATAACGAGCTCTTGGAAGCCGATGAATTCGCAAAATTAGGTACATGAATGCAAAAAAAAAAACAAGATTAAGAAACTTACATCTCTCTCCTACCTGAAGCTTACTATAACGATGTCTGCGTCGGTACTGTCTGCTGCCGTAAAGAAGCCGATGAAAGCAACCCTGAAAAATTCAAAATTTACATGATGACTTTAGGTGTTTTAGAGCCTTATCGTCGTCTCGGTTTAGGTTCTCGATTGCTACAACATATTCTGGAACACGCTAAATTGGCTAAAGATATCTCTCAAGTTTATTTGCACGTTCAAACCAATAACGATCAAGGTGTTGATTTTTACAAGAAGCATGATTTTAAAATCGTCAGTACCGAAAAGGATTATTACAAACATATCGAACCTAGAGACGCATACCTTTTATCCATGACCATCGAACAATAGATTTTTTTTTGTAAAATTAAATGAAGAGAAAAGAAAAAAAAAGTATGTTTATTTTGTATCTGAAATGTGTTTGTGTGTGTTTGTGTGTGTGTGTGTGTATAATGTGAATTTTTTTTTTATTCTATTTGAACAGTAACAACCTCCTTTTCTTGCTCTTTGGCGGCTGCTTCTGCTTCTGCTGCTGCTGTCATGGCAGCAATTTTTTCCTCTGCCTTCTTCTTATTGGCTTCAGTGACTTTAGGCTGCTCTGCCTTGTAGATATCTTTACGCTCCTTCAACTTTTCAAGTGTGGCAGGCACTTCAGAGATCTTGGTAGGGACAGTCACTTTGACTAGGAAGAAATCTTCCATTGTAGCTAAAGGTAACTTCAAAATATCTGACTTCTTTTCCTTGGGAGCCTTAGCAGCACCTCCCTTCTTCTTGTTCTTACCACCGCCCATGAAATAGACTTCATCATCTTCCTTCTTTTTGAGAACAAAACCTTGAGGCGCATTATTACTGTTGGCCTCCAATGTAGCCGCATTTAAAGCAGCGTTTGTGGGGTCAGCTACGCCATTAGGGAGATTTCCCTTGGCAACGAAACCTTGCAAGAAAGCAGACAAAGTGTCACACAAAATGATTTCTTGTTCAAAAGCAGGCAAAGAAGCCAATTCGAGTTCTTGACGAGCCACTTCTTCACGTTTCTCAACCTCTTGTTTAATTTTATCAAGACGTTCAGTTTCCTTTCTCCTTTCACGCGCCTCACGTACAGCAGTATAGTATTCATCGTTCGCCTTACGATGTTCATCGCGAGAAGAACGTAAAGTATTGAAAGCTTCATCCAATTGAAGCTTAATACGTGTACGTTCATCATATAACTTATTACGTTCATCGCGTTGTTTGGCACCATCCGTCAACAAAGTCTTGAGTTCTTCATTCAAAAGTTCATATTCATCACTCAAACGCTTGTTCTCACCATCATCAACGTTCTTTCTTAATTCATTGTAAAACGTACGCTCTCTTTCAATAGCGTCTTGTTGTTCATTCACACCTTCGACTTGAGTACGACCGCGTTTTAAGGTGGAAATTTCTTGAAGAATCTAAATAGATATAAATGTTACACGCCATATACACAACCTTTTCTTTTTTTTTTTTTTTTTTTTTTTTTGGTCTCAATGAAAGGACTGTCTTACCTTTTTCTCTTCCACTAATCTTACACCGCGTTCAATTTGAATTTCAAGTTCCCTTAAATAAAAAAACTATGAATATCCTTCTGTATTTGTATACATTTTTTTTTTTTTTTTTTTTTTTTTTTTTTTTTACCTGACACGTTGATCTACTTCTTCAGTGGACTTGAAGGGAACCTTTGTTTGGAAAGACTTTACATTACCAACCTAAAAGTATACAAAAAGGAGTTAAATTCACATATCCTTCCCCATACAATTATGCAAAAAAAATGTTTCTTACCTTCTTTTTGATGGAATCATTCAAGGCATCCAATTGTTCATAGACAGACTTCTTACTCTTCTTGATTTCCGATTGTTTATCACGGATTTCATTCAATTGGTTCTTCAAGTCTTCACGACGTGTGGGGTCATGCTTACCCAACTTTTCAATCTTGGACTTGACAGTTTCCTAATAAGCGCGTGTTTAGTACAAAATTTATACATATATATATAAAAAAAAGATGATGATGATGACATGAACTTACATTTTGCTTTTTCAAGAGATCAATCTTTTGATTCAAATCCTCCAAGAACTTCTTATGGCCTGCATCGTCAGGCTTCTTCAAGTTCTTAGTGAAAGTAGGAGCAGAAACAGGAACAACGTCAGCAGTAGTCATATTTTTTTTTTGAGGATAAGAGAAAAAAAGAAAGAAAGAAGCACAAAAAGGAAAAAGGTTAAATTGATTTAATACGACACAAACATAATTCATATATTATTTTTAACTCGTCACTCTTTGTGTATGTATGTGTCTGTCTTAGTTTTTCATACGTTCTGTTGCTTAGAGATCGTGCCAATTTTTTTAAAAAAAAATTGAAGCAATACTTGATTTCATATTATTCATGCTATTCATGAATGATGGAACCCCCCCTTTTTTTTTGTATCTCTTCTCATCGTTTCTATATATGGTAATCTGAAGCGGGGTTTATTTCCAACCATCAGACGAGCTGGTTCATGATGATTGGCTTAAATTGATATAAAAGCAAAACCGTGAATCGATCTATCCCACGTATTAAAGTCACACACACACACACACATACATACATTATATGTTATCCCATTTGGTTTATAAAGTTCTACCTTTTATATGACATTTTTTACTTGACTAACCGGATAGAGAGAAGCCCTTTTTTTTTCTAGAGTGCGACCATGGTCAGAAGGTAACTCTTGCATGAAGACTAAAATGTAACTCAGTGCTTTAGGCACAGATAACTTTTTCTCACCGGTTTTTTTTTAGTTATCAACCTAACCGTTGAGAGAGATATGACTACATTGAAGATCCGCAATGAGATCCCCATGTGTGTGTGCGCAAAAGTTAAAGACACTGTGAACGGGCATCTAAATCTAAACGAATTAAAATGGCTGTACTTCCATCGATTTTTGATTTTAAAAATGGCCCCCAAAAAAGAAAGGCAACTAGGCATATATCTTATTGATTGATGTTTTTAGTAAAGTCATGCAAAAGTTTGAGTATTATTCTTCAAACGTTCCAAAGAAACATTTCCATTGCCATCGAAGTAAGGGTATCAACATTACAAAATGTCTGCTGCTCTTTCGACCCTATCATTCAAACCTTTTCAAAGAACTTCAATGATGAAGTTTTTAAGGACATATAATCACCCACATTGATAATTATACGAGGTAATTGTGTTAATGGTGTCCATCTCTACAATGTTTAGCAGCCACTATCGGTCAATTAAGATCATTCCTCTATTTATTTGTAATTTATCCACATTATGACAATCGGTTAGTAAAATATCATATTATCCTAATAAATGGTGGACGACTATAACCAAAAAGCTAGCTCAAGCAGCAAATTATTCATGTAGGCTAGAAAGTCTATGCATCTTATAACCCCAAGAGCTGTTTGTTTACATTATAAACAATGTTGTCAACTGAAAAACTAGAACCTTTAGCAGCTTTTGCTTTATAAAGTCTCTCGACATCATCTATCTACTACGGCTCCAATAATTTTACTGTAAAGTCTTTCAATCAATCTGTGAAAACAGGGAGAACCAGATAAAAATTAATCTAAAAAGCAATGCCGAACTTGACGTCAGAAGACAAAAAATATGTGGCGTATCTGACTAGTCAATATAGTAAGAACGAATCAAGATCCAGCACTAACAGTGCAGCCTTTTATAGTGCTTAAGTGCAAAGTGTTTCGTAATATGTCGGGTAATACGTTGTGTTACTCGACTTATAAGATAGATTCGTCATTTAATCATCTTGATTCTTTTGTGTTTTACAAATCAAATCAGAGCTGGTATATGATGGATTTCTCCAAGAAATTCATAGTTGGTTTGATATATAGGTACAACAGCAGATTTATTATAACCTGGTTGTGGTGGATTTAACTTGCCACTATTATTGGTTGTTCAAAAGCACAGTAATTTCTAAAATCAGCTCCTTGCAGTTAAATTTTATGCGCTAAAGAAAAAGTGCCTCACTCGTGATGCCTAGTTGAAACGGTCACTTTTTTATGTTTTTACCATTTAAAAAGTCTCTCCTTTCCTTTTTTTAATTTTCTTTTTTCCTTTTAGCAAAGAAATGAAAGAAAAGCAAGAGTACACATCAAGCCATGATATCCCAGTTGCAGTTCATCAGCAACAGCAGCAACAACAACAACAACAACAACAACAAAAACGTTGGAAATGGGTACGTCGAGGTATCTTGAGTATGGTTCTAATGGGACTTGTGGTACACTCCTTTGGGCCTCTCTGTCAGCAAGAAACCGGTGATGAAATGTTATTTATCCAACAACAACCACAACAAAAATCACATATTGTTTTACACACAGGCTTTCCTCCTGCCGGCAACGTATCGGGTCTCGCGATCACTCCTGGAAAAGCCGCAGCAACTGCATTTTCTCCCAATCCTGCAAGTAGTTCTGTGAAACATATGGATAGAGAGCATATGACCACAACGGGTGGAGAAAGCTGGTGGGATCGGTTATTCCCAAATCGTCATGTTCATCTGGTGAATGTCCAATTACCCGTGACAACCGTCACCAATACCACGGTGGTAGAGGCAAGCTTATCGGTGTGTGGCAGTAAAAAGCAACGATTTGGGTTAGGAAGACCCCAAGTACCCGATATGGATGCTTGTGTTGAAACGGCCCTTGTGAAAAGTGACAGGGAAGACGAGGAGGATGTCTTTAATGTGCTGGAATGGACACCGGAAAAGACGATTGTGCTTCAGAAATCCAAACTTTATTGGTTGGTTGTTCAGTCTCCGTCTGTCCCCTTTCAATGGGTTAATTCAGAATTAGGCATCAATGGTTACGGTACGGCCGTCGAGACGGAAGCAGGTTGGGAATTCAAGTTGGAAGGTGAACCCATTCCCAGTGCTATGGTAGTGGTGGAAGACCATCATTAAATAGAACATCATTGTTATGTCTCATATATATCATTCTTTTCATGCATCTCCATTATCAATAAATATTTGGATCCTTTTTTTTTTATTATCATGTCTTTTTTTTTTGTATGGTTACATCTGCTTCTCCAAACCTTATTTGCCATGGCGGAATCATCTCACTTTTTTGGGCAACCTCACGGAGATACAATAAAGCCAGTATGGGTCAGGTACCGGGGAAATTTGATTGGGTGGGCGGCTCTATTTCGCCGGTTTTTTGTTTGGAAAGAAAGAGGGAGCACGTAACACCATGTGATATTAAATCTGCTGCAAGTTTGGCCATGGTTTTGATTTGCTGAGCTTTTTCGGCGCCTAATGCGGTCGGGTACCTCTTATGGATAGAGTTTATCAGACTGGGATTTAAACAAGTTAATAACGGTTTGTATTGTATGTGTGTATGTGTGTGTGTATACCAGGTAAATTACATTTTATTTTTTTTAGTTCTGATCTCATGCCAAAAATAAATAAAAGAATAAAAAAAAAATTAAGCTATATTCGGTACGTCATTGGACAGACGCCTCGCCCTAACGATCAGCTTTACTCTTATGAATCATCACGATGATGAGGCAAGTTTTTTTCGGGTTACGGATAATATCAGATTAGAGAGTGAAAAAAAGTTTCTGTGCAACCTTGCACTTTTCTCGAGTTTCTGTTTGAATTTTTTGAGTCTAGTCAACGCGGTTATGTATTAGCCGTTTTGTTTCGATATTATTTATCTTGACAAGGTAAAGTGGGTAAACTAGTCCGGATTTTTTTTCTTTTACTAAATAAAGACCTTCCTCCCGTTTACGTCAGTGTGTACATGAACCGTCAAAAAAAAAAAAAAGCTTGAGAGAGAAATAAGGGCAAGGAGAATTGTTAAACCGATAGTGTACATTGGCCTTCTTGTCACACGATATTTATAATATATATAAAAAAAAAAAAAAAAAAAGTATATATATAACACAACTAGATGAGGTTTAATATTGTTTTTCTTTTTTCTGTCTTTTTTTTTTGTATTTTTTTTTTCTGTATACCTCTCAAAAAAATGTTCAAGACAAGATTAAATACGCTATTATCGAAATTACCACACAGTCGAAAATGGACATTCTATGACCTTCAATATGTATTGATTGCGACGATTATGATCGCATCGTTCTTCTTAATTGAAAGTCCATCGCTCCTCCCACGCATCTTATTATCCAGCTTATTTATCGCTTCATTCTGGATTCCTTACATTAGACGTTTTACAGTACCTGCTTTACCCATTTTTACATGGCTCATCACATTTTATGCCTGCCAATTCATCCCTATCAATTATCGACCTACCCACATCTTTGTCAACCTCCTACCTACCCTCGAGCGTATCCTTTACGGTGCTAACCTATCCGAAATCATCTCCAAACATACCCATCCTGTCTTGGATATACTGACTTGGTTTCCTTACGGTATTCTTCACTTTACTTTCCCCTTTGTCTTTTCCACTCTCATGTTTATCTATGGTCCTCCCGGTTCTCTCCCCGTCTTTGCAAAGGCCTTTGGTTACATGAACCTTGCCGGGGTTCTCACCCAATTGTTTTTCCCTAATGCATCTCCATGTAAGTTTAAAATAACCAGTCATATGAAAGTTAGTGTTTATTTATAAGTTCTATTTTATAGGGTATGAGATTATCTATGGTTCAGCTCCTGCCGATTATTCTATTCCTGGTGATGCCGGTGGATTACTGCGTATTGATAAAATCTTGGGTTTAGACTTGTATGGTAACACATTTGGGTCTTCACCACTTGTGTTTGGTGCCTTTCCTTCTCTCCATTCTGGATGTGCCACCATTGAAATGTTATTCTTTGCGTACTTATTCCCCCGTATGAAACCCTTTTGTGTATTGTATGTCTTGTGGATGTGGTTTGCCACCATGTATTTGACTCATCATTACATGATTGATTTGGTGGGCGGTTCGATCTATGCCATCTTGGCTTACGCCGTCGCACAAAACTTTTTACCTAAATTAAACCCAGATACTCGCACACGTCTTGGATATCTTGGCATCACCAAAGGTGGATTTCGATCATACATGTATAGTATTGAGCACGATACAGAGGAATATCATCGTGTATTCGATGAGGAGGCTGTCATGAAGGAAATCAATGTACATCGTCATAAGCCTGAACCTTTACGATTGGAAATGACAAATGGTGAAATGATGGAGTCACCTGCTTTATCACCTACTTGTTCATCTGCTCCTTCATCCGGTTACTGGTCACCTACTTCAGAACCTCAATCGCCTATCACACCTCATTCTCCATCACTCCACCATTTTGGTTTCAGTAATAACAACAAAACTTCCTAAACAAAACATCATCACATGGTGCATAGATGAAAAAAAAAAACGATCTAATTTGTATCACCTTTTATCGCTTCTTTATTTGTACATCCATTCCTAATCTCCCTTTTGCAACACACACACTCACTTTTTCAGCATTTCTTTTTCTTACTACCACTACAACTACTACTACTACTACTCTAATATTACTGCTATTACTACTATTACAACTAATACTACTACTACCCTTTTTTAATACCTTTACACACTCCAAAAAAAATCTTGTAATACTGTTTATTTTTTAAACAACCATGTAAATATTACACTTGTAAAACCTAATCTTAATAAAACTGCTACCACCACTGCCTTCCTGATGGAACGGAAATAAACCTTGTCCCACTCCTCTTTTTCCTTACTGTACATGGATATATAGGTAATCAACCGCACTAGCCATCCAATATCCCGTCGAGAATAAACGGGAGGTTGATTCACCAGTCGAACAAAAGCCAAATCTTGTTCTTTTCCAGCGAATTGAACCAGATCGCGTGTCATCAATAAAGTCAATCCCCATAAACGAAACTGAGGTGAGAGGTCCACAGCTGCAAAGGACACAGATCCCATCACCCAATTCATCCAGGGTCTGAGTAAGGGATAAGAGCGAATAGGCATAAGTGGCTCAGTAATATACTGTGTCGGATAGGACAGCTCTGTGGCAAGAAAGAAAGACAATGGGACCCCTAGATTGTTCATGTAGAACAGAGACCTTGTTTAGTTACCCACACGTGTCTTTTTTCTATATATACTTTACATTGTACTGCTGCTACTTCTGATTCCTGAAGTTCAAACACTGGAGATTCAGGTACCACTTGCAAATAGACTATTAGGAGTGATGATGAGTCGTTTTGGAATCCATGTGTATAACAATTATAGGCTTACTTTACCAAAGGGTATCAACATCATTAACAATTTGTTATCTCGTAAGGAAGTGACTTGTCGTTCATCCAATTGACCAAGAGGTATATAATCAGAGCTCGATAGATCCACGCCAATTTCCTCCATCACTTCTCGTTCAACCGTCTCTCTGTCAGTCTCCCCCGGCTCATTTTTACCCCCCACAAAAGAAACATGACCTGACCATCTAAAAGCCAGTACATGTGAGTTGAATGTCATGACTCCAGTACCCTGTCAATTACCTGTCTCCTTTGCGACTGGTTCGTTTCATGTACAAGATCTCGGCTTCTCCATCACGCACCCAATCTTGTTGAAAAAATTCATCTAATGTTCTCACAGACGCTGCTGAGGTTTTACAGACTTGGGGAGTTTTCCAGCGTACAATGGCAGCTACAGCCGCTCGTCGTTTTTGTTGCGCAGGTGAAGGAATATGAAGCGCATCATGTTGATTCAAGTTGAAGCATAACTTTTTAAACACTAGTTTTTATTAGCTAATTACCAAAAACAAGAAGATCGTCTATTTTTCTTATACCTGCAAGTTGGGCCATACTATAAAAACAAAAAGACTTTCTTTTTTTTTTATTGTGCCCCAAATGGGAAGAATGTTCATGTCGGGTAATCTAAAGGACCGAAGGTTTGTCCCAGACGCCCCTTTGCATGTGTGTTTCTACAACACCTTGCATGGATCTAAATAAAAAACCACAATGCAAGATAAATCACACTCTCATATTGCTATATACATGCTTTTTTTATCATCATTGGAAGGAGAGGTATACCTCATGCTCATTTTTTAATCTACATGTGAAATAGCTCAATCATTTCGTGATTACAAATGATGGCACTCGTGCAGCAACATTGGTATGACCTTTTTCTGCGTGTAGTACATTCACATTGTGGTTGCGTCTATATTCCAAAATTGGATAAGTCACTAGTCTTTCCTAATTTGTCTGTGTCATTTTTTTTTGGATACGAAGAGAGAACGCTTCCATTATATACATAAAGGATATGGGTGGTATTCTATCTTACTATGTGATTTTATTGGCTCTTTGACAATAAAACGAGGCTTAATGTAAATTTTTACACTCTGTCTGATTTACCAAAGATCAATTTCCCGCAGCTTATTTACTACTGTAGTCTAAAGAAAAAAGGTTTGCGTCCATTGACGTGCCACATCATCTCAACCCTTTCTAAACTTCATAGGATGATCAGTTTTTTTCACACAAAGTATGCTTTACTATCGATACATACTACTAAACGCTGATAAACAGTTAAAAAGTTCAACATTGCTTATATACAGTCACATCTGAATATGTATCATACGGTTAAGATGTATTAGCAATATTTAATCGCATGAAACACGACGAGGACAACTGTGCAAGCTTGACGCTATCTGCAAATATTCTATTTTAAGTAAAGGCCCAAACATTATGGATGAACAAACAAACAAATAAATAATCCTGACATAATCCAGCTCTTGTTTATCAGTATATAAATAAGACTCGTTCACACACTTTTTTTTTTTCCTTTTTCTTTTCTTTAACTAACATTAACATACTTGTTTCTATTTTTTAGAATGAAAGTAATCAGCATTGTAAAAAAGGTTTGTTTATAATAAATTTTGTTTTTTTCAAGAAACGCTAGATTATTATCTCTTGTTGTTTAAATGGAAATGATACATTGCGATATTACGGCTACGGCTAGTATATGATATATGATAGTGACCTCCCATCCTTTGTGTCAGTTTTGATCGCACCACATCCCACCGTTTAGTACGTCTTTTCAATAACAAACGTTATTGGTAAGCATAACCATAAATATTGAAGATATTCTGGAACAATCATCAACTATGACTAGCTTACTTAGGTGAAGGTGCAAAAAACCAGTGCGTAAAAAAGCCAGCAGAATGGCCCGACTATACTAAGTCTGATGTTCTATACTGCCCGACAGACAGAAATGAAATGGAACAAAAGACATTCCTCTGATCTTAATTGAGGTTTAACACACTGATAACATAAGCTTTTAGAAGATGCATTAAATAGTCGTTATCAATTCGGGAACACTATCATGTTTTACCGATTGTAGTATCTATTGGTATTCATTACTCGTCTAATGATCATCTCAAAATGAGTTCTACTTATGATCGCAAAAATTTTATGAAGGAATTGTCTTCAAATGGTTGAACTAGTCTTGTCTTCTGATACTAAACTTCGAAAACGAAATCCTTTTGCAACCTTTCGTTGCGCTTGGCCGTTTCTTTTTGAACAGCAAACTTCAATATTTTGTAGCAAAAGACATGAAGTCCCCACTGTTCAACCCCTTTATAGTCTTTCAAAAAGAATCTTGAAATCCGAAATTGCTACCGATAAAAATAGTTGAACCAGCGTTAAAGGCTTTATGACACAGCCAAAATGAATCCAAAGCAGTGAGAGAGCGCGAAGGCTGGATTCCAAAAATTGGACCAATCAGTGATCAAAGTGGAAGCATATGAAATCAGGATATCGAGGGACGGGCAGGCGAAAAATGGTAATTTTTGGTGACTAACCTGAAAAACTGTAATACAAGTATAAATGGTGTGATATTTACTACCGAGTGATCTGGATCAGGAGTATAACCGGAGGCACGGGCTGGAGGAATAAACGAATCCACAACGTAAATGTCAAAGAAAAGGTTTAGTACGTGCAAATATTCAGGAACTGAATATTCCACGTACAAGATTGTACTATTCTATTAAATCGTATTATGATGGTATAATAGTAAATAGCTTATTCACAAACATCAACGGTCTTGATGATAATTAGTAGTGTGATGCGTAAATCAGAGTATTATATGCGATTATCCATTCTTATGTGATGTGATAATTCCCTATAATAACTACGCATCCTCCTCAGCAAATTTATTTTCAAGACTGTCTCAATCTAAGAGCATTAAAGACGGTGTCACTATATTGGTACTTCTTTCTTTAGAAAAATTATCCTCGTACAGTGAGGAAATAAAAAAAAAAACTATGGTGTAATAGGTACAAATCGACAATTTTCAAAAGAAAAACAAAGTATTTGACTATTTTAAGAATTCAAACTATTCTGTTTGGTGCTGGAAGCATCTTGTCATAATTTTCAGACTCATGCACATAACACATGTAACAAAAAAAATTATTTATATTCGATAAAATTCTTTCCGAGTCCAGTTTTGTAACAATTCCACCAAAAGCTTGTGACCGTTCCTGGCCATAAACCATACACCTTTTTTTTTTTTTTTTTTTTTTTTTTTTTTTGGGAAAGATGAGTCAAAAATTATGCGCATATGAATTTCCTATCTACTTACTTCTCCGCGTTTATTAAGGTACCAAGAACTGCAACCTGTTTCCCATACAGTTCCCTTAAATTGACGCTTAATGTTGTTTGTATATTTCTTTTGTGCTTCAAGTTTGGGTTCGATAGCAATTAATTGTTTCTTCATAGCATACTTCATGCATTTGATGGCATAATCGACTTGACTAATCACAAATATTAGAACCTCTTTCTTTAACTTTTTTGAATGGCAGTATTTACCATTCAATGATAGTAACGACCGAGCTATGACCTAAAGCCGAGCCAGCAGACAGCATGAGGAAAAAGTTGGGGAAGCCATGAATAGTAGCACTTTTGTACGTATCAGGATAGTTTTCGTCCCATTCCTTATTTAAACAAATGCCATCTCTTCCGACAACTGAATATTACCTAAAGTTAACACATGTTTTATATTTTTTTTTAAATCGTTCTTACTGGTGAGATTTCCAAGGAATCCGGCAACATTAAAGCCGGTTGCTAAGACCAAGATATCGACCTGTTCTTTGTTTCCATTTGCATCAATGAGAGTAGTTCCATCGATTTTATCAATGGTTGAAGTAACAACGGTGACATTGGGTTGAGCTAAAGCTTCCAAATAGTTTTCGGATTTGGCGATACGTTTACAACCGGGAGGGAAATTAGGTGTTAAAGTGGGGATGAGGTCAGGACGGCCAGCTTTTTTTAATTTGGAAGCGGTGATCCAAGTAAATAAACGGTGTACCAATCTACCAATAAAGGTACTGTGATAACCAAAATTTAGGTAATACAATTCATGCTAGATTATCTTTGTTAATTAGTCATGTGTGGAGACATAGATTAATGAGTAGATATATTTACCTGAAAGAAGATAGCATTACGGTAAAGTCGCATCAAGAAGGGAATGTATTTGAGAAGAAATTTTGCGAATTTTGAATACTTAAATTGATCCTTGGGAAGAATCCAGGTAGCTGTACGTTGATAAAGTGTCAAGTGTTGGGCGACTTTTCTTAATTCTGGAATGGCTTGTACCGCACTTTTTTTTTCTTGTTAGAAACAAGATTGATATTAAGATACATATTTTTTATTTTTTAGATTACCTAGCGCCGTTACCAATGACAGCGACTTTCTTATTGGTGAAATCGATCGTTGGATCCCATAAGGCTGTATGAACAGTGGTACCTGTGAAACTTTTAAATTGGGGTGGAACATTAGGGACACTAAGTGGTCCAAGGCCAGCAAAGCTTAAAAAATAGAGTTAGCATTTTCGTGACATATTTCGCCGAACATGTACTAAAAAATTCTCACACATAGTTGTAAAATTCCGTAATAATTTCTTGAGTGGGTGTCTCCAAGTTTCGCGTTTGAACCTTCCACATTTGATCATCATTCACCCATTCGATACGTACCACTTCTGTTTTGAAACGAACTTGCTCATATAACTTATGTTTACGAGCAACGTGTTTCATGTAGTCAAAGATTTCTTCATTACCACTGTAGTGCAAAGACCAGTCTGTGATCAATATATATTAGAAAAACAAACAATATATATTGCAATAACTTACTAGGATTTAATTCGAAACTGTAAGAATACAATGGACTAGGGATATCACAGGCACAACCAGGATACGTGTTATCGCGCCAAGTTCCTCCGATTTCATTAGAGATTTCAAAGATTTGTGCCTTGATACCGAAATGGTTTTTTACTTGAATTGCGGCACATAATCCGCTGAATCTATTCAATGATTGTTTTAAGACATATGTTTTTTCTGCGTGCCTGGTTTATAATTACCCTGATCCAATGACAGCTACTGTGGGGTTTTGATTTTTCTTCATTTTGCTAAGGCTAAGACACAAAAAAAGAAAGAAAAAGAAAAGAAAAACTGTGTTGATCAAAATTGATGCAACATTTATACGCCCTTTCCCATCAACTTTATATGGAAAAAAAAGATGACTGTGGTGACACTGTTCCTCTCTCTCCCTTTTTCTAGCAAAAAAAAAAAAAAAAAAAAAAAAAAAAAAAAAAAAAAAAAAAAAAAAACTTTTTTTTTATGTCCATGACGTACTTTGATCTTGTGGCACACAACACGACTCTCTTTTTTTTTTGCACTCTCTGGTAGCTGCTGTTACCTTTTATTATTATTTTTTTCTTTTATTTTTGCCCTCCTTTTTCAGTGTATATATTTATATATACTCATATACATACATACTTAAATAAATGAATCCGGATAAGCCTGATACTTGTATTAAAATCCCCATTGACCAGCATGTAATACCCTGTTATTCTGAACTTGGCTCGATTTATAGCTCTACATTTCCACATGTTGGACAAAAGTTTCTCGATTCACTTATGCAACAAATCACTGTACAAACAAAAACTACTACCACCTTAATGCTCCAGTTATTACCAGTGGAAGAATACAGAGAGTTGACCCGTATCTATCATAACCAAGGCAAAAAATTTCATGTTATTAATAACAGTGTAGTAAGTAGTCCGCCAGATATCTTGGATGAACCCCAGCATCCAACACAACTACCAGCACAGAATCTACTTCACGACCAATATCTCTTGATACGTGCCTGCTTTTCCAATGATCCATCCATGGAATTCATGTAGGGTGGTTTTTTGCTATCCTCATACATTATAAAAAGAAGCTCATTATCTTTTCCAAATAGTAAACAGCACACCATCATTCCATTATCCACCTTGAAGTCATCTTCACCATATCTGAAAGCATTGTTAAACGACGAAAAGATCCTTTCAATGGACCACAAGGAAGAAGCCGAACTCTCCGTGTATCCGGAATTTCAACAATTTGTTTCAACTAGGCTTGAATCGTTCGAAAAGAAGGATTTGATCAAGGGCATCATCTGTGTATTAGATAAACAACCTAGTATGGATCCTGCACGACTAGATACCATTACAACTATTTTGAATGCGGTTCATGACCGTTGTGTGAATGAAATAAATCAGATAGGAGAACGTGAACGTTTGATCAGTGCTAGAGATTTGGCCTCGTTGGATGCTGAGAACAAGCTAAAGTTTTTGGCTGATATGAGTCACGAAATTAGGTAAACAAAAGATATATGTTCTTTTTAAAGGTGTGCTAAGCAACTATTTTAGAACCCCAATGAATGCCGTGATTGCTTTGACCGATTTATTATTGCAGGAACGGTCAACTTTAAATGTGGAACAGATTGAACATTTAGAAGTCATCCAAACCAGTGGCAGTCATTTACTGACGGTAAGTAATGAATATCAATTCTTTTTTTTTTTTTTTTTTTCAAAAAAAAAAACTCATTTTTGTTGTTTATTTTAGATTATCAACGATATTCTAGACATCTCCAAATTGAATCATGACCCTAAATTTAAGCTGGAAAGCAGAAGATTTAGTCTGAGAAAATGTTTGAAAGGTATTATTTATTTATTTATTTTCTTGGTATCTAAAATAGTACATTAAAACCATACAAACAAATAACAGACACTTTAAATATGGCAAGACACCAAGCATCCATGAGTCAACAAAATAAAATGGTTTATGTTTTGGAATGTCCACCGGATAAAGACGATAATTTATCACTACCACAATTGATCTCGCAACTAGAGAATAGCGGTATCTTACTTCGTCCCTTGCATCACAAGAAGGGGAAGACCGTATTACCTGTCATCTGGAAAATAGATTCCGACGTGCCTGATCATTTGCTCGGTGACACGATGCGATTAACACAAATCATGTTGAATTTGTGTTCTAATGCAGTCAAGGTAGAGTGAAATAAACAAAAATAACAAATCATGTGTTAATCACTTTCTTTTTAGTTTACAAAACAAGGTGGTATTCATATTCGCATCAAACGATCTACACCCACTCCACTGCGTCCACCTCATCAACAACAACAGAATGAAAAACGCATGTCTTTTAAAGAAAGATACGAAGCCAAGATAGAAACAATGTGGTCTCGTGCTTTACAAGAGCGTCGAGAGAGGAACAACAGTGCATCCAATCCACTCTCTCCTCCTGCCGTTACCAATATCTCCTCCCCTTCATCAGGCCTTGTTTCCTCCTCTGAGGAATTCATTGCCGAGGATTACTTTGGTGAAAAGGCCATTCTGGAAATTTCTGTCACAGATACGGGAATAGGAATCCCTGCTGATCGTTTACCGAAACTTTTCAAGTCTTTCTCTCAAATCGATATCTCAACCGCTAGACGCTATGGTGGTACAGGTCTAGGCCTTGCCATCTCAAGTACGCTTGTAAATCGAATGGGTGGTTGTGTTTGGGTAGAATCAGAAGAAAATGTCGGATCTAGATTCGCTCTTACTTTGCCAATGACGGTGGCTCCCCGCACAAGAAATTATAGTAATGACAGTACCCCAATGGCAGGATATGTTGGCTCACCTTCTTCCCCTGGATCCACCGTCTCAGACAGTAGTGGGAGTGTACATTCTTCCTTGGGTGGAAACGCGTCAGATTCCGCGCCCTCCATGTATACTTTTACTACTCCCGTTGCCAATCATCCTAGTTATTTTCCTTCGAACACATATGGCCAACATTCCCCTTCCACGCCTCCTCATCCACATCATCATAATTACCATCAACATCAACAGCAGCAGCAGCAGCAACAACAACAACAACAGCTTCGACCTTTGCTGCCTAGAACTACACATCAGCAATTATTTGGAACAGAACCTTATAGTCGATCCGAGACATCCATATCGCAAATCATTCATACTAGTTCGGGTAGTGATCATTTCTCTCCGATGGCAGAAGATGGACCTTTAGTAAATCCGACTACATCATCCTCGTCACCTGGGCTAGTGGAAAATAAACACACAGGTAGCGGTAATGGTGGTGGGAATAATGGCACAGCGAGGAAAACATATACGGATTTGTTATCACCTGCTACACGAAATACGCGTGTGGCAATTACCAAACAACATTATCATAATCGAAAACCACAGACCAAAGAAGAGAACCTTGCAAAAATTCATCCACTTCGAATTTTACTTGCTGAGGATAATATCCGTAAGTCTTTGTGGGTTCCCAGAAATGAAGAAAAAAGTAGTTAATTTGTTTCTATAGTAAATCAAAAAATTGCCATTAGCATTTTGAAACGACTGGGATATATTGATGTAGCCATTGCAAATAACGGAAAGGAAGTACTTTCCTTGATGAAGACATCTGTATTCGATGTGATATTCGTAAGTTTTTTTTTTTTTTTTTTTTTTTTTTTTTTTTTTTTTTTTTTTTTTTTTTTTTTTTTTTTTTTTTTTTTTTTCACAAACAAACTCACTAACCCCATATTAGATGGATTTGTATATGCCCGAAATGGATGGATTAGAGGTGACACGAGAAATTATTAAGGAAAGAGCCAAACAAAAAGTCATGGATGCAACAGATGAAGACACAGTGTCAACAGACCCCAGTGAACCGATTACACTGATTAATACTGTGGATGTATACATCATTGCGTTAACAGCGTCTGCTTCACGTGAAGATCGACAAATTTGTATTGATGCCGGCATGAATGATTTTATTAGTAAACCTTTTACGATGACCGAAATGAAGTCGGCAATAAAGACGTGTGCCAATAAGCGTAAAAAAAGAAGAAAATTGGCACAAAAACAATTAGCGGAAATGGAAGAAATCATGGAGAATAGCAGTAATGGACCTTCCATTATTCCTACTACCTCTGTAAATAGTTCAACAGACGATCCCATGTTGGATGTGGAATCTGCATCCCACATTGTATAACAAATCATACCCTATATAGACACACACACACACACACACACACACACACACGTAAACACATTTCCTTTTCTTGTTTTTTTCTTAAAATATCTATAATTATATTTCTACCGATAAAAGTGAAACACAGTTCCTGAACGTAGGGTTAGCAGTAGCTTGGCCTTCCTCTCAGGGCATTTTATCAGAGGCTTAAGAGTGCACAACTACTTAATTTTTTTTGTCAATTATATCATCCATATTGTACTGACCTCTAAGTATCAAGGAAAGATGTCAATTTTTTATTCGTTTTGTTATTAAGTAAAAAGACTGCGAAACAGAATCTTGCATAGTATACATACTGTAGTGGTATGAATAATTCCATTTTAAATACAGGACTTTGAACTTGTATAAACTTTTTTTTTATAAATATGTGTAGATATGTAAATGATGCGTGTGTTCTTAACGATGAAGTTTATCAGCTTGAATAAATGCCTCTCGAATCATGGATTGCAAACTTTGTTTCTGTTGTTCGCTGTCTTCCTCTTCGAAGTCCATTTCAGCTGGATCTCCTTCCTTGGAAGATACACGTTTATCAAGACGCAATTTGATATCTGCCATCTTTAAAATATACTCTTCCACAGAGTCTTGTGAAATCAGTTTAATGATGCGGACATCCTTTGTTTGACCCACACCTATATTGGTGTGTTAATTTGGATATTAGACATATTTACTTGTTTAACTTACGATGAGCACGATCCTCTGCCTGTCTATCATTTTGGGGATTGAAATCTAAATCATAAAGCACAACGACACTATCGTGGTTTTTAGAGACCCTGTCCATGTTTCTATTCACACTTTTTAAAATAACTTACTTTGCAGAGGTCAAGTTGATACCAAATCCACCAGCCTTTGTACTCAGTAAAAATACATCTATACTTTCGTCCTCATTAAAATCATCGATGAGGTTTTGACGTTCCATAACCTTGGTTTCGCCATCCAATCGGACAAAGGATACATTGAGTGTTGTCATGACGAGCTCGAGTATATCCAACATTCTAGTGAACTGACTAAAGATCAAAACCTTTTCCTTTCTAGCTTTACATTCTGGTAATATTGTCTTTAATTTCTCAATCTTTCCTGAATCCATCCATTCATTGTTCTTTAATTGATGTTGAGTAATTGTCTATAGATATGAAGCAAGTCAGAAGTGATAGATTTTTTTAAGCGAAAGAAAAAGTCACTAACCTTGTTATCTTTACAAAGTCTATTCAACTCAAAATCAGACATTACGGTCATATCTTCGTAGATATACTCTTCGTTAGCATCCCAATATTTGACATCACGCATAATTTCCTTGGACATTTGTCTTAAGAGATCATCCGTATAAATTTTTCTGAACAAGAGTGGGTGATCGGCAGCCTTCCTTAAATGGACAATAATATTTGACATGCTCTCAAATTGTGAATCCATGGCAGACTTCTTCTTTGTCACAACTTGATTCTCTAATGACTTTTTACTCTTGAGAATGATATCCGAATACAATTGTTTTTGATTGGGTGTCATTTTACAGATTTCAACGATTTGACGTTTAGAGGGCAAATCTTTGAGAACGTCTTCCTTCTTACGACGTAATACAAACGGCGTCATCATTCTCTTGGCCCGAATAATACGCTCTCTTGAAAGCACTTGAACAGCGGTTTCTGTGCCCTTTCCTGCTTGACTCTTGTCCTCTTTGGATGGCCCATTCAAACGAATCTTGAAAATTGATCTCACTTCTTCCTCATAAGCTGCAAAGGTTTCAGGCATGATAAAAATTAAGAGCGATACGAGTTCTTGCAGGTTATTTTGGAGTGGTGTACCAGTCAATAATAGTCGGAATGGCACCGAAATCTTCATCAGGTATTTGTAGCGAGCACTGGTACAGTTCTTAATCATGTGGCCTTCATCCAAAATCATGGAACGACATTTCAATTTCTTTAAAAAGGATCTGTCTTCTGCATTACTGGTAGCAATATTATACGTTGTTACAACCACTTGGTATTCCCCTTTATCCTCCATTAGTTCGTAGCGCTGCTCTTCACGTTCCTTAATGCTTCCATGATATAAACGGACTGTCAATTCAGGGCAGAATCTTTCAAACTCACGGAGCCAATTTTCAATAGTGGATGAAGGAACGATAACCAGATGAGGACCATTTTCTCCCATCTCGTATAATCTTCCAAGAAAAGCAATGACTTGAGCTGTCTTACCCAAACCCATTTCATCAGCCAAAATACCAGAGATGTTCTTTCTATACAATAACAACATCCAATTGACACCCAAAATTTGATAATCCTTTAACGTCATTTCCTTGTTGACATATTTGGGCTGTTCTGAAAGATACCCTTCGATAGCATCCTTATATTCGGGACTGGATTTATCAACGGTAGGATTGATATCCAAATGCATCAAATGAGTACCCGCCTTTTCATCTGGCTCGTCGTCATCACTGCCAGCAGGCGTACCTCCAAGACTTTCCGGTACACTATCAACCGCCAGACCTTGCCATATATTTAAAATGTTGCGTAATTTACCACCCATATTTTCAATCTTCTCAATAATTTGGTCCACAGCAGTATAGCCATCCATCATCTCTCTGCACGAAGTAATGTACTTGGCGCTTGTTCCTTTAGTAGCTCTAAGTTTGTCTTCCAAATTTTCAATATCATCAAACGGTCTCAATTGTTCAATTACCATATCGGCAGTGGCTGCTTTACAACCCGTGATATCTTGAATTTCCTTGGAACTAGCAGTATTGAAGAAACGTAAGACCAATCTATCTCTTTGCATATTGGAAAGCTTTTCACGGTTTAATTGCATAATATCGTCATCGGTACGATGTCTTTTACGCACAGGTTGATCCAAAGTCTCCTCCTTAAAAAACATGGAGATGGCTTGCACGGCACTGCCGGCGACTCGAATCCCCTCACGAATCTCAGCCACCGATTTAAGAGGATACAGCTTTTGAATACGTTCGACATTAACTTGTTCAGATTCATCGTCGTATGCTTTATTAATCTTGTCATTTTGGTCTACGTATGCTTCATCGTCGTCGTCACTAGATTCACTATCGCTAATAATTCTTGCACGTTTGTTTCTGGTTGACGGTTCAGTTGAAGGCTTTTTGTCTTCTCTTTCCTCCTCCTCCTTTTCTCCCTCTTCCTCTTCCTCTTCGCTTGAAGAGAGCACAATGGCTTGTCTAGGCTTTCTTTTACGCAACACGCGGGCAGAAGAATCGCTGTCGTCGTGATCTGAATCGAGGTCCATTAATGGAGAATTTAGATCACGGAGTGGTTTTACTGGTTTGTTAAAATCCATCTTGTCCATGCGTTGGGATAATCTGTCTGTCGATCGATGAAGATCAAACGGTCCAGTGGGTTTAGCGTGGTTTCTGGGAGAGAACACTGTGCTCGGTAAATTGCTACTTTTTAAACTATTCTTAATTGCAATTTTAGGTCGTGTGCTTTCCTCCACTGGTTTTCGAACAGGCGAAAAGAAAGAACTGATGGGTCGGTTGGCAGAAGAAGACACTGTATAGCCGGTTGGCTTCGAAGGTGCAGGTGGTGACATTTGGGAGTGAAAAATCAAAGCTAAGAGAAGTCAGCGCGATAAAGAAAAAGATTTTTTTTTTTTTTTTTTTTGGTTTTCGTGGTCTAAGGAAACTCCGTCGATTCGCGCACTTTAAGCCAATGGATTTGCAAATCTGTTCATCAGACTTTCAAAAATGATACGGCAAGCCTTGCATATCATTTGCGTATCACTCGCAGAAAACGAACAAAAATAGATGATTTTTTGAAAAAAAAAGAAAAAAGAGAATATGAAATCCCGAAGTAGACGACCAAATATTTACAGATGCATGTTTTCAGATTATGTAATATTGACACGCTTGCCTTAAGAACAGTCAAGGTACACGTAGTCACAATGTAAGATCGCGTCACTTAACGTTCCTTAAGACTTAACAACATAATCGAAAACAGCATAATAGTAACGAATACATATATATTCAGCGTACATCTAAACAAAGGCGAAGGAGGAGGTATTAGGACAGATACTAAACCGAGAATTATTGTAAAAATGCCACTTTAAATTATATTGCAGGTACGGACACTTCTAACTAAATTTTACTGTTCTTGGCATTGACAGATCCAATAATAATTCGGTATCCCATTGTGTATTTGTATTCTTCAAAAAAGGTTTTAATTGCACAGTCGGTAATACATGTTGTAAATGCATCATGGTTTACTACCCTGCTAATTTAAATATGCATGTAGCATTTAAGTGGACAATCTAAAGTCTGTAGTCTGATAAGCCACATGCGATAATAGATTGGCATTTGCTCAATGGCTCAACAAGTATGAGCTTCATGCGGAGCAAGTTTTTTGATACTATTGCTATACACTATTTTCATAAATTATTCGTGCACGCTTAGAATAAAATTTCAATCAGCGACGGAATAAATAATGGCATAAAAATTAACGCATAGTCTACAAACGAAATGAACGAAAGAGAAATATATCTGTTATCATTAAATGGGAATAATGCTAAATTAGGAGGAACATGTATCAATAAAAAATGTATTATGATATTGAAGGGCACGGATAAGGGCCCTATTGCATGCGTATGTAACTCTTATTTTAAAGCCTCAATTCATCCAAAAGACTAACCTGCTTGAGTTTGTGCCTTGGATTCCGTCGGTTGCTTCAAAAAGTTGGTAAAAGGGTGTACTCGAATGATAAATTTAGAACAAGTCAGTGCTTCCCAGCCTGCAAACATAGAAGTCTTGAAACGTTTTGGATGGTCAATAACCCGCGCCCTCATAGACGAAGGGCAAATCTTCGTGTAATTAGACATGGTCTCTGAAGATATGTTGATTTCACTTGTTGATACTTTATTTATCTAATATTTTTTTTGTTCCTATGACAGATATACAAATCAAAATTGTAGAACCACAACTAATTATACAAATAGGATTGTTCCTCGTCTATGGAATCGTGATATGGCTGCTTGCTTGAACATGGTTGATATTGTTCGTTCACTTACTGATGGGAACGACATTACCCCGAGATTTTGACGTAGAGAGGCTCCCCAGAACCAACTAAGAAGAGCAAGGACCCAAAATGACTAAGCAAACATTATAAATGTTCGTCAACGTCGCAACAAGAGCTTTCCAGGCCTATTATCTCAGGTCAAACATAAATACACTTAAGTGGTAAGCTTAATTTTTTTAAGGTCTTTGAAGCAATCTTTTTTCGGAAGATGAACGTAAATTTTTACTTGTGAACGGGGGGGGGTTTATATGTTTTGATCTAATATTTTCTGAAAATAGTGTAGTGACAATAGCAACATTTTTGAAATAGAGTGTGCCTAACCTTAAATTGGCTAAATGGTTATCTAGAAGAAAGAAACCTGTACATTTCTGAAGTTTTATGCGCAGCAATTTATTGTGTGCCTTTTGACACTTTCCTTATCTTCCATAATGGTCAATGATACCACATTATTGTCAATGTGTAATAAAAAATATTATAATACTCGGTTGGACAAATGATTACCTGATTGCAAAAGATATAACTTGCCATTTACCATAGTGGAAGATCCCAAAAACTATGTCAATTTATTCTAAATTGAGGATGGTGTAGTAAATACAATATGAAAAGTTCCAAAACATTGATTAAAGCGTGTAAATTTATAATCCAAGACTGTGTGAAAAAATTGAATTCGAAGTGTGCGAATATGTTTTTTTAAGATAAAGAACACTCAGATTTATTTCTGAAAATAGTGTACGTGCAACCACAACATTTTATGATCAACTACAAATAAACTATTCCATGAAGTAAACGGTTAAATTATTTGAGACTAAAACTAGATATCTTTTTATTAAAGGAAAAGGGGGTCCTTTTTATAAGAAAGGATTGAAACAGATTGTTATCCGGCAGTTGGGAGCGTGGATTAGAAGTAGATAATGATAATTTATCAGTTAATGGCTTACGTTTCAGTGCTAGGCTGCCATTAAATGTCAAGTACCTTATAGGCTGGATATATAGTGTGTATGTATCAACAAACTTTAATTGTTTTGTTTCTATTTTTATGATTTAAGATATCGCCTTTATCGCTTTAATCATACAATTTTCAGATATTTGTATACAATCGAATATGTCCCTAGATAAAGCTAATTGAGAGCAATATTCTCCTTACTTGTTCAATTGGATTGTTTGTCTCTACTGTGCTTTTAAAAAGTTACATACTTCGTAATACAGTAATGCGATCGGAGAAACACGAAACATATTGTTTCGTGTTGGTCTTTTGAAATGGAAAGTACTACTTAAATCCGCACGTTACATTTTGTTTTATTATAAAAGCACGGTTGGAAAAAAAAACAGAATTGCTTCATTAAACCCACTTATAATGAGCTTTAATTGATGTAGTTAGGTTTATATTTAACAAATGCTTTAAAAATTATCAGGGTCAATGTCGCAAGTATAATGCGTCCTGAAAACGCCTTTATTCAATACAAACTGATAAAATTTCGGTGACAATGGTCTCATATCGTATCATAAAGGTACAGGTACTTCGCGTAGAACAAGGTGACACTTTAGATATCACTGTTTCTCGCGTGTTGTTTTTATCCTTCGGTCAATTTTAAGACCTTCTAAAAACAAGGCTTCCTATCTATTCATTATAATATGTATGGTTCATACTCATATTTGATTTCCGGTAATTATACTCGTGAAAAAATATATACAAATATACTTTTTTATTTTAGGCTGCTTACGTCCAACAAGAAATATTGAGTTCCAAAAGTGGATATCTACTAATTAAGATAAGTGTGTTGTTTTCAAAAAATGTTTCGTGAAAGGTTACACTAATTCCATAGATTTAATTTTGTAATGTATCGCTTTCTCTTTCAATTAACAAGAGAAAAGCAAAAAAAAAAAAAAAAAAAAAAAAAAAAAAAAAAAAAAAAAAAAAAAAAAAAAAAAAAAAAAAGTCAGTAATTGAAATTACGGGTGCTCATATATTGGCACCCACCTAAGTAAAGCATTGGTAGATCGGAAATGTGCATTGGAATAGCTACTACATCTTTGCCTCTCCACATGACCGGAGACATAATCACCATAATGAGACCTGCCGGTGATATTGCCTTAAAAGTATCTGTAAAATACACTGTGTAAGAAGTGCTACATCCTAACCTCGGTGAAGACGATGAGAATCAGGTGGACAACTTTCGTATTACCTGTGCATGATTTGAAAATCTTATAATGGGATTGTCATCAAGTTATCAGCTCATCAAAGGTTTGCTGGAAAACCGAATTCGTAAACAAAGTTTATTAAAAGCACCAAACAACTGATGTTAGCAATCGTTTAACAGTTTGAAAGCAAACCAGTTATTTTATCATTTTACCGCACTATTCATTTTACGAAAGAAAAAAGCAAATAAAGCACAATTCCTCTCACACCCCATTTTGATGTTTGACGATACTTTACTTACTGGTTATATAGTTGGTTATGGGTGATAAGTTTAGATGTTAGTTTGATTTACAAAGCCGATGTAGACAGTTAAAATCCACTTACAACGCACATCTAACGGTGGAGGTATGACGTAAACTCTGTTTTTTTTTTTGCGAAAAGAACCATGTTTTATAATAAACTGTTATGGCTGAGAGCCTCAAACCTGATAAGCTTTATATAACTTCTCATGGGCTAAATAAATATTTGATGAAGCATTCAAATATACATATGTATTTGATCAAGAACTAAGTAAAGATAGGCGATCTTCCACGGCTGTCATTTATCAGCTTTTTTTTTTTTTCTGGAACCCATAAAGCTCTTTATCGCCATTTTTGTAGAATTTATCCACATTTTAGAGGCTTTAATACGCTATACCTGTTTTTTTTTCAGATATAGATACAAAACAGCCCTGTTCTTGAAACTTTGTATTAATCCAGCAATCCGTGCTTGAGAGTAGCTTTTGTACTTTCTTTTAACTAACTAAAAGTGTTCCTCTTCAAGTCATAAGAGCAACTAGGTTGTCTTATATATCTTCCAACTCATTGTTAGCCATAATATCTTTAGTGCAAACGTTGATTGTATTATACTGATCATGGTCACATCTGATGGTATATATTTCTTTTCTTTCTGTCATTTCTTCATCAGAAATATCATATTCGTCCGCAAAACTTTCTTGTTGGTTCGATTAATATGATATAAACGACAGTATTTGCTAAATAAAGATTATTTGGGCGACTTTTGAAAGAAAAAAAGCCTTGACTAGAAATCTCAGATAATTTTAAAAAAGCGTTGAAATTTTACCTTTATATCGTGTGCCTGTTCTTAAAACATACCAAGGTTTTTGAATTTGTCCCAGCTAATCTTTTTATTTATCTCGATCAATGCACTTTATTCAAAACCCAGCACTTCAAAGTAAATGCTTCAAAGTCACACAGCATTAATTAATTGTAGTTCCACCAGTTTCTAGTTCAGATAGTTTTAATCTAACAAATATTTTCTTGAGGCTCATTTTTCTTCTTTTTTTCCGTCGAGAAAAACAATTGAATACATAAAAACCATATCACTAAAACGTATGCTTAATAAATGCTAGAGGTTTAATATTAGATGGCACATCTAGCTTATAAAAGTCTTTAGATAAGAACCAGTAGTCACTGTTCCACAGGATTCTACCAGAAAAAATAAATACAATTATTAATTTCAAAATATTATGCAATTGGAGGAAGATTGATATCTTTGAATGGATTACAAAGCGAAAATCGGTAAACTGCAGTTCAGAATATGTTGTTTCAAACTCCCGGTATTTTGGAAATTGGTTTTATTTCATCTAATTTAGGTATTCCTTCCCTCATTTAGGTCTCTACGTTACCTTTTGTGAAACTACGACATAAACGATCGACTAAATAAAAGAAAAAACTTGGGATACTTAGAATTCTGGGTATGACAAAATACTGGTACCCATAAAATAGCTTCCCTCTATTAGTGATTTTTTCTATACAAGGTATTTTTAGTTCCTTAAACAAGATTTCTGTGTCGATACTTTTAAAATTATATCGAATCTAATACAAAAGCTATAATCTTAACACGCTATTACACAAAATGATATTACATTTAACATAGCACAGTTCAAAGCCTCGACTCTTATATTTCTGTGTATCTTGTAGGAGCATATAAATACATTGCTTTTCATACTTCACTTCAATAAACGAAAACTTCCCTCTTTTTTTTAAAAAAATACCCCCTCACCTATCATTTCTCCCCTTCCTCTCATTTATCTGTCTTTGATAATAAACAAATGAAAAAGTCTTCATTATCCTACTTCCCCATTGTGGTAGCAGGCGTCTGTTTAGCAGTTTTTGTAATGACAGCCGATGCTGTTAATGTTATTCATCCCAAGTACAAGAAGGGGGGTAACAATGTTATTCCTGGTCGTTATCTTGTAAATTTCGAAAATAAATCTGCCGGCACTCTCTTTGCTCAATCATTGGAAGCCAGCAATGTAGATTTATCCATCAAGAAAAAGTATTCTCACGAATTTTTCAATGGTCTTTCCGTTCATATTGACCCCACTGATGACAAAATTCATGCCTCTACATTAAAAACTATTCTTGATCGATCTGATGTTCGTTCAGTTACTCCTGTAAGATTGATCCAACGTCCTAAAGTCACTGTTAAGACGATCAAGAAGGGAACAAAGGTTCCTGTTGCTTCTGTCATCCCTCACGCAATGACTCAAGTTGACAGAGTGCACACAGAGCTCAAGAATAAGGGTAAAGGTGTCCTTGTTGCCATTCTTGATACAGGTGTAGATTACATGCTTCCTGCCTTAGGTGGTGGTTTTGGTAAAGGTTTTAAGGTCAGCAAGGGTTACGATTTGGTCGGTGATGCATACAACGGCTACAATACTCCTAAGCCTGACAGTGATCCTCTTGATGCTTGTGGTGCCGAATCTGGAGCTTCTGGTCATGGTACCCATGTATCTGGTATTGTTGCTGGATTTGATCCTTCCAATGTAAGGTCTAAATACTTTTTTTTATTTTTTTCAAAACTAACATCTGCGAAAGAACTTTACCGGTGTAGCCCCTGAGGCCAATCTCGCCATGTTCAGATTATTTGGCTGTACTGGTGCTACTGGTACTGATGTTATTATTGAAGGTATCCTAATGGCTTACGATTCAGGAGCCGATGTTATCAATCTTAGTTTGGGTGAATACAGCTCTTGGGGTGATGGTGATGTCGAAGAAGATGTTATCAATAAGGTTGTTGCCAAGGGTGTAAACATGGTGTTTTCTGCCGGTAATGCTGGTGATAATGGTATTTCTACAGTTGGTAAACCCAGTACTGCCTCTGCCGGATTTTCTATTGCTTCCATTGAAAACGCATACCATACTATCCGAACACTCACTGCTTCTGGTATTGATGGACCTATTACCTACCTTCCTGGTGGCGATGATACTATTGCTGATAACGAAGTAGTTATGTCTGACAAAACTGGTGCCGCTGAAGATTCTTGTACACCTGAACAAGTTTCTCCTAATGTCAATGGTAAGATTGCTCTTGTTCAAAGAGGTACTTGTTTGTTCGAAGACAAGGCTGTGAATGCCATGAAGGCTGGTGCTGTTGCTGTAATCTTTTACAACAATATTCCCGGTGAAGAAATCCTCATTTCAGTTACTGCTAATATCCCCGTTATTTCTATCACCAATGCCGATGGTAAGGCTCTTGCTGCCGCTATCAAGAAGGGTACTGTTAAACTCACGTTTGACCACAAGGAAGTTGTTGCTCCATCAAATCTCGGTGGCACAGTTTCTGATTTCTCTAGTTTGGGTGCTGAAGCTGAACTTAACTTCAAGCCTCAAATTGCTGGTATCGGTGGTAATGTATACTCCACTTTACCCCGTTTCCTTGGTGGTTGGGGTATCATGTCTGTAAGTAAAACATTACATGCAATTAGTTTGAGCAGGAATTGAATAAGGTTTTTTTATAGGGTACTTCCATGTCTGCTCCTTATGTTGCTGGAACCATGGCTTTGTACATCAATTCTGAAGGTTCAAAGAAAAGACAAGCTGTTTCATTTGTTCATGAACAATTCCAAAACTATGCCCTCCCTGTTAAGGTTTACAATTCTTCCGTGATTGATTCCCCTGTTCGTCAAGGTGCAGGTCTTGTTCAAGTTTACGACGCTATTACCCAAAAGACCCACATTACCCCTGCTCAAATCAGTTTCAACGATACTTCCTCCTCCAAATACAAGAAACAAACTATCACTATTACCAACCGCGGTCCCAAGACTATCTCATACGAGGTTAAGAACGATGTATCTACTGCTATTGCCCCTTATGATGTCAAGACTTCTGGTTATACACCACTTGAACCTGCCGAAAATTACTCTGCTGCTGCCAAGTTGCGTTTCTCTACTAAATCATTCAAGCTTGCTCCTGGAAAATCCAAGAAGATTACTGTTACTGTCACCCCTCCCAAGACTAACCCTCGCGATCATATTTACTATGGTGGTTATATCCATGTTGTTTCCAAGCAGAAGTCCAGTGGTAAGGATATCAAGGTTCCCTACTTTGGTGTAGTCGGTTCTCAAAAGACCCTTCCTATTTTTGATACCGAATCTGGATTCCCCACTGTTATTGATCAATCTGGCAATGAGTATGGAGCTAAGGATGTTTTTACTTTTGACCGCTCTATTAAGAACTCTGAACCTGTTGCCGTTATTCGCTTGTTGACTCCTTCTAAGACTATCAAAGCTGAACTTTTAAACGCCACGACTAAAAAGGTTGTTGGTGTATTCTTGACTGGTTTAGATTATAATGGCCGTAACTTCCTTAACAGCGATGACAACCAATACAGTACTTATATTTGGGATGGTACTTATATCCCTTCATCAATGCCTGATGCTCCCCTTCCTATTCCTGCACCTGCCGGTACTTACGTATTACGTTTGAGTGCCCTCAAATTATTTGGTAACCCCAAGACCAAGAAAGATTGGGAGACCTGGACTTCAGGATCTGTTGTCCTCAAGAACTAAGTCACTTCGTACCTCATTCTATCTTTAAATAATAATGTAATATCACTTCTAATTATTAATTAATAAAATTAACCGTAACTATAACTTTTTCCGTCATTGTAACAACCTGTGTTAAGAGCATGAACCATAAAATCTGCTTTTATCATCGTAGTTACACGCGAGTTTGCTCTTGTATTAGTTCAAGATGAACAAAAATCGGCTAAAAAAATTAGAAACCTGTTGTCAATATTATACATATATTTAAGTAGGTCAGTGTTTGATCTAGATTCATTAACTTAAAGGTTTCCACACTCGGCCAGTTCAAACTTTTGATGTAAAAGCAATAATGTGTTTTGCGTATATACGCATTTATATATTTTGTGCAGTGAATAGTTAATCAATTAGAAAAAATTTAAGTTGTTACAGCCAACTTCGAATCTTCAAGCCTAAATTGACTAAGGATAATAACTTTATTGTGATGTAGCACTATCCTGACGTCTCCATTGGCAGCTCAATTATTTTTTTCTTAAGCCAAAAATTGCAAAATTGATGTATATTGAATTAATGGTTTCACCAAATACCACTGATAATAGTCGATAAGTATTTAGTTTATACTGTAAGACATTTCTATTACATATCCGATTCACGGCAATTTTAAAAATCAGATGATAAAAACTTATTGAATCCTTGCTGGACGGAAAAAGCAATTTTTTTTTCTTTTCTTTTTTAAGAAGCTTGTGTTACAATAATTTTTTACTACTATGCAGATGCAAAAGTAGCATACATTATGCGTGTAGGAAGTATCGTATTTTAGAAGCTGTCCTGTTAAATCTACGGGGAATTAATGACAATGTATATTACTCATACTATCGTATTTAAAACAATTCTGAGGACATATACGCTTAACAATAAGTGGTAGTAACACATATGCAAGGACATGAATCTTGATTCACTAATTAGGATATTCGTAAGACCGTCATAGGGCCAAAGACAAATTCAATTTCCTTTTAATTTTGGCTTAGTATTTCTTAAATTTTCAAACCTGTTATTCCTGTTATCCAGAACGCCTAAAAGATTGCCTACTAGACGAGATCAAAAAACATGTCCTGATTATTGTTGCTGGCGTAATCCTTGTGACTTTTCAAAAACAAACCTTAATTTTTTTGTATGATGCACATTCCTTTGCTTTTTGTTAGATGGCTTTAGTATACTTTCTTACAATCACTTGTTTTACTTTGCTTTTTTAAATTATGTTTATATTAACACTGTAGCGCTCTATATCATTAAAATATGCTCCATTAGTTGTGCCGGTCACCGCTTCAAGTGTGTATAGTACCACCAAGCTCTTTAGCGCCGATCGATTAGGACACACAAACTGATCATAGTATTAAATAATATAACATTATACGAGACTGAAACTTTATTTTGTAGTTATGTTATCTATGCAAGCTGCGAAGCCTTCATATTAAATGCTTAATTGCAATGAACTTTTTATTATATTTTTTTATTTTAAATGTGGTAAATAATGCTGTTTGACGATTATAGTTACAATTTTCACATATTCAAAGGAAATAAATATCTATAAATTGTTTAAAAGAATACCGTGTTATAATGTATCTGGCAGGCAAAAATTACTTTAAATTTGCTTTGTAATATAGAGTGAAGCATAGCTAGAACATAAGTATAGTCTAGTTACTAATAATAAAACGTTACACGATATATGTTTTAAAGAACCAAGAGACAACCGAATAAATGCAATATTATTTAGCTGCATTGATTGGTAAATTCTCGATGGATGGGTGTGCCTTTCTTTAGAACTCCTTGATATATGTCTAATTTAAGTATTCCATGCCAAAATAAGCTTGCTGGAATTGACCTTACACTTTGTCCAACGTTCATACGAGAAATTAAAAGTGATCGACTTTTAAAAGAGCTTGTAATCTGTTTTTTGTCAAGTAACAACGATTACGATTTATAGATATTTTTCGATTCCAGTATTACATTATGTGACACAGACAGTTGTACGTGATGCTAATTGTCTTACCATTATTGGACTTTCTTCCTAAACTTGGTACAGTTTGTGAAATATGTCCAAACAGAGTTATCTTAACATGTGCATTAAAAACTTTCTTCAAGTCATATTTTCATATAAGATAAGTACATTATAAAGCCAGACATACATTACACACACTCCATAAGATTGCTAAATATGCATGTAATATTTCGTCTTGCTTAGTGAAAAAAAGAAAAAAAAACCTATATAAACAAGTCATTTGTGTCGCATTTTTACATAACAAACAAAAACTTCCAATCACTTCCTCAACCATCCTTTCCCCTTTCCCTTCTTTTTATCTATCCTTGATAATTACTTTCTTTAAACAATGAAAAAACCTTCATTCTCCTATTTCCCAATTGTGGTGGCTGGTGTTTGCTTAGCAGTCTTTGTTATGACAGCCGATGCGATTAACATTATCCATCCCAAATACAACAAAGGAAGCAGTGACATTATCCCCGGTCGCTACATCGTTAGTTTCACTAGCAAGAGTAAGTCTGCTGGCTCTATTTTCACTCAATCTCTTCAAGAAGGAATCGAATCTGATTTAAAGGTCAATCAAAGATATTCTCACGAGCTTTTCAACGGTCTCTCAATTAAGCTTGATACAACTGATGATGCTATCCATACATCTTCTTTACAAACCATCCTCGATAGATCTGACGTTAAATCTGTCACTCCTGTTAGACTCATCAATCGTCCCGAGATTATTGTCGAAAAGATCAAGAAAGGAAAGAAGGCTTCTACTCCATCTGTCTTGCCTCATGCTATGACTCAGGTTGACAGAGTTCATAGCGAGCTTAAAAACAAGGGTAAAGGTGTCCTTGTGGCCGTTTTAGACACAGGTAATTAGATATTGACATCATTTACATCGTTACGCTAGTTGTGGCTCCGCGGTGTAAATATTTGTAATGTATACTGAAAATCATCTTTATTTTTGTATGAACAGGTATCGACTATTTGCATCCTGCTTTAGGTGGTGGCTTTGGTAAAGGTTTTAAAGTGAGCAATGGTTATGATTTGGTCGGTGATGCATACACTGGCTCAAATAATCCTGTTCCCGACAGCGATCCTCTTGATAAATGTGGTGTTGCATCTGGTGCATCTGGTCACGGTACTCATGTTTCCGGTATTATTGCTGGTTATGAAGCCTCTACTGTAAGAATCCTTGATTTTGTATTTTTTAGTATCAATGCTTACATTTACTATACTTTAGAACTTTACTGGTGTTGCACCTGAAGCTAACCTTGCCATGTTCAGAGTGTTTGGATGTACAGGTCAGGTCTCCAATGATGTGGTTATTAAGGCTCTCTTGATGGCTTATGATGCCGGAGCTGATGTTGTCAATCTCAGTTTGGGCGCCACAAATGCATGGGGTACAACCAGTGATACTGAGTCTGATATTGTGAACAAACTTGTTGAAAAGGGAGTTAGTGTTGTTATTTCTGCTGGTAATTCTGGTGCCCAAGGTATCTATACCGTTGGTCAACCCGGTACTTCCAAAAATGCATTCACTGTTGCCTCCGTCGAGAACCAATACTACACTGCCAAAGAGCTTACAGCTTCTGGTATTGATCACGGAATTTTGTATAGTCCCAGTGGTGTTGATACAATTGTTGATAATGATGTTGCCATTTCAGATAAGACCCCCGGTACTGCTGCTGACTCTTGTACTGCTGCTCAAATCTCTCCTGATGTCAAGGGTAAGATTGCTCTTATTCAAAGAGGTTCATGTAACTTTTCCGATAAAGTAAACAATGCCGCTAGTGCTGGTGCTGTAGGTGCTATCATTTATAACAATGTTGATGGCTCTTTATCTGCATCTGTACCTGGTGTGACCATTCCCGTTGTTTCTATTACAAATGCTGACGGTAAAGAACTTGTTGCTGCCATTCTCAAGGGATCTGTTAAAATTACTTTCAACCATGCTGGTGCCATTCATCCTGTTACTGATGGTGGATCAATCTCCAGTTTCTCCAGTAATGGTGCGGAATCTGAACTTAATTTCAAGCCTAATATTGCAGGTATCGGTGGTAATGTATACTCTACTCTTCCTCGTTACCTCGATAGCTGGGGTATTATGTCTGTAAGTACTTTTTTTTTGATAGCAATCAAGAAAAATATGACTAATTAAAGTGTAGGGTACTTCAATGGCTGCTCCTTATGTTGCTGGATCTGTTGCCTTGTATGTTCATTCAGAAGGTTCCAAGAAGAGACAATCAATTTCTTTTGTAAACGAGCAATTCCAAAACTACGCCCTTCCCACAAAGGTTTATAACACTTCTACTATTGACTCTCCTATCCGTCAAGGTGCTGGTCTTGTTCAAGTTTACGATGCTATCACTCAAAAGACACACGTTACTCCCGCCCAAATTACTTTCAAGGATTCTTCTGATAGCAAATCCAAGACCCAATCTATCACCATCACCAACCGTGGTTCCAAGACCATCTCCTACGAAGTGAAGAACGACATCTCCACCGCTATTTCACCTTATGATGTCAAAGCTTCTGGTTATGCCCCTCTTGAACCTGCCGATAACTACTCTGCTGCTGCCAAGTTGCGTTTCTCCACTAAAGCATTCAAGCTTGCTCCTGGAAAATCCAAGAAGATTACTTTCACTGTCACTCCTCCTAAGACTAACCCTAAAGATCACATCTTCTATGGTGGCTTTATTCATGTTGTTTCCAAGCAAAAGTCCAACGGTAAAGACATCAAGGTTCCTTACTTTGGTGTTGTCGGCTCTCAAAAGACTCTCCCCGTTTTTGACACTGGCTTCCCCACCATTATTGATCGCCAAAGCAACGAATACGGACCCAAAGATACTTTTACCTTTGACCGTGCTGTCAAGAACTCTAGCCCAATTGCTGTTATTCGATTATTAACACCTTCCAAGACAATTAAAGCCGAACTTTTAGATGCCAAGACTAAGAAGGTTGTCGGTCTTTTCTTGACCGGTTTAGATTACAACGGTCGTAACTTCCTCACCGGTGATACCAGATACGATCAATATTCTTGGGACGGAACTTATATTCCTGCTTCTATCCCTGATGCTCCATTCCCTATTCCCGCTCCTGCCGGTACTTACTTGTGGCGTTTAAGCGCCCTTAAGTTGCTCGGTAATCCTAAGACCAAGAAAGACTGGGAAACTTATACTTCCGGTCCTATTGTTCTCAAGAACTAAAATACTATTAATGTTTAATAATTCCCTCTTTTTTTTCCTTATAAAAATTAAAGATGTACAAGTATAATAATATTAATAAAATTCCTCATCGTTTTAAAACGTCACTTATTTTAATTTTGGTTTAGTTTACCAATCAAAAATTATCTTCTTACAGTTATTGAGTGAGAGGATTTATGACACAGATTTACCAGGATATCTCATCGCATTTTTTATACTATTTTACACAGCGCTAGTCTTCCCTAGTATACAAGTCAGTAATCTCGAAGATGGTCTCGACAGTGTCTTGCACTGTTACTGTCAAAAACACCTAGGACTGAATAAACAGCCGAGGATTTTTTTTTTACCATTGTTAGGCGTACGAACGTGCTTATAAAAAAATGCACAGATCTATTTTTTTCAAGCAATTTCATCACCCTATATGCGGACAGGCGCCTCTTTGCAGCAACAACAGTCTGAGGTTTGACAACTTTGGTCCCAAATAAAAGTTAGTTGATTACACATCTAACAAAACGAAGTTAATAGCTTTATTAGGCATATTATATTTCGGTCGTTGAAATTATTGGTATTGCATTTGCAGAAGCAGAGCTGCAACTACAATTGATCTACATTAGAATAAGCTGACAGTTTTTATAATAGGTCGAATGATTTGAGAATTTTTTAAACAAACTTTGACATATGAAGAAGCTAGTATTGGACTTTCCAACATGATTTTAGTTTAGAATTAAAAGCAAAATTCAGTTTGTTAGAAACGAACATTGAGGGTATGGAGCTACTGTCAACGATGGGTGATTCGCTTGGCCTGGCAAAATAATTACCCGGCAGTTGAAGCCTTCCAACCGTATCAAATCAGCGCTATTTTTAAATTGAAAACTTAAATATTGTTTATATGACATAAGCTCACAAAATAGGATATTTTTACGGTTTGGTGATAGTCATACCTGACGTAACTTGAAGTTTTGTAAAACTTATTTACAGAATGATATGTACTACCATAAAGAGTCCAGGCCCCGCAAAAATAAAAAATACGTATTTGAAGCATCATTTTTAATTCACTGCTTTTTAATGCGAGCCATCTGTTTTGACTTTTATGCTATATCTGTACATGTTGTCTAGATGCTTTGATTGTAGCACTTTTATGTCATCATACACTAAAGGACAGTTAAATTTGATCAGAGGCTCTATTTTTATGAGATGAACTCTATTTTTTTCTTTACGAGCTTTACCTTTATCGACAAAAGTGATGTTAGGATCGGCCTGTACCCAAATATTTTCCAAAAATACTATCAAACCACCGGTCAGTAATACTGCTTCTTCTAAAGGCAATGCGTCAATATAGCCAAAGTCTAGCTCAAAAGGATTGTCAGGACGAATTGTCATGGATAGTATTTCAGATAGAATTTCCCATAACGACACATCTAAAATGATGAACAAATAATAAATAAAACGAAAAAAAAAGTCTATGGGCAAATAGTATATACTGTTATTTTTCCATTCTGTTGTCTTGGATAGCTGAAGCGGATTATCGTCTTCTAAGTGATCAGGTTGAATAAGTTGTTCATGATGTGATCTTAACTAATATGAAGTTAGTGCCAAAAACATAGAAAACGAGAGAGAAACATTACACCTATTTACCCAGACATACGGACATCGATATTTTGCATAACCGGCTATAAGAAATACAGTTCGATCTTTTTCCTATTAAAAACACAAGTATTAAAGCAAAGCTATTGGCGTTTGGGAGAGGTTATTACCAGTCGTAAATCTTTATCCATTGGACTTATCAGCTCGGGTAATTTCCATTTCGACACTTGGTTTCTGAGTTGATTTAAAAAATTAATAAGCTATTTTTATGCAAAAGGCGTCCTGTATACCCTGTATAGTGACTTTCCAAGATAGGCAAAGGCATGAGGGTAGAGAATACACTTTTATGGTCCTTTGAGGAAACAAATAATACAAGTTCTTCTCTTCCCCGAACAAATGTCTCAAAGTGTCGAAATCCCTAAGAAAAAACAAGATGAATCCTTATGCTTTTACTTTAACCTCTATTATTTACCCGAAGACTACCCAAAGAAAGACACTCTTGTAGAAAAACAGCTAATCGCGCAGAGTCTTTTAAAAGCTCTTTCTGTTGTAAAATAAAAAGGAAGATTAGTGAAAAAAGGGCCATGTTGTTTTCTTCAAATGGTTACATTTGGATCAGGTCCCAACATTGAAAATAATAATAATAAAAAAAGGTACAAGGCTAAAGAAATGATATACACAAAAAACTGTTTTCTAGACATCACGTGCAGTATGAATTACACTTCGATAAAAGGTAATCGCTGTTACTACCAAGCTCTTCACAATTCAACATGAGTTAACTGTTGCTACAAGTCCACCAAAAACTAATTTAAGATATGGCATCTTTATAAACGTTGTTCCTTTATTTTGTTTCTAATTTCTTTCCTAAACAAACAATTGCTCAAAAATGATGAACGATTTTATTCTTAACGTAAGTCTGAGACAAACGTGGCGCATTTTTTGGGGCATTGGCAGAACATGTTACCCCCCGAAGCCGAAGATACTATTCGTTTCTGATCTTGAGGAAAGCCAAAATGGTTTTCGGGTAAACGCAAATGTTCCTGTAACGTATTTTTGTTGAAAAATTAGCATCAAGGGCATCCAGTATAATGATAAATGATAGCAGTGATGTTGAAAATAATTAATGTTAAAATGTAACATTTTTACAAAAGGGTCGGTTCCCAAACTATCCAACAACTTGAAGGATAAACTTTTCGGCTTCTGCTCTTTCCAGTAGGAAAATACATAGGTTTCTCATTATAGCAGCAGAATTTCCAGTTATTTAGGGATAATATGTGAGAAAATAGATACGGAAACATATATCACTATTATACAATAAGAGATCGAGGCAATCATTACTTATGTTTTTTTAACTAAATCATGATTTTCCCCTAGTTTTTTTTAGCTACCACTGCACACAAACTGAATTTTGACCAAAGACATATTTTAGCAATGAAAAGTTGAGCATTATTTGTTGGTGAACCTAAAGAATAGTCCAAACTCTAAAATAAATGAATCCTAATTTTTGCGTCTCTGCAGGAAGGGTTAAAGCTCTTTTCAAGAACCGCTATTGATTTTATAATTCATCAACGTCATCGGGTTCATGTAAAAAAAGTTTGTGTTCCCCCAAATGGCTAATTATAAACGATTTGAATTATTATTTGAATTGGCTTTCTTCTTCTTTTCTTTACTAAAAAACACAAAACACAAAAAATGACACCACGTAAACATTCATTCATGGATAACATAACTGAGGAAGAAGACGAAGCGGAAGAACAAGAAGAATTATTAGCTGAAGCAAATAATGCAAAGGGGGACGATGAGGCGGTTGATGATCATGGTTACCTGGACGCTAAGCACAGCTCCAAACAACATTTTGATGAAATCATCAACAAGAAAAACCATGAAGGGCCTACGCTAGCGAAACCTAAAAACTTTACGGAATATACCATTTATTTCATTCATCGATTGATATCCTATACCAACAAAAAACGCATGCGCCCTAGTGGGTATTGGCGGTATGTTTTGGGTGTCTACAAGAACCTGTTCTTGGCCTTTTATTTCAATTGGATCGTGATTTTTACTTCGCCTCTGAGTTCATTGGCTTTTGTGTTTACCTATCCGATCATTAGTGTGCTTTTATTTGCATTCGAAATCGGCTTAAAAATGTTTATGGATCATCTCGGTGGTACGCAACTTGTTAAACGTATCAGTGAAGATTTTGGAAATAGTAAGTTGTCTAAAAAAAATTCATCATTGTCATGATGGCTAATCATACACACGCTACTTTAATTAGATTTTGGGATCATTAATTGGGGTAAAAAAAAAAAATCAGCCTATAATCATGCGTCCAACATAAATATTTAACTCCTCTCTCTCTCTCTCTTCAGGCGCACCACAACTATTGACATCTGAGAAATCGTACAATTTAATCTTGTCCACATTATTTGCACTTGGTCAAACCCCAGGTGCTTCTGAAAAGAAAGATAGTACGGATGATCGTCGACATCGTGTATTTGACGTGGCCATTGCTCAAACCATGACCATCCTTTCTTCTTTAGTCTATGAACGTCACGATGGCAAAGTCACTGAAGCTTATCGCATCCGTACAAACTTTGATAAAGGCAACAGGCTCAAGCTCAGTTTAGATCAAGTCGAATTGGAAATGAAAAAACTGATTTGGGAATCAGAACGTCCTATTCGTAAAATTGCAAGAAGGTATAGTCTTCATTTTGCTGGTGTTACAGAACTCAAGTCGTTGGGTGGACCATTCTGTGGTCTCTTTTGGTCAATGGATCCCAATAATCCCTTTATTATTGTGGCTTTTAAAGGAACAACGCCTACCAATTATAGTGAATTTTTAGTGGATGCTACTTTACAAAGAACAGATGCAAGATCTTACTTATTTGGATCTGCACATGAAGGATTTTATGACAGTTTGTTCCCTACTCACATTGATGATGAGGATGCACGTGATCCTTATTATGCCATTCAAAGTGCAGTGAGAGAAAAGGCTCGTCAAATCCAACAATCCTCCAACCATCCTTCTCGACCTGTGCAAGTCTGGATTACAGGCCATTCTCTTGGTGCTGCCATGGGTACATTATTATTTGCGAGATGGTTAAAATGTCCTGAAGATATTGCACCTCACTGTACTGTACGAGATGCCTACGTCATTGGTCTTCCAGCTGTGGGCGATAACGATTTCGCATCCATGTTTGCATCCTATTCCAACGCACCGCTTGCTCGAACATCAACTTTATGGCGTATTATCAACAAATCTGACATTATCTGTCGTATCCCCCCTGGCTATAACAACATGACGATCGGGCATTATGTGCCTCAAACGGATTTCTTTAATTTTTCTCATGTGGGTCATGCAGTTCAGATTACACACGCCACACTGGATCCCAACCCACTCAAGATCTACCCATCCAGTCATCAAACGAACCTAAAAGTGGATGTGGTTGTTTCGGACAGCGATTTTCCACGAAATCGACAATTGCAAGCCAAAGAAAAGAAAGCGGCACCTCTACCGGATATGAAAGCATATCCTTGGTGGATTAGACCTTGGATTGAACGTGTAGAGAACCCTATTCCTATTATCGAATGGTTCTACCCTTTTTTTCTGCGAGATCATATTCCTATTCATTATTTTGAGGGACTTGAACGTGCACGTGTTTACTATAAACCCTCCAAGATCAACATGTGCAAAAATGACTGAAAAAGGAAACCGCAAACGCAAATTATTAAAATAAATAAAATTTTAGACATAACAATGAAAGGTATAGAATTATTTAGTTTAGTAATATATTGAAAAAAGAGAGATAAAAAAAAGAGAATTACGTTCTTCCAGTAACGTAATAAAAAAATAAAAAAAAAAAAAGAATTATAAGCCAGCAAATGCTTTGTCTACTTGAACTTTTAGTAAGTCCTTATCAAACATAATTTTAGCCAATTCTTCCAATTCAATTGAATCCAATAATCGTATGGTAATTTTCGGTGCGTGTCTCACACCAGTTGCCTATATTTGTAAATTAATTTTCAAAGTCAAACAACATGTGGGGTGTAGTCTTACCTTGACCAAAGGAAAAAGTTGGTCACCCAAAAGTTGTTTCTTTTCATGTATTGCCTTTCCATCAAAGGAACTTAACATGGCTTTAATCTCGGCTGTCTTGATGGATTCTGCAGGTGGGGCTACAATGGGTATGGCTTTTGATTTGCGAGGAGGTATAACAACTGTCTCTTGAACAGTCGTAGCAGGAGGAGATATACTCTTTTTTCTCAAGGGTAACAATGGTGAAGTACTGACTGGTATATAAGCTCTACAGACACATTCTTGGATTAGTATACACTGTAAGGTAAAGTTTTTTTTTCTTCTTCTTACCTATGCTTTAACTCGATTTTCTCTCTTTTTTTCTCAGAAACAAAGACAGGTTCCTCTTCCTCTTCTTCATCTTCACAAATCTCCAAGGCTTCTAATGCGGCATTGATTTTATCTAACAGGAAATCAGGGTTGAAAAGACAAATGGATCTTTCCTTTTTTTTCAGGGTCAATAACATGTCGACAATGTCATGCAATTCCTTTCCGTAGGAGCCACATCGTTTGACAGCTTCCGTCATACGTTGACGTTGGATATGTGCACTTGACTCTGTCATGACAGAATTGACAGATTCTAATGATCCACGACGTCGAAGTGATCTCGAAGGCTCTTCCACTATTTTTTCCTGCTCCGTCTTTTCATAGCTGTTGGGGGGTGCCGGCTGAATACTAGCCCCCGAGGCTAATGAAGCCAAGGATGGACGTGCTGCAAATTGAGGTGAGGTACGGATTGGCGGGGGTGAGAAGCTGTTTTCCACTAATGCAATGGTCGATAGCTAAGATAAACCGTCAATAACCCTGCTGGCCCTATATTAACAGCACTTTTTTTTTTACCTTGCGTTGCATAGGAACGTTTGTGTTGCCGACTGACAGCTCTTTTACGTTCATTGATAAATGGTCTACATGGTCGATACCCAGGCCATTTAAAGGACCTACTAAAACATGAACTGATAAATAAAAAACTGTGGAGGTTCTGCAAATATGGTATACCTTCATGAGGATGTCTAGTCTCGAAATAGGGAGAAGTACTGGTATTATTAGCGTAATCAATAGGAGAATGAAAAGACGATGTGGTGGTAGAAGTGGATTTTTCCTGACGAGGCTTTTTGGGTTCATGATATGCCACAATCATGGGCTTAGAACGGAACTGAAAGCCGTTCATTTCTTCCAGAGCCAGAGCAGCTTCTTCGGGCTTTCCAAAACTGACGAATCCGTACCCCTTGGATAAACCATTTTGAGGATTACTCATGACCCTTGCTGATACGATGCGACCGAATTTACGAAATATGTTGAACAAGTCCGTATTATCAATCGTCGGGTCCAAATTCTTGACATATAAATTCATGTAATCTACAAAGCTGTTTTCTTTTTCAGCGGCAGCCGAAGTAACCATGGTGGTAGGTGTAGATAAAGATTGGTTCTGCGCATAGTTTAAATTAATAACTTCGTGAATATGCATGTTGATTAACTTACGAGGTTCACGGGATAACGTGTTGCGTTATTCACCATTAATACAGTGATTTGACTATTTAGAGAAAAAGGACGTGTTCAATAAACAAATAAAACGACGTGTTAAAAAGGGAGAGGGAGGGGAGTACAAAAGAAATACTCCGTTCCAAAAAATTTAAAATCTCCTTTGCCTTACATTGTATTGCCATCAAAAGTCTTGTTATTCTATTTTGTAGAAAAATAAGATTTGAGTACAAGTTAAGATTAAGAAAAGCCCTGGGGAAACTCACCAGATCGCTGACAGAGGAATCGGAGTGGTATCGATGAAAGAACTGGACGAGGGCTTTTCCACGATGAGAACCATCCTCCGTAATAGGTTTGCAAATACTTAAGGGACCGTAAGGGCGAAATATGTCATAAAGCGTATTATGATCAATATGATTTGGTAGATTTCGAACTTCCAAAATAGGCCCTTCGGCTTGAGGTTCTTGATAAGGTGATAATCTAAACTTGAGTATTGTTCCATTTGTAAAGATGTAACCATTAAAAAGAGAATACACTCTATCCGCTAATATTAAACAGTATAAGTAACACCATTCCAATAAATAAATAAAAAAACTGGTCAAATTTTTTTCATGTCACTTACCAATTTTGGAATCCGGGAAGCTTAAATATCCGCCACCTCGTTCTCTCTTGATACTTTTTTTTTGCAACACGTTTTTTATAATTAGTTTTTTATATATATATACGAGTGAAAAGGGTAATACTTTACTTGTAAAGATTGTATTCCTGTAACAGTCTTTCAATATCATAATCGGATAATCGGTTTTCGTCATCTTCAAAGTATAGATCTTCAGTTACAAGTTGCTGTTGTTGATCATGACTGTTATCATCCACGTACACTGAACGAGTCGTACATGATTTACTACGAGGTGGAAGTCTGATGATAGGTTTTACGGTTGCCATGATTGCCCTGAGCGAAAGAAAATATAAAAAAAAAAGAAAAAGAAAGAGAGAAAATATAAGAAGAAAAAAAAAAGACATGACTTTTTACTATTCAATGAGTTTAAAATTGCATTAGAAAAAACAGGGAACTCAATAAGGTAACCTGACACTCTGCCAACCTTCCCTAAAAATTAGTCGTCACATTAATTAAACAAAGCAAGGTAATAAACCACTTACTTTTCCGCGTAGCAGCTTTACCACTGTCCGTTCGATCTCTCTCATCCAAAAGGGATTAGGATTACACTTATAAAACTTGGTATTGCGTTAACTGGTGCTATAATTATAAGCGGGAAATGTCCGCTTAAATATAAGTGGAGCCAACACTGACAATGCAGATAACGTATCTCGAGATATCATTGCTTTTTGGTCGTTGTACCTAAATGCACTGATGGTCAGCTCACCGAAAGGATCCCTTGCTATTTACAATAATAGATGGTCTTTGGATGCCAAACTGTATTTTATGAAAACGATACACATAAGTCTGAGAAGTATTGTTCTCGTTTGTGATACAGACCTGTGTATACAGCCCCTTCCATTTTCCGTACTTATCATAATAAAACAGATGCAGAGAAATTTTTCCCTTTTTCCGGTAAATACACGATAGAATACTTGCCTGTCAATCTCTAAAGATCAAAGAGTCAAACATGGTATGGTATACAGGGCAAATCGCATGTTTCTTTATATGGAGGCATATCTTTTAATGCAACTAAATATTCTCTAGAAATAGCATTGTCGGCAGGTACTTCTCCATACAAAGTATCCTACAGATGCCGCACAATCTACATTAGTATCAGTTTTCGAACATTTCTCAGATCAATTTCGCATTCTGATTCGACTTAACATTTTCTACTGTGAATTCTACCTTTCTTGTAAGGCATTCATCTTCTTTGCTTATTTCATCTGTCTGTGAACAATCCCTCTCTTTGATACCATATTTACACGTAACTACATGGCAAGAAGATGATTGAGCATTGAACTAAACTTTATTCAAATTTGTGGCGTGTTTATGATTATTCCAAGCGAAAGTTTTTATCCTTTATAATAGACTTGAGTTTGAGATTTTAAGCTTTTTTGCTACACTTTTCTTTTGTGTATCTTTTGATAAAGTTTTATTATGCATTGTAGTTTTGAGGTTTTCCGAGACGGTCTCCTCAGACACGCTTACAACGCGAGGGACAATGGGCAACGGCATTCGAAGTCCCTTCATTAACGTTTAGGACAACATTTATCCGTTTTCCAGTTAACCTCGGCCTCAAGATTAGTACAGAAATACTTTTGGCTACTTTAAAAAAAACTTCTTGATTTGTCTTCATTCCTTTTCATAACTCGTAAATCGAACAACGACTGAAAAAGAGAACCTATTTATTCTCGTGTGTAAGGGACTGCTCTGTGCCACTCTATTTATGACGGACATTCAAACGGCGTTGGTATGGTAACGCAAGACTTCAACTTGTAAAAAAATAAAGGAGCATGATTTGCTCTCCCTCTCTCTCTTTGTTACTTACACTCCCCCCTTAAAAAATCACATACCCCTTTTTGTTATTATCTCCCTTTTTTATTTGTTTTTATCTCTTTCTTTTATCTCTCTCTTTTTTACTTTTTTTTTCTTCTTCAATAAAATGTCCAATACCAATGATAGTGATATACCCGAAAGAATAGCTGCGGCAAGAAGAGAGGCAGAAGCATTAAAAGAAAGAATTAAACAGCGTAAAGAAGCATTAGCCGATACCACATGTAAGTTTGATACTAAAGAAAAAAAAAGCAGTAAGAAAAAAAAAGACAAATGAATTTACTGTTATAACTAGTACAAGAAATGGCAAAAGAAGTGGAAGCTTTACCTCGTATAGTGATGAAAGCAAGAAGAACATTAAAGGGACATTTAGCAAAGATTTATTCTATGCATTGGGCTACAGATAAAAGACACCTAGTATCAGCATCACAAGACGGTAAATTAATCGTCTGGGACGCTTACTCGACAAATAAAGTGCATGCTATACCACTTCGATCTTCTTGGGTAATGACATGTGCGTATGCACCCTCAGGCAACTTTGTGGCCTGTGGTGGTCTAGATAATATTTGTTCCATTTACAATCTAAGAACAAGAGATGGACCCGTCAGACCTGCCAGAGAATTGTCTGCGCATAATGGATATCTCAGTTGCTGTCGATTTATTAATGATCGTCAAATCTTGACAGCTTCAGGTGATATGACTTGTATGTTGTGGGACATTGATGCTGGTGTGAAAACAGAAGAATTTACAGATCATACGGGAGATGTCATGAGTTTATCACTAGGACCAAATCCAAATGTATTTATTACCGGTGCATGTGATTCCACTGCCAAAGTCTGGGATATAAGAACAAAAAGATGTGTACAGACCTTTGTGGGCCATGAATCCGATATCAATGCCGTTCAATTCTTTCCGGACGGTAATTCATTTGCTACGGGTTCCGATGATGCTACATGCAGACTGTTTGACTTAAGAGCTGATTGTGAACTAAGCGTTTATTCACATGAATCCATCTTGTGTGGTATTACTTCTATTGGCTTCTCTCCGTCTGGTCGTCTGTTATTCGGTGGTTATGATGATTACAATTGCAACGTTTGGGATACCCTCAAATGTGAACGAGTCGGTATATTGTCTGCTCATGATAATAGAGTCTCTTGCTTAGGTATTGCTGGTGATGGTATGGCTCTATGTACTGGAAGTTGGGATTCAACATTAAAAGTCTGGGCCTAATATCACCTTTTTTTTTTATTTATTATTAACTCCTTATATTAATATATCACTACACGGACGATAACTTGTAAAATTATCCTTTTTATTATTAAAAAAAAATGAGAGAAAGAAAGGGGTGTGGTGGCGTTATTTACCAAATATACGTCCGATAAATCCAGTTGAATGTCTTCTTTCTTCTTTAAAATTTAGCAAGTAATCATGAGAAGCTCTTCTTCTTAACGATGGCTCAGCAGCAGACAAGGGGGAAGGTGTGTACAATGAGGGTGGGCAGCTATTACTACTGGTAGCATTTGTCACGCGTTGAAGAGAGAGAGCTAATGGATCTTGGTATTGTTTAACGAATCGATATTCTTTATTGACTCTGTCTAATTCTTTAGTTAATCTACGCATATTCTCTGGATGATCTAAATAATTTTTATCATCTGCTAGAAATGACTGTCTTTGCAACATCATCTTATGCTGTGTACGACTTACTACGGTGGAATATACAATGGGTTTTTCTTCATGGCTACTATAATTTGCGTGCGCTGTATAAGTTGTCAGTTGAATACTAGGCGGTGATCTAAGTAGTGTAGGTCTCTTTATCAAGCTTGCTTCCTCCATATTGCTTTAATGTGATGAAAAAGAGGAAGAAAAAAAAGGAAGAAGAAAAGAAATAAATATAAAAAAAAGGGGGGTGGAAACGGAAATAATTGTTATGCGTCAAACAAACAAAATGTATTATAAACTCCCTCTTTTTTTTTTTTTTTTTTTTTTATTTGCCCATTACACTACGGCTTTACTCATTAAAATATAAAGTTTGAACCTCTGCCAAAACCTCCCAATCATTTGAATGATAACATGGGCTATTGGGCTTTTCGTTTTATAAAGAACAAGAAACAATATTGAACCTGTCATCAGATTCAGGATTGCATGTTTCACAGCAGCCTACAATAAATATTACTGGTTTTAGTAACCATCACTTTCTTTCCATCACATGTGCACACAAACCTTGATCACCCATTTCCAGCCATCTTCAGGCGTAGACGACGACGACGACGACGACGTACTCGATGATTTTTTAACCGGAATTAGTCTCTTATTATCTCGATCTACCATTTCTTTTCTTAACCCATGAATCCTTTCATTCAATGTCTCAATCTCTTGTTGAAGACTCTCGATGGCTCTCTTCGTCGCTGGTCCTAACAGTACATGCTGATCCGACGGTCCTGATCTTTCATTGACCATACTACTATTGTTATATTGTGTTGCTGTAACGGACGACGAAGTGCTCATGGGTGACCTGTATGCATCCTGTTGTACTATACTCGGTCTATTGGGTATATGATGAAACTGTGGTTGCCGTGCTGAAGGATGAAGCACCCATGGATTCACACTATCATCAAAATTCTCATCGTACACTCTAGAACTCCTCGCTCTGCTGGTTGTCATGGGACGTAAATCCACACTACGTGAGGATGAAGATCGGAACTCAGTCGGTGCAGTTCTCATTGACATTTGGCCTGTAGAAGAAGCTCGACTGGACGCTCCTCCGCGCCATTGTCTCGACGACGATGTGGGCGGACGGCCCGGTATTGATTTTTCAACCTGTCTTAAATAGGCTAATTCTTCGGCATCAACAGATCCATCAGCACTGGAATCGTCTTCGTCTTCCTCCTCGCTGGAAGAATCTCCGCTCTCTCCAGAAGGTTGCATTACAGCGAAGGATTGAATGATTTGGTGAGCTTGAGCCCTGCCCGCAGGTTTCTTATAAGCCTGTGAAACCCCATTTAAACAATTGAATCATATGAATTGCAAAAATGAAAGTTTACCTCCATAGCCACTTGTAATAATATCTCTACATATCTGTGCTTTGCTTCTAATTCACTCATCCCTTCCAACTTTTTCCAAGCATCCCTACATGAAAACCATGAGTATGTAAAATCGGTTTTTTCTTTATTCTTTTCCTGATTACCACTTGGCTCTACCAACAACATCAAATATGCCTGGCCTTTGTGTTTCTATATCACCTTGTGAAACTTGTTTATAGTACGAATAAAGCTATACTATACGTTTAGCTCGTTTTGTTCGGGCATATTTTGGGTGTAGGAAATCATCTTACTTCTAACTTTTGGTCCTTTGTGGGTTGAACATTAGAGGAATTAGGTAAATGTTGTACAATGTATAAAGCTTTATTATATCTCTGGCAAATGTATCGATCCGAGTAATGTGGCGGTATAATATTCATGACCTTATTTTTTTTTTTTTCGTAGAATAAAAAAAGAAACCGTTTAATTTGGGGTTGTTTGTGTGTGTGCCGGGTATGAGTTTAAATCGTGTCAATAGCTTCAAGTCGAAGTAAAATGTAACACTAGTACGACAAAAGCATAAAAAAAAAGGTGTAACTCATTCTGTATTAAAAGAGGTAGGATCATCAACACGAAAAAGTATCGTCACCCTTTGCATAATTATTTAAAGTATTGTCATCTTTTAGCGTCAAAAACAATGATGATATTGCCCAGAATAATACACAATGGTAACCATAAAAGGAAATGATTTTTCAATGATGACAGAATGACAAAATAGCGTTTGTCCCAAATCAATCTTTTATTTTTTAATATAAATAGCTTCATATCTTTTGGGTCGGCATGGATTAAATAATTTACTTTACTATTTTAAACAATAATGACTAACCATACCACCTCTCCTACTACTTCTGATCCCCGTAATACCCATCATGAAGTGTCTGATACCCGCAACAGCCCAAAGTCCTCTCCTCGTCGTTCAGGAGATCGCCATGATCTTCCTTTGAGTGATTCGGATCCAAAGGCCGCCAAACAAAAAGCTACCGAAGAAAAGCTTCAAATGTTGAGCACTATTCAAGCCATGCAACAAGGAAAAATGCCTCGGAACACTCAACTGAATGATCTCTTGAACAAATTGATTACCAACAAGGTCATCTCTTCCAGAGAACATAACATGTCCCCCGACGGTAAATTGCTCTTGAATGATTTCAGAAAGCTGTTAAAGACTGTTCAAAAATCTTTGGCCGTTAAGAACAAAGATGAGCTGTTTCAATCTCTTGTCTATCATCTCCATTGTATGGAATCACCTCTTTCAAAAGGTAAGTCAGACATTTCATACCACTGCAAACATTCCCCCTTATTAACTTTCTTTTACTTAGATCAACTTGGTCAAACCATCAAGGTAACTGACAAGAATGTCGTTAATGAAGAAGGAAAGCAAGGTAAGATCCAAGCTGCTTTTTGTTGCTGCATAAGGTTTACTCACACTTTTTTAATTTGCAGGTTCCGATGCATTATTCAAGATCGGTAAATTGATCCTTCTCAACAATGAATTCCGTGCTCTCCTGGGTGAGTTGATTGATATCTCCCAGGAAATCTTCAGCAGTGTTTCATCCAAGGTCGGGGACTCTCTTTCCAATGCCGGCTCTGGTCTTCAAGATGATGAAAACCATCCCAACAAGCGAGGCAAGAACTTTGTCGACAAGTATCTTGACAAGGTCTTGGATCATAGCAATAAGAAGATGGAAAATGATCATACTCGTGGTCTTACTCAACCCCAAGAGCCTATGCAAGATTCTCATCATCATCGTACATCACTTCATGATCAAGAACCTCGCCTTGTTAGCTCTCCTCATGATGATCCCAGACATCAAGGTCTTTTAAACACCGGCGATTCTGTTCATCCTAATCTCATTCCAGGTGGTTTCCCTGCAACTCCTTCCATCGAAGGTCAAAATGCTTTTGATCAGAATGGACAACATGGCGCTTTAGGTCAACAACCTCCTCATACCCAACCACAACATGGTGTCTTAGGTCAACAACCTCTTCATACCCAACAACACCAACAACATAGTACTTTAGACCAGGACACTCTTCACAATAACCAAGACCGTGGTATCTTTAATCACAATAACCAACATCATGAACACGGTGTATTGGGTAACCATCAAACCACCAGTCCCGTTACACATATTGATCCCCTTCAACAACAACATGGTGATCCTGCTTATAACAACAACAATGGAGGTACCAATAACTATCAACAAAAGCTTGAGAACAACCGTCTCTATCAAAATGCTCGTAATGAAATGTATGAACATAAGCATCATGCTCGTAACACCGTCAAGGAAAAGCTCCCTAAGGAAAAGCAAGATGAATTAATTAGTCGACTCAAGCTAGCCATTGCTCAAATCCAAAAGCATCCCGAATACCAAGGTGCTATCCAAACTTTATTAAAGTTGTTGAAGGTGTGGACCACCCGTATGACCCAAGTATCCGAAGGTGTGAAGACTCAAGCAAGGGAAGGCGATCATCCTCAACAAGATAACTATCGAGAGCAATCTGAACGTGAACTCAAGTCAATTATTGAATGCTGGGCTCAAGGATATTCCATTGATCCTCTTCTCCAGGGTGTTCAACAAGTGATGCGTGATATGCAAAACGATCAAGAACTTCGTGAATTTTACCAACAAGTGATTCGATACTCTGATCGACTTGTGACTGAACCTGGATATGTTCAACGTGAAGAATCTACGCAAGAAGGTAGACAATTGATGGATGTGGGTAATAGCATGATCAAGGGCAAATACCGTGAAAACTTGAACTATTTGTCGTCTGAATCCCGCAAGATTATGAACTTGATGGCGGAGGATGAAATCTCCAAGGAATTGAACCATCGTATTGCTACTATTCATCATGACCTTTGGATGGACGGTGAAGGAAATCCTGCTTTCAAGCCTCATCTTTTAAATGATATGAGAATGACCTTGCTTCCCGCTTTAATTGATGAAATCAAGTACATCCCTGTCCCTCGTATTGATTATAGTGATCCTCAATTTGACATTGTGATTGAAAACCTTGTGATCTCTGGTGACAGTCTCTTACCTAACGTGTTTGAAACCAAGGTCGAAAGCTTTAACAGTTTCAGTCTCAAATCCGACACCGAATCCGCTCCTAGTCATCAAAGCTTGCATGTTCGTATGAGTGAAATCCAAGCTGATATCGATGATGTTGTCTTTTTTTATAACAAGAAGACAGGTTTCCCCAAGTTGTCTGATCGTGGTGTAGCCTCTTTAACTGTTGGCGGTAAGGGTATCTCTATCTCTCTTCGTATCCAAAGTGTGGTCGACAACCCTGCCAAAACTTTCAAGGTCGCCTCTTGTAAATGTAACGTGGATAATCTCAAGGTCAAGATCCAAGATAGTAACCATAATATGTTGTATAAGGCTATCCAACCCTTGATTCTGGGCAACATACGAAAGCAAATCGCCAAGGTGATGGAATTAAAGGTGACTGAATTACTCAACAAGGCCGATAGTAAGATCACTCAAACGATTGTTGAAATGAACCAAAACCTTCAAAACAGAGCCTATCAAGCACTCCCTGAACATGAACAAAATGCCACAAAGCCTCCTGCTCTCTCTCCCGCTCGTTCTCGTCCCGGATTCTTCTCCACTGCTGTGAAAATTATCAATAGTAACATCAAGACCAAGGTTCAAAAACGTAATGAAGCCAAGCGTATGGAGCGTATGTCCATGTCTCAAGATAGTCTCTCTTCTCATTCCAAGACACAACTTGAAGGAGGTCGCCTCAACACACATCCTGGTCAATTCGATGAGAATTCCATTGCTACAGATCGTCATCATTATATTGCCAGTCCTCCTTTATCCCCCACATCAAAGGCCCATATGCCTACAACGAATCAATATGGTGCTCAACCCACAGGCAACCATGGTGCTGATATCTCTCCCAGCTCTTCTCATTACAAGTTGGCTCAAGATATCCCTGATGCGCAATACAACCGTGCTGGTCAACAACCCCTTCATGATATTTAAATATGACATCTTTTTTCTATATAATTAATAAATATATTATCTTACTTTAAAAAATAATTTGTTTCACTTTGATCTGCAAGCTGTCAAAAAAAAAAAAAAAAAAAAAAAAAAAATAGGTTTTGTAAACTAACTCCTATCGAGATAAAACCGGTGTTTGTACTTTTTAAAAAAAAAACGAAACCCAGAAAGCTTGATAATGACATAAGTTGTGTTACTGAATATCCCACATTTGAAATAGCAAAACTACAATGATGAAAACAAGGTTATATCATCGGTGTCATATATGAAACTTATTAAAAAAGAATGTGAGATAAATCTTTTGCTGCCGATCAGGAATTAAACCATCCGGTCATCATTGGAATCTGATGAAGGACGGTGTGTAAAATTCTTGATAAAAAACTAAGTGTTAAAAGACCTTCCGATTACTAAAAAAGCGTGTCACCTTTAAATTAGTAAGAAAACGTGTCACTTCCCGAGAACTTCTCCCATGTATAAAGCCCTCGATTCTTTTCTACCGATGTGGATTTTTATCAAATATATCATATAACAAAATGCCTGTTCCACTTCTTGCCTCTAACAACGTGAAGCCTCCCGGTACCCCAATTGACCCTGAATCTGTCAAACATGTCAAACTGTTTCAACCCTTCCAACAAAAGTCTATTACTATGCACAACCGTATTGGTGTTGCTCCCATGTGTATGTACAGTGCTGTGGATGGACATCTTAACGATTTCCATGTTTCACATTACGGATCTTTAGCTTTGAAGGGACCGGGTCTTATTATCATTGAAGCTACGGGTGTAGCTCCCGAGGGTCGTAAGTAACTTTTTAACATTGTTATATTGCGTATTTTATTTATTGATTCATTGGTTTTTTGTAGGTATTACTCCTCAATGTGCTGGTATTTGGAGCGATGCTCATATTCCAGACATTCAACGTGTGGTTCAAGTGATCAAATCCCAAGGCTCTGTCCCTGGAATGCAAATTGCTCATGCTGGTCGTAAGGCTTCTATGGCTCCTCCTTTCAAGGGTGACTACATTGAATCTGATGCTGATGGAGGGTGGTTGAAGGATGTTGTTGGTGCAAGCGAGATTCCTTTTGCTCCTCATTATCCTACCCCTCGTGCCATGACCAAGGAAGAAATCAAGAAAACCGTGCAAGATTTCGCTGATGCTGCTGTTCGTGCGGACAAGGCTGGTATCGAATTATTGGAAATTCATTCCGCTCACGGGTAATACTATATAGCATATGTAGCAAAAAAGATCACTAGAAGACTTATTTTATATACTTCTTTGAAAAAAAATAGATACTTGCTTGGTAGTTTTCTTTCTGGTAATTCTAACAATCGTACTGATGAATACGGTGGATCATTCGAAAACCGTACTCGCTTTGCTCGTGAAGTTGTCCAAGCTGTCCGTGCTGTCTGGCCTCAAAATAAGCCATTCTGGGTCCGCATCTCTTGTACCGATTACACCAACCCTGAGCCTATGGGTCTTGATCCTAACGGTTGGGATATTCAGCAATCCATTCAATTAGCTAAGGAATTCAAGAAACTGGGTGTTGATACTGTTGATTGTTCCAGTGGTGGTAATATGAAGGGCGTCAAATATCCTGCTATTCCCATGTACCAAGTTCAATTTGCTGAAGCCATTCGTCGTGAAGCTGATATTTCTACAGCCGCTGTGGGTTTAATTGTCGAGGGAAACGATGCTGAGAAAATTCTTGCACAAGACAAGGCTGATTTTATCTTGGTTGGCCGTGAGTTTTTGAGAGACAGTGCTTTTGTTTTAGCAGCTGCTCAGTCTTTAAATATTGATATTACTTGGCCCAATCAATACTCTTGGGCTGTTAAAAAGGCTCGTCGTCAAAACACAAACAAGGAACAACAAGAAAAAATTACAACTATTCCATAAATAATTACAAAAACTTTTACAGACTTCATCCTTACAATATCGGCTTAAAAATATGCTGCAATAAAATTTATTCGATTATAAAATAATTAAGTTATTCTGTTTCTTCTAACTTTAATAGGACCTAGCATACTTTATCTATCTTGGACATTTCTTGCACTGTCGTTATGAAAAGAAAAAAAACTTCGATGCTGATCTCATTACTATTAATAGTATCATCAACGTAGACAAACTTAATCGATTTTCGGATAATGTAGAAGCAAAAAGCTCTTCTGATTACTAATTAAACGTGTCACTTATAATTAGTAAGAAACGCGTGACACTTCTGATTATTTGAATTCTCTTGAATAGAAACCATCCGTTTTTTATTATAATTACTGCTAAGAAAACATCAATTATTAGAAAGAAAAAATGCCTGTTCCAGTTCTTGCATACAACAACGTAAAGCCTGCTGGTACTCCAGTCGACCTTAAATCTGCTAAACATGTCAAACTTTTCCAGCCTTTTCAGCAGAAGTCTATTACCATGGATAACCGTATTGGCGTTTCCCCTATGTGTGTGTACAGCGCTGTAGACGGACATCTAAATGATTTTTACGTCACCCATTATGGCTCTTTTGCTTTAAAAGGGGCAGGTCTTGTTATCATTGAAGCAACTAGTGTATCTCCAGAGGGCCGTAAGTAACCTTAGACATTTCTGTTATTGTCTTGTGATGTTAATAACTTGTTTTTTAATACTTTAGGTGTCACTCCTCAATGCGCTGGTATTTGGAGCGATGCTCATATTCCAGGTATCCAAAACGTCGTTCAAGTGATTAAATCCCAAGGTTCTGTCCCTGGAATGCAACTTACTCATGCTGGTCGTAAGGCTTCTACGGCTGCTCCTTTTAAGGGTGACTACATTGAATCTGATACTGACGGAGGGTGGTTAAAGGATGTTGTAAGCGCAAGTGAGATTCCTTTTGCTCCTCATTATCCTACCCCTCGTGCCATGACAAAGGAAGATATAAAGAAAGCCGTACAAGATTTTGCCGATGCTGCTGTTCGTGCCGACAAGGCCGGTATCGAATTGTTGGAAATTCATTCCGCTCACGGGTAATGTTGAATGAATAAAATATCACTATAAGACTCATTTTTTTATGAACAAAATAGACTTTTAATTGGTAACTTCCTTTCTGGTAACTCTAACAATCGTACTGATGAATACGGTGGATCATTCGAAAACCGTACTCGCTTTGCTCGTGAAGTTGTCCAAGCTGTCCGTGCTGTCTGGCCTCAAAATAAGCCATTCTGGGTCCGCATCTCTTGTACCGATTACACCAACCCTGAACCTATGGGTCTCGATCCTAACGGTTGGGATATTCAGCAATCTATTCAATTAGCTAAAGAATTCAAGAAACTGGGTGTTGATACTGTTGATTGTTCCAGTGGTGGTAATATGAAGGGCGTTAAATATCCTGCAATTCCCATGTACCAAGTTCAATTTGCTGAAGCCATTCGTCGTGAAGCTGATATTTCTACAGCCGCTGTGGGTTTAATTGTCGAGGGAAATGATGCTGAGAAAATCCTTGCACAAGACAAGGCTGATTTTATTTTAATTGGTCGCGAATTTTTAAGAGACAGCGCCTTTGTTTTGGCAGCTGCTCAGTCCTTAGGCATTGATATAACTTGGCCTAAGCAATATTATTGGGCTGTTAAAAAGGCTCGCCGTCAAAACACAAATAAGGAACAACAAGAAGAAGCAACAACTATACCATAAATATAAAATCGTAACAATTATAAAATCATCAAAAGAAGAGATACCACAATAAATTGAATTTAATGCAAATATGTCCCCAACTCAGTAAAAAGTATGCTTTTTACGTTGGTTGAGTTGGATTGCATATGACAATTATAATAGATAAAGTGATTAAGAACAGTTTTTACTTCTGATAAGCGTTAACGTCTGATAAATATTACCAGCTAGATACACTAAAAGGTCTGAAGTTGAAAACACCACGTATAAATTAGGAGGGGGAGGGGCAGAAGTTTTTTGGCTTTTTGTTAATAGAATGTCTAGACTTTGGCCTATCACTGGCAAGAAATTTTTAACGCCGTATATCCATGGACAATTTGTGAAGCCATCCTCCGATCATATACGTAAATTGGTCAATCCGGTTAATAAGGCCGAACACATCACAGTGTATGAAACATCACCTAGTCAAGTAGAAGAAGCGCTTATCAGTGCAAAACAATCGAGTGGTGAATGGCAAAGTAGTCCTACATTCAGACGGGATCGCATGTTGGCTTTGGCGAGTCAACTTGAAAAGAATGAATACGACATGGCACAAATCGAATCACTTCAAACCGGCAAACCACTTGCTGATGCACTTTATGAAATGAGCGATGTAGTTGACAGTCTTCGTCATTTCGCAGGCTATTGTGACAAAATTTATGGCTCTTCCCAACAATTTGCAGATATGCATGCCTATACAACACGAGAAGCTCTAGGCACAGTTTCCTTGATTACCTCATTTAACTATCCACTTTTACTCACAGGCTGGAAATTAGGTCCAGCATTGGCAGCTGGTAATTGTGCGATTGTTAAGCCAGCACCACAAACCCCGCTTTCTTCTTTAGCTTTGGCAGAATTAGCAACCGATATATTGCCAGCGGGTGTACTGAATGTTTTGCCTGGGGGAGCACACGTATCTCAAGCATTGATTGATCGCACAGACAAGACTTCTTTTACAGGATCCACACTTGTAGGTCAAGATATCATGCGTCGTGCTGCGAATCGATTAACACCACTCACATTAGAATGCGGTGGCAAAAATGCAGTGATTGTCTGTCAAGATAGTGATTTAGAAAAGACCATACAAGATATTGCCATGGGAGCATTTTCTAACGCGGGCCAAAACTGTTGTGCTATTTCAAAAGTATTCGTGCATGAGTCTATCCATGACGAATTCTTGGAGAAATTAACCGGATTTGTAAGAAGTTCTTGGAAAGCAAGTCTGGATGGTGTTGAAGGCGATAACTTATATGGTCCTTTAATTGACGAAAATCAGTACAATCGTGTCATGAAATACGTGAATGACCGTCCACCTACAATGACAGGCGAGCTAAATCCAGCCACAGCAGCCAATGGATATTTCGTACCACCAACGATTTATACCGGTGTGGAAGATAGCGATCCTTTGGCTTGTGAAGAAATATTTGGACCTATTTTAAGTATATTAAAGCCATATCATAGTTTAGACGAGGCGATCCAAAGAGTGAATAAATCGCCTTATGGACTTGCGTCTGCTATTTTCACCAACGATCTGAAAAAGGCACATCAAGCCGCCAACAAGATCAAATCGGGTGTAGTGTGGATCAATATGTATAACATCATGCCTCCTTCTTTACCATTTGGAGGTAGAAACATGTCTGGTATCGGAAAAGATTTAGGTAAATCAGCCCTGAATGAATTTTCATTTGAGAAAAGCATTATGATGAGTATTTGATGCCCAGAAATAGCGTGGGAAATTATTACAACAAGATATAAAAATCAGGGAGAATCTTTTTTCTCACGAAAGTTTTTTTTTTCTTTCTTGTACAAACAATAATAAAAAAAAGATGTTTAGTAGAGTCTCAAAAACCCTCCTTACTGTATGTATCATAGACATGCATCTTTTCTTTTTTCGTTGTCGGGGTCTAATTTATCTTATGTAGAAGGCAAGACAGACAGCCACTCGATCCATTTCGACTTATAACGCAGCCATTGCCGGTTTGACACCTCAGCAAGAAGAACTTCGTCAAGCAGTTCATGACTGGGCTAATGTTGAGCTTTCTCCTCGTGCCGGGGCTATCGATAAAGAGAACGAGTTTCCGATGGATATGTGGAAAAAGTTCGGTGATATGGGTTTATTGGGTGTTACTGCTCCCCAAGAATATGGTGGTCTCGGTTTGGGTTATTTTGAACACACGCTCGTTATGGAAGAAATCTCCAGAGCTAGTGGCTCAGTTGCTCTTAGTTATGGTGCACATTCCAATTTGTGCGTAAATCAAATCACACGTAACGGTAATAAAGCTCAAAAGGATAAGTATTTACCTAAATTGATCTCGGGTGATCACGTTGGCGCTCTTGCCATGTCAGAACCTGGAGCTGGGTCTGACGTTGTAAATATGAAGTTACGTGCAGATAAAAAGGGAGATCATTACGTGTTAAACGGTAACAAGTTCTGGATTACCAATGGTCCTGATGCGGATGTTTTGGTGGTCTATGCAAAGACGAACCCTGAAGCTGGACCTAAGGGAATTACGGCGTTTTTGATTGAAAAGGTAAACAATGAACAAACAAAAAAACTTGAGATGAAACTGTTTCTTAAACGTATCCTTGATAGAACTTCAAAGGGTTTTCTGTTGGACCCAAGTTTGATAAGTTGGGCATGCGTGGCTCAAATACTTGTGAGTTGATCTTCGATAATTGCGAAGTGCCTGGTAAGTAAAAGCATGTATATGATCTTTTGTGATTCCAACTGCTTACAGCGAACTTGTTTATGCAGTCGAGAATGTTTTGGGTGAAGTCAATAAGGGTGTTTATGTCTTGATGAGTGGATTAGATCTTGAACGTCTTGTGCTTTCTGGCGGACCTTTAGGGTAAATACTGTGTCACATAAAACACTGACATATATACTAATACTAAATTTTATCACATCAGTTTAATGCAAGCTGCGTTAGATGTCACCGTGCCCTATGTCCATGAACGTCGTCAATTCGGTGTACCAATTGGTGAATTCCAAGTAAGCGAGCCAAATAGAATAAACAATAAACAAAATACCTAATAATATTTAGCTCATGCAAGGAAAACTGGCGGATATGTATACTAAAATGAATGCATCTCGTGCATATGTGTACGCTGTCGGTCGTGCTTGCGACGGAGGTAATATTAGTAACAAAGATTGCGCAGGAGCCATTCTGTACTCCGCCGAAAGAGCAACCGAAGTAGCTCTTGATGCAATCCAATGTCTCGGTGGAAATGGCTACACCAACGAGTACCCTACAGGTAGATTATTGCGTGATGCCAAGCTGTATGAAATTGGTGCAGGAACAAGTGAAATTAGACGAATGTTGATTGGTCGAGAGTTTAATAAGCAATTCAAATAAATCTCTCTTACGTGTTTGCCTTAATTCAGCCGATTTGTGTATGATAAAAAAGAGTTAAATAAACCAACCAATGAAAATGGGACTCAGCTTAGGATTCCCACCTGTTTGATAACGCGAAATCAGACGGGTGCACATGTGACTTTTAGTTTTTTTTCCCTTTTTTTTCTCTCACAAAAATTTATTATTTTCTTTCTCTTTCTTTTACTTTCTTTTTACATTATTAATCATGAATTTTGAAGACATTGTTGACATGGATTGGGTTGATACCCACACAACCTTAGAAGATACAACTGATTTCTCATCAGAGTATTTCTTTGATCATCAGCCTGACTTTTTGTTAGAACAACCTTTAACACCGCCACTACAAGCAAGTACTATTGAACCAGAAATCAAGATGGAGCCCATTTCAAGTATGCCAACTACTGAACAGATAAAGCAGTTGATTGAAATTGCAAAGAGACAGTTGGCGTTACGTGAACAACACTACCTGCAACAACAGGAACAGCAACCTTCTTTATTTCAACCTATTATTGATACTCCCGCCGTAGTCAATGAAACCACTGCTGCGCCATCAAACATTTTTTCTATGCCGCCCCTCCCTATCTTATCCCCTACAACTGTCGCAACAAGTGATATCACGGCGATAGAAAATGCTACTACCCTGGAGACCATCTCCAAACAAATGAACGCGGCTGCTGCTGCCGCTGCTTCTGCTGCTTCTGCTGCTGCTGTTGCTGCTACTAATAATACGAATGTTGCTGCTGTTTCAACGGCAGCGGCAGCAACGGCGGCGGTGAATAGTAATAACAATGTAACATCACCCTTATCTTCGGAAATGACAAACGTGGGTAGAAGAGATTCGCTTGCTTCTATGACAGATGAATCGATTTCACTGGAAGCTTATGCTGAAGCAGATGGGATTGATTTGAAGAGATTGACACCAAAAGAACGTCGTCAATTGCGCAATAAGTTATCAGCAAGAAATTTTAGAGTTCGAAGAAAAGGTTTGTTTACATTTAAAATTTCATTATACTTTCTTTGTACTAATTAAAAAAATTTCTTCTCTTTATATAGAGTATATCTCTACTCTGGAGGGACAAGTAAATGACCACAAGATGGCAGCTGAAGCATTAAAAGATAAACTAGTCAAGGTTGAAGAAGAGAACAAAAAACTACGCAAAGAGATGGATAACCTGAAAAGACAGAACCAAATCCTCTTATCACAAAAATCTTCATCGTCACCACGTATTTTATCTTCTTCGTTACCAAAACCCAACCTGAATAAGGATATCAGTATTATGGGTACAAAAGCAACAGACTCATATCGTCAACAAGATAACTGTATACTTGTATCTAACGCAATTATGCCTGTGTGGGATTACAATGCGATTCTTTCTAATCAACACAAGAAAATAGAACAACAACAACAACAACAACAACAGCCTAAAAATGAATACATGGATCTTCTCGTTGGTCAATTTTTATTATCTGTTGTACAACTTGCAAGTTGTATGCCTCGTGGAACCAATCAAATCCAAGATGATGATTACAGACTCCCCCTTATGCCAGATGATCGTGATTTTTCCTCATCATCCACAACAATCAAATCAACAAACTCATCCTTGTCTATATCAAATAACTTTCTTGCATCCACTTCATCTTCATTCCCTACTCTTATTAATTCACCACCCCTTTCTTCTTCTTATATGGAAGATTTATATGATGTATTGATCCAATCTGCCTTGATCAATAGTTCAAACTCTGATAAATCTTTTTGGTGGTGGGATAACTCAAACTCTCAAGCCATGTAATCATCTCTCTTCATATCCCCATATATTTTTTCTTTTTTTTTTCCATCAGTTTTCTTTTTTTAATTTCTTTTTTCTTTTTCGCCTTTTTTTTTTTTTTCTTTACAATAAAAATTCCCCAATCATTTGCGTAACTTTAAATCTTTTCCCCCCGTCTTTGTTAATTACTTCCAAAAGTGGCTGCATCTCCCTCCTCCCCGTGCGAAACATCCCAAAAGTTCCGCTAACTATGTATTCTGCAATATGACCATAAAAAGGCGTCTCCTTGCTATTAACTGTCATTTGAGATCTTATTCTGTCACCGTTCGTTCGAAATATAAGTATAGCTATCATCCGCAAGTATGCATCGTTTTGCATACTCAACAAAATGCAAATGTAAAAATATGTGCTTCGCTAGAAAAACGAATGCTTCAAAAAGGGACACACTTTCTTTGTTTTATAAAACCTAAAATATTACTCAGTGAGGCGCTTTTGTATAACATAGTGTGTGTGAAACGCTGTAAATTATTTCGATTCCCGTCATAATCAATATATTATTTTCGGAGGCGAAGTGCAACCCGTCTCCATGTCAACAAATAACGAGATTCATTCTTTATTGTTTACAACCCGAAAAAAATTAAAAAAATCTTTCTCCTTTATTGATCCCGGCCAATGCTTCTTTAATGATGTGGCGACTTTTGAGCCTGGGAAATTCCTAATATACACTTTGTATGACCCTTTTTTACTATGAATGACCAAATCATGACGTAAACCTGCTCTTAACTCACCATCGTAAACAGCACAGATAAACAGATTATTCTCATTTTCCACTTGACAACATTCTCATTGAATGCTTTACATAAACATTGGCATTGAATATAGAAAACTAGACGATGCTATCTCTTGCCAAAAGTTAAAAAAATTTAAAGTACCGATGGTGATTGATAGAAATAAACATGCCAAGTAAAACGTGCTGCCTACTCCGAATCAGAAACCATGTGGATGTAGATATTGTAAAGGCGGAGTGATCGACCATTTGTATCGCCAATAGTTTAAGTAAAGAAGCTGAGACGACAAGAGCCACTCAAAATTACAAAGGGGTATGGTCCCGGTGTATTTCATTAATGGCTCTGTTCTTCTCTATTGTATACTAAGCTTAGGATAAACCTATGTAAAAGCATTGGTAATCACCATCAAATCTAGCTTACAGAATTTATAAGAAGTCAAAAAAACTGGTTCGGGATTTCAAGCACTCGTGGTCAAAAAATTGACATTTAATACAAGTATCGCGATGGAAGTGAGATTATTAAGTTTGTGTACTGTTTTTACAGTAGATTACTGAAATACCAGTTATTCAATAAAGGAGTCTAAATCAACATCTAATAAAATTAACGGGAGTCTGCTAAACGAGAGGAAGCCGAAAAGATACAAACATAAAAATGTGATTTCTTGGGATAAATTGGTTGAGGCCTGATACTTCTGACACAACTCGTTTGTAGCACTTACAAACTATTTTCAAGGCCCTAGACTTTTTTTGGGACCTAACCCCATTTGAAGGGGCCGAGAGTTTACATGTATTTTCCTGTCTCACAGATGCTTCACGGCTAAGCTGCATCTCCTTTAAAGGTTATGTGGGTTTCTATAAGACTACGTTGCTAGATGGTTATGCTCCACTTTATCATCTATCTATTACACACAAAGTTCGCACATTTTATCGGCTCTTCTTGCTCGTGTTCGAAAAGAAGGTTTTGTGAACGGCTCTAGTTAATGCTAATACATCTTACTCGACCTTCCAAGTAGAGTAAATTGTCTAGTCCATCCCCCTGCATGGAGTATTGCCTTCGAAGAAGGGTAAAGGAAGGGCCGGTAATTTGATAAATCTTTGTTGTCATTACATTATAATTAATAAGTCTTCAATGTAACCATATAACAAGAAAATTGGACTGTGAGGCTTGGAGTATACACTTGTAAATATTCTAGTAACCATTAAACGGTCGTCTTATCTATCATATTGCGGATCTCATTCCGTTTAAGATATCACCTCCCCTCCCCTCCCCCTACTCCTTTTTTTTTAAGTCAATATTTAATGGCGCCTACTAAATGTATTAAAAAAGCAGTAGCATTATCATATATTTCAACAATAACAATTGTATTTAGGAGACAATACTACAAACAGATGGCAAACGTAAATGTTGCAATGATAATGGGCGTTGGTGGAACATGAATACGGCAATTATCACTGTTAACTCTCACATGGTTTAGAGTCGGAGGAAAAGATCAACTTGAGTTCCGTAAACTTGCTGCAGCTTCTGGACCTTTGTGTCATGTTGAGACAACGAAAAGAAATTCATACTACACAAACATGACGGCGGAGGATAAACCACTTTTTTTTTTAATATTACACACCAACAGCGATTTATACAATACTTGTGATGGCAGATCCACTTGTGAGCACGCAATAAATGTATTTTGCATCATATGAGCTACTCAGGGATATTGTTTGGGGTAAAAAAAGGGGGGGTAAACATTCCACCGAAACGAGAACTCCATAAATATTTGGGGGCCGAGCTCTTATTCATTTAAATCCTGTTTATGACGATCCTAAATTTATGGTGTGATTTATTGGAGGAGAATGTTGTCAGTGTAAATTTTATCGAATTTCACGGCCAAAAGCACTTCCGAATCTGATCCGTCATAAACCGATATTGCGAAAACTTCCTAATTGCCAAATTTACATCATCGTCCCGCCTTGAACACTGAAATTATCTCAAAAGACGCATTCGAAAATACTGATAATGATGCTTACTATCTACCTGTTAAATGTCGTATCATATAACTGACCACGGCCTGATCCATTTGCTGGTTTGGATTACAAAAGGTTTTCGTAGATGTGACAAGATATAATTCTTTTTATTTAATTATTATAACATTAAAACTAAAATGTCTTGACATAATTTTGCAACATAGATCGATAATTAAATACTTTTGATCATCCTAAAAGCTCCCTCTGGAATCAAAATGAATTGAATGTCAACGGCTCTATTGCCTTGGAATATATTTATCCCTTCTTGTTATCTATAATTAAAGAATGGCCCTTTTGACAATATAATATGAAAATGTGTAGGTAGGTATCCCCAGAAGAAGAAAGTTATTAAAAATACCTTTTACCAGCTCGTGCTCAGTCAAGAACCACTATTATAAAGAGCATTTTACTTAATAAAGGTTTCTTTTTGAATCTGTAGACCAATGTTTAAATAATTACTAATTCTCCTTGCTCATAGAAGTCTGAATATTGCTAAGAATTATATTTCTAGAGTGAATAGAAACCGATAATACTGAAATAAATGTACATTAATCTATCTCACTTCTTCTACATGGTGCTTTTTCATCAAAGACCACAATCACTACAAGCTTTTTTGAAATAATGAGATCATTAACCTGAAGATGAGCTTTATTTTTTCTTTTCTTTAGGTTTTAAACATTATGGATTTGACCCCGTCCAAATAACCTATTTTGAAAGCTCTTTTTCCAAGATTTCAGGCGGGATCATGTAAAAAAACATATGGTACTATAATTGGTATCTCTCTATCAGAAGGCCTCAGTTAAGGTAGTACTATTCACATGGAAGAAAGGCCTTTACAAATAAGCAAATTATGGTTTGCATATGCTCACAATCTAGTTTAAGCAGCGGTCGGTAGTGTACTAAAGTCGCACTGTTTAACATATAAAATCGCTTATAAAATCATCCCATCGATCCATGATCGAGACAGGCACATAATATCATAACACTTACGTAAAATATCCTGAATTAAATATTCACAACTCAGGGTTATTTGCTATCCTAAAAGATAGATTGACTGCATTGATTCGATAACTTTACCCACGCTGTAAATAACTATAAATACCTCCCCCCCCCCCTTTTTTTTCTTTTATATGAAAGAAGGGTGCACTTTTGATAAGAATAAGAAAATCTACAAGCAAGCAAAATAAAGACAATATATGCAATAATAAATATCCATGTGTAGGCAAAAACACGAAGAGGTTTGTTTATAGCGGTTTCTCTAAAAGATATAAGCATTGCCAGCGCTTGTCTTTATAGTGAATAACTCAGCGGTCGATTTATCTTAAAAGTGAAGTACAATCGTCCCATTCTTTGATAGTGGCTCGATAAATGGAAGCAAAATCTGAGAACTCAAAATTTTACTTTGTATATTTACCTTTATCCTACTAGTTATTGTAGTTAAATAAAAAACAAATATGATGTCATTTAACGCGGATTGTTATATCAATGACTCTTGACCACATTCATCATAAAATAGACATACTACATATTATAAGTGTGGTCAAGTGGACACGTAAGAATATTACTTGCTAGTAACAGCTCACATAAAGATGTTTTCGTAGCCACTATTTGGAATTTTAAATATCTAAAATGTAAATATTTATGGTATCGCACAATGGCCATGAAAATGCATGTGCAAGGTATATTCCACCTCGTTTATGCTGATTGAATGAAGTTGTTAGGGCCAATCAAATTTAATGTGTCTCGGCGCTTGGAATACGTGGCAACACAAACACCTTGATTAAATTACTTTTTTATATTACTTTCTTTTGTTTCATTCGACACTAGTAAACGTGATTATTTAATATGGGTGCAGTTCTGGTGGGCATGTCAATTCTCAGTTTGACAGCAGCCCTTACTTGGCGAGGTGAACATACATCTTTAATAATCTCGATTGTCATGTCAATTATCGCTGGATTATGCACGTACTCAACTTTACCTAAATTAAGAGACAGCTTTATTAAAGCTAATCTTTCTGGCCGAGATCTACTAAAAGTGAGCAAGACATTACTGTAAATTCAAAACTGAAAGAAGGTCTCTGTTTTTTGAAAATTTCATTAAACTAAATTCTTATGAACTAGACCTGAAACTATGGGCCTACCGACAGCTATTATATACCTTATCACCTTATTCCTGTTCATGCCGTTTCCGTTTATCAACTGGTTTGAAGGTGCTCATGTTGTGCATGAGGACGATCCCCATTTCGGCACATTTCCTTATAATAAGGTAAGTCACTTTTTTACAGGGAAAGGGACCGTTTTCTTATAGCGTTTTAGTTGGGCGAAATATTATCTGCAATGCTTGCTATTCAATCCATGATCCTTTTAGGTTTCGCAGATGATGTATTGGACGTAAGATGGAGATATAAAGTCTGGTTCCCAGCAATTGCTGGTATCCCCTTAATGATTTTCTACTATACAAATAAGGGAGCGACATACGTCGTGATGCCGATCCAGTTGAGACCTTATTTGGGCGAATTAGTGGATTTAGGTAAGGGTTTTCAGGTTGGAAGTTTTGGAGTGCTAAAATATAGACATAATATTGTACAGGACCATTGTATTATGTGTATATGGGGATGTTGATTATTTTCTGTACACATAGTATCAATATTTTAGCGGGTATCAACGGTATCGAAGCAGGACAGGCGCTTGTGATTGGATTATCAGTTATTGTAAATGATTTATTGTATGTGTTTAACAACCCGGATAGACATAGTGTCGAAGCACATTTATTCAGCTTGTATTTTGTCCTTCCGTTTGTGGGAGTCACATCTGCTTTATTGTGGCATAACTGGTTCCCAGCAACACTATTTGTAGGAGACACATTTTGCTATTTTTCTGGCATGACACTTGCAGTGGTTGGTATTCTGGGACATTTTTCCAAGACTCTGCTTTTATTTTTCATTCCTCAGATCTTCAATTTTGTTTATTCCTGTCCTCAATTATTCCGTTTACTTGAATGCCCACGCCACAGAATGCCACGTCTAGACCCTGATACTGGATTATTAAAGTGCTCAACTGTGCGACCAAACGATAAGAAACCAATGGGAATATTAGGAAATATCGCATTAAAAATATTGCGTGGGTTGGGCCTTTTAAAGGTGTTTGAGTACGACAAGGATGGCAAAATCATCGAGTGTAACAACTTGACGTTATTGAACTTGGTTCTTGCGTATTTTGGGCCCATGTCTGAAAGAAATACCACAATTGCTATATTGGTAATCCAAGTCAGTGCAAGCTTACTTGCTTTTTTTATTCGCTATAAACTTGTTCATCTTGTATATTAATAATAAAAGGTTTCATCTGTAAAATATATCATTTTAATACGCTTGTTCGCGGTGGAGTGCCTATGCATATTATCATGAGCTCTAATAACTGAGTTCTAGTGTTATCTGCTGCATGTGTATTTATGGACATATTTTCTATAATAGATATATTGTATGCATTAGATTTAACGATGCAAACATTGTCGACCATTTCGGAGAGAAAGACTGCACCCAGGTAAGCCGATATCATGAAATACAGAGATACCGTTGTTTTTTGATATCAAAGTGGGCATGTGTAGATAATAAAAGATCCTCAACAAAGAGAGACTTGTCATATTGGGAATAAGCTCAGTCATACGCTTTACAATAATCTAACTATGGTCAGCTCAACTTAATTCATTGGAGGCTGAGAAGCGTTGGTACCGTGAATGACAACATCTCATTTTTTATCAACAGTGGTATGTGTAAGAAGTGTAACTGAGCAGAAAATTATGGCACATATGACTCTAAATGTTTGTTAAGACCACATTTAACGATTGCCAAAGTTTATTTAATACACCAAAATGGACTTTAAATGAAAAATTAATGGTCTCCGAGTAGATAACTTTTTTTTGTTTTTCTTCCCCGTGTAAACATAATGTCAAATAATCAAAAGTAAGTAAAGTCGAATTGGAATCTTGTATAGATCATAACTCTAGCTTCAATAGTTACTTGGAATCGAGTAGTTATACGTCTTCAACTCAACAAAACGGGTTAAACATTAAACAAGAAGTAGCGATTGTTGGAATTGATTTAACTGATTTAGGATATTAATGTTCATTTTAAATAGTCAATGCAGGAATCGAGTTACAGTCAATACAGCTCAAGAAATGTTGAGTCTAATGATTCTGGAATAAATACAATGGGAATCAAACACTCTGATGGCGGAAGTACGCCCAGATCATATTTAGATTCAACAGTTGTGCCAACGCTATTAGAGGGACTGAAATTGTTAGCAACAGAACGGTAAGCATTACTTATGCTTTCTCCTTGACTCAGGGCTAATAATGAAATAGGCCTTCAGACCCACTTGCATACCTTGGTCGATTTTTGTTAAGTCGATCAAATGAAAGACAATGATGGATATCGGTTTTTAAACATCCGCATGTTTCTACTCTTTATTTAAGTTTTTGGTGGGACGAAAGAAATTTGTTTTTATAACGCTCTTCTTTTCCTTTTACTTTTTATTTTATTACTCTTTTTTATACACTCGTACATCAATTCCCCAATTTCATTTCATTTTGAATTATCTCCTCTCCTTAAAATCAAATAAATCAAGTAATTATAATCAATCACCCATACCAATTATCGATTAACTTATTCTCGTTTAGAATGGGATTTATAGAAAAAATCAAATCTAGTGTCGAAATGTGGAGAATCGAAAAATATACTAAACGTAGACCTGTAACATCTCCAGATTTCGAACAAAAAGGTACATATTAGTTACTATACGAACCATTCTTTCTTAATGACACTAAATTATAGACCGAGAATTTTATCGCCAACACTATAAAGATGGAGTATATCTTCATCAACAACCAGGTGCCATCCAAACCACTAATTCAACAAACAGTGGTATGATTAATTCCATCAGTCGAAAAACCACTCTCTTACGAACAAAAAGTGAAAAAATTATGCGTTCTTCGGAAAACTATAACAGTAACGCACGTTAATCCCTTTTAAAATGTACCCTAATAACTCTTTGTCAATAAAACCAAACTCAACCTTTTTTTCATTTGGAGTTCCAATATATGGTCAGCTTCTAAAAAGGCAATACCATGCTTGAGGTTACATCTTGGCCAGATTTGTGTCACCTCTCAATTATCCATTTTTTTCCCCTTTTCCTGTGCTTCTACACTCAATTTATCTTTTCTGAAAAGTCCGCTCATTTTTTTTTTTTTTTTTTTTGGACATTTGTGTTTTACATGACCATGCCTCAATTACTTTATTTCAGCCTCATACCTTGTCTTTTTAACAGCTTTCTTTACATATTATATACGTCTAAATATAATTTTATTATAGCTGTCAGTGATATTGGAACCCCTTGAAATTAGGCAGACTAAAATAGATACGATTAATGTTTGGCAAATTCATACAAGTCATGGCTGGCACATTATTTAAATAGAAGAGAGAGGCCTTAATAAAACGTCAGTCTCCACTAAATTGAAAACCAAGAAACATTTACTCGAAAAACATTTGACTTGTACAATATAAGAAAACCTAACCGTCGAAACTCCATCCAACAACGCGTATCTTCATAGTTTTCATTTGAAAAGCGTTAAAGTTTTTCTGTACTTTTTGAAGCACTGGATTCCAGTACAATTACTTAGTAGTGGCTACCCATTAATGTTTTATGGTTGATCGGCGGCTTTAGAGCACAAATTTGTACATTACTTGTAGACGACGAAATAGTTATACTCTGTTTGAAAAATCGATACTGGTCAGTTCCTGGTTGCTTGAAATGCCTTTAGCATTTGCCACCATCAAAAACGCTTCACAAAAGTACGGTTAGTCAAGACAACTTGCATCCCTTTGGACGCCTGGGAGTCTCTGGACTTAATGATGACCAGTCACAAACTAGCATGTTAAACTGAAACCAAGTTTCTCTCTTTTCAAACAATCTCGCAATCATCGCTCCATCTCTAAAACTAGCCGACCTTTTTGAATGCTTAACATTCTTAACAGCAATCCCTTAGATTTTATCACAGTACACGACATCAAATGATGGGTCATGATCTAGTTTTTCTTGGCTGCCATATTTAAACCTGGCTTTTTTGTCACTTGCTCCAAGGACAAACAAAAGATTGGAGGTGGTGGTCTGGGAAAAGAGGGACGGATAGTATTAAAATATGTTTAAATGAAACCTTTCTTCATAAATGTGTGCATGGCTAGAAGAAGAAAGGTATTATTAAAACCAAGGAGTTTATTGCTTTCTTTGCCTGTTTGGGTCAGGAAGAGAGTCTAGATGTTCCATTAATAGACGATTATCATCTTCGCTTGCCCAAGATATCGACTTTGTGACAATCCTAATTGAGTTGTAACAGCCTAACTTGGCGTATCCATTTTGGATGGAAAGGACAGCTGATGGGTTTTGATTAATGGCATCGCAGATGTACTTGAAACGAAGTCCGAATGCATTGAGCTGAAAGATTTCAAGGACATCCGTTCCTCACCCACCCAAAAATGACCATCTTTTTGTGCTGTTGGGGTGACCAAATGTCGTTATCAATCAAGCGATATATCTTCTTACCGTTGACACTAAGCGCGTAGTAATGTATAAAATACATTGCGACAGAAATCCATTTCATCATTCCAGAAGAAATGAAAGTTATTGCAGACTCATATTCCAACAACGAAAAAAAAAAAAAAATGACATCCAATTATTTTGCTTATATACGAGTTGAAGCTCTTCTTCCACAACGTCTGGTTCTCTGTTTGAAGAAATTCAAAGCTTTCTTAAACAAACGTTGTAATAACTGCTGAATATTCTCAGGAATATATATTTCATAAATTTGGCGGCCAGAAACATATTGCCGCTTCTTTTCTTATCTCTTATTTTCATTTATCTACCTTCAAAAAAGAAAAAACGCGAATAAGAAACGAGACCTACCAACAACGTTTTTTCGCGTAACTGGTTAGTTTGAGTAAATTATATTTTAACTTTGCTGAGTTAATGGTAAAATACACCCTTCATAAGATTAGGTAATATTTTACCTTTAATTTATAACCTTCTCAGCTTTATATCTTACAGCATAATGCTCGCATAAACTGTATAAGTACACAAAGCTTAATCTGTAAATAGTGAATACGAATCAAATTTCAGCTATTAACGTATAAACACAGAGTGTTTTACATAAAGCAAAGTCTCCCGTGAGGATTCTGACAATCGTCTGTGCCTGATTTTAGACAGGTAAAGATGACGGAACTTTAAATAAAAGGGTCCGGGCCGGAGAATCCCATTCTGTATATCAGGAACCAGACACTGTGGGCTATACTGATCTTTCTTCATCTGCCAAGGTAAAAAAGAAAAAATTGTGATATGGCATCCATCCGATGTACTAAAGCATACATACAGTTTCTTTAAACAGTTTCCTCGAACAGTATAATAATCAACATGTCGAAGAGAGAAAACAAGGTCAACTACTTCAAGAAATTGAACAACTACTTGGATACCTACAAGTCCATCTTCATTGTCAATGTTGACAATGTCAGTTCCAACCAAATGCATCAAATCCGTTTCAACCTCCGTGGTGAAGCTGTTGTTCTTATGGGTAAGAACACCATGGTCCGTTGTGTCCTCAAGTCCTTGATTGGTGAGCGTCCCGAACTCGAGAAGCTCCTCAACCATGTCCGTGGTAACATTGGTTTCGTTTTCACCAACGCTGACCTTAAGGAAGTTCGTGAGAAGATTGTCTCCAACCGTGTTGCTGCTCCTGCTCGTGCTGGTGCCGTTGCTCCTTGTGATGTCATTGTTCCCGGTGGTAACACTGGTATGGAACCCGGAAAGACCTCTTTCTTCCAAGCTCTTGGTATCCCAACCAAGATTGCTCGTGGTACCATTGAAATTGTCTCTGATGTCAACCTTGTCCAAACCGGTACCAAGGTCGGTACTTCCGAAGCTGTTCTTTTGAACATGTTGGGTATTTCTCCCTTCACCTACGGTATGGCTGTCGTCCAAGTTTACGATGCTGGATCCGTCTTCACTGCCGATGTCTTGGATGTTGAGGAGTCTCAATTGGTTGCCAACCTCTTGGCTGCCATCCGTGATGTTGCCGCTGTCTCTCTTGCTGTCGGTTACCCCACTGTTGCTTCCGTTCCCCATTCCATCATCAACGGTTACAAGAACTTGTTGGCTGTCTCTGTTGCTTCCGATTATACCTTCCCTGGATCTGAGCAAATCAAGGAGTTCATTGCCAACCCTGAAGCTTTCGCTGTTGCCGCTCCCGTTGCTGCTGAATCCTCCAACGATGCCCCTGCCGCCTCTGCTGCTGCTGAGGAGTCTGAGGAAGAGGATGATGATATGGGTTTCGGTCTCTTCGATTAAATTCCATCTCTTTAACTCTATAGATGTGTTCTCTTAAAGAAAAAGTGTATTTACTTCATTGTTACATAATAAACTCTTTTTTTGTTCATAAAGAAAAAACACGATTTAATAATGCAGGGTGTAAAAGAACATAACAATGGAATGATGAATTATAGCTGTCGAAATGAGGAGGCGTGCTCTTTTAATTACTGTCGAAACTGTCAGATGCATATCAAATTCTCTCGTGAAAAGACTAGGAACACTACGCTCCTTTTATATTTTGAGTGAGGAGTTGTAAACCCATCTCCCTCTTTCTGCTGTTACTCTTTACTCCTTAAATCATGCCCCTTTAAAATAATAGAGGGAAATTCTGAGGAGAGACTTTTATATATGTAAACATAAAAGGGAGTTTTCCATGGTCCTTCTCCCTCTCTCTTTTCTTCTCTTTATTTTTCTTTTCTTTTCCTACAAGAAACGCGTCCATGAGTCGACACCATTACGAAGAAGACAGTGACGGTAGTCAACACCAACAACAACATGGACGCAAGAACACGTTCTCTTGGTCCTCCACCAGTTCCTCCAACTCCACTTTACTCTCTACTCACTCGCTATTAGAGGAAGTAGAGGAGATGTCATTTTTAGCGTCGGATTTTCGGTTTTTGGACGGCAGCAAGAAAATGGAGCGTTTGACGGCTATTCTGAGTCGAGCAGCGTCGCATGGAGATTTACTGAGGCTGAGACAGATCATCACGGATACACGACTCAGCCCGTACATTCAGCTGGATGCATCTGATGATGAAGATGGATCCACGCCATTGATTTATGCTAGTTGTTTCGGTAAATTGGAAGTGGTCCAATACCTATTACAAGCGGGAGCAAAAGTCGATGTGCAAGACAAAAGTAAACGCATGATTTTTTATAAAATGTTGTAATGTCAATCATACTAAACAAAAAAAAATTAGTTGGGTGGACGGCACTAATGTGGGCTACGACAAACGGCCATAGTCAAATTGTGAAATTACTATTAGAATCTAGTGCATCGTCTGACACGAAATCAATCAGTGGCCGAACCATTTTTGACTTGGTGGATGTTGAAAACCAAAAGATGGTATCCATTTTATCACCTCCCGCCACGAATAATAACAATAAAAAGTCGAATTGGCGAAGAAGCTCGATTGTGGAGAAGGAGAAAGAAAAAGATGAATTACAAGACCAGTTAGAATCATGTGAGGCTAGTTTTAGATCAGTCCATAAATTTGTGTGGGACCAATGTTTGCCGGATCAAATGTTTGTTTTCGCTGAAGACGAAATAGATCATATTCTGAATGTATCCATCTCACATCTCAAATTACCCATGAAGTCTCGCTCTGAAATTTACGTGCCTGCAAACATCATCTTTTTATGTGCTCGTTTTGCTCATTATTACACCTGTCGTGAACTAGTACATCAATTAATCTCAAAAGCCGTCTTCAAAATAGATGCCGTGGTAAAGACGAATTCACAGGATATACATATCATGGCTTTTTGGATAGCCAATCTTTCACAATTGCTATTTTATTTAAAAAAAGATGTAGGTCTTGTAGCTGCTACGGCAGAATATCAGTTGGAAATATCAGAGTTAATATCAGAAACCTATACATTGTTGGTGACTGATTCAGAAAAGAGAATGGATCGTATCTTAGAGCCGTCCATGATTGAATACGAACAGTTAGGAGGATTGGAAGTAGTGGAATTCGCAGATGATTGGCAACGTTTCTTTCGGCGCACACGATTCTCATCGTCTTCTAACCGGCGTTCCCTAGGCAACAGTATACCAGCGCAAGTGGAGTTACCACCGCAACCTTCACGTTCTTCCTTAACACCACAATCTGTCACATCATTATTAACATCTATACTATATGTGCTTCAATCGTATGATGTACATCCAGTGATTGTGATTCAAGCCATGGCACAACTTTTTCATTTCCTATCGTGTGAGATGTTCAATCGTATTTTATACAACAAGAAATATCTCTGTCGAAGTAAAGCATTGCAGATCCGAATGAATTTGACGGTGATTGAAGAATGGGTACGAGAAAACCATTTACCCAGCACATTAGGAGGATATTTCAATCCTGTCGTGCAGCTCGTTCAGTTATTACAATGCGTTTCACAATTACAGGATTTGATGGATTTTATAAGCACGACGAAATCATTTGATTTGTTAAACCCTATGCAGATCAAACGACTCGTTTTGAATTATCGATATGAAGTATCTGAGAGTAAATTGAAGGAAGAGATTGAAAAGTACACGATGCAAATAGCAGAAGATACGGTCAAGAGTATTCAAAGTGAACAAAGCCAAGAAAGGAGGTCATCTATTGAAAGTCGACCGAATAGTATCTCGAGTTTAGGTAGTTTATTACAGAGCATGTCACAGCAAAAGAACAATCGAAAATCACAATTATCCATGACGAGTAATTCATCAGATACAGATAGCTACAGCCATGATCATGAGAATGAAGAAACCAACTGCGTCTCAGAAAAGAAGGATTCTAAATATATGCTACCATTTTCATTACCAACCACCACCAATATGGTTCATTCGGGCTGGGCTAAAAACAAACAAGATAATGATGATGCATTGGACTATAACAGTATGAGTTTATCTGATACCATCTATTTTGAATTAAAGACTAAATTATCTGCAGAAAGAGAGAAAAATGCAAGAGAATCCAGTATCATTCCTTCAATACCAGAAGAATGGCTCGAACGATTAGACCATCATTCTGGTCAATATTAAACTCCCTGTTTGTAATCTTCTTTTCCCCTTATTATTATGATTTCCAATTGCATTTCCCCTTTCACTGTGTAACTGTATACTTTTTTTTTTTTTTTTTTTTTTTTTTTTACATCAAAAAAGACCATCATTCTAATAAAGTTGTGGGCCGTCTATTATACCGACAAGCAGCTAAGAAAAAGAGGCACCAAAGGAGAGGGGGGTTAGGTTATTGGAGGAGGAGGGGTTGAAGGGGACAGAGGAGAGGCATGTCTCCTTTTTTTTTTATATGTCCACGCTTACCCCTTTATATTTAACTCGGGAAAAAAGTTATTGTCACCCTGCATTGTATTATTATCTTTCTCTCTTTCTTTTCTCTTTTTATTTTTTCATATATAAATAAATTTCTTTGTTCATTTCCACCACGATTTCAACATTTCGAAATTCATTAACCAGACAACGACAATGACACAGCAAAGTGTCTTGGGTTTACCCTTTAACTCTTTAGCTTTTGGAAAATTGCTGGTGGATGATTTGTATAGTAATATCAATCAAACAGATAATAGTACAGTATTTATCACGCCTCGATACAACACGACGGGTAAAACAGAGCTCAAGGTAAAATCATCACAAAAGCCACCTTTTCTGTACACCCACCCACGCCTAAACTGTTTATTTTTTCCTCTCCCTGTAGATTGGTGTATTACTACCTTTTACACAAAAAGATGATAATCTTACAGCACAAATCGTATGGGGGTAAAAAAAAAATTAAAATAAAAAATTTCATGCAAAATCATAACCTGTGTGTAATAGTGGATCTTCGGCAATACGAATGGCCGTCAATGACATCAATAGCAGACAGGTCATTCCTGGTGCTTATATAACACTGATCGAAAAAGATTCGTTTCCTGATTCATCACTTGACCAAATGTCTGTAACAAATGCAGTGTATGCATCCGTCACTCTGTTACAGCAAGGTGTCATTGGTGTTATTGGTGATATTTCCAGTTCCTGGACAAGTCTAAGTGCCCTCATGACTTCCACCTTGGAAATACCACAATGCTCCTTCACAGCTAACGCCAGTAAAGTGCTTTTTTTTGTTTCTTATTGCACCATGTATTTATCATGTTTTTCTTTAGTTGCATTTTCAGACAAGTCACAATACAAGTACTTTTTTAGAACGATACCAACACAAGTCATTATCGCCGATGTCATGCTTAACTTTGCATCGAAACAAGGATGGAATAAGTTGGGTGTCTTGTACACGGATGATCCACTTGGTCAACAATGTAAATCACACTTGTCATTCTCTTTTTAAGATGTATTAATATAAATATACCTTAGTTTATCAACGCGCCTTGATTCAAGCTGGGAGTATGGATCTTCATATCCTGCAATATCAATCGATTCCATCTACACAAACTACCGACGATTACTTGAACGCTTTAACCAATATCACTAACGGTGGCGCACGTATCATTATGGTTGCTGCCACATCTACACCACAAGTGGAGATCTTAATGCAGGCACAAAAGATGGGCCTCATCAATAAAAACTATGTTTGGCTCATGATGGGTGATACTACCACTGAATTATTAAAAAAGATCTCTCAGCATAATGTCAATTACACTACAGATCAAATCAATTACGATGCACAATATCAGGGTCTTTTCTTTTTCGATAATTGGTTGTCCTTAACTGGATACCCGCCATTTGAAACTTTTTTAGATCAATGGGCATCATTAAATCCAGAAGCGTAAAAATTTATATAAATGTTGTTTGCTTATAAGTTTTTTTTTAATGTTTTATTTATAGATATCCATATGCCGGTTATAGGAACATATCTTCTTACGAAGGGTAAAAACAAAATACATGTATAAAACATAAAAGTATATTTATATCACAAGTTTAAAAATAGGTTAGCGTATTCATGCATGATGCTGATGGCCGAAGGATTTGGAAAAATCATCCATAGCAGTAAAAACAAGACAGATGAATTAGAGAAATTGGCTTCAGGACAACTTGGTGACGATATGCTGCCGTCTGCATTTAATATTGGCTACGTGGGACCAGAAGGCCCAATGAACTATGACTCGAATGGAGATTTAACATCAGGGTAAAATGGTTACTAATTTTCCTTATTTAAATAACAGGTTTGACTCACTTTTTGGTAATTTAATAGAAACTACCAAGTGTATAATTTACAGCACGGTATTCGAACTATTGTTGGTAAAAGTACAGGTGGTATTCTTAATATCACTGATAGACCCATGTTTTTTGACGGTTCTTATGAGGTACGTTTTAATAGTAGTTTCATGCCACTACCACCGCTTTTTATGTATTATATATTCATGTTCTATTCCTTCTCCCTAAAGCCTCCTTTGGATTCACCGCCAAGTATACCTTTAAACCCAGATATTACATCCCCTATATCCCATGCGATATTAGCATTGTCCTCTGCTGGTATACTCTTTTCGTTGGTCTGTTTTTTTATTGTTCTATTTAATCGCAAGCATGAAGTTTTTAAGGCTTCTAGGTAAGGGCATTGTTTATTGTTTATATTTGTAAAGCTAATGTCAATTGTACTTTAGCCCACTTTTTTGCTGTCTTGAACTGGTTGGGTTCGTATTGACTTATATTTCTGTGGTGATGATGATTGGCATTCCTACACACACTTCTTGTATTGTTACACCAGTGACCTTTAGTCTAGGCTTCTTGCTTGTTTTAGGGTAAATGAAAAAAACATGTAATGAAGAAAAAAGTCGTATGATAAAAAAATTACAGAAACTTACTAACATTCTGGGGCTCCTTAAAAGAAACATGATTGCCAAAAATTACAGAATCTATAGAATTTTTAATAACATCTTTATTACCCGAAATGTCATTACAGATAATCACTTGTTAAAAACAGTAGCAGGTCTTATAGGCATTGAAATGGTAAAATCTCATTCATCGCTAACAAAAACATACATACTAAAAAAAAATTCTAGATTATTCTGGTGGTAGGATTATTGGTTGCAAAACCTATCCCGACAAAATTTGATGTGTCTTTTTCAACACATTATTGGTCTTGTGAAGCAGAAGGGAATAATAAGGTGGTTTTTTTGGTCCTTTCTGCTGTATATGCTGCTTTCTTGCTCTTGTTTGCCACTTTCCTTGCCTACAAGACTCGGTTTGCAGGCAGACAGTATAATCGATACAGCGAGTGTAAGCAAATGGGTCTCTCTGTATAGTAAGTTGCTTAGGACACAATTTGTAAGGAGATAAAACTAACAAAAAAACATCTGTAGCAATATTTTATTTTCTGCATTAGTTGGATTTGCAGTAATCGTAAACCCACTGGCAGACTTTTATACGAAATACTACATCGATGTGATCTCTATTTTATGGGCAACCACGTTTTCATTACTTATTTTGTTCCTACCTAAACTACAAGCTTTCTATCGTTTCCGTTTAAAAGAGCGACGTGAAGAACAGCAGCAGCAACAAGAAAAGTCCTCGTCCGGTACAACCACCACCACTCGTAAATCCATGTTTTCATGTCTGAAATCATCCGGTCCTAAACCGAGTTACTTTGAGCATGGAAATACAAATACAACAACAGGTATCAGTGAATTGATGAGCTTGGAACAGATTCTGGCGTCCGACGAACCTGTATTAGAAGACGACGATAATAGTCTAAGACGTCGCAAGCCTAGTGCGATTAGTACTACCACAACAGCGGACAATGGTGGGAGCAGTAACTTTATTGAGGTGCATGAGGGAGAGATGCCTATTCGAAAAGTGTTTCGTTATTTTCCTTTTTTGTCGCAATGGGAGATGCATCACATCATGGTATTTCCATGGTTAGGATACTTTTCACATTTCTCGGTAAGCGTTGTAATATATAAGTGATGCTTTTATTTAACTAAGCAAAAATCTATAGAAATTTGCTAAAAAGGGAACGGTTATGTCCTACCATCATGCATCTATATATTCTGCTAAGCTAGAAGATTACGTTCTTAAGGTGCATGGCCAAGGATGGTGCGATATGTATATTCAACTGCCGAATTTGAACGCGATGAATACATGGGAGCAATGCTTTAACCAAAAGAAGCCTGACTATTTAGATTTCCGACGCAAGCCCACCGGAGAAGAGCAAGAAGTATTGCAGTCTTTGGATATTGTGTCCGGTCATCATCCACATGATATGTTAGAATCAGGAATGTCTGAAGATCACTTGCTAAGGAGGATGAGTGATAGATCGTCGGATGAAGATGCAGCTACTGTTAAACCTACCACTTAATTACTCATTTATTATTGTACACTATATAAAAATATTCCCCCACACACCCCCTAAATGTAATTGTTATCTAAAATCATGAAATCTTGTGTAATCTTTAAGTTTCGTTCTTTTAGCCTTTCTATGTTGTATAGAGGGCATGACTGTGATAATTTATAAATGAGGATAGAAATGACAGCTGACAGAGAGAAAATAATAAGACTACTAGAGGATTGTCAAGATGAAACTATTTTGCCTCTCATCTTGTGATACCAAAAGCATGGGTTTTTTTTTTTTTTTTTTTAATTACAATTTTTAATTTCTGGAGTGATTTTCGTTGGAACCTAAAGCACCCCGCGCTTTCCGTTGAGTCATAATGAACACCCGTGAGAGAGAAATAAATCTATTTTTAAAGTCAGGATCAAAAAAGATCAGATAAAAATAAAGACGAATCTTATTGGCTACTGATGTAAAAATTAAATCTGATAAGACATGGGTTTGGAGAATTACAGAGAAAAAAAAAAGTTTATTATTGTACAGAAATATGATATTTTTTGTGTTGGAAAAAAGAAAGAGAAATGAATAATTAAGGCAATGCATGTATGTAGTGAAGAAAAGAGAGGGATAGAGAAAGATATTTTTTTTCTTGTTTTGTAAGGGTATATGTGGGATGAAAAAATAGTATTTAGAGAATTGTCTTTGTCCAGGAGGATAACAAGATGGGAGAAGGGGTTGTTGTTGGCTTCTTTTTTTGTTGGTAAAAGTGTTGATACAGAGAGTCCTGAGGTGTGTTTAGTTGAAATGCAGGCACTTCTTTAAATGATGCAATAGGAGATAAACATGGTGATAGAGATGCAGTGGAAGATGATGAGGCGGTTAAAGTAGGTGATGGTGAAGAACGGGGAAAGTCCTTCAACTCTGCATAATCATATCCTAACAACGGATGATGATTCAAAGCATCTGATCTAAGACAATCTTCAGAGCAGTAAAGAGAGTTCTATGTGATGTATATAGAGTGTGAATATTTCTATACTATGTGTGTGTGTGTGTGTGTGTGTGAATATAACTTACGGAGAATGGGCTGATAGCATTGTCACAATAAGTACACCAGTTGAGATCGCTCATTTCGTTATAGATAAATATTTGTGTAATATAGAAAAGAAAGAGAGAAAAGAAAGTAAAATGTCTGACTCTCTTTCTAATTTATAAAAAAAAAGGTTTGGCTCGGGTCCTATTTTTGTCTGTGCCCCTCTTTTTTCTATTTGAGAGTGTACTATAAACGTTGATATACGATTGGCTGACGATGACGGAACAGGGGAAGAAAAGGGGCGATAGGAAATATAAACCCACTCACACACTCTCTTTTTCACAGTATCCACGTGCATATGATTATTATTATGGGACACACTTACAATCATTTTTGTTTATTTATTCTAATTGAGACGATGCAACTTCTAAAAAGTCTGTGTTTGCATAGATATTTCTTGACTACAGAAAAGAAGGATGGTTTCAGCCAACTACTATAATATTTTTAATTATATTTACTTACCATTTGCCAGACTTGAACAACATTGTCTTCTGCAGCACTTGCCAATACCCATCTATCGTGAGGGTTCCAACTAAAATCTGAAATTCTACTTGTATGACCACTATGAACAAACTTTTTTTTTTTTTTATAAAGTTAATGGTTTTTCCCTCCTACATTGCATCAGTGTTTACCATGATTTCTGGAGGACCGTCTTCAGCGTCCTCTGGTGTTTGCTCTTCACCAATATGTCTCAAGTCCCAAATAACAATTCTACGATCTGTACCTGCTGATGCCAAGATGGGTTCATCATGGGGACTCCAGGATACCTGCGTGACCTCTCCTTCATGTAACTCCATTGAGTGTAATTTGTTATCAATTTTACGAATATCAAACAATCCAACCGTCTAATTTAAAAAATTCAATGAGGGAATACTCCTTGTGAATCACATCATCGTATATTTTACCTTGTCAGTACTGCCTGTAGCTATCATCCAATCCTTAGTAGGATGAAATGCCACTGTATTCACTTCTGCCTCATGAGCCTGCACACTTTGAACTGCTTTGACAGGATCACGACAATCCCAACTATTTTCTTCTTATAAGTGGATCGTTACTTTAAATGGCTTTTGTATGACCTACATTTTTAATTTCATATCATCAGCTACTGATGCAAAGATAGAGTCATTGGCGGAATTCCAACTCACATCCTAAAAAAAATTATAAACCAATCAGTTCACCACATTATTCCCTTTTTTTGTTTATTATGTACCTCTACGCAACCCGTATGACCTTCATATCTTTGATAAGGCTGTAATTCTCTATCGCTATTTGGTGCTAATCCAATATCCCTAATCATTTTTTATAAGCTATCTTTTTTTTTTCCAGTTATCCAATTTCTGCTTACCAATGACACACAGTGTTATCAAAACCAGCACTAAGGAGATGATTCTTTTTGGCTGCATGAGGGTTCCAAGCCAGACCATAGCCTTCCATCGTATGACCTTTTAATCTTAAAATGGGGGAAGTTTGAGCACGGTCAAACACGAGAACATCTCCATCCCGTGTCTTGGTTGCGAAAATATTCGGTTGGTGGGGTTGATAACGTGCCTTATTCACTTCTCCTTCATGACACATTTTTTGTGTAATGTGCATCCTTGTCTTTTCTTCCGCTTGCTTAGAATTTTGCTGAGGAATATCCATTTCTAAAATCTGTGCATAATTATCTTCTTCGTCGTTGGTATGTGTACCGATCAATAACTCTTGTTTGATACATCCATCCGTGCTATGAAAAATGCACAGGTCAATTATCTATATTTCTTTCTTTTCAGCGCACAAGCATACCTTTCTTTGGTTGGAAGCCATTGGCAAGTTAACGTAGGCCAGGTTAGGTTGTGCGTGATCACCATGTCGTATAAAACAGGTGCTGTCTTTTTCCATTGAGAGTAATCTTCTTGGATTCTCTTCTTTTCCTCCATTTCCTTCTTGACTGTTTCATTTTATTTTATTTTACATGGTGTCAGTGACAAGGGCTAATTGCTTTTTACTGCCTCCCCCTTACCTTCGGCCATTGTTATTATTGAAAAAAAGAAATATTCAAATAAAATTTTAAAATCATCACGTACAAACGCGGTTTTTTCAGTCACACACAAAAAAATTTATTTTAATAAAAAAATAATTACAAAACTCTTTACTTCTTTTCAATAGTAAAAGGCTTAAGATTCCAAATTTTATCAGCATATTCACGAGTAGCACGATCAGCAGAGAAGAATCCCATACCGGCTGTACACAAGATGGATTTCTTGGCCCATGTTGTCTTATCCTTGAAAAGAGCATCCACCTTATCATGTGCATCCAAATATTGTTCGAAATCAGCCGAGATCAAGTAATAGTCACCGCCATAGGTCAACGTATTGATCAAAGGACCAAAGACAGAAGCAGTTTCAAATCCACCAAATTCACCGGCTTGAATAGCATGAAGCACAACTTGAAGATTGGGATCCATGGGGACGCCATGATACTTTTGATGATGACGAATATCAGCGACCTTGTCAGATAAAGTACCAAACATAAAGATGTTCTCTTCTCCAATCTCATCACGAATTTCAATATTGGCTCCATCCACTGTACCCAAGATTAATCCACCGTTCAAGACAAACTTCATGTTGGAAGTACCCGAAGCCTCCGTACCAGCAGTGGAGATATGTTGAGAGATATCAGACGCAGGTACAATGATTTCTGCAAGCGAAACATTATAATCAGGAATATAAACAACCTTTAAGAGATTATCAATTGAATCATCATTATTCACAACTTGGGCAACTGTCGTAATTAACTTGATAACCATCTTGGCAATGTAATAACCAGGAGCTGATTTACCACCGAAAATCACAACACGAGGGGTTAATTCTTTACGTTCTTCGGCGCTCAATAATTGAATGTTCTTGTAACGATAAATGACACTCAAGATATTCATAAATTGTCTCTTATATTCATGAATACGCTTTACTTGAATATCAAAAAGAGCATGAGGGTCAACAGAAATGTCCAAATGAGTCTTGATCCAATCAGCCAAACGAGTCTTGTTTTGCAGCTTGACATCAATCCACTTCTTTTGGAAAGATTTATCCTCGGCATACTTCTTGAGGTTCTTCAATTCATCCAGATGAGTTACCCATTTCTTAGATCCCAAAGTCTCTGTAATCAACTCACGGAGAGCAGGATTTGCTTGATAGAGCCAACGACGAGGAGTAATACCATTGGTGATGTTGATAAACTTCTCGGGTCCGTAGTACTTGATGAACTCGCTGAATAATTCGGTCTTGATCAACTCAGAATGCAAGGCGGCTACACCATTGACGGTGTGAGAGCCTACCACAGCAAGATAGGCCATACGCACTTGTTGAGGGTTGCTTTCTTCAATGATAGAGACACGATTTAAGAGGCCACGATCATTCTGGAACACCTTTTCGAACTTTTGTAAAAAGAAGAGATTAATGTCGTACACGATTTGCATGTGACGAGGCAAAATCTTTTCCATCATAGGCACGGACCAACATTCAAGCGCCTCGGGTAAAACAGTGTGGTTGGTAAAAGCAAACACACGCGTCACAATATCCCACGCATCGTCCCATTCAAGTCCTTCGATATCAACCAAGATACGTTGCAACTCAGGAATGGCTAAAGTAGGATGGGTATCATTCAGTTGAACAGCAACCTTATCGGGGAATTCCTTCCAGGCGGCATTCGTATGCTTGAAACGATAAATGATATCTTGAAGAGAGGCACTAACAAAGAAATATTCTTGCTTCAATCGGAGTTCCTTACCAACGTTATGGTTATCGTTGGGGTAGAGCACGGATGTCAAATTTTCAGCGTTCTTTTGGTCAGCAACAGAACGATCATAATCACCATCATTGAAGGAAGCAAAATCAAAAGTCTTCAGAGATTTGGCAGACCAGAGTCGAATATTACCACAACCTTTAGTGTCGTAACCTGGAATAGGTACGTCATAAGCCATAGCCTGAACCTTATCTCCACCTTCCCAGGACATACGAGATTCGCCCTTCTCATTTACCTTGGTAGCAACATAACCATAAAATTGTACTTCATACTTAATATCACTACGAGGAAACTCCCAAGGATTACCATCCGCGTTTAACCAGTAATCCGGTACCTCAGTTTGGTAGCCTTCGTTATTAATTATTTGCTTGAAGATACCGTATTGATAGCGTAAACCATAACCCCAAGTAGGATAATCCAAAGTAGCAGCAGCATCCATATAACAGGCAGCAAGACGACCCAAACCACCATTACCTAAAGCTGCATCACGTTCTTGTTCCAACAAATCCTCCAAGCTGAAACCCAAATCTTTCACACTCTGTTTATAAGCGTCCTTGACCTCCAAACAATGAAGAGCATTATCGAGAGCACGACCGATAAGGAATTCCATAGAGAGATAGTAACAACGCTTAGGATTTTGTTGATGAATGGCTTCTTGTGTGAGATTCCAGTCTTCCAAGAGGCGGTCACGAACAGCATGCGCCGTGGCTTGATAGACTGCCATTTTGTCAAGATTATACGGGTTGCGACAAAGTGTTTCCAAAGTATGACTGACGATATCCTTCTTGATGGATTCAACATCATTCTTTTTAGGCTCTATATGTTGTTTCCACTCTTTCAGGGCATCAGATTGAAGTTGGACGTGATGCGACTTGGTGAGTGTAGGAACACTGGTGGGTGTGACGGGATCTTTATTATCACCATCCACGTGAATAATGACATTGGTTAAACGACGTGTTAACTTTGGCATCGAAAGACGTCTTGGTCTCTCTGAAGTAGGAGTTGTACTCATTTTTTTTATTTCACCAGATAAGAAAGAAGAAGAGAAAAAGAAAAGGAAGTGTGATCTGACCCGTTTTTTTTTTTACCCTTTCTTTATATTCTTTCTAGCGGAACGTTAAAAAATACGGGCGTCAGCTGAAATCTCAGTGGATGTAAAAACGCATTAACGTTTCCCACGGAAAATCTGTAAACCATAAATAACATAATGAGTAAATTTTTCAGTCGTACACCTTGATGGGAAATCTAATCTGGGTATATATCTGTAAACATATTTTTCCCGTCATGATCTCATCACTCTCTTGTTTATTATTGTTTTCTTGTGCTTACTTTTTTTTTTCCAATTTTTATGCGCTGATTTTTGGACATGACGGACTTAACAAGCGGGGATTAGGACTTTTGACTTGTCCAGGCCCTTTGAAACAAATCATTATGTAATCATTCAAACTTGTAGAATATTCGGGTGCACTGACGTAATTTTTAAAACGCGATAACAGGTGTAACGAGGCTTTCTTGTCAATTGCTCTCTTGAATAAAAAAAAACCATCTGATACATGTTTGTTCATATATTTAGTCGGATGACGAAGTAGTGATCCTTACGTAAGAATAAAAAATAGCCTGTCCGTCAATTCTCACCGTTTATTTTATTGTTATCTATACAATCTATCATATGTTCCAAAATATTCTATATTATGTTGCTTTTTTTTCAATAGGAGTACTAACCCTTATTTATTTCACTTTGATCCATAGCAGACGAGACCAGCAACTTGCTTTTTAGTGAATTCAAAAGAGGAAATATTAATTTACAATGTGAGAATCAGAGAGATCTTTTTTTCGATTCAGCCAGCTAACTTGATAGGTGCATTTAATAAACGCATGAAAAGGGCTGCCGCATGCATAGTTCCTAAAAAATATGTTTACATAGTTACGTGTTGATTTTAAAGCGGCCGAATTGAGCACAGTCTGAAGAGTATTTATATTCATACTTAGTTACGAGAAAGAGGGAAAGTATCTATTTATCAGAAGAAAATTCAGGATGTTGAGACAGCAAGAGAGATTTCAATATAGCCTAGCTTTTTTTTTTCCCTCATTTGAAGTTCTTGTGCAAGCATACCTAGGACATGCAAAGATATACATTGCTTGCATATGCAACCTTTGAAAGGTGGGTATATCTTTAATACACTCTCGGTAGAGGAACACCTTGCAGATATCAAACTTAATTCTAATCTGTGTGACGTTCATTTATTTGTTTATGCGTCTAATGAAGTAAAGAAAATTGTTTCAATTAATCTAGACATTCACGAGTTACTTGTGGAACACCTCTTCTAAAAATACTGAAGGTATACATTATGGCATTCTCGCAACTGATTACACGGAATATATCATTGTTGCTGTTAAGTGTAACCTTTTTTTTTGAAAGCCCTTATCTATTCATCTTTTTGTATACTTGCTTGGTCAGTATTTATGTGATTTTTTTTCCATTGATCCGGCAGAAGCTGCAAAAAAAAAAAAAAAAAAAAAAAAAAAAGTGGTTGTACGATAAATTTTTATAACACGAATTGGATAATATTTGCAAAGCTCTGTATTTTAAAATGCCAAGATAACTCAGTAAAAAAGAATCAGAAATATCTGAAACGTATTCTAAAGGAAAACTTTGTCCTTAGTATGATTTTGCGAACTTTGTCGTTGCAGCAACTTTCTTGAAAATGGTCGCTGCAATTATTTACATAAATTTTTAAGTACCTTAGTTCTTGTTTAGTTTTTTTTTAGATTGTAACAATTACCAGGTTTTTGCGTATCGACTGGTTTTGCCTTTATCTCGTCTTGATTTTCTTATCATCTTTTTGCAAAGGAACCAAAAATAAACTTTGTTCGTTCTTTGTCATAATCTGATTCAGTCTCATAAGCCAATTTTAAGTGAGTATTTACCTAATGCAACTATACAAAGTGCTTTCTTAAAAGTATTCCTACGCTCATTCGAAGACACACATACCTTTATATTTTATACTCCTTAGTTAACAGTTTATGGTATGGTGCTCACTGATTAGAAACTTTTATTTTAGGTAAATAATTTTTTCCATAAATTTACAAACCATCATTCTAGCAATTTCTCAGGTTCTATTCAGGGCTGCTATAATGTCGTAAGATATATAGGGTTTACTAAGTAAAGAGCGAGCCATTATATATAAAGAGTCCAAATAGCTACCTGCGTATTCTCATTAACCAATGGTGAGCGAGGGTTTAAAAAATGTAAATATAACCATGAGCATTTTGCCTCTAGACCACATATAAACTTGTCAATGGGCGGTTTGTTTGTTATATATAAAATAATTAGACTGATAGCTGAAGTTCCCTTTGTACTCTCGTCTTAAATGAGCCATACGTTTTCAAAGTTTTATTCCGGAGTTTCGCTAAATTGCTGCTGCCAACGTTTTTTTTTTAATGCGGAATATCACTGAGGTAATTGTTTGGGTGTTTTAGACACTACATGTACAATTTTATATTTTTCTTTTAAGTCTGTATATTTTTATATAATTTGACTGCGTTTTCTTCGTTTGCGTTAATTATAAAGAAGTTGATAAGGCAAATAAAGAAGGACATACACTACCAAATAATTGACTTGTGCTATTGTATGTCAGATACATATACAAAAAAAAAGCAGAAGCTTTACTGGCAAGTTTAAATAAAAAAAGTATTGTAAAATAAGCATAAAGAGTAAAATAAAATTCTTAAAAGGTGAGTGGTATATCACAAAACTGTCTCATTACAGTAACAACTACTGCCATATTTGGGTACAATTCACTTAAGAATAATAGATCATGAAATCAAAACAACCTTTGATGCCGCATATCAGCATGTGGTATTTGACAAAGATAATATACTTGAGAAATAATGAGATAAAAGTATATTTTTATTCGAGGTGAAAATAGACTAAAAAAATCTGCTGCTATGAAATAATTGATCCATTTTACATTGCACAAATCTTCTGCGTTTTAATGATGAGTCAACCGTTCTGGTCTTTGAATAGATCTATACTTTGTTTCCCGCCTTGGATTAAATGAATACTACTCGTTAGAATTTTTTTCAGTTATCGTTGTCCCATATCCGTGAATTGGGAGCACGAGTATTCTAGAAAATCTCAAGTGTTACGAGACACCTATTTATCAGATCATGCAACGGTATTATATTGGTGGCAAGATTTAGAGAGAGAAAAAGGAAGAAAGACGAAATAGGGATAAAGATTTTGAATATTGAGTCTATGATGGCCAAAAACAGCACCAAAAACTTATGTACAGTCAACGAAGTAACCGAATGAAAGCAAATCATGTCTTCCAATATTGATACGCTCCGCAATTTTTATAATTCTCCAAAAAGATTTTCACATAGGAGCTCCAGAATCAAAAGTTTGCTGATCGGCTTTGTCAAAAAGAAAGACATCATGTGTCACTCATCAAAAAAATAAAAAGAATCATGTTTGTTGGTGATAGAGAATACTGTGTAGGCTCAAGATGAAGAAGATTCAGCCTCTATGGTGGGTTGAGGAGACTAAAACAGCATTTAAGATATACAGCTGTTTGTACCACTAACGACACTGTGAAACTTTTTATCGGTCCAATTTTTTAAAAAAAAATGAAAAAGTTAGACCGGCGGTAACGGTCCAAAAATTGGACCGATTTTATAAAAAATCGGTCGCATTTTTGGACCGATACTGATGATTACAAACGATGGTTTTGGCAAATAATTCTATTGGATAATAATACAGTTTACGTATTCAGTTCACGAGTTGCTACCCTTGTAAACCCAAAAATTTAGACATCATATATTGAATAAAAAAAAGACATTTTATTGAAAAAAAAAAGAAAAAGAAAAAAAGAGCCACAAATGTTTGAATAAATAAACGCACAGATTGGTTTTACAGATGAAAGACGAAACTAACCCGCCCATACCAACTTATTGAGCTAGTAGTTACAACTGTTATAGACAAACGCGTCTGGGCGGTACTTACCTATAATAAGAACTAACGTTAATAACGAGTATAAAAAAGATAAAAAAACACATCATACCTTAATAAAGAAACAGGTCGTCCGGGTCTAAATTTACAAGCAGTAAACGTACAGTAAATCTATAGACATATATTGATATTAATAACAGGAATGAAGGTGACTATAGCGATAAATCTTACCTCGAAAAGAATGTAGTTCATCTACCATGAACGCAAACACAATATTTATTATTCATAAACTACATCAAACAGAGTTACATAACTGTAAAAGATTAATTTTATGTTAAATTATGGTATCGATTATTATACATACTATTTCATGGTCATTTGTCAAAAAGAAAACAGAAAAAAGGAAAAAAAGAAAGAAAAAAAATATTAGATTTATAAATAATGATTTTTTAAACTCAATAGATATTACGTACAGGAACGGTACACACAAACATAGAGTACTCTTCCAGTGCGTTTGATAGGTATTTTCAATGACCCTTTGACCACTCTTTTGTTTCCTATAACTTGTCTCTTTACAAGATGGAAAAAATGGGGAAACTAGAAAGAAAAATCTAAGAAGGAGGGTGATTTCAATAAAAAGTGTTGCGGCTATTTATTGAGTGGCAAAAATTTGGACATAAAGCCCATGGCTTTTGATACTATAAACATTTTATTTGTAATATATATGTGACAAAAAAAATGTCAATACTTTGTCATAGAGACATTTAAAAAGTGAATATGTTTTGATAGTTATTCGTCCGTTAAAACTAGCGAAGAAGTGAAAAAAAAAAAAAAAAAAAAAAAAAAAGCGTAAGTCAATTGAAAGCACGATACAAAAAAAGCCTAATCGTGTAACACCAAACGCGTAATGAACAAGATACACTTTTTGACCCCCTGTTGCGGTCACCGTATTAACTTAATAAATTTTCTTTTAATCATATAAGTTATATAGGTATCGTAATATATGTTTATTAAACTACAAAACTCGATTTTGCAGTGATTTTCATTTTTTTTAAAAATCGGTATCGGTGCAATCTTTAAAAAAGACCGCCGGTATCTGTAATTTCTAAAAATTGCACCGATACCGGCGGTATCGGTCCAAAATATGTTTAGACCGGTAAAAAGTTTCAGGGTGCGAACATAACATCACAAACATGCAACTTTTGCTTTCAAAAACTCCGGCATCCGTACGAAAGAATTAAGAACAAGCAGAACAAGACTGTAAGCGGCCCTTTCATATGTCACAATCTGCATTGTCTATCAGTTGCTTTAAATCAAGCCACTCACGGGAGAGATACACTTTTCGCAGCAGCTATAGCTTTTCCTGGTGCTTCCTTTGACCCAAAAATAAGTCAAAAAAAAAAATACTTATGAATTCTATCAAACTTCCACCTTTTTATGTAAAGAAAGCAAGGAGCGGTCTACCGTTGATGACGCATAATACCTATCATAGGGTAAGTCCCAAATTTTATTTGTATCATTTTTCTATTCCACCAACTAGAATACATTTCAGTATGTTCCATTACACTGTTATTGTAATTACAGCGCGCATATGTTCATATGTACTAATAGTTACGCTTTGTACTACCCCAATACAGCAATGAGTTAAATAAAATCATAAAATGAATGAAAACAAGCGATTTACACCTTAATTTTGAAATTTGGGTTTGTGAATTATTCAAGAGTTTATAAAATTGTCGATTGTCTTAACGTCTGGCAATTAAGTATTTGTAACACAGCTGTACGCCGTTGTTAATATTGTTTTATGGGAGAAAAAGATGATCTTTATTAATACTCTGTGTGTTGGGCCGGTACCACTGTTCATACAGAGGTGGAATCGATGGACCAAGCCAGCAAGAACAAACGACGACTGTCGTGAGACTTATAGTACACGATCCAAGTTACAAGATATTTAGTTAGGAGATCAAAAGATGATTTTATTACAATTATGAATTATTCTATTTTATCTCTAATTAATATTAAGAGACCGAAAAGGTACGACACGACTACATGAACTACAATCTCAAAAATGTAAAAAAATATCGTCACCAGCAGGGTTTGAACCTGCGCACGTAAACGTATGTGATTTCAAGTCACACTCCTTAACCACTCGGACATAGTGACGAAACTTAAAACTCTTAAGTTTGTAAATGTTTATGGATCTAATGCTTTCAAAAATCACGTGACTAGCCGGGTTAGTCCGACCCGAAGTCCGGACCTTGACATAGACATGCCTCTAGAAATCGAACTTAGGCTCAAGAAGAGAACCTGTATATACCACCTGAGCTATACTATATATAGTAATTTCTCTTATATACCACCTGTCGGACCATAACCGGACAATAGATGTCCGGTAGGTGGTAGATAGCCCATTTTATGTGTAGATATGGATTAATAAAACGTCATTTTTTAGGCTCATAATATCCTTCATTTTGCTTTCTTCAAGGTGTAAACTTGGATTAATAAATCACTATGTTTTAGGCTCACAACGAGCAACCCAGCTCGATTGTTTTTTTTTTTTTTTTAGTTTATATACGAGGAACCGACCTATAATTTATTCTGTTTCATTTTACTTAATTTGAACAAAATGGAATACCATCCCGTTCAAAATGCTTTAGATGAGGCTATTTACAACAGTCAGTATCAAACGTCTGAAGAGATTAAACGACACTTAAAGAAATGGGCTATCGAAAATAACTTTGTTTTAGTCGTTGATAAGAGTGAGAAAGGTGTACGTGTCGTTCTTCGCTGTAAGCACGGAAAAGCTTGTAGAACTACAGTCAGTAACCTTGAAGAAAGAAAGAGAAATCAATCAAGCTGTAAGAATGAATGTCCCTTCCTGTTCAGAATCAAGTTTTTGAAACTTGAACAAATTTGGGTAGTAGAACGACCTATTGAATCCAAGCAAGAACACTTGCATAACCATGTCTTATCCACGGAGAGCATTCAAGTAACCGCAGAGGGAAGAAAAGGCGTCATCGGTCAAAGCACTGTCAAGCTTGTAAAAACATTAATCCAAGCGGGTAACAGTGTTCCTGAAATACTTAGAACACTCGGAGGTCGTGATGGTCAATCAACCTTGTCTTACGATGATGTCAGAAACTGGAGAGCTGAAAATACCACAAAACTCAATACCAACTCGCTTGATAACGATGCCAGAAATCTGGTTTCCTACATTGGAAGTAAAGGTTATTTGGTTTCGTATGATAAGGCTATGAGTGGCAGTGAAAGCAGGTGTTCATTGACATCCATTTTCTTTATGCATCAATGTACACTAGAGGAGGTAACTAGCCGAGGCGAGGTCTTTGTAATTGACGCCACCTATAAGACCAACAATTTAGGTATGCCTTTGATCTCCATTCAAAGCGTATCACACCTGGGCGGCAAGTCTCTCATGTCAACGCCAATTGCATATGCATTCGTTGCAAATGAGAAGATTGAGACCTATGTTTGGTTTTTAAAGGCATTCAGACAAGCTATTTTTTCCTGCTCCCGTGAAGACTTGAACCCTGTCTTTGTCACGGACAAGTGCTCGGCATTGATGAATGCACTTGAGCAAGTTTTTCCCAGCAGTCAGACCATGCTTTGTACCTGGCATATGAGCCAAAATTTCAATAAGGAATTAAGCCATATCTTTCTGAAGGCTGAAGATAAGCAAAAATGCATTGATCTCATTCGTGAGATGATTGTTTCTTACACAGAAGAGGAGTTCAACACCACTTGCGAGAAGTACAGAATAATTGTTACTAATTCTTTGTTGTTACAAGTGATAAATCGATGATAATTTAGGAAAAATGACAAGTAAGATTAACCAGATTGCAAAAATTCACTGAACTTTTATTAACATAAAATTTAGGGGTCCTTTATATACATATTGAATTCGACCTCCTTCTTAGACAGGGCTAGATGACAGGCAAGATTATGACTGACATGCCATATCTTGAAAGTAAGTAATCCAATGAGAATCATATAATAGAAGAAAGAGTGGTACACGTTTCTATAATAGGTCTGTAGTGTCACTTGACGCGTACATTTAAAAGTCATCAAAGTACATTCAAAAATTTATCATGTTTGTACTTTTAAACCTCGCTTGTCATTGGCCTCCGCTAATCTGATTAGTACAATATATTAATAATGTCTTTTTAGAATAATTGTATAATAAATGTATACTTTTGTACTTGTATTTAGCTTGATGAATATCGTGCTAGTTTGTTAAGTCAATTGTGAATATTTAATATGCAACATTAAAAGAAGTGTTTATAAAATTATCGTAATGGATAAAAATATGCTGTGTAGATCAAGCATACATGAATATATAAAGCTCGATCACAACAACAAGACAACTCTTCGTATAAGGCTCAAGAGTATCTTGAGAGTAATTGGTTGGCCTGTAAGGATAAGTGGGCTGGTTATCTCACTCGTATGTACATCCATTTTGGATGTACTACAACTCAGCGGATTGAGGGTACCCATAGTGCTCTTAAGCGCGGGACAATGTCAACCAGATTGGACCTGCTTTCTGCGTTTGACGAGGATGATCAATATGTGAAGCGTCAAGCCATCAGACAAAGCACAGCTAGCAACAAAGAGGAGTATTATGTTGATTGTGCGATCAGAAACAACCAGCAACTTGTGAACTTGATTGGTAAGGTGTCATCAAAGGCTTTGACAACTATCCACAAAGCCATATTGAAAGTATCCCTTATGTCCGAAGATATAAAGCTTGCCGCTCGTGCCAATTCTTGTTCTGCAGCGACCGTATCTGCTACGCTTTGCCTTGTAAACATGACATTGTCAAAATGGGTGACAGGGTTTTAAATGTCGAAGAAATCAACAGCCGTTGGTTGTTGAAAAATGTTCCCAGTGTCATTAGCAACAATGATATCCAATTGTCGAGTGTAGATGCTCCAAGCCACAACAGTTTTCGTGAGAAAGTATACCTCGATCAGTCAGGTATCGAGGATGAAGTAAGACAGTCGGACCAGTTCCGTAGCATTTTGGCTGAAGCTGAAGTAAAATACCGCGAGTGCCAATCAGTCACCGAATCCAATGCACTTGGTGATATGTTGAAGAAGGCTTTGGAGGATCACCGAAAGTTTGTCGAGGAGTTCAGAAGTATGGACGGTCCAATCGGACTACCCAAAGCAGACCACATATCAAAGGTTGGCCGTCATGCTAAGGAAAAAAGTTTTTCTCCTTGGCGTCAAATTAGTGGGGCTGTTAGCAAAGCCAAGCAAACCAAGGAGGGTAATGTATTCATAGGCTCAGAATAACTCATTTTCTTACCATTTATGAATGTTGTATTTATAGACGCTGTTAAGCATGCTGTTAGTGGCAAAAACTATGTCGTCAAGAGGGACACATGTGATAATTATGGGTCAAGAAATAAAATGAAACTTTTGATAACTTTATTGTTTTTTTATAATAATAAAAAGACAAGGAGGATCCGTCTAGTTGAATAGTTAATTTCTGCTTTTATATGAGGTTATTAGTAGTCACAATAATGTCAATTATTGTGGATTGTGATCGTGTAACCTAATTCGACTACGGTATAATAGGGCTAAATACCACAACACAGCTGTTTTTTACATTCCCAAGAGAGCCAAGCCATGTAAGAATCTTTTAAAAAATACAACATTATTTTTACTAATTTAAATATTTATACAGCCGAGAATACCGAGTATGAGGCTGGAGAACGCCTTCATCTTCCTAAGAGGGCAAAGATTTGTAAAGTATAAAATTTAATGAAAACACATCTTCATAGTGTACTCATTCATCAATATATATATATATATGTGTGTATAGCTGTCACGAACGAGAATTTCGAGATTCTCACCGAAATCTATGTTGACAAGGATCTTCCTCGTAATAGTTTTACAGAAATTGTGAATGTTGGTGATGATGGCCACTGCGGGTTTAGGGCTCTGTCTTACCAGGTCTTTGGAGACGAAGAGTGTCATGAACTCATTTCATCATGTCCTAGATCATGCCTTGATTTTAAACCCTTGTGAAACCTTGTCCTAAAATCTAATATCAGTATACCTTGTCCGCTACCAAACTCCCTGTAAAACCTTGTACCCAAAATAATATCAGTGTACCTTGTCCGCTACCAAACTCCCTGTAAAACCTTGTACCCAAAATCATATCTGTATATCTTGCCCGCTTCCTGAATTCGTTGTAAAACCTACCACCAATCTGTATTCCAATATATTTCCCGCCTCTTGTCCGACTCAACCTTAGTAAACCTTTTTCCGATCATCTATTACTTCATATCCCAATCCAGTTTTCCCGCCCGTGTCAAATCAGAGATATTCCCCGAACCATCTAATTATTCAATGTCAACTAAATCCAGCCTGCTATTACTCGTCGAATCTCAATTACTCATCCTTGTCAAATAATCTGCTCATGATATCTGTTCCGTAAAGTCCCTTGTTAATCTATAATTTAAACCCATCGTAGCTTTTCCCATGTATAAGAGATAGTATAAATAGATGCTAGTTATTTATTAGAAAAACGTTATTCTGGATCTTAGTCCTAACCCCTTCCCCTTCTCTGAAATAAACTTCTTTATTTATCATTTTTACTCTGACTCTCGTGTCACCAAGTAGTCTTCTTTCTGTTCTTGTTCTGTTTCTGACAGAGAACGAGCATCAGTAAATAATGAGGTTACTGATGTTCCCAAAATAAATAAAAATTTTCATAATTGTCAAGAATTCCAACTAGTTGATACGGTGGTCGATGGAGCTAAGGAAATTATGGCGAATGTAATTCTGACCAATGGTTTCAAACGGAGGGCTATGGCGCCTCTATCTGTTGAAGCTATGCCTGGATCCTCAAATCGTAAGGTCGTTAATTCTGGGTTTCAAAAGCAAATTAAGCGCAAGACTAGGAATGAGGCTAGACGGTACCCTGTCAAATTAAAAACGTCAAAAATTTGTTCTAAGCGTTTAGGAACCGAAGCGAGAATATCTATGGCGGAGTGGTTATCTTTAGACAAGGAGGCTGCTGCTGAAATCATCGATGGTATCAGGTATCTTCGTGAATCCAAGTTTGTTGCTAGGAATAAGTCTGTTGGTGTAACAGATAAGGTCATTGCTGATTTGAAGGATTTACCTGGTACTAATGCTCCCATGGAAGTCAAAGAGGTTGATATCAATGATGATTTTTCTTTAATTGCTTCTGATGAAGATTATGGTGTTGTTTCAGGTCGTTCTACTAGCTCTGATGCTATGGAACTATCTGAAGATGAAGGTGACTTGGAGTTTAGTGATGCCGAATCTGTTTATAGTTATCCGTAGGATTTTCAGAAGATGTAATCAAGCTCTCCTCTTCGTGCTATGATTTTTATAAATGGTAAATCCATCGAGGCGGTGTTTGATACTGGTACGTCTGTTTCGATTTTAGGATCGCAGGTTTGTGCTGCTGCTGGTCTGGTGCCGAATGGTGATAGTCTACACCTTATTGGATGTAACGAAGATTAAGTTCCTAAACCATCTAATGTTGTTATGGATGTACCGGTTGAGATAGGTGGTAAAATCAGGCCTGAGCATATGGCGGTGCAAGATGGCTCAGAAATTTGTTTGTTGGGTGTCCCATGGTTCCAAGCGTATAGTGTTTCTCTAAATTTGGCTCACTCCCAGATAAGGGTGCCAACATTGTCTGGCATAATCAAGGTTCAAGGACGTACTTCTCATGTTAATCGTATGCCTTTTAAGTCCAAGCAGGAACAAGGAATCTTTGTTGTTGCGGCCGGTCAAAAGTATTGTAGTACTTTGGAGGATGACCTGATCCCTGGTGATGAAAACAACAGTACTAATGACAAGAAGGTTCTGGAGTATAATTCTGGCAATATCACTGAAGGTGTTGATGAAGAGCTGCGTGAGGTGATCGAGAAGTGTAAATCTTGCTTTTCTGAGGTCTCAGGTCTTTGAAATAGTCGATTAACACAAGTATAAATACGAGACAGAAAAAAGATGAACTTTATTAAAAATAGGATAAAACCTGATATTTAAACCAGGCTCGGAACTTCAAATAAAGAAGTCCCAAGTATATGTATATTATACTTCAACTACAACAGTCTTACGTGCATCAAAGGTTACTCTGCAAGTATTAAGCTTAAGGATAATGCTGTACCCGTAAGGAATCGTCCTTTTCGTCTTGGTCGGTCGGATCAAGAGCTCGTGGATCAACATGTACAAGAAATGTTGGATCTTGACATAATTGAGCCTTCTCAAGGTGAATGGTCAACCTGTCTCTTTTTGGTGAGTAAAAAGGAAACTTCGGTTAAGCGTGCTGTGGTTGACTTTTGTTCTGCGAATAAACAAATCATCAAGGAAAATTATCCTATGGCTACTGTTTCTTATTTAATTGAAGATGTGGGTTCGGCGAAAGTGTTTTCTAATTTTGATTGTACGTCTGGGTACCATCAATTGTCGTTGAAGGAAGGTGCTGAGGTTACTGGGTTTATCACTAGCAAAGGTACTTGTAGTGTTTTGGATAGTATAAATTCAGACAAAAGGAAATAAAACAAAAGTAGGAATACTTTGAGACTGTTGGTATGCTTTATTTCAGTAAAAGAGAATTAGAGATTATCTAGTTTATGAGTCGAGGATATATATATAAGATGTCTGAATTTAAAATATGAAATTATTGCATAATGGAATTGTACTAAATTAGTGCAGTGTCCTCTTACACTATTTTAGTCAAAGAAGTACATAGACTAAAGAGGTGTATTTGCTTTATAAAGTATTGATGCTGAGATATTAATATTTTAGTGTTAGATGTATGATGTAAGTGTATCTGATGTTATTTTTATTATGGTTTTTATCAAGAAGTAAGTCAGATCATCACAGTACTTTTCAGTACAAAAGATTAGCTCAAGATCTCACGAATGGTTGCGCACAATTCCAAAGGGTAATGCCTTCTATATTTAAGGAGTTTATTGGGGAATTCTGTTCGGTCTTTTTGGATGGTATACTTATTTTTTCCAACACCATGGAAGAACACAAGGTCCATTTGGAGTTGCAATTCGAAGCTTGCGTCGCCTCAAATGTAAAGCTTAAGCGTAAGAAGTGCTTTTTGGTAAAGACAAGGTGCAATACTAAGGTCATGTCTTAGGTGCGGAAGGAAACACTCCTGGTGAACGCAACATTACAAAGGTCAAGCATTTTCCTGTGCCATCTAATGCAACCGATATAAGGAGCTTTTTGGGTCTTAGTGGTTATTACCGCAAGTATGTTCACAGGTATGGAGAAATCGCTGAACCTTTAATCCGGTTAACTAAGAAGAACTGTGCTTTCGTGTGGGGCGAAGAACAAAAAGATTCCTTTGACTTATTAGAGAACTCTTTAATAACGGCTCCGGTTTTGGCTGCGCCTTTGCGCGAACGTGTGTAATGTGTTTCTTGTGACGCTTTGAACAAGGGAATATCATTCATCGCAAGTCAAGTCGATTCTTGGGATGGTTTCGAGAATGAACAAGTATTATCATATGGGTCTAAGGTCTTAAGTTCTAGTATGTCAACATGGTCTATTCATCACCTGGAAGCTTTGGCGGTGGTAACTGGTGTCAAGTACTTCAAACATTGGTTGAAGGGCAAGAAATTTGTGTTGATCACGGATCATAGCTCATTGGTTTATGTCTTTGCAAATCCGAAGGGTAACCCGAAATTGTCAAGGTGGGCGGCGTCTTTAATGGACTATAATTTTGAAATTAGGTATAGACCAGGAAAATCGAATCCAGCAGATCCCTTGTCTAGAAAGATCGTGGATCTTGAAGTCGGTAACCTCGATGAGATCATTAGGATCGTTTAAAATTAGTAATATTGTTAGAAAAAAAATTGTGTAGATGAATCTATTCGTAGATTGTATAAATAACTTAGTTTATTTTAAATAAAAACATAATCTTTAATCTCTTCTTTAACTTTGGTCTAAAAACTTTTATTTTCTTGTATCCCTTCTCTCTAATACTTGTTTAAAATTTTCTGTTTACCTTTGAATTGGCTGATTTTCCCTTTACATAATTGGAGTTGTTATTTAACTGTATTTTTTATAATGAGTCTTATGTCTTTTCCGAGGTTTTCTCCATTTATAACTACTTAACTGATGGATCTTATCCTAAAGATGTTACTGATGGTGTTTCTCAACAAATCCGATACAAGGCTAATTTGCTAATGATTGACGATGACGGTGTGCTGACTGAGAAGAAAACTAGAAGGATGCTATTACACGAAGGTAATGCTCTTCAGAAAATAATTGAAGTACACAAGGAAGGTCATCTGGGAATCTCTAAGACACTGGATAAGGTCTCTCGTACTTATTTGGTGCACGATGAAAGGAAGTTGGCTACTGCTGTTGTCAAGTCGTGTGATACATGTCAATTCCGTGCTCGTATCCAAAATATCCGTTCCAACCCGGGTGTTGTTTTCAAAACTACTAAGGATCCTTTTATAATGATTGGTGTTGATGCCCTAGGTCCTTTACAATCTACTGAACGCGGGAATAGGTATATCCTAACGGGTATTAATTACTTGACTAGGTGGCCTGTTGATATGGCGGTTCCTGATATTAATGAGGTGACGAATGGAGAATTCTTGTATAGTATTGTCAAGGACTGGGGTGTTCCTCGTTATTTTTTAAGCGATCGTGGTTCAAATTTATTTCTACGTACGTTCATGAGTTCTTGAAGCAAATCGGGTGTAAAAATATCATGACCACTAGTTATCGTCCTCAGTGTAACGGCATGTGCGAAAGGTTGAATTACTGCTTGGTGTCAGTGTTAGCGAAGATCGCTCGAGATGAAGAAAACATTGCTAATTGGGATCGATATGTCGATACAGCTTTAATGGTAATTCGGACGACCAAGAATTCAAGCACAGGATATACCCCAAGTTACTTCTTATTTGGCTATGAAATGAGAACTCCTGCTGTCTGGGTAGCTCCCCGTCTCGAATTTGTTATCGGCGAAGAAGAAGAAGAGGTCCGCGATCGGGTCCTTTTGATCGAAAGAAAAA